AGGCAATTACAGGAAGGGTGATACAGATTATGGATATGAATGTGAGTAGTGGCATGAATAATGAAATGCTGCAGTAATAAGCAGTATTAATAATGATAAGTATTAGTGATGGGATATGAAATGTGGAATGAGAAAAAACGATTGGCGTGGTAATAAGTATATATCCATATATTTAATTTAAAACAGTAGGATGAGAAAGAAGGCATGTGGAATTTATAGTTTGATGGAATTGGGTTTAATTAATGTGGGAGTATGAATAATCATAAAAGAGAACGGATAGAGTGGGCAATAGAGGAAAGAAGAATCATTAGAGCTAAAAGGAAAATACCAAACATTAAGCAGCAAATTAATCTGCAAATGAGCCATTAGACGAACAAAAAGAGCAACAAAAAATAAGGCAAGCTAGATATAAAATAAGAATAGAAGCGTTAGCTAAGCTTATATGTGAGAAAGTCAAAAGTAATATAAATGCAGATGTTAGTAGTTCGATACCATATCTGATGTAAAAACTATAAAAACTCGCATAAAATCTTTAATTTGTAGCAGAAATCGTGTTTATATGCTATTCAATCAAATAGATGACGATTTTAAGCCAATGTTTTTTGATTTTGATGTAATGATATCTAAAGATGACAATCCTATAAGTATTCAAGAAAAAAATAATGCTTTGTATTATGCTATAGAAGACATCAGTTTACTAAAAACAATAAAAGGCAAATTATCAAAATTCGATCAAAAAGATAAATCATTGGGATCATTTGAGAAAGGAGTTAGTTATTTAATAGCATACAGCTCATTATTAGATACGCTGATTTTTGATTTTTTTGTTCAAATAGTTGCTAGTGTAGCAGGAGAATACTATATTTCGAGAGAAGGCAAGGAATGTAGTATATCAGATAGTGAGCATTTGGAAGATAAATTAAAGCTGATGAATATTGATGAATGCAATGAATGTATTAGGTTAATACTTTTTAGCTTAGGATTGGAAGGCAAAATAATATGTGATAAAAGTTTAAAGAATGAAATTAGTGAATATCTGAACAACTCATATCATACTAGTTTGATTTTGGATATAGATCAAGAAAAATAAGTATGATGTATGTTTTGCAATAGGTTTGCTTCAAATATTATTGTATTCTTTGTTTGCCACTACGAGTGTTTCTGGTATACCAGACAATGCCGTGGATGTTGAATTTAGCGTGCTAGATATAACTAGCGAATGATATCTGAATGTTATGTGTATGGCACATTGATTTGCAATTATCGTTTGTAGATGCTGATTATCGGATTAGCGATATCTGAAGAGGTGGCTGAGATGATATAGTGGATCAATTGAGTGGACTAAGTGTTTGGCACTGTAATAAAAATGCAAAATGAGTAATCCCTGCATAATGAGATGGTAAACGATGAATCGGATAAAAAGTCAAATGAGAAGGATTCACAGATAATAAGGAATATAATATTGCCTAAAATTCCCACTATTGCTGAGCCACTATTTTAGTTTTTATGATAGCGGTGGCACCGCTCATTGATTCCAAATATGTGAAGAAGGCTATTGCAATACTCTACGTTTTAGTTCCTATTTTAGTTATATTTTTTATGATAGTAAGCAGTTCGAGAAAAAATAAGAAAAAACTTGTAGACACAATGTATGAAAACATAATGCCTACTGCTTGTAGCATTTCAATGATTCCTGTTGCTATAATTGATTTCGTGTATGATCAAATGGTATTGAAGCAGGATCTTTTGAGCATGTTGCTGTTTACATTTATTTTGATGAGTGTGATTGAATATGTTTTCATTGATGAAAAAAGCTTGAGTCCTGATAATACTGCTCGGCATAAACTGAAACATTGGAGCAACATTGCCATCTTTGCTTTACTGATTATAGTGAATGGAATTCAAATACTTAATGTAGTATCCTTATATGGAGAAGATTACAAAGAGAAGAGATGGATGATTCAATTAATATGTATTTTTAGTAGGATTGCTTCTACTCTTTATAAAAGCTATTGTTTACAAGGTATTGGAGCTATTATCTAATGAAAACTATATTGATTATAGTGCGTCGTATATGAACACCAATAATGATGCAAAAGCTACTGAAATTGATAATTCTATTCAAATCATCAATAAAGTGAATGATGATGATTATATCAATAGAACCAAATGTTTTATGGGCTCTTTGTGGTTTGGTTTGATTGCTTCAATAGTCTTGGGGAAAATTATTAATATTTACTGCAATTTGTCTATGTTTGATGAAATGCTTGAAAAATAAACGGATTATTATTATATACTGCTGCTTGTGAATGGATAATGTGTTTAGATAATAAATAACTTCAATAGGTAGATTGCTCATGTATTTCATTAGTTGATGAGGCGATCAGATTTGCATGGTAATTTACAAGAATGCTTAATGTGATTAATAATGCTTATACATATGTGTTTTAGTCATTTTATTGGACAATGTATTTTATGAACACTAGTATCAACTTTATCAATGATTCACTTGATATTGCAAAGATGGAATCACAAATGAGGAGTTCGAATCTTTAATAGCAATTCAATAACGTTGTTGTGGAAATTGGAGATAATAACCATCGCCTCCTTTATATGTATATATATGAAAATTACACGGATCATACCTTTGAAATGGCTAGAATTAATAGAATAGTTTTTATTTCTGTGTTTGCTACGAGTATATACTGTGGAATGTTCGCTGACATTGGAAAAAAAATTAAAGATAGTGCTTCAATCTCTGCTGAATTCGGCAAAGTTAAAGATCGGATAGATGGCGCTTCTAAAAGTCTTCTTAAAAACTTTAAAAATGAAGACGAAGTGGAGCCTGCCAATCCTCCTACTGATTCTGAGGAAGACTAAAAAGTAGATAAGAAGTGATGTTAGGCTATCACTGTTTAACTCAAATAAACTTCATAATAACAAATGCTTAAAACATAAATTTGTATTTTATTGATTTAGATCATAATCATATACAGTAATTATTCTTTAGGTATCATATTTGCATGTTATAGCCATAATTTCCTTGTTTTGGCATCCCACATACACACTGGATCCTTCTCCAAACGCAATAGAGTTTATCGACCCTTCAAACTTCACCTTACCAACACAAAAAACAGAATTGTCACAAAAATCCCAGAATCGTAGAGATCCATCTTTCGACCCAGTCACAAATGAATCTTTCATTGCTACTCCACACTTTATCCAGGAGTCATGGGCATATGGAACCGTCTTGACTATCGACCTACTTCTCCATCTCTTCAATGAGCAATCTCGTCCAAAACTGACTAAGTCTCCGTTATAGCTTAGCAATCCTTGCACAGAATCTAAATGCGGAGGCGAAAGTGTCAAAAACCCATCACTATAGCATTTAACCGTGTGATCCCTAGATGCAGTGTATATATCCTCTCCAATCTTTTCTATACTGAAAATTGTTCCTGAATGTGCCTTTTCCGAGACAACTATTTTTGAGTTTCTATCGTCAAGCATAGAGAACGTCCCATCCTCGTGTCCAGTAAACATGTAATGCTCAGAAGACATAACTGCAGATATCTCACTCCGGAACACATAAACAGGCCGAGTTCCAGATCTTGGATCAAACCTTCTGAGCATTCCTCGGGTGGTGTAAAGCAATGTTTCTGCTGAGGCCATGCATCTTATACCCTCCTCAGCAAACAACACTGACACCTTTTCGCCCCATTGCCTTACTTTGTTGTCTATTGATGAAAATACAACACATGAATCATAGAATGCTAAGACTGTTGGCAGATATCCCGTAATTGTGTTCTCAATTGTGATTTTCATCGTAATCTTTTCCTTTCTTGGTGTAAATAACGCATATTTCTTTGTATTTCTTTCTAAATCAAACGTCACTGCCCTCTTGTGTACTTTTTCTATATTCTGCTTCATTTCAATCTTATTTGCCGCATCCGCTGTATTGGATATTTCCAATGAATCTACATGCTTCCTTATAGTGTCTATTCTGGAATTATTCTCCTTGTCATCACGTTGCACACCTGTTTTTTCAGAATCGGTACCCTGCGTCTTTTCAATGCCCAAAACCACAGACTCGGGCATACTCCACATATCCAAAGCATTCCTCTCGTTGCTTTCCTCTCTGCGATTATTATTTTCATAATCGACTGATTCATCATCTAACTTTGCTTTACGGCATGCCTCCTGCATTCCGTCGGCCATACCAGCTATCGTCGCACACACCTGTACCTCTGACCTCGAAACACATATGCTTTGAACCATCTCATTAAGCCTCTGATTCTCGTCAATCAAGTTTTGCACAAAAGGATGCTTCAGAATCTCCTGGGAAAGCTCCTCCCTTTTATCATCCTTCTCGCTACCCATCGATTCTATCTTCGACTTCAGCATCCGATTCTCACAAATAACTTCCTCCACATTCACTTGTGAGTCTCTCTTTATCCTATCCTTCAACATCTGATTCTCAACCTTCAGCTTCTGAATCTCCTTCTTCAGCAGCAGCATCGCAAACTTCGACCCATCAACCTGTATGTTCATTCGCACAGACGTTTCAATAGATGCTGCTCTGCTTGCATACTTCAGCGTATTGTGTGTCTCGTTCATATCTGCATGTGAGGACGATACGCATGCTATCATCAAGACATATCCGTTCAAGCAGCTTTGAAGAATCCTTGTAAGCTTCGAATCCCTGAACGGAACATGCGGTGATCTTTTGAACAATGCAGAAATAACATTTCCCAGTGCCAGAAGCCCAGAATTTATGGATATGCCCTCCTTCGCACGGTCTCCGGCACACAGCGTTCGCTTCAATCTCTCGCTTCCTGCCAAGTCAACAAACGAAAATTTCGACATTACAAATGAGCCGTTCACTTCGCACTTGTAAAAAAGCGTAAATATTGCATGGCTCCGTGACGACTTCGAATTCATATTCGTCGACTTCGTTGTTCTTTCAAGCGATCCTTTGCTCAATGCTTCTATCCCGTCTTCATACGACCTCAGGCATATTTCGCTTACCCCTGCAACAATCACTTCTCCATTTGCTTCCCTAAGACTCAGAGGCCGCTTGTGATGACTGAATAAGTCTATTACCTCTTCATTATAGACCTCAATAAAAGTACAGGTAATTTCCAAGCTTTTCTTAAATATGTGCCTAAGAGCTTGAGGAACAACTCCTGTCATGTCCTCATGTGTTATCCCCATTGTGTATGTTTTGCCACTGCCTGTCTGCCCATATGCCATTACTGTGCAATTGTATCCCTCAAGAAACGCTTCTGTAAGATGCCTGACACTTTTGTTATATATCTGTGATTGGGATGTTGTGAGGTGTATTCGGTTAAATGTGTATGTCTTTGTTCCTGCAGTCAATGTGTTTGCTCCGCATTCGAATGCATTGTCCAGCCTTGGGTTTATTCTCACCTCTACTTGGATCGAGCTCTTCTTAGTATCCATAAGGAATTTGGAATTATTTTTTTTATCCTGAGCATACAAATTGTGCACGATGCCAAGGTTTAACGGTGTATGGCCATAATGCCTGCTGCATGTGTTTACTACTCATCGATAATAGATGCTTGTTTGATCTATAAATTGAGTATTGGGCCTTCTAATTGGTTTCTAAATGATGACACAGCAAACGAACAAATACATCAGTAGTCAAACAACACATGTAGACGAAATAGGATGATTTAATTAATAGTGCAACAAGTCAGATGGATGAAAAATCAAACACTCCACACGAAAGCTGCTTAGAACATGTTTATGTACCTGAAGCCCAGCAACTATTGCTATTGAAAAACATTCGAGACAGGATCGTGTGCAACGAAAAAGAAAAGACGCTTCTATTTGAAACAGGATTCATAGAAACACTTTCTTTTTCCAATGTGTCCGAACTTGAGTGCTTGTATCTAGACATACTGTCTTTACTGGCAACATCCAGAAATACGGAAATCAAACAGGATGTTAGAGGATGCATTGATCGTGTTTTCTGCTTTCTGAGCTCATCAGGCCCTCCATTGACTAAATTACATGCATCGATGTTCAGATCGTTCAGAGTAATGCTTTCTGAAACAGGTGCAGATCTTTTGCATGACTGTTACTTTGATTTTTTTCTATCTGTTATTGAGAATACAGGTGATGCTTTATACAGCAGCATAATCAGGAACGAGGTAATTGAACTATTTTGCAGAGTCGTAGATGTTGATTGTAGAATTACAAGAAGATTAGGCACAGAGAAAACAATTAGAGCATTATGTAGCCCAGAAATAAATTCAACCAAGCTACTTAGCAAGCTAATAAGCGAATCCACGTGGCAATATGTAAAAATAGAGCACCTGCTTGGTAGAATAAATGAGCTGGGCTCTAGATGCAAACTTGATGGCATCTCGTGCTGTGTGAAGATTTACAATTTCAGTGGCAAGAGAGATAATGAGATTCTTGAAAGGCTTGTATACGAATTGAATGCTCTTTCGTTCGATCGTAAAGAAGTGCTTGTACTAATTGGCCATGTAAGTTATGCAAATATGCATGCTCAGATGCTTTTCAAAAACAACGAGGTTGTATCACGATTGGTTAGTAGGGCATGCCATTCGAAACCCAGCGAAATAAGTACAGAGATATTTTTCTGCATATATTGTTTAACAAGTGTGCTTGAGGAGAGTAGAAAGATAATTGCAAAAAGCAAGCTGGTTCCTGCTGTATTTGTGCTTCTCAAGCAAAAGATTGAGGGAAAAACATTTGATTCTGCATTTGCTATGGCTGTGTTGCTTCTTAAGAATGTGACTAGAAGCGTAACACTGCTGAGATCGGACTTTCTGGACTGCCCAATTGTAGAAACACTGATAAATATTCTGGAACACAGTCTTCCAGAAACCATCGATGGAGTCTCTGCAATTATGCCTGAAAATGAGGTATGTATTGGCATTGTTGAGCAAAGCGTTCTGAAGATCCTTGCCAATCTTGTAATGGAATATGGAGATTATAAATCGAAGTTTGTTGCTCTGGGTGGGGTGGAGATCGTTTTAAGATACGTAGAACGATTTCCATGCGTGGTATTACATTTGTTCAAAAATTTTCTGTACAATGCAACTACAGCCACAAAGGAAACTTTCATTAAGAAGACTCATAGACTCTTCTTCGGCATTTTCTTTGAAATTTACGAGCAAAAGAAAGATCTGATGGTTTTGGGAAATTGCTTCAACGTGATCAGGAATCTCCTATGTGACGACTCTCTTGACTATATTGTGCATGGATTCGAAGGCATAATAAGCCAAATATTTGTGTATCTTGAGAAGTTTGGTAGCATTGGTATGATTGAAGAGGGTAGCAACGATGAATGGGTCATGCTGCAGATAATGTACTGCATTGTTAATTTAAGTACAGGATCAGATAAATTCAAGAAAGTGGTTCTCAACTCCAAGCACTTGGATGGCATGAAGAGAATATGCACAACCAGGAATCTCTGCATTGCATTTGTGTGGATAATAATAAACTTGTCATGGAGGGAAGACGGATTTGAAAACAGAGTTGAAGCATTGCGTGAGAATGGAATAAAAGAGTGGATACTTGGGCTTGATGTAAAAGATTCTGTTTTTGCAGACAAGATCGGAACTGCATTGGAAAACCTAAGGCTTGCATGATTTGTCAGGAGTCGTTTGGACTTGATCCAATTCACATTGATAATAATAAACATGTTTCGGTTTCATTTGATGCGAAAGAATAAAGCTATTGCTCTACAGAGTTCAGATTTACACAGATGAAGTGGAACTTAATAGGTTTTGGGCAGAAAACCAAGATTTACCAGATATGCCTTGGCCTGCTATTGCTTATAATCGCTCCGATCAACTGCAGAACAGCACATCCTTATCTTTCGCACTACATTAACAAATGGAGGCATCATCCGGAATACAGAGAAAACACAATGTTTAGCACTAAGAGCCTAAGAGATCCGAACTTTCCTATTGTCATTCCATACAAAGTCACTCAAGAACAGGTTCTAGGACTCTTGGATCATCATAATATTTAACACCAGGAGCTTGATGATCTAAGCTTCCAATTGCCCATCCATGCAAAACAATAGCTGGTAAGGTTTTAATAAATGGTTCAATACAATCCGCTAACTCTGCATTGTTGAGATTAAAATGCATTTTGCTGTAAATGCAGCGTGATGCATAAAACATATCAATTAAAACGATCAATAATATTCAATTACATTCCTGGCAATGCACTGCAGCAACAGAATATGAATATGAATATCCCATAATAAACTGCAGTAGCACATCAAGTACTTTGTAAGCACACGATACTAGTGTTATCTAGTGATTTACCAATGAAATTGATGGTTGTACAGAAAATCCATGATCTCTAAGATGCAGCATCATAAGGATATCCTCCTGATTTAGTATGTTGTTCTCACTTTTCAATGCTAGGGAAAACATATCATCCTTGTTGTTACATTGAACTACAGCACTTCCTGCAAACAGTATGGCTAACACTCGACAGAATGGTCTCATACAGCCATGAAGGAAACATCTTAAATACAAAAAGTTTCATGTTTCTTAACTGCTTTATGTGACAGTTTTGAGAACAGAGTTGGATCTAAAAACACATCTGAAACAATACTTTTCCACAGACATCAAGCATTAACCACTTCACAGATCATAAGGTTTTATTCAACGACGATTCTTTCTTGCCACTATAAGTAATCATTGTTTCTAGCCACTTAAAGGCTCTTGCAAGAGGCCCTGTTATGCTGTTCGAATCTCCATCATCCTTCAGCATCTTAACATAAAAAATCTTCACTACCTGCCCTGCATCCGGATCTTCCTGATTCTCAATCCCCGTCGCTTCTCTCAGGACAGAATTCCACTCATAGTCCTGCTCAGCAGACTCAGGCGTGTGCTTTACCAAATCCACCTTGTTCATAAGAACAACGATCGGCGCATTCTTTTCCATCTCCCTCACCGTCATGTATGCCTCTCTAACCTCAGGAAACCTTTTGTTATCATGTACATCAACTATAAACACAATTCCATCGCAATTATAGAAATACTCCTTCCACACTATTCTGACTGCTGAATGCCCTCCAAGATCAACAACCTGTGCCTTGAGGTTTCCAATCTCGACCTGGTATGTGTTTGGATGCTTAGTAGGCATGTATGCACTTGTGGAATTGCTCTTCAGCTTGTTTACCAGCGTTGTTTTTCCTGCATTATCTATGCCCAGGAAAAGAATCGATGATGGCTTTACAAACAGTGATTTGATGAAGTTCTGAAAGATCTTCTCGTACACTTCTGACAACTTGTTTTTGATAAGTCCAAAGTACTCATTGATGTTGCTAAGCATTATTGTTTACTTCCCTAGGGGTGTTTTTTTTTGTTTTAAGCTTGTGCATATACTTACATAAACACACCCTCAATAGATACACTGTATTACTTCTTCCCAAAACTCTTCTTGTACAAAAAGTCGAAGCTCTCAGAAAGAGGATTCTGAAGAATCTCCTTGTCAATGTCAATTGCATACGTCATGAAAAAAAGTGCATCGCATCCTTTCAGATATCCTTCGAGCTCCTTGAGTACCGGAATTCCTGCTCCTCCATCAATACTGGGATCAAAGTCAATCTCTATACAAAATATCCTCTGTTTCATCACAACATTCACTGACCCATGAAACTTCAGTCGGAATGTCCTGAACTGGAAAAACAGCCCATTCGGATTCATTTGCCATGAGGCCAACCCCATCCCCACAAGCTTGATCAACAGCTGCTTTAATGAAAACGGGGATATGTATACTCTGTTCATTCTTATGTATCCGTCCTCTTCAAATGCAGCAGCCAAATCCTCCAGCCTGGGATTTTTCAGAAGCTCGTTTATCCTCTGGAACACTCTTTCCATCCCAGGGTTCCATTGCGTTTCAAATCATAATGCGAACCTTGATACCTGAAAATGTTTGATTTTGAAATGCTTGATGGCTGGTTTATTCACAGTTACTGCTTCAAACCAAAATAATCCAATCATCAATGCACATAATTGCTACATTCACAATCAGGCCCAGCAGATTGAAACAATGTGTTTTACTCTGGTATGGTATAAAAGGCAAACCCAGATTCTCCTCATGAAACCGCTTATGCTGCATCTAGTTGGATTTTTTGCAGCCATAAGAGGAACGACCGCAATGGTTTCCGAAAATCCACGCACTCACCACTACGAGACCAGATATGAAGTCAGTAACCCGCACAGAACAGACTTTGGCTCCTATACATACACAGACCATATAGCTCCTCTGCTGAGCATGCTGAGATCAAGACTTGGAGGCAGGCATCATGAGTCGCGGGAATTCACAATACCTAGCATTGCTAATGGAACTCATAACAGGAAGGTTGGGATTCGTATATTCCCTTCAAAGTCGATCAAAAGTATCCACGGGAACGGAGAATACATCTTTTCGATACATGATGGAATTCACAATGCACGCCAGCAGGCGATGCAGGCAAAGCTCGAGAGTCTGATTTCAGAGTTCAAAATCAACAAGATCCGCTCCGAGGAGAAGAGAATCAAGGCAGAGAAAAAGATAAACGAGGCAAATCAGCTGAAGGAAGAGGAAAAGAGGCTTGTCTCGGGCATTATACAAGATCCGCAGGTGCTTGTCAAGGACACAATTGCAGTTGCCGATGTTGCAAACAACTTCTTGAGCTTCAAAGGGCATGAAGATCTTCTGAGACGAAGACTGGAGCAGATCAACAAGTATCAAAATATGCTGATAAGCCAGCAAAAGAACCGTGCAATCCTTCACAAGGCATATGGAAGAATAATTCCTGACAACTTTGGTAAACTGAGGACTCTTTACAAGCAGTTTGTTGAAAGAGGCCCAGCAAGGCAGCTTACATATGAAGTTCCTGTTGATCCATCAATTGGTAAATTCAGCGTTTCTACTAAGAATCTTCATACCAGCATCACCTATTAGTTTTGAGCTGGCATGAAGTGTGAGCCAATCGCCTTAATGGAGCAAATATGTATATGTTATGGTAAGTTAATTGGAAGAATACTGCAATCGTTCATCAAAGTAATGTGTAATATCAATCGATGATGCAGATGAGTACTGATTAAGGTATGGCTATTGCTTTGTAACACTTTTGATTATTTACGTTGTATAAGGTATTGTGGAATTGTACACTTACTGTTATTAAAAGACACCCTGAAGCCTTAAGATGGCCGAGTCTGTAAGAAGTACATTGACAATTGAGGGCGTTGAAATGATTGTAGATGGCAAGCATGTATGCAACAACCAGGTAATATTTGCCAAAGGGATCTATGGCATTGGAGGGCTGTCGAATGGCATTCGAAGGATCATATTGGACTCGCTAACAAAATCTTCATTGCCAGATAACAATGAGATGCTGAATGTCTATGGAAACATACTATACAATGGAAAGCCGATATACTACGATGAACTGCAGGGTATGATGAATCCATACAAAATATTCTATTCCAACGAAAGTGTAAGGCATTCACTTGAGTTTATCAATTTTCGCGATGCAAAGGAACTTATGGAGATGTTTGATCTTACAGATCTTCAAGACACTTCTATATCTGAATTATCTATATCTGAGTCTAGGCTATGGGAAACAGCAATCAATCTGGCCTCTGAGCTGAAGGTGATTGTTTTAAGAGACTTTCAAACAAGGCATTCCCTTGAGAAAAAATACTTGTCTACGCTCAAGAGCTATTCAGTAAGTAACCAATGCGTTATTCTTGTCGAAACAGAGTATTCTATGGAGTTTGGCCTGGATGGGTGCATTGTTATTAAAAAAAACGAGGTAGAATGTCTTGACTTTCACGAGAATGCAGGTATACAAAGATTCGAGACCATTAATGCTGATTTATTATACGATTCTTTTCGAAGACGGTCCAGGCCATACAAGACATTTAGCCTCAGAATGGTAGGTGATGCAGAATGCCCTGGAAAAAATAACGGATATGGCCTATGGCAGGATGATCTGGCTGTACACAGAGTAAAATGTGTAGATACGGATCCATGCTCTGCAAATGTAAACAATTGTAAAAAAGTACATGACGAGGAAAGCAAAGCGAGAATCGAAAGCCAATCTCAATCTGCATATTGGCTGTATGATATGAACATCAACACATCGTTAGCATTGACAAGAAGGAGGTGTATTCTTGAAGAGAAGAAGACAAAAAGACTCAAAAAGCTTTTTTTCTCGTTCTCGATCCAAATATGCATTCTTTTGATACTGAAGCTTAAATACATCATGCTTAATCAATTCTCAAATGCTTCAGTCATTTCTTATGTGCAGCTGGATAGGCTTGGCATTTGCGAGGCAGAATGCTTGATGAGGTATTTATTGTCTAAGATACACCTAAGGATAGATCGCATTTTGAAGCAAATGCTATTGCATACTGTTTGCTTTATATTAAGCTTGGCTAAGTCGCTGATAAGATGGGTTGTGGAGTCATTTATATACATGAAGACACATGACTGGAGCTTGATGGACTACAAGATAATCTCAACAGGAATATACCTACTAGTTCTGATACGTGGAAGCGCGGTCATTAATGAGGAAAAGGCACATGTGTATTGCCATGTTAACAAGATATACTCTCCAGGCACGTATTTCTTTCACATTTTCATATATCTGGTTCTCAAGATATGGATTCCTGTGCTTGTAGTTTTCTATATTCTCAACAACGTTTGGGTTTCGTTAATTTTTCTTGCCACAGGAACGTTTGTTTGTATATTGATAAATCTGACTATGAGACTAAAGCTCAAGTGCATATGCATATGTGCGATTCTATCCTTCAACCTTCTATACCCGCTGGATTGCGAAAATGTAGGCAAGAGCTTTTTCCTCAAGTATTCTGAATCGTTCAACTTTTTTGTTGCATGCAGGGAATTTTCATACTCACCGTTAGAAAAGAAAATGGCACAGCTTTATCGTCTCCTGAGAGCATATTTGTGCATGTATGTTTTTTTTTGCCACAAGCTTTCCAGGTACTGACAGTTAGGTATAACGAAGGCATTCCTTAATGAGTGTTGCGATGGATGGGAAATGGAAATGCAACCAATCGCAATTGCCGGAAACTCCTTAATGAAGTAAGTGTGATCTTGAAGTTCGCTACGTATTATGCTTGGTAGTTGTATTAGGAGAAGTCTCCTTTAATGAAAAGCGAGCGTTTGTATTTGCGGATTAATTAATGAACCAAAGTAGGAAATTATCTGCAAAAGTATAAATAAGAAGAAAAAACAGGACATACGATATGGCAGAGCAGGATAGAGGAGAACTTAAAAACAACAATAGGTTGTATGTTATAATTGGAAGCATAGTGCTTGTGATTGTACTTCTGCTATTGATAATCTTTCTGTGGCCTGCAGGACCGCTTGGAAAGCTTACTGAAAAGGATGTTGAGAAGATAGTCAAGGAAGTGCCGCCGAGGTATTCTTTCATTGAGGAGGCAATTAGTAAGGATGCAAAGCCTGCAGAGGATAAGGATGAAAAGAAAGAGCCTGTGAAGCTTGATCATGTGGAGGTGTTCAAAGCAATAAAGGCAACAATGGATCAGTTTAAGAAGGGAGATGAGGATGTAAACAGGCCAGCGATGATGGTATACAACAGTTTGATGGCGACTTCATCTACTATTGATAGTAATTTTGCTGATGCAATCAGCGATAGTGTGATTAAAGCCAGAAGTATTCTGTTTGAAGACTCGAAGGTAAAGGTTGAAGATATCATATCGATTATAAAGACGCCATACCAAGAGATACGAAGCAAATATGAAAAGGAAATTGCAGAAATCATAAAGAAAAAGGAGGAGGATGCTGTTAAGAAGGGTGCCAGTGCGGAGAATGAAACCCCAGAAGATGTTGAGATTCAAGAGGAAAACAATAGGATGTCTGAGCTCTATGCAAAGGTTATGATTAAGTATCTGTTCAGTCCAACTGGACTGGTGGAAGACAGCAAATTTTTTGAGGATGCTGCGTTTGGATATAACAAAGCCAAGTACTTTGAGTCTGTGCTGAATAATATGAGCTCTGAAATGAAGAGTGTTTCTGAGTCTAAACTAGCTGTCGATTACAAAGGTGCCAAACCAATGCCCATGCCTGTGATAAATTACATATTTGTAACAATTTCACAGATGGCAAAGATGATTCTTGATGAGAAGCCGGTTGTAACGATACCTATAATCAATACTATTATATCATCCAATCCGGTAGATACTCCAGTAGACAAGGCTATTCAATCTATAAAAACGACAATGAATACTACAAGCAGCAATAAGCGCAACGCATGATTGCAAAAGGAAAGTAAACCATCTGGTATTATATTATGAAAGACTTGGAATAAAGCTTTTTGAAGTTTAAATTGTTTATGATGTTGTTATGCAGGCTTGCAGAGTATATGCTTGCTCGGAATCTGCTGTGATGTTGCGTTATAACGGTTATATCAGGAATATAACGTAGTGTTGATTTAATAATCACATGGGATGGATATTGTACAATTGAGTAAGAATGCATGAAGATGCCAGTTGGAACGGATTGAAGAATCGGAATAAAATAGGGAGAAAGATGGGAAATGCTGGTAAAATAGCGGACTAAAAATGCAATAACAGTGAAGAATGCTTTTACTGGATTTAATATTCTATTTATGGCATATAACAAAGTATAAATGGATTAAAAGCATGATCCCTCATGAGTACGACGAACAAAAGGTTTAGGAATATCATTGTTGGTGCGATTTTTGGTATGGCATTTACCATGATAACGCTGTATTTTTTGAGGATTTTGTTTGAGTATCAGCAAAGAACTCACAATTGCCAGGTATTTTTTGAATACTTTGATAAGTTCAGAGAAGTCAAGAATGGAGCGGAGAACAAGGATGTGTTTGATGCAATTCAATCAATAATTGGTGTTGATGCAAGCATTCTTGAAGGGATGTACTCTGAGAGGATGATGATAGCAGGAGAGGTTGACAACGTCAACAGTCTTGGATGCAAGTACTTCAAGGAGGCCATTGCAAAAGCAAATCAGACCTTGTTTACTAGTCAAGAGCTGAAAAAGGTGATGGATGATATAATGACATTTGAGAATGTGAATGTTCTTATTGCAAAGGAACTGATGCTGAGACAAGAGAAAAAATGTCAGAGCGAGGCAATAAGTACCAAGAAGGTAGATAAAGGTTCAGGCGAGCAGGAAAATGATGCTACGAATATTGATATACTCGTAAAGGCGTTTATATATATACTGGTAAAGGAAAATTTGAATACAAGCATATACCAATCGTATCTTGATCATATTAATAATGACGACGATGTTACTAAGAACCACATTAGTAAGATTAGCATGAGCAAGGATTTGCTAGCTATTGAGATTGCCATCAAGGGAAGCAATAGCGATTCGCCAATTAGCATATATAACTTTATGCGAATTGTGATGCTTGAGATCAATAATCTTATTCCTCGAATTATTTCGGAATCTAAGTAAATACTTGTTTTTAATGTATTTTGGAATAATATAAAGATAAATATCTATTTGGCTATTATCTAATGTGGTGTGTATACATGAAGGATTTTATATTGAATTGGACAATGAAAATATGTATAGCATTGCTTGAATAAAACAATTTAATGTAAAATTTATACTGTATGTAGGCTGTAGTTTCCGTTATGTGTGTTGAAAATAACTCTTCAGCAAAACTTGCTTTTATATATCTATTTGCTTATCAACTGAATGTCTGAGGTTCATGAACCTGGATCTTTTTCGGTCTTCCTGGCCCACGCTTTAGTAGATTTCTATCCGGTTGGCATTTTATTTGCAAATCTACGACTGGAATGACTTCATTCAGTTTGAGCAAGCGTGTCTTTAAGTAAACATTGCTGACATATGCATATGGATCTTCCCCTAGTTCAATTATTTTTCTGCATGCATGCACACACGGAATAAGAAATTCTTGGAACCTTCCACACATGCATGTTTGATTCGTCAAGTCAACTTTTTTCACATCGTCTGTCACTGATTTGCACATTTCTACATTCTTTTCTATTCTATGCACTACATTCTTTCCAAACGGACGCTTATCTGTTGGACTTATTGCCTTCTTCCTGTATCTCATGTTGTCTCCAATCTGTTTCAGTATTCCATTCAAGCAATCAAAATATTGCAGGTTGAACATTCCAAGCCCAATAAAATCAACATCGCATTCCCCTGTGTTCTGCATCCCAAATAAATCCACCTTGCAATATCTTTTTATATATCTTTTCTTCTCATATCCATCTAGTTCAGGCATGCTACATGTTGTATCATTATTGCACCTGTTCCATACACTTTCAATCGCCTCTGTTGGCCATCCTTTGCCGTGGTAGAACCTACATATGTCTCGTGTCTTGATAAAATACTCTCGTTTTTTTGCTTCCAAAACACCAACAACACTCGTATCAAAGTCCACAAGAAAAAACACTCCAGGGAGAAAATCCACAAAGCATCTGATAGTGTCCTCCATACTTATTCCTTCAGAAACAATACAAGAATGCACAACAGGTGCCCATGTGGGATCTCGCAGCACTCCAAAAACAGCAAACCCATCTGTCCTTTTATACACCCTTATCTCAACGACAGGAACCAAAACATCAAGATACTCAGGATACGAAAAGAAAAATGCATTGTCCATGCATTTGACAGCTGCACTCGGGTTTTTCTCAGAAAACTCAAGTGAAAATTCGCCCAATGCTCCTTTGAAAGCGTTTGCTTTGTTGCCATCCACTGCCTCCGCCTGTGCTTCATTTTCCTTATCAAATTCTCTTCCTTGCCTCATGGCCTTCCAAACAGAAAAATATCCCATTCTTATATCCATCTCTGCTAATATGCATACCATTTCACCAATTCTTGCTCCGCGTCCGCCTATGGCCTTGTGTATCTCAGATCTAACCATCTCGTCCGGAGTGTTGTACTTTTGTGTAACAGAAGGACATTTGTGCACCAGCTTGATCTTCTTCACCACATATGAATCGTCTTTTTTGCGTGGCTGAGCAACTATCTTTGCCTCACATCCAAATTCATCCTTTCCTCTACAACAAGCAACAATCGACTTATTAGTGCTTTCAAACTCAACAACAAGCCCATTCTGTTCTGCATGACTTAATACAACCTTCTCTGCCTCCTCTCTTGTGCTAAAGCTATCGTTGACTGACAATCCTTTCATCAATATAAAGGGGCTCGGCCCAAGCTGGTTTATCAGTTATTTCCAGAGTCATGCACCTTGCTACCAAAATAATTAGTGCACAATCCAATGCTCAGATAAATCATATAGTATACCAAATATTCCAACCCGTTCCACTCTGCAATGCTCCGTATAGCCTGTGTACTTCACATAAGGCAATCCTCTTACATATAAGCTTGCATGCATCACAATCTTTCATATTTGTTTTTATCCTTGTCTTTGCTTTTCGAACAGAATATACAGCAAACATTGCTCTTCATCCTCCCAAGTCCTTCGTTATCAACAACACTGTCTGCCCAGCTCACACGCCTGTTCCTGCGCACAAGCTTTAGCTTAATCTTAGTTACTGTCATAGCATTTGTCATGTTGGGGCATACTCTGATATGTGCATAAATCCAAGCATCCTCATGATTCCCGATCCCTTCTGATGCAAAACACAATCTACTGTGCCAGCAAGATGCTATTGCAACAATATGTGCGGCACTCTTGTTTGAGGCAGAAAAAATTACCCACAGATGAGGGAGTACACGCTGAAAACCGTCATCCCAACTGAGTCTGAGGCAAAAGGAATCTATTACAACGGAGATCTTTACTTTGCATCGAGCAACCACCTATTCAAGGTCAGAGAAGGTAGGCACAAAAGGATCTGCGGCTCAAATGAAACAATTCTTGGATTTTCAATCTGCAAAAGACTGTTTACTATTACTAAGGACAGAATGTACATGAACAATCAGGACAGAATTATAGGCTCGCTCAAGAAGTCGTTTTCTTGCATAGAGGCGAATGAGCATTTTATTGCAGCTGGATGCTCAAGAGTGCTTGAGATCTGGCATGTTCCCAAAGAAATTAAGTTTACGCTATTCAGTCTGCATTCTAGGCATTTTGGGCACTTCTTGGACATCACGTGCGTTAGATTTCTTGACAGCAATTTAGTGCTGACGGCAAGCAAGGACTGTACAGTAAGGCTCATTAATATTCTCAAAAACAAATCCACACGTGTGTGCAACACGATTGGGATACCGGTTGGTATTCATGTTATTGACGACGACAAGAAGGAAATAGCTGTTGTGTGTGAAGGGGGAGCGATATTATACTATGCACTAGATGGATACAAGATGCAATTTAAGGATAGAGTATATATTAACTCGAAAATACTGGCATCAAGCTGCTACTCCGGATTTATAGCTGTTTCCTTAGACTCAGGCAAGGAGGGTAATCTGCTTGTGTACAAGGGAGTGGAGGTTGTCCACCATGCAACGGTTTGCCACAAGATATCAGGCATTTCTCTGTTTGGGGCTTGCATTGCAATAAGGGGGCCGAAGTTTGTTGCTATATATGACCTGGCAGTCAATGTCTTTCTGTTTGAGTTGGATCTTCCGAAGATAATATCAATGGATGTAAAGAGAAACATTATTGCTACTGGATGTTGCGACAAAAAAGTCAGACTGTATGATGAGCAACGATGCATGAATACACTTGGGGATCCAAACATGACGCATAGTGTCTTTAGTGTGCACATTCTGAATAACTCTGTGCTGTGTGTATGTGTAGATGGGAGAGTGTCTGTCTGGGATGTAAAGAATGGCACGTGCTATAGGTCGTTCCAAGTGGAGATGCGAGTGTGTAGCACTGAGGTTAGTGAAGACGGCCTTTTGCTGTTTGTTGCAAATTTTGATGATTATTCAATAAGAGTTATTGACTTGCAGAGAAGTAAAGAGATTGATGTGCTGAAAGGGCATGAAGGGCCTGTGACAAGAATGGTATGGAGCAGAAGCTCGTTGTACTCTGTGTCGTACGACAATGTTGTGAAGAAATGGGACGTGTATAACCAAGTAGTTTTAGATCTTGATGTTGAAAAGACAATTACTGGGCTGTGTGTAAGAGACGGAAAGATGTGTGTGTGTACAGTTGGTGAGATAACAATATATGACGAGCAGTTTGATTATGAAAGGTCAGTTAAGATATCACTGAAGGCACGCAAGAGAAACGAAGTTTTTATCAGTGAAAAGCCGGTGGAATGTGCAGAGTTCTCGTTGGATAACAGATTTTTGATATGCGGAGGAGAGTCAAACACGATGAAGATTGTGGCTGTGGACACAGGAGATGTTGTCCAAGAGATGCGTGTTTCGCAGAATAGGGAATGGGAAAACTATAAAGAAATGCTTGGTAAAGAGGCAGATACGCCGTTTGATAAGACAAAGATTATTGAAGTTCTGAAGATAATACACAGCGAGAGCCAAAGGATGTTTTATGTTCTGACACGAGATGGGATCAATGTATATGAAGTGTCGTCCGTGAAGTTTATTCCGATCAGAATGGACATCTCACTGACGCCAGAGTCAATACGCTTGTATGTTGAGAACGAAGAGTATCTGAAGGCCATGATTGGATCATTGAGGCTGAATCAGCACGAGATCATACAAGAGGTCGTGCTCTCTTGCCCGATTGGGAGAGCAGAAGGAGTTGTAAAGCATCTAGAAGAGTCATTGGCCGGTGTACTGAGAGAAGTGGTTTCAAAGATGATTGAGAGCTCGATGGATTGCCTAGTGGCAGTCAAGTGGTTAGGCCTAGTTGTACTATATTTTGGATCGAATGGCATTAAAAGGTCTGAGCTCGATAAGCTTCGAAGGAATACCAGCATGATTCTAAAAACGGGAAGGCTGAATAGAGCAATGCTGGAGAACATTGCAAGAAAATGATTGATGCCTGCGATGTGCCATCGAATGTAATTGATGCATCGTATTTTTGAATAATCAATCAAATCCGGTTGTGAGGCTACTCTACCTATTGCTGAACCTGCCATTTGCAACTTGTCTATCTCTGAGTTGAAAAGTATATTTAGTAAAAAGTGTGTTTCTTTAATGTGTTGTGGAAATTTGTGCTTTTTGGTTGTCGGCTGCAGAACAAAGTCTAAGAAGATAGATAAGCCAGAAGGATATCCAGCAGCACCAAAAAGGATCATCTGCTCCCATTGCGGAAACATGGCAGATTCTGAATACAGAAGGTATAGCTACAGGTGCCATCTTTGCTTTATCCCATGCCTTCCATGCGGACGAAGCGATCCGTATCTTGCATGTGTTGCATGCGGAAGAGATCTAGGAAACATTGGCGATCATAGGTGCAGCAATTGTGACGTTGCAACCACGTATGAAACAAACAACTGCCCAAACTGTGGAGCATCAAAACGAGGAGGTGCATCAAGTGGGGGATATAGAAGATTAGACACAAGATAGCATAGTCGTGGCTAAACTCTCGCAACATACTCTATTGATTAAAAACTTTAATCGATATTCTCTGAAAACCATCAACCGTTGATTAGCTTATTCGCGCCATATCTATCAGTGTTTTTGTTGTTCCCACAAGAACACCACATATAAATATTATTGCAAGAACGCTAACTGCTGTAAAAAGCGTGATTTTCTTCGATGTGACGATATAGCATATGTACGGGTGGTATGCCAGAAGTGGTGTCATTCCAACAACTACAAGTGCCAAGTAAAAGTGGAATGCACCAAATACCTCGTTGAATAGCACCTGTATGAAAATCATCCCAAGAACTGCAAGAGACAACAGCAGTATCTTGTTGTCGTCCTTTGTATTTGCCAGATTCTTAAACGACCCAATAAACACATCAAACTGTATTGCAAACATTGCCACACACACAACAGGTATGCATATGCACATTATGCTCGATGTAAGGCAGTACTTGTCAATCGTGTATTCCTTTAGGTAATCGTTCAGCTTCGATGATCTCAGAAACACAAGTTTCAAGATATCCAGAGAGTTGTTGGCCGTCCTCATCCACTCTGCAGCATACACGAATACAAGGAGCAGTATAGATACTATCGATGCACTTGCAATCGCCACATACTTATTCAGTTCCCTGTGTCTTGACTCATTCACCATCTTCACTCCTCCTGACACAAACTCCATCGTGTACAGCGTAACTGCAGTGATCCAGAAAAACGACGATAAAGAATCGTCTTTCACATTGTCTTGCCTGTGGAAAACAGAATTCACGCCCAATAAGTAGCACATGGCCAGCATTATTGCCATAACCAGCGTTGCTACTACAGATACCGCAAGAAACGTCTTCTTGAAGAACGTAGACACCACATATATCGTTAGGCCCACAAGTGCCAGACCTAGTCCAAACAGAATCCTATATATGGAGATAGAACCTCGTATCTCCTCCATAAACGGAAAACGCACAAAAAGCGTGTTAATGAACACATCCACTGTAATAAGCAGCACCGTGTATTTCGAAAGAAGTACAATCACCTCCGCTGCATCAGACAGCATCTTAGACACCCCCCTCGACATGTCTCCTAGCGTACTCATCTGCTCCTCATTTCGCTTTTCTTTCATATATCCCACTATGTAGATTGAAAGCCCCAGCAGTATGCCCGATGCAACCACGCTGTATGCATAGTAGTCACTGCCAATGCTCTTCGTGAGATATGTCAGAGACAAAAATACAGGTACTAGGGGCGACGTCCCTACTATTTTGTATGCGTCTCGAAAGACTTTTCCCGACCGGCATAGCACACCTTCCATATGTTTTCACGTTCGCTCAGTAATAAAAGAAACATGAAACATTGTTGCATTGCCGTTTGCAGCTTGTTTCACTTTGTATGAATATCTAGCATAATGGCATCACTGTTTATTCAACAAACCATGCTCTTTATTTCAAGGCAGTAAATCCAAGAAGATGTAAGTATATATCATCAATCAGTAATGAGTGCTTTTCTGTAAGTAGATGCATCTTGTTCATCAGCTCCTTGGTTACACTCCACTTCCTTCGGAGCCCCTCCTCTACAAGCCAATGAATCGCTGCACAGTTCTTAAACGTCCCCTGCTTCAGTATCGCTTCGAAGAGTTTCTTCTGCTTGCCGTCAATAACATCAAAAACTTCGCTTTCCTTTGCTCTATAGCATCTGACAAGCATCCTAAACAGCTGGCTATAATTGTCTGTGCTCAGCAATATCTCTACCGCTCTTACATTCATGTTGTTTCGTAGACACTTCTCTATTTCAATGTTTTGAGCTTCTTTCAGGTTCTTAATCTCCAGCTCCTCATTCGCCACTTTTAGCGAATCATCTTCAAAAAACGCAATCGCTCCATTTCCACCACTAATAAGCCCTGTAATCCCTAACAATGCCCACACCTTGTCTCTATGCACTCCAATGTTCATTTCACACACTTTTTTCTTGACGTCCCACACCTTCATCTCTCCTGTTGCACAGCTAGTTACCAGCTTCTCGCCATTCATCCAAAACACCCCTTTCAGTACCCCGCTTCTATGCCCATTAAGAATCCCTACACACGAAAAAGTGTCCATTTCCCAGAGCCTTACTGTGCTGTCTGCAGAGCACGTTGCAATCAGCCCTTCTCCAAAGCTCACACTCCAAACACCCTTTGCATGTCCTGATAGCACATGAAGAACTCGCCCCCCAAAATCTAAAATCTTCGCTGTCTTATCCTGGGAACATGTCGCTATCAATCTTCTTTGCTCGTTCACCTCAACTCCATTTATCTCTTTATCATGAATCTTCTCCACATACACACTTTCCTTATAGTCCCATATCTGAAGAATTTGGTCACTTCCCACAATCACAAAAATTTTACTGCCCACTCAAGCTGTTTCTCAGTGTCTTCATCCTTCGCAAGCAAACCGTCTTGCTTGCTCTGTTACTACTGCATTCAGACTCAATCCGCCACAAAATCGCCGTCTTGTCTTTCGACACACTCATAAGAAAGTCTCCGTAAACAGACAACGACATTATTGCATCCTGATGCGCTACAACAATCTCTGCACAGAACGCATACTCCCCAATACGCTCGTCTGCAACTGCATATCTAAGTCGCCCACTGTTGGTTGCAACAAACAGCACATCATTCCATTGCTTCATGTCCGTTATTTCGTCGTTGTTTCCAATTACACTTGCCGTCGTCTTCATGCTATCATCCACAAAAAATATTTCCTGTTCACTGCTTACAATCACGCCTCTCCCTATACTTTCAATAGCCATTCCATCCTCCCCGTCACTTTCTCCTTTCATCCATTCCCTCATATCACATGCCGTCTTTCTTTTTTTTGCCTCACTGAGCATCTTATTCTCATCTTCAGAGCCACTCTCGTCCTCATAGCAGTCTCCGCTTTCTTCGTGCAATCCATTTGCATTCACAGAGCTCGATGGCGTCATATGCATTCCACTGTCATCCTCTAAACTCATTTCCTCTCTTCCGAGCCTCACACATTTCACCTCTCCCTCATCCTTACCTGTCAAAATGTCGCGCTTCATTTCCAATCTCCCGTCATAATCATGCACATACATGCTCCTTCCCCTGCAAACATATACATGCTTCTCATCTCCCGCCATCCTGTCACACTCAATTCCCAAATCTACCCTCTTCGGTACATTTTCCCACTTTGTCAGTATCCCTTGCCTTGTAACACTATACACAATTCCTCTATTGTATGCAACGCCAACTATTTCCGGCTCTTCGCATCTCCTTTGTATCCTTCCATCGCTGCTTATCCACAGCTCGTTGCAATCCAACGAATATACTGCATTTCCGGCCTTTCCAAGCATGTATACTGGATTTTTCATTCTGTAAGCCCACTCCACTTTCTTATTTCCCACATCAACTTTCGAAACACTGCCATCTATCCTGCCAACAACCACTGTGAGTCTTTCGTTCTCAGATCCAAGTCCTTCGCTCGTATCAATAAACATCGCGCACACATCTGCTTTCGATGTGCAAACTACATCCTTCACCTCTCCACTCGCAAGATCATATATAGTTATGCTTTCCGTACACACCACTAGTATCCTATCCTGCACATCAAAGCAGCTGATGCGTCCGAAAGGAATCTCCCTGAGCACCTTAAAAGTATCCATATCGGTCTCAACTATCGATTGATTACATTGCGTATACAAACATCTTCCTTGCACCTTTGGAATGCCATGTGTAAGTATCGGCCTCAGCTGTCTCTTCAGTGAAAAATGCGCCTTCATCATTTACTTAAATGGGCTAAAATTATTCGTCTGCCTCTTTCAATTACTCGGCACAAATGTAATTCTAAGCACAGCATACAAGCCGAAATCTATTGTACAGCAAAAAAATCACACATTTGCTGCCCGAAAAAACATTACTGTCGGCCATGCCTTCTTCCTCAAGAACATAAACTATCTCGCATTCGCTGCAAACCTTCTTAATCTCCTCATTGCTTTCTGAAGCATCAAACACCACGAATACCTCTTTGTCAATAGCACCAAACAACTTCCAGAGCTCAGGTATCTTTCCACAAAAGTCAAACACTGCAATCTTTGCATCTATACTGCGTATGTAAGATGCATGGTGTGCAATATCTGTTGACTTCAGGTGCATAATGGCTTTACTTATATAGTAATCGTATATGTCCACAGGCTCCATCGATTCGAACCCTGTATTCTCGTTGCTTTATGCATGCAATGCTCATATTGTTTGTGTTGCAATAGCAGCAAACAGGCCGTAAACAATATGCCCTGATGATTCCAATCCTGTATGGCTCGCAGACAGGAACTTCAAGGTATGTGTGCAGACTGCTTGAGAAGGCAGTTGTATATGGTTATAGCAAGCATACAATATATAATTTGGACAACTTTGAAGCGGGTAAAGAAGATACAGCACAATGCATTGTTCAGTCAATCGATGAATTTGGCATAGAAAGGCTCCTTGATGCAAACGTTGTAGTGTTTGTGTGCTCAACACATGGAGACGGCGGAGAGCCTTTCAACATGTCCAGGCTCTGGGAATTTTTATCCAGAGATGATCTTCCAGATGGTATCCTATCACACCTGAGGTTTGCAGTCTTTGGGCTTGGAAGCTCGACGTACGAAAAGTTCAACTACTGCTCAAAAAGGCTGTTCAACCGACTCGTAATGCTGGGTGCAACACCAATCATCAGCAGAGGAGAGGGAAATGCACAGGACAAAGACGGCTTTCTAACAGGTCTCAGGCCCTGGGCTAAGGAGCTGGTTAAGTGTTTGCATACGCTTGAATCTGACTTCCAGATGAGCATGGATCATCCTGTGCCTGAAGAGTATGCTGCCAGGCTGATCGAAAAAAGCACACTGACACCAAGCGACCACCATCAAAGAATAGTTGAGTTTGTGTTTGACATTCCTGAATACAAGGAGTTCTGTCCAGGAGATTGTATATCCTTTCTTCCAACAAACTATAACTATGCTGAGTTCATGAAATACAACCAAATTGAAGATGGAAAGCATGCAGGAGTAGACGCAGAGTCTATTATCAAGAACACAATAGACTTCAACTCACCGCCAAGACAAATATTCTTTTTTGAGCTCAAGCACTTTCTAGCAGGAAAGCAATGCAACGAGGAGCATCTACAAAAGATGGACGAAATTGCAAATAGCTATGATTTGTACTACAACTATGTGCACAAGCCTCGGAGAACAATGTTTGAAGTTCTGAAGGAGTTCAACGTGAGGGTGGACATCAGGTTTCTCATCGACTTTGTGCCCAGAATATATCCAAGATTTTTTTCGGTTGCAAGAATCAATGGATTGTATCGCATCACCGTGTCGATGGTAGAATATTACACTTCGATTGCTGAACCTCGTAGAAGCATTTGTTCGGAGTATCTTTCAGGTCTGGCAATCGGAGACAAGGTTAATGTGGATGTTGGCAGAAGTAATCTATATTTTGAATCAAAAAAGCTGTTGTTTCTGTGCACAGGAGCAGGAATAACACTTGCAAGGGCATGCATCAATGAATTCAAGGACAAAGAGATTGTGGTGTTCTATGGATTCAGACATCGAAGCAAGGACTTTCTATACTGTGATGAGTGGAAGAAGCAGAATGTAAAGTTGTTCTGTGCAGCGTCTAGAGACGATGGAGTTTATATACAGGATGTGTTTAAGAAGCATCCAGTTGATGGGATTGATGATTACCTGGTATTTGTCAGTGGAAACTCAAGGTTGAACAAAGAGATAGAGCAGGTGCTTGGAGAAGTGTATGGGAAAAAGATTGTTTTTCAATCGGAAACATGGTAGTGCTCACTTGAAGATGATGGAGCCCACAAAGTAAAAAATTTGCATTACCCCTAGAATGGTAAGTGAGGACTTGACGAGAAGTTAATTTATAGGCAATACAACCACCTGGATCGTATGTACAAGCAAACAAGAGAGGAAAAGCAAAGAAGGTTACCCAGGATGCATTTTTGAGGAAGGAATGGTACACGCTGAGGTCGCCGACGGTTTTTTCAAACAACGTGAATGGAAAGACACTGATGACGAAGTCAACAGGGAAGAACTCATACTTGAACATGATTGGCAGAAGGTACGATGTGAACCAGGCGGATCTTACCGGAAACAACGACGATTCACATAGGAAGTTTTTGTTCAAGGTTGGAGATGTCAAAGGGAACGAATGCATAAGCTTTTTTGACGGAATGGAAATAACGTCTGACAAGCAGAAGGCGATGATCAAGAAATGGCATTCACTAATTGAGGCAGAGAAGGATATTGTTGCTAAGGATGGAAGTATATTCAGAGTGTTTACAATGGCAATTACGAGAAGAACGCCGAATTACATCAAGAAGACCTGTTATACAAAGAGCTCTGAGGAGAAGAAGATCAGGAAGGTGATGGTTGATGTGATCACCGAAGAATTGTCTGGAATGGATGTGCAGAAGATCATGAAGAAGCTTTCCAACGAGACGATTGGCAAGAGGATCGAGGAATTGGGAAGTGAGATTTTCCCGCTTCAGAGCTGCTGCGTCAGAAAGGTCAAGACAATCAAGAGCTATCAAGCATCAGCCAGCCAGGATGCAGTTGAAATGAGGAATTAAACGGCACTGATCTTTAATATGTTAGTTTGCTTATGGATGGTTGCGTGAAACTATCATTATAAATGCTTGCGCAATTCTTAGATTGAATAGAAACGCTTTATTTACTTTTCTGCAAGCTGTATTTTGGACTGCAGCTACAATCCTCATATGCATTTCTACAGATCCCCAAGATTCAGCTCTTTTAACTTCTGCTTCACTTTTTCATATGTATCCTCCGGAGATTTCACTCCTGTTCCGTGGACATCCTTATGGCTGTATATCTCATAGTCATTTCCCCCCTTCATAATCATATCTCCAAAGAAGTAGATGTTGCTGATGCCTTCTCCATTGATGTGCTGTAGACAGTATGTCTTATCCCATCCTTCAGGAAAGCAGTCAATCGATATCTGTCCGCCTATAGAAAACACAAGCTTGCCATTTTTGAATCTTGACTGCATTGCCTCAACCATCTTCTGCCTGTGCCCTTCTTTCTTGTCAAGATCAAAAAATGCATTTCTCTCTGCTCTGCTGCAGTTTCTTCCAATCGGGCTGATGTTGATCATAGAGTTGCGATACTCAATGAATGTTCCTCTTTTGATCGGAATGTCCATTTTGCTCAGGTATTCAAGCACAAAATTCACAAACTCCTTGTAAAAATCTTCTCCAATCACATCAATGATCTTTTCCTGTGATGACAACGCCCCGTTCTTGTAGAAACTCACTCCATTCTCTGGAAAGCCGTAATCAAATATGTCCAGAATGTCTTCTCCGATTTGCTCCTTCTGCTTCTCAAGATCAGACCCGCCCACGAATCCAATGCACACCTTGTTTCTTAGCGACTTGAGCATATCCAGCATCTTCTTAGATATCTTCGCCCTCGATTCAGAAAGTGTTCCGTCCACGTCAAACAAAAAAATCGTCTTCAGGTCCTTGCCCATACACTGCTCTGCCAGCTCTGTTTTATTATACTGTGTTTCAAACACACTAATCCCAGAATATTTGCAATGCCCAACCAAACACAACAATATACCAATAGATACCAGTGCATCCTTAGGATTGATGGATGCTTGACAGCAGAAAGGTACAAAACACATCATTAATGATTGTATTCATCCTCTACAATAGCATGCAGAGCACTAAATGTCTACAAAGTTCAGTTTTAATTATTCAGAGCACTGGTGATAGTGATGCCATATCCTCATTTTTCTATAGACTCTGAAGAAATACATTCTAGAATTGCATCATAGGCGTGGCCTTCATAGCATATTCTGTAAACAGTGCTCATAAGGGGGAAATCGTCAACTCTGTTCTGCTTCCTCAGATAATTGAAGACAATAAAAGCAGTCCCGGGCCCCTGCAGCTTCGTATAGCACATCGTTTCTTCTGCTTCATTTAGCTTCAGTCTCTTTTCTGCCATCATCTTTGCACAGCTGTAGTTCCTGCCTTCCATGCACGACACAAGAAGGTCTCCTATCCCAGAAGATTGGAACAGTGACTCAAGAGTGGCCATCGGATAAAAAAACTTAAAAAACTTTCTCATCTCTGCAAGCCCTCCTCGGAATATTGCTACCTTTGTGTTGCTACAGTATCCTAGCCCCTCTGCAAATCCATATGCCATGGCAACTACATTCTTCAATGCTCCAGATATCTCTACTCCGTACACATCCTTTATTCTAGTCACTCGATATGTGTAGCTATTGAAAAGCTTGTATATCACATCTGCTGCATCATCATCAATGCATCCCAATGTTGCCTCACTTATCATATCTCTTGCAACTTGGTTTGCAATGTTCGCCCCCATCACCACACTCACGCTTATATCCAGCATTTTATGTATCACTCTGCTCACTAGATCTATATCTCCATCCTCGGTACCTATGAATCCCTTTGTCAGAGACACTCCAATGCAACTGCTTTTTACCAATCCTCTTAGAGGTGCAATCACATCGATGTATTGGTGAGGCAATGCAAACACAAGCACATCAGAGTCTGCAAGACTGCAGAGATCACTCTCCGCCCTCAGATTCTCCGGTAGATGTATTCCAGGCAGGTACTTTGGATTTACATTTTCGCTGTTGATTATTTCATTCAAAACCCTTCCTTCAAATTCCTCGTAGCATCCCCACATCCTGACTTCATTGCTGAATATGTTGCTTTCCATTGTGCTGATCGCTATCAGCCTTCCTATCGTTGTTCCCCAGTTTCCGTTTCCTATGATAGACACCTTCTTCGACATCTATGCTGTTTGTTTGGGGCTTACAGGTTTTCTAAAATACTGTACACAATGTGGGAGGCGAGTTTGGCATGCATCCATGTCTAACTCCTCTCAACCCTTCGGAATGCCAGGGCAAAGCAACGTGCTGATGAGCTATGTGGGAAGCACACGCAACACAATCGAGCTCAAAATATACAATGAAGCACACACGCTTGGAAGCATGCTGTCTGAGATGCTCCTTGAGGACAAAAGATGCCTGTTTAGCGCATACAGAATAGATCATCCCACAGATAACCACTTGCTTCTGAGAATCACGGCAGAACGAGAATGCCCCGTGAAGAATCTACTGTTGGACACACTTAGGAAAATAGAAGAAGACACTACTTCACTGATCTGCCAATTCAAGGATTTGCAGTGATTGTGCAGTCGCATCACATGAGTTGCTGCAAGCCACAAACAGGAATAAATCTTTTTTATTTCAGGTATTACAATTCTGAGTATCATCATTTCTGCAACTTCGTCTCCGGCAGTATACTCAAAGTCCCTATCCATGCTATTGAATGCAATCACACATACCTCCCCTCTATAGTCGCTGTCCACTACTCCACCAAATGTTCTTATTTGTGTTGGCTGGATTTTTGCAAAGTACGACTTCTGGATCTTCATCATGAATCCAACGGGGATCTTTGCACCATGTCTCGCTTGAATAATACCAGACTCTCTTGCAAAAAGCTTGTATACACCGTCTGTGCATACAGGCATCTTCGCATCTCCGACAGCTTTCATTTCAATGCATTCGTGAAACATCTGGGCATTTACCTAAGCAGTTATATTCCAAGCTAATTCAATTCGCACGTATTCACTGTAAATCTCTCTGGCATATTCCCATCGCCCAATCAATACCATTCTTCATTTGTAGCTATTCAACGCTTTATAGGCATAGGCATTTACTAGTGCATTGCTTACTTATAGAATAGCCATCTGTATTTGTGCCATAAAATAAAAAACTCCAGTATTAAGAGAATATAGCATCTGCCTCTCGGGTTTATTCAAACACAATCTCGTCCTCTCTGAAAGCAATGTCCCAATTCGTTGGTATTCGATAAGCTTCCGAAATATGAACTCTTTGTGCATCTGCATATCCTATCTGTATCTCATTGGATGCACTGCAGTCCCTGTAAAAAAGAATCTTCATTGCTTCCTCAATCAGGCCTATGCCCTCTTCTCTTGTTATCTCATTCTCCCTTCCATCCACCTTGCTCCTCAGAAGTGGAAGAACAAGATGTGCTCCTATTCCTGTACATATCACATTTGAAAAATAGAAGTTTCCAAGATGATCCACACACCCAAGTGTTTTTTGATCGGCCCGCCCATCTTCAGTGCATACTGAGTCAACACCCCCGACACAAACATTCAAGTTCAATGGGGCCATCCTGCTTCTAGCAGAGTACATCAGCCTTTGGATCATCTTGTAGTATCCATGCGAGTCGATTTTTCTCGGATCCTCTTCGGTAAGCGTTTCCAGTGTCTTCTTCAAGTATTGCATGTCGCTTATCTCTCCAGAAACACCTATAAGCGTTTGGTCTCCGATCTTGAATATTCTTTGCAGTCCTGTGTACTTTGCAAGCCGACCGTACGATCCTTTTGTGTCTGCACCCATAAGAACACCGTCCTTGTACCTGAGAGAAACAACCGTGGTGCTTGTAACAAAGTTCCTCATTTCCGGGGTATTGCGAATGTTTACACTCAATGATTTCAGCGTGCCAGGCGTAATTATTCCTAGCCAGTAGAGGTGGCATGGTGCACATCTGCATTCATGCATGCCCTTGGCTTTATGGCAATAAAGAAACTTCCAGACGATGTGATAGCAAGAATATCTGCCGGAGAGGTGATTACAAGGCCGTTTGCAATCCTGAAGGAAACAATCGAGAACTCACTAGATGCACATAGCACACACATAACAGTCAGAATAGAGCAATACGGGCTGTCTCTTGCTGTTGAGGATAACGGCGAGGGAATAGGCGAGAGTGATTTTGGAATGTTGTGCAAACAGTATTGCACATCGAAGATCACGAGCGAGGATGATCTTTTTTCGTTGTGCTCGTATGGGTTCCGCGGAGAGGCACTGTCTTCAATAAGTAGGTGCTCTAAGGTAAAGGTGCGGAGCAAGAAGAAGCAATCAGAAGTTGGATATGAGGCAGTCTATAATGATACAGAGATGGTGTCGATCAGAGCAGTTGGGATGAACGATGGAACATGTATTGAAATCAAGAATGTTTTTTACAACAACAAGCTTAGGGAAAAGCACTTTCTGAAGTACAAGGATGAGGTGAAGGAGATGATATGGCTTGTAAGAGCGTATTCGGTATTCAATAATAGTGTATTGTTTACACTGGTTGTTTCAGGACGACCTCAGGAGTTCGCAGTTAGAAATGATGGAGGCGGAGAAAATTGGTATGCTGAAAGTGTGCTTTATCATGCAAGCTCCAATTTTCGCTGGAGCAAACGAATGGTGGACTCCAAATTGGCTATGCTGCAAAGCATGTGTAAAATTAAAGAAAGACTGACACACAATGTCGGAGACAAATACCTTGCTATTTTTTCTGAAGGAAGTGAAGTGCACAGACAGAGCATGTTTGTTCTTTTTGTGAATGGAAGGCTAGTATCGAGTAGGAAAATGAAAGAAGCGGTTTTTAGAGTGTATAAGAAGATGATTTCTGAGGACTATCATCCGCTGGTGTACATAGAGGTGGAAACAGCCAAAGACAAAGTAGATGTGAATGTGCATCCGTGCAAAAAAGAGGTCGTGCTTTTTGATGAGGAGTCAATAATAAGCGATATATGCAGGTGTGTTGAAAGTGCATTGAGAATAAGCGATCATGTGCCTAAGGAGGTAAGATACTCGCTGAGAAGTAGCCAAAGTGAAAGTGGGGGTTCAAAGGTGTATGCAGATCCGATGTCGCAATCGATTGATGAGTGTTTTGAAGAGGAATACACGATGAATACAAGATCTTTTATGCTGGAATCGCTTGCTAGGATGGTGGAGGAGATTGTTGATGTCGATACTGAGTTTTTCAGGATGCTGTTTTATGTCGGAATCAAAGACAAGGACACTGTTCTTGTGCAATACAACGCAGCGCTATTGAATTGCAAAACAAAGCACCTTCTGAAGGAGTATTTCTGGCAAGCATTTGTAAATGGGTTTGGAAATTTCAAGCGAAGAAGCGTTAGCATTCCTATACGTGCGACTATTGCAGATAGAATGAAGAGGATGCTTGATGATTATTTCTGCATACGAGTGAGCGGTGATGCAATTGTGAGTCTGCCTGATATTTCTGGAGTGTGTATCGATTGCCATAGCCTGTGGAGTGACTTTTGTGTCGAGGAGGGGCCTGAGTATGAGACCCTAGCGAATGTAATTGGAAGGTTATCTGCGATATATTCTGAGGCAGAGATGAATCAAAAGCTATTTAATTGCATGAAAAGGGAAATAAAAGGAACGAGGGCTGCGCTTGAGTGTTTTGGACTGGTTGTTACGCTTAAAGAGCTCTACAAGAACTTTGAGAGATGCTAAGGCAGCAAGCTTCTTAGAGCGTTGAAAAGAAGGAGACAATTCACAGCCAATGGGAATATACGTGGTATAACGATATTAAATATCAAATGAGCAAGCCCTCAAAATGGATAGAGGGGAGTATGAGACACTATATGCCAGATCTGTAGAGGACAATGAGGGGTTTTGGAAAGAGCAAGCAGAGAGGTGTTTGGTGTGGGACAAGATGTTCAGTAGAGTGCATGAGGGCCCGTTTGAGGAATCGAAGTGGTTTGAGGATGGCATGCTGAATGCATGCTACAACTGCATCGATAGACATGTGGAAAGCAATCCGGGCAAGATTGCAATTGTGTACAATCGAAATGATGGGAAATCCGAGTCGTACACTTTTAGAGAGGTTCTTGATGAGGTTATGAAAATAGCCACTGTGATGAAGAATGAAGGGCTTTGCAAAGGAGATACTGTTGCAATACATATGGCAATGTCACCTCAGGCTGTTTTTTCGGCCTTAGCATGTGCACGTCTTGGATTGGTTCACAATGTGATATTTGGGGGATTCAGTGCTGATAGTGTTGCGCTTCGCCTAGAGGACTCGAATGCCAGGCTTCTGATTGTGCAGGACGCAGTAGAGAGATCATCGTCTGTTATAGGCTTTCTTGGGACCACAAAGGATGTTCTCTGCAGAAGGCCGATCCCCGCACTTGTGTTTAATGTGCATTACACAAGAGATAATATAATGAGTGAGTTAGGAAATATCGAAAGCAAAGTGATTGTCTGGTCGGATGTGATGAATCAAAGCGTGGAGTATATTCCGTGCGTTTCTGTTGGTGCAGAAGATCGAATGTTTTACTTGTACACCAGCGGAAGCACTGGGAGGCCGAAGGGAATTATCCACACAACTGCGGGCTATCTATTGTATGCAACGCTTACATCTAAGGTTTGCTTTGATTTGAGAGAGAGTGATGTGTTTGCATGCACAGCAGATGTTGGATGGATAACGGGGCATACATATGTGATATACGGGCCACTTTCTAATGGAGTGACCACGGTTGTGTTTGGAGGCACACCTGTGTATCCATCGTATTACAGGCTCTTTGAGATGATTGACAGGCACAAGATAACGCAGCTGTATACAGCGCCCACAGTCATTCGAACGCTTAGGAAGTATTTTTCGACGAATCCTCTGCAGCATAGCTATGACTTGTCGAGTCTGAGAATACTCGGGTCCGTTGGAGAGCCTATCAATAGAAAGGCGTATACATGGTTTAGCGCGAATTTTAACAACTGCCCGGTGGTGGACACATATTGGCAGACAGAATCAGGAGGAGTGCTTATTGCACCGATTCCATTTGTGGTGGATAAAAAGCCTGGATGTGCGTGTCTTCCGTTTTTTGGGCAGGATGTTTTGATCGCGAAAACATCGTCTAGCCAAATGAATGTTAGTGAGGCTGAATCTAACGAGCTGGGGCACGTACTTCTCCGGATGTCTTGGCCAAGCATAGCAAGGGGAATTCTTGGCGACTTTGAAAGGTTCAAGAATGGATATTTCTGCTATAATGGATATTACTTTACTGGGGACGAAGGATACAAGGATTCTGAGGGGCATGTGTGGATTATGGGAAGGGCTGATGATGTAATAAATGTGTCTGGGCATCGAATAAGCACTGCAGAGATGGAGAATGCAGCATGTATGGATCCGTGTGTGGCAGAGTCTGCTGTTGTTGCAGAAGATGATGAAATAACAGGGCAAGCGCTTTGCTTCTTCGTAGTATTGAAGAGCAGGGAGATTTCTGACGAAAAGGTGAAAAAATCATTGAGGGGAACACTGAGATGCAAAGTTGGAAGATTTATAAATCCAAAGAGTATTTTTGTGTGTAAGGAGATTCCAAAAACAGCAAGTGGAAAGATCATGAGAAGAGTTCTCAGGGCGATTTTAGTGGGAGAGCCAATAGGAGATGTTTCCACCTGTATCAATCCAAGTGCGATTGAGGGCCTGAGGGAAGCAATGTTTTCAGAGTAAATTAAAGAGTTAATTATGTAGCTTGTGCGAGATGCAGAATGATATAGCAATGAATGGCCTTGAGGGCATATTTGTGGATGAATACAATGGTAAGTGCTAGCAGGGCAGATATTGAGGGCAAACGAGTGTTTCTACGCGTGGACTTTAATGTCCCGGTGTCCGGATCGAAGGTTCTTGATGATTTCAAAATAACATCTGTGATGTCCACGATTAGGTATATTCACTCAGCAGATCCAAAGCGCATTGTGATTGGAAGCCATTTTGGTCGACCGAATGGAAAGCATGTTGAGGAGCTTTCGCTAAAGCCTGTTTACGACGTGCTGAAGAAGATTGTACTTGATGAGTTTGGTGCAGAATTGTTTTTTTGTGAGATGTCTGATTTGAGTGGAGTTGGTCACACGTGGGTTTTGCTAGAAAACCTCAGGTTCTATGAAGCAGAAGAAAGCAGTGGTGACGAAGCTGCATGTGCTGAGTACCGGAGATTGTTTACAAATAGCATGGATGTTGCAATTATAGACTCATTTGGATGTCTCCATAGAGAGTGTGGATCTATTCAAAGGACTGGATTGCGTTCATTTCCTGGTGTCTTTATGCAAAAAGAGCTAGAGTTTGCCGAGAGTTTGCTGCAAAGAGACGTCGACGTGATGATTCTTGGCGGGAAGAAAGTCTCTGACAAATCAAAGCTGCTGATGTCACTGGGAAGAAGAGCAAAGTGTTTAATTATTCTTGGTGGATTGTCTTATCCGTTCTTGAAGTACAGATTGCACAAAGAGGTTGGAAATAGCATTGTCGATGATGTCTCTGAAAGTACGATTCAGATGATATGTGATGTGCTCGATAGTAATCAAACAGAAGTCATCCTTCCGATTGACTTTGTGGTTGTTGATAAAGGCAAAGCCCAGATAATGAACGAAATACCATCGAGTGGATGTGGGCTAGACATAGGGCCTGCAACCATCCGATTGGTACAAGAAAGAGTATCTATGGCTGAGTCTGTGTTTTGGAACGGCCCACCTGGTGTTTTTGAACAGCACGGCTTGTCTGATGGAACCAGAGCACTTGTTGGCATTCTTGAGAGCATGAAGACGAATGGAAAGAGATGCCTTTGCGGGGGAGGAGAGACATCTGCAGCAATCAGGATGTTTGGAAAGTACGAGAGCTTTACGCATGTATCAACTGGAGGCGGTGTTTTAATGAAATTTCTGAGTGGCGAGGATCTTCCAGGACTAGAATTTTTAATGCATCAGCCGTATGCTCTCAATATCTAAGGTACAACTCCATCTATGCTTCTAAGGATTGTCTCTTAGAACATCCTTGCAGTATAATATACTTGGCATTCTGGATGAGGCATCATATGAAATAAAAGCCATTCCATCACGAAAGCTTGGGCATGAAATAAATGTTATCTCATCAATGGAAGATATGAACGGATAGAAGTCTTGGCCCACAACAACTATGTCTGGAATGCCTTCAATGTCGAGGTTTGATATTCCAAATGGGTTGAGGCTTTGCTGCGATAGCATGGCCCTTACAAATGAGTCGATGTACTCAGTCCCTATGAATCGTCCCCGCTCCCTTGACTTGAAAATATCGTCTCTGATAACGCCTATTGAGCAATGCCTGGTTTCTATGATGCATGGATTGCTGGCCATTTTAATTGTATCTTTATATTCACCGGGCAACGGTATCTCTTTAGGAAGAAATGAAGAATACAGGTCGTTTGCATCCGGGCATACAATAATGTCTGGCGTTCTTGAAACTGCGCTGTTTGTCTTAAGCCCGTTCATGAAGCATGCGTATGGAATGGATAGGCACTTTTCTGAGGAAAGCTTCCCCATGATTACAATCACATCGACGGGAATCTTCGTTATAATCTTCCTTAGGATGCTGCCATTCATCTCATTGAGCCAAAACTCGGAAAAAAACAGAATTCTGAGGCTTTCAACCGGCAGGACATGCTTGACTGTATTTCTCACCTCAATGCTTGGGAAATGCGTCTCTGTTACTCCAAAGGTGCCTTTAGAAGCATATCCATCCAGTGCAACAAAAATGTTGTCACAGAGAAATGCATTTCCGTTACACATGCTCATATCAAGCAGAACCGTGTCTCCATCATCCTCTAGAACTTCATTTCCTTGCTTATCTCTGTAATAGCATCCGAATATTGTACAGAGCTGACCGTCAAGAAGATATATCGGTGTGATTTCTTTTCTTATTCTTTGCTTGAGTCGCCTATACCTGTGCATGTAATCTGCTTTTCTGTACTGCTGGCTAACTATGGTGTATGGAGTCTGCATGCATGTTTTTGCAGACTCGATGATTTCCCGGAACAGCCCTAAATCGCCCATCTTGGGCCCATTTCTTCGTTTGTACTCCGCAGAGATGTGCATCAGCATACACTCATCTGTGACCCTAGCGTTTAAATATGCCAGTGCATCTGAAGAAAGCAATATCCCACTGTTTTTGGTCAATTCTTTGTATATCTTTGCCTTCATAGCCTTGGGGAGGCGTTTGATTTTGACGATGTTGTTGGGTGCTTTGAAGTATTTATTTGGATTTCTTCGACTCGTTTTCAACTTGCTCCTTGAGTGCATTGTACTTGTCGAGGATGTTGAAGTACTCGTTTTGGTTGTTTCTAAGCTGTTTGATCAGCATGTCGCCCGAAACAATTTTTGCATTCAAGCTGCTGACCTTGTCCTCGAGCTGCCTGATTTTTTCCTCGCTTCTTGTGCTTTCGCTCACAATGTCTTCAACATACTTCTTCTGATTCATGGATTGCTTCCTGAGCAGGAGTGCAGACTCCTCCTCTTTGAACAGCAGAGACATCATCTTGATGAACATTCTGAATATCACTGCAAGAAACAATGTAAACCCAGTCAGGTACAGATTGCGTTCTGCTTGATACAGAACAAACGGATTGGCATATTCCTCGCCCGTATAAATCTTATATGCCGAGTCAACAAACATCACAAGAATCATTGCCAGCAACACATATAAAATGTGAAGAATTCCTCGGTACAGCTTCGATGCCATAAACACCCTAAGAATGCTCTTCTTCAAGCTCTTCGACACAGGAAGCAGCATAAGCGTAAACACACTCATCTCTACAAGCAGTACTGCCTGGACAAGGCTTGTCGTAATTCCCATTTGTGCTAGCAACCAAAACAATCACACCAAATCCACACTCTGAAACAAATCAAGCTGCACCATCAAACACATCATACATTTTTAATCACTTTTATTTCTCATCTGTAAACTCAAGCTCATCAATAAGGCCTTGCCTCAATCCAACTAACTCATTGCGCATTCGCTGTATAGACACATTCATCTCCTTATATGCGCTCATTTTCATTCGGATCTTTCTAAGAGCCGCCTCATATATAACATCCATAAGCCTCTTGATCTTTCGTCTTTCCAGATCCCTCTGCTCAATCGCCTTGCCCACTCCTGCATCAAGCATGTGCCTCATAACCTTTTCTTGCGAGCACTTTCCAATGTGCATCATCGCTGCTTTCGAGCACGCAGATGCAACACACGGATGCACAATCGCACACACAAATGCAATCACACACATTATTGGATTCTCAGCAGTCACAAACAACGGCCCTATCTCCGAAAACCCACTCTTAGGCAGTGCATTCTCCAGAATCGGGATCCTCAAAAAATAAAAAACGCACTCCTCCTTAGACTTTGTCTGCACATGCTGGCTTACAAGATTCCACTCGTCTCCATACATGTTGATTCCTTCAAGAAGACGTAGCTCCTCTTCTTTCGACCACATGCTTTCAACCAGCAGCTTATCTGCAGCAAAAAAATCAGATCTCAGCACATCATCAGCATAGGCTCTCTCATCAAAGCACTTCCTACACTTAAATATCATGCTCCTAGTAAAAAACGCCGCTTCTTCTCCACAATCACATCTCAACTGCTTCAAGCATGCCTTATAGTCAACAGATCCCACTGATGCATCTCCATTCACTCCTTGCTTCTCGGTCACAGCATGATTGCCATCGCTGATTCCTCTTGCTCTATTCCTCATTGCTTCAACACTGGCTATTTCTTTCTCAATCAAGCTTCTATAATTTATCAGTTCCCATCTCTCAACAAACGCAAATATCTTCACAATTTCACAAAATCCAATATCATTCGTCTCCAACGCCTTCCCAAGCGTCATCGGCCTGTACCCGCCTTGATATTCCCCAACAATTGCATCCCTTACACGCACATATGTGTCTTTTCCAATCACACTTACAACCTCGTCCATGCTGATCTCCTCCAATGAGCTTATCTCTCCCTTTCTGTACCATTTCGGCTCCTTCAATGCATATGCCCCATCATCATCAACCGCATTAACTCCTGCATGCATTCGAAACGACCGGGCATATCCAGGCGGAACGGCATTCGGCCTCTTGCTTCCATATATCTCCTCAATCTCCACGCTCTCCTGCAACGGGAAGATGTTTTCCATCAGGGTGCTTTCTAACAAAATTAAGAGCTAACAAATTTATTCAAGCTCATCATCTCGCACACTCGCTCTTGCCCTGCAGTAGCTCATAAGCACCATGTGAGCTTTCAATCTAGAATATCTCATCGTCATCAACCGATGAGTAATCATCTTCCAAGTGGTCGTCAACATCAACCCTATACCTCAAAATCCCGCCTATTCCTCCAAATCCTTCCACAAACTGCGTCCCTTCAGAGCTTTTGTCACTCACAAACACAAGTGTGCAGCCAAAGCCCTTGTAGTTCTCTGCAATCCAATCAACAAACATCTCCTCGTCCTTCACATCAGGGAGATTCTCGTAGACAATCAGTGTCTCAACCGCACCCATGTCCAGGCAGTGCATCGTCTCTCGCATTGTAAAACAGAACTTCCCACTGTCTGTGTTTATTTCGTTCAGAAAGCCCTGTATCACCTTCTTCTCCTTCGAAAGCTTCACATCCTTGAGAACATCCTCGCACAGCTCGACTGCCTGATTCAGTCCGCCCTCTCCCCCGTAGTTTGTGTCGACAGACTTAATCACCCCTATTCTACTGTCAAGCACCTGAGCCAGCTCGTTCTTCAGATCAGACTGCCCTGCAAGAATTATGCCCTCTACATTCATCACGCAATTTGTCAGAAACAAGTTCACAGCTATCTCGGCCACCTTCTTGACATACGCATTCCTCTTCTCAACCCTGAGACGTGCAAACCTCACCGAGGACTGCCCTCCTCGCCCATGCTTCTTCGGAAGATCCACGTGGATTTGCTGTAGAATAGTCTTCATATTCCCCTGAAGAGTTGCAAACATCGTTGTATGTCCATCAATCACAATAAACCCGTACTTCAGCTCATCCTCAAAAAGCGAAAGCAAATCATCAACATGGAACTTTGAATCGCACATATACAGCGACGTATTCACAGGCTTTATCGGCTCTATCCCCACACTTACCTTCTTCTCCTTGTTCTGGTCCATCAGAACAGTTCCGACAAATATCCCAAGCCCGTTTGGCGGTGTCTTCGTATACTGCTTAAGCTTGCATTGTGCAGATGTTATTGCTCCAAGAACACTCAGCCTGTTCACTCTGGATTTTATATTCGATGCTGTTCCATATTCATCGGTAAGCATCTTCGAGACCCTTGATATCTGGTCCCTAGGCGGAATAATAATAGATATCATCGACGTTCCGTTTCCCCTACTATCACGAAGATTTCGAAGAAGTTTCTTCATCCTCCACATCTCCACCTCGTCAAGCATCTGCCGGGGAGTCGCAATTATTTTTATGCAAGGCGCTAATGCCGTGCTAAGCTTCTACCTGGCTATTCCACACACATGATCCGCAAAACATCAAGAGCACCGCCAAACAATAAATATCAACAAAACTGGCTCAAATCACCTTTTATTACGTTTACAGGCATTTATATTAATCACAACATTATCAGACTCTTGCTCACTCGGAAGACCTGCATTTTCAATCCGCTGCTCCTTGTATCCCAACTCGTTGGCTTTTTGCAGAAGTTCGCCTATGACGTCACATATCTCATTCTTGCTCTCTTCACTGCTACTTCTTTCCTTCTCTGCATTGTACACCATCACTGCCTTGTTGCAGTACTCTTTACTCATCGCAAAGTCCTCTAGAAACTCATAGCAGGTCGAAATAGACAGGTAAACATCCGCATATCCAACATAGTCCTTCTCGTATATTTTGTCCATCACAGCAACACACTCAACAAGCTCATGCAATCCATCTCTAAACTCATTGTTCAGCAAGCATATCTCCCCAAGCAGAAACCTTGATCGTGCTAGGCATGAGTAATCTTTCAGAATCACAAATGCATTCTTGCATATCTCCAGCATATTCCATGCTGTTTCAAGGTCGTCTTCCGCCCACTTCCTTTCCTCAAGATTCAATCCCCTCTTCGCACTGATCCGTGATACCTCATCCATAAAAAACATGTTTGCATTCATAATAAGTGCATTTGCATACTCAAGGTATATGTATGGGCTCTTCCCATCGTCAGGATCAACCGTCTCCAGAATCTCAGTGTATATCCCAATCCCATGCTCAAACTCTCCCTGGGCAATCGATGCCCTTGCCTCAGCTATCAATGGAAAGCTGCTCTCAAGATCCTCCATACAAGGGAGAAAATATTTCTGCTATATCCTCAAGATTACTCCGCAGTGTCAGACACGAAGGCCTTTAGGCATTCTTTAGGATCAAATCCACAAAACTCGCAGTGGTATCTCCATCCAAGTGTAACGACACTCTGTTCATTTTCTTTCGATATGCAAAGATATCCATGATTCTTCGCCCAACTGATAATCTGGGCAAACTCCTCTCCGCTTCTCATCACGCCTGCCCTGCTTACAAGATGCCACAACCTCCTTTCTTCAACGCATGAATGCTCAAGAATAACAAATGCAAAAATCACAACTGTTTTCCTGAAATCCTCTATTGGAATCCTTGGCAGCATTCCTGAAGGTTTTAGCCGTCTAACAAAGAACTTTTCTGCATTCTCAGTACTTACAAGCATGCCCTTGGCAATCCCTACGATTTCAAGCCCCAACTTCTGGAGATGTGCTTCTGCTTCCCCCACAACTATACGCATTTCTTTTTGTGTAATTCCAAGACTGTCTCTAATGCTCTGCTTTCTCACCGGCATTGACATGCTCTGTTTATCCATGATGATCCTGATGAACTCCCCAGCCAATGCCCTATTGCCATCCATGAGATGGGTGCTTGGTATTTTTGCATTGATCATTACCCACATAAAATGTCATCCAGCTTTGTGAGCCTGACTCCGCTGATCAGAACAGATCTTGGTGTGTATTGCCACTTGCTTGAAATAGACAATACCAAGATATTGATAAACTGCGGAGCACCTAAGACAATGGAAATGGCCATATATGAGCCGTTGATGCAACGAATTCTGGCATGCGATGCGATACTGCTGACAAGCTTTGGCATAAACTGCATTGGAGGACTGCCGCACATTCTTCACAGCAACTATTACAACAAGGTCATATCATCGGTTCCTATTAAAGTGCTTGGGAAAATATGCATGGAAGAGCATGCACGGGGGATGGAGCCGCCGCTGAAAATTGATGTGGAGTGCTTCGATAGGATTTCTGAGATAAAGTATCTACAGCCGACCGTCATAAATGGAGTAGAGATATGCGCTTATAACTCTGGAAGCTCTATTGGTGGGTGCCTGTATAAGATTAGCAAGGGTGCAGAGAAGATAGTTATTGGATTTAATGTGAATCACAGGAAGGAGAACCATCTTGATGGAATGAACATGTCTGTGATAGGAGACTGCGGCTTGTGTGTGTTTAATGGGAACCATGTACTAGCAGAGAATGTATCTGTGGTGAAGAGGGATGATGCATTTGTGAAGACAGTTATGAATGCAATTGATAGCAAGCGGCGAGTGATACTTCCTATAAGATACTCAAGACTTCTTGAGATCTGCCTTGTGCTGAATGAGATGGGGAATGCAAAGGGATGCAAGGTGGTATGCTTAGCGTATTTTGGAAAGAAGTTTATTGAGAGGGTGAAGTCTATGGTAGAGTGGGCAGGAGAGAAAGTATCGTCGATGTTTTCTGAGGAGAAGGTGAATCCATTTGAGTTTGAACGGATCCGGTTTGTGAAACACTATGGTGACCTTTGCGAGTTTGATGTTTTGATTGTGGTTGATGAATGGGTGTCTGGATGTATGTTTACGAGTGTTCTGCACTGTTTTAACGATGGAAACAATGTGATAGTGGTCACTGATCCTCGGCTAGAGCAAATGCTGAGGGAAGAAAGCAGAGAAGCAAGACAGTATAAGTTTAGGCTTCAGCAGAAAGCAGAGGACAATGCTGAAGATAAAAATGAGGAAGAGGAAGTTGAAGAGCAGGCTGATGACGAGCCTGAGGAGGAGGGGGTGGAGTCTCATTGGTCAGAGGCAAAGCACGAAGTGTGGTGTGAATCTGGGCAGGAATGCTTTCCGTCACTTTCGAGGCGAAGAGCATATGATGACTATGGGGAGTACGTGGATAAATCAATGTTTGTGAAGGATGTTGCAGCCGTTGAAGAGGTGCAGGAGGTTGTTGTAGAGGAAGAGTCCGTAGAGGAGGAGAGAGAGGAAGTTTGTAGAGGATTGGAGCTGAGGTATAGCGTGGCTTGTGTGGAGATGATGGGGGTTTCTGATCTAGGTTCGTGCAAGATGGTGCTAGAGTCGTTGTCTCCTCAGAAGCTTGTGTGTGTCGGAGAAGATGGCGATACGGAAAGGTTTTTCTACCACTCATTCAAGTACATGATGTGCTTTGAGGATGTGTATTTGTGTAGGGAGAAGCTTGTGCTGTCGTCGAATGTTTTGATGGGAATGGTGAAGCTGAGTGATGGGTTTGAGAATGTGAAATACCAGAAGATAGGAACGGATTTTGTAGCAGGATTCAGAGGAATAAGAAAGGGAGATATGATTGAATGCATTGGGGAGGGGCCGAGGATGATGCTGGGGCATCTTGAAATGAATGAGATGCGGAAGATGATTGTTGAAAGAAAGATGAGGGTGGAGCAGGATGATGAAGGCCTTGTGGTGGAAGGATGTGTGTGGGTTAAGATGAGTAATAGTGGATTGATGATTGACGGAAAGGATGCTAGTGTGTTCTATGCGGTGAGAGATGTTATCTACAGTAACCTTGCGTTTATTTAATAGAGTGTGAAGGCTGATGGCACGGAGGCTCGAGATAGCAATAGAAGGAATAGATGTGTAAGAATGGGAGAAGTGATTAAATCCTGTGATTTTTGAGACATGTGTTTTTGCAAGGCCCTGATGTATGTTGAGCTGTCTAAGAAGACGCATGCTAATAAGTATGGGAAGTATGTGAAGAATGATACTATTGTGATAGACAACGGGGTGTATGAGTGCAAGGCAGGATACAGTGGGCAGAAGCCTCAGATGGTGTTCAGAAATGTGCTTTATCGGCAGAAGAAGAGTGCTTCGATAGAAAGCTTCCAAGGTGCAACACTAAAGACGATGTTTGATGGAGATGTTGTGGTAAACTTTGAGATTCTTGAAAGCATGATTGACGAGGTTCTTGCATATCTGAAGCCAGAGAAGCTCCAGAACTTGATTATTACCGAGAAAATATACAGCCCAACGCATGCAGAGCTTGTGAAGTTTCTTTTTGAAGTGTATGGGTTTGAGACGATACAGATAGGTGTTGACAGCTACTATTCGTATCTCTGGAATATGAAGGACGAGGACTGTATGGTTGTAGACATGTCGCACACGGCTGTTACTTGCCTGGTCATATATAGTGGAAGAATAGCAGATGTTTACAAAATCAACTTTGGAGGATGCGCTGCTGAAGAGTATCTTTGCTTGTTGATGTTCAACAAGTTTCTTGATGGCAAGAAGAGTTATGGAGGGCTGGTGAAGTATCTCAAATGCAGTAGAGACTATTGCAGGGAGGCGACTGATGTGCTTGGGGAGATGAAGAGGAGGGAGTATTCGAGAAGCTATTTTCTGGACGAAGAGGCCGAGACAGGATACCAAAGATGCACAAGCGCAAAGCAAAAAAGATGCCCAACGCCAATCAGCACTGGCACAGTGCCTGAGATCAACAAGAATCTACTGAATGCAGCCGATTCTGATCTGAACAACGAGGAGATAAAAGAAAAGAAGAGGCAAAGGATTATGTATCATTCTGCGCTTCACAGAGTCAAATCCAGAGCAGAAAAATGCCTTGAAAAAATGAGGAAGTGTATGAGCCTGGTGGAAGAGAAGATTGCAAGAATAAGCGACCCCGATGGATTCGTTAATGCAAAGAAGGCTGAATTTCAGAAGCTGAAGAGAGAACTGGAGCTAAGGGGGAAAATAAGAAGAGATGTAAAGAACAGAAAGACGTATGAATTTCAGGTAAGGTTCAAAGAAGGGGAGCTTACCGATGACGAGAAGCAGCTGATTGCAAAAATAAAGGATGCAGAGGACATGAATCAGGAAGTCATGATTATTGATTCGCTGAGGATGCTTGTTAGCCAAATCAAGGAGCTGGATCCGTATTTCGAACCTTTTGCTGCAGATGTGGTAGATATACTGAATGGATATTCAATAGGAAGGACGTGCGTGAATATTGATCTGATGAGGATACCGGAGATAATCTTTTCGCCATCGCTTGTAGGCTTGGATCAGATGGGGCTTACTGAAATAATGGAAAATGTTAGCAGGAAATATGGCACAAGAAAGGTACTTCTTACAGGTGGGTTTTCACAGATAGAAGGAATTGGCGACAGAATGCAAATAGAGATGTCAAGTATGTCTGTTACAGGAGATGTGCAGGTTATCATGGCGGCTGACCCTATTAATGATGCATTCAAGGGTGCAACGATGTGCAACATGTTTCCTGTGTATACTATTGATCAATACCGCTGCATGGGTGCTGAGGAGATGATAAGAAGTATGAATAGCAGCGCAGACTAGATATAGTTTGAAATAAAATAAAATGTTCTGAATGATTAGCTGGATTTCAATCGATCTCGATCACTCTTACTTTCAATATGGCTGTTTAAGTACATAGGATTCATACTTGATTTTATTTCTTCATAGATGATGTAGCAAACTAATCGATTATTGCCACTAGCAATCATCTACAAGAAAACTATTACCTGAAAATGGCTTTATTTATCTCCGCTTCAAACATGCTCTTGATTGTTTCCAGCCTCGATGCAAAGCTATTATCAACAATCGACTTGTAGTCCTTCGAGCAAAGAATTATACCACCTATCCCAGCAGAAACCATCTCTCGTATTTCTGCGTCCCTGCAATGCTTCTTCACAACCTCCACATCCTTCTTGCTACAGTACACAATAAAATCATCTTCCATTTTCTTCATACACTCATCAATAAGCAGCTCGTTCAGAGGCTCCGCCGAGCACACCTTCAAAACAATTTTGTATATATTATCCAGAATCCTTACCTTCTCTTGTAGGTATTTCTGTCTGTACACGTTTTCTAGTGAGCTTTCTGTCATCACTCTTTTGTTTTCTATTTCTCTTTGCTTCATCATAAATTCATTCTCTTCTTTCATCGTCTCCTCTTTAATAATTCTTGCCTTCTCTGCATTATATTCCTGTATTGCCTTTATTTTCATCTCCTTTATCTTCTCGTCTGCCTCATGATTGATGAATGCCATCATTCTCTCAATATCCTTGCTAGGCACTTTTTCCATTCGAAGGGTGTCTATCCTTGTTGTTTTCTTCCATGCCATGCATCCGCATTCATGCCAATAGATCACACATGAATACTCAAATAACTATTTATTCCTTCTCTCTTCAAACATTCTTGACTATCTGCACAATGTCACTATCATTCAATACATGGTCCTTGCCAACCTTCTGTGGGTTGTGCTTCACAGAGGTTCCCCACACAAGGGCATACTTAAGTTTGGGGAGAATCCCTTTGTGGATTGCATTGCAGAAGTTCTCTACACTTCGCTTGCTGCTCTTCAGAATTACCGGATCATTGTAGTCAATCGGCTGCCCCTTGGGCTTTGGATATATCCGGACAAGATCAAGATAGCTCCACATTTTTGCCAGCAGCGAATCAAAGTTCCATCCGTGGTTTGCACATATTGGAACTGCATGCGGAATTCTGTAGAGCAGGTCAAGCTCCTCAACACTGATCGAGTCTATCTTATTCAGCACAAATATGCACGGAACATACTTCCTGTTGCCCTCAATCACATCAATCATATCATCAATGGTGCATGGCCCGTTTGTAAACACCTCTGCATTTGAGATCCTGAACTCCGCAAGCACTGCCTTGACTGTTGACAGGTCCAAACTGTCTCCAATCAACGTCACCCCTCCCTTCTCTCGTTTTGTCACCTTGATCTTGGGAGCTTCCTTATTTATCCTGATCCCGAATCCTTCAAGCTCCTTTTCTATAACCGCTTTATGTGAAAGCGGCTTGAGCACGTCTAAGCACACAATAATCAGCGAGCATGTCCTTGCAACAGCCAACACCTGCTTCCCTCGCCCTCTTCCGTCCTTGGCCCCCTCTATGATTCCAGGAAGATCCAGGATCTGTATCTTTGCCCCGTTGTAGCACAAAACACCAGGAACAGTCGTTAGGGTCGTAAACTCATACTCAGCAACAGCACTGAATGTTCCTGTCAATTTCGACATAAGAGTACTTTTGCCAACACTTGGAAATCCAACGAACCCAACCCTTGCAACTCCTGTTTTTGCAACATCAAACCCGCCTTCTCCTGAAGACCCGCCCTTCGGCGCACTTATCAGCTCTCTCCTCAGCTTTGCCAGCTTTGCCTTAAGAATTCCAAGATGATTGCTTGTTGCCTTGTTCTTCTGTGTTCTTGCCATTTCGTCCTCTATTTCCTTTATCTTATCCATTACGTTCATCAAGGGCTTGCTCATGCCTGGCTATATTATGCGTGGTCTTAATCCTTGGATGAAGGTCGTTGCTGAGTATGATGTGAAGATGGTTGCTTGCACAGTCCCAGCATCGCTGTACAGACTTCCAAAGGCAGAAAAGAACCTGAAGATTGAAAGCATACGTCTGAAGCAGGACTTTGGATATGTGGAGATGAGGATGAAGCTTCCAAAGATCAAGTGTGCATCTGCAGCCGGAGATGGCAAAGATCGTTCTGTGATAAGCTATGGGAGCTATGGATATAAGCCATTGTCTATGCAATGGTATGCTATGATAGACCATGATACAAACGTGGTTTTTCTTCGGAAGATTGACTGTGTGCATCTTTTCAACCCGAGATTTGAGGACGTTGAAGTAGAGGATGTAAGCAAATGTGACGGGTATCAGTTAAGAAAAGCAGAAAGCCGAGAGGAGCAAGAGTATAGAAAGAAGAACATCAACTTTCAGCTCAAGAAGATGAATCTTGAGGAGTTTGTTGAGCTGGAGTACAAAGTGAGAGACATGAGCTTGGAATGCAAAGAGGACCAAGATGTTAGGAAGCCCAATAATTCAAGGAAGCCTACGGGCAAACTCAAGAAATCCATTGAGAACTCGAAAGTAATGAACTTTTCGGAGATGATGCTGCTCCATCAAGACGAAAATGCAGTTAAGAATGCACTACAGACATACACAAGCTTTGTGCATGGACGATATGTTATTTCAAATGCATTCTATGAGAAGAGGCTTCATTGCATTAGAAACAAGATTTTAGATTTGTTTAATTATAATGAGCGGATTCTGATGAGGGATGTTCAGGATTTTATCGATGGAGAGTATTTTCTTCTTGAGGAGCTGTGTAACAGAGAAGGCAAGCATTTTTGTCTGAAGGGGTTTGATGAGGGGATCAATGTACTACCTGAGGAAAGGATGGGTGTAAGAGTTATAAATGCCGTTCGAAAGCTGCAGCCCTGTGTGGTAGAGAAGGTGGGTGAAGAGCTGTTGGTTGATGCGGAAGCGGTGAAGATGAATTTGCCTGAAGGAGTGGTGGTTCTGGCGAATGGAATGCTTGCTGTATGTGAAGGAGATATCATGAGAAAGAGGATAGTTGGGATGCTTACAAGCAAGGACGTGTGGAGGAAGGCTGATATTATAAGGATAGCACAGAATGAGTTTAGTGATGCATCTAGGTTTTTTGAGGTGCTGGGTGAGTATTGTGAGCTTAAGGGAGGAGTGTGGAGTATTAAAGGATGATTTGCGAAGAAGTATGTTTAGTGGCGTTGGCGCAAAAATTTGATCCCTGTGAGGTATTGCAGTGATGGAGTCGTTTGAAATCAAAAGAATGGAGGAAAAGATGCAGTCGTTATATGATAATATGGTGGTGCAGGTGCCGTTGGAAGGAATCACAAAGCATCCGTTTGATTGGTTTAGACAGGATATTGATAAGGTAGTTGCGGTGATTGATGAGGTGATTTCTGATTTTGAGTGCAGAAGAAGACGGATTGAAGAAGAGATTGGAAGGAGTGTGAAGCTATTGAAGAAGGAATGTGCGCTTATGGAGTGTGCAGAGCCACAAATGCCAGACCTGTATAATCTGGAGTTGATGAGAGCATATGTCGAGAATGAGGTGGGTAAAGTGGCGATAGTACGGAGAGGGGTTAATGAGAGGATGCAGGGAGTGCTGAATGAGATTAGGGACATACTTGATGAGGTTCCTGATATTGATTTTCAAGCGATTGAGTGTGCGAATGGAAATGGAGGGAGTGCTGGGAAGAATATTGAGAAGACAGACGAGGAATGCAATGGCGAGGTTTCTTTGCAGCGCTTGAGAGAGCTGGAGGCAAACAGAGACATGCTGATGAAGGAGAAGGAAAGAAGAGAAAGAGAAAGGAACAGACTTTACGGAGAATTGTGTGTGTTTCTGTCAAGGCTGAGCGTGACCGATCTTGAGGTAAGAATTGACCAGAAGATTTTTGTGCTTGAGGAGCTGCACAAGAAATACAGCAAGGAGGTTGAGATAAGAAGATGCAAGATCATAAAGCTTGAAGAGCAGATAAGGAGGAAGGAAAGCCGCCTAGATGCAGGATATAGAGAGATTGCCATGGATTTAAGTGAGAAAAGCATTGCAAAGATGGAGGAGTATAATGAATATCTTGGAGAGGAGCAAAGGAGACTATTGAATGAGATATATGAAAGGAAGAAAGATATACTGACGAGTCTTTTTGAGATGTTTGGGATGGATATGGCCGATTACGAAAGGACGGAAGAAGGAGTGGAAGAGATGACAAAAATGATTGGAGAGCTTGAAAGCAAGAGGGAGCTTTTTTTGCTGATAAAGTCACTAATTGGCAAAAGAGTTGAGCTTGTGGACAGGATGAATGAGTTTGAGAAGGAGGCGTCTGATCCACGAAGGCTGTTTAGGTCGTCCTTCCAGCTGCTAAACGAAGAGAAGTTTAGAAATAGTGCGTATCCAAATCTGATAAGGATTGAGGAGATGATACTTAAGAGTATTGATGAGTATGAGGAACGGTTTGGGGTGTTTATGTGTGGAGGAATAGGATATAAGGAATGCTTGAAGCGCGAGATAGACAACAGGATAGTTAACAAGACGGTGTTTATCAATAGATTTGATTCGCCTAGCAAAAGAAGGAAGTAGGAGATGCCATTCGGTGTTTGATGTGCTAGCACTTATACTTATTACGGGATGGCCTACCATGTTGTCCGAATGCTGTTAATAAAGACGTATGATGAAGTTAGGCTGCTACAGGATTTATTGTGTTGATATACATTTATTCAAACGCTTGTGCTCTCGACTCTGACGTATGGCTCTGCTTTGAAGCGAATGCAGAATATTGCATAGAGTATGTAGGTTGTTATGCAACAGGTGGGGTTTCCTGTGTTTTTCCAGCCTTTATACATCGGAACTGTGATTTCTAATGTGAGTATTTTGTCCTTTGCCTTGATTTGATCTGATATTGCAATGATGTGCTGGTAGTTACCGATGCCGTAGCGGATCAAAAATGCAGGAATGCTGTCCATGGCAAGAAGTCCTTTTCCAAGCTCTCTTGGGATTTTCTGTGTAGCCATGTCTTCATTGCCATTGTCATTGTCGTTGGTGTATGGTTCCAAGATGGTTTTGAGGCCGTTTGGATCGTCGAAGAGTATTTTCTGTAGGCTCGTAATGATCTGCTTGATCATGCCCAGCAGTTTATCTTCTATGCTTTGCTCGAGATTTGCATCGCTTTCGGTCTGGGTAAAGTGTAGTGGAGCGTTAGGAATATCCTTGATGACTTCCTTAAGATAGCCGTTGTCATCTTGAAGTAGAATCCCAAATATTATTTTGACTGCCGTGAAGTATACTTCTCCATTGACGCGCCGTTGGCCCGTGTCTGTTGTTTCGCCAAATGCATTTGAGAACTCTTGATTGGCTATTGATTTGTCCATGGCGCCAATATCATTGTGTCCGGATGGCTCGCCATGGGCTGGAACGATGCATATGGCGAAGAGATGCATCAGTGTGAGTGGGAATGTGAACCGCATGATTGTTTACATGAACAAGGATTTTATTCTTGAGCATAAATGCGATCGAAAGCGAGAGTGTGCCTATTGGCGCGTTCCATGATGCCGAATGATCAGCGTTTGCAAAGCTCGAATTTCTGGCAAGGCTTTTGGATTGGATGTGCTTGCTAAACCAGTGCTTAATGTTTGGTATTGTTGTGGCAATGCAGATGGATGGAAGTATAAATGAGCATGCAAGAGCCCTTAGATGGATATAAGAGAGATTGAGCTGAACAGGCAGCAGGCAAATGATCTTTTTAGACAGAAGAAGATGAGAGAGGCGTTGAGGATGTACGAATCTTCGTTTTTGAAGGCATCTGGATGTGTTTCTGTATCGAATGGAGATGCAGCACTTTACGAACAGATGTCTCTGCTAGCATACAACATCTCTACTGTTCATTACAAACGAGGCAGCTTTCTGAAGTCTTTATCTTTTGCACTTGAGTCGCTGAAGTATTTAGAGAATGACAGGGCGATGCAGCGCACATGTGCATTGTATTTGAGGCTAGGGATGGCCAGGGAGTTCAAGAGCATATATGACAAGATCGGATCGAATAGAAAGAGTGTGCCTGAGATTGAGTATCTGGTTGCAAGGATGAAGCTAAACTACAAGACGATTGGAATGGAGAGCGGGCTGTCATGGGATGAGTTGCATGAACTGTGTATTAAGGTTGCGAATGGAGAGCTGATTGCTGCACCGGTTATAGAGCGTATTTTGTCTCAGGGAGAAAGCATTCTCCTTGGCAGAGAGAATATTGTTTATGTCGATAGCGAGTACGAGGTGCTGGTTTTTGGAGACACACATGGGCAATACTTTGACGTACTGAATGTTTTTAATCGAGTGTATAATGAAAAGAATATTTTTATTTTTAACGGAGATTATGTTGACCGTGGACAGTACTCAGCCGAGAACTTTGTTTTTCTGCTTTCCTTGAGTATCCTGCTTCCGAATCGTTTTTTCATGACACGAGGAAATCATGAGCTTTCCCAGATTAACAAGAAGTATGGGTTTTATGATGAGATGAACAGGAAATACACATTCAACGGGGATTTTCTGTATCAAAAGTTCCAGAATGTGTTTCAGGCACTGCCGATAGCGGTTGTGGTCAATGAAAAGGTGTTTGTGGTGCATGGAGGGTTGCCGGAAGAGCCTGTGATACTTGAGAAGGTGCAAGAGATGTACAGGATGACGAATTCGTATACCGATGCGGTATTGAGAGGGCTGCTATGGTCTGATCCTGATGAGATTGAAGGGATCAAAGAGAGTGAAAGAGGAGCGGGTGTTGTGTTTGGGAGGAGTGTAACAGAGAAGTTTTTTGAAGAGAATGGAATGGAATTGCTAGTGAGGAGCCATCAAGCGGTGGATGGTGGATACAGGATGCACCACGATGGGCAAGTGGTGACTGTTTTTTCAGCACCTGATTATGAAGGAGCGAAGGGGCCTGGCGCATACATAGTCGTGAATCCGAGCGAGTTTGATGAGAATGAAAAGATAGAAGTGCAAGGATCAGTGAGGTATGCAGTAAGGAAGATTGAGAAATCGGTGGGAACTGAGAGATTGCAAGTAAGGCCAAGAAGTGAGTGATGCCTTGATCTGAGGAGTAGTAAAGTAACATTAAAAATGCTGTGGATTGTTTAGATGATTCGAAACATGTTTGTGTTAGAAAACATATTTAACTTGTAGTAACGAATCGAGAGGATGAAGAGTGGCTACAGCCTATCAAACGAAAGGATCAGCAAGTTCTGGCATCAGGCATTCAAAGAGTCTACGGAGGACAGAATAACACTGAAGGAGCTGAATTTGCCGTTGGCAAGGATTAAGAGGCTGATGAAGGTTGAGGAGGGAGTGCGGATGGTGGCATCTGAAGTACCGGTTTTATTTTCGATGGTAACCGAGAAGTTTGTTGAGGAGCTTACACTCCGTGCATGGATAAACACGGAGGAAAACAACCGAAGGATTTTGCAGAAGTCTGATCTTACAGCTGCAGTAAAGACGTCTGAAGTGTTTGACTTTTTGATATATGTCGTTCCCAGGAACGATTTTGCTCACGTTTTTAGTAGCATTGGATCAGAGAAAATGCAAAGCCGAGAAGGCATTGACATTGACTCTGAGCCGCAGGATGCGTATATGCAACAGCAAATGTTTAATGAACGAATACTGATGAATGGGCCAACAGCGCCGATGCATCAGCAAGACTTTTATGCACGGGAATGTAGAGGAATTGGAGACATTTCTGATGCTGCTGGAAACAGCCTGCATGCAGGTGATTATAGAAAAGCATTTGACATTTCGTTTAATAGAGACATGAATCTCGATATGCCTACGGAAACCGCATCGGGCCCATTCAGTTAACCCGTGTATTGTAATAAACAAACTATGAAGTATTATGGCAACAACAGCATGTATTTGAGATTTATATAACGCTGCTACTCCTCTCGCATGGACCAGTTATATTTATCTTTGGCTAAGCAATAGCAAAAGTATTGTGAGGCTACAGCAATATTATATTGTATCAAGCATGCATTTATTGATTGCTGGACATTCCTTGAGCATAGCTATCGATAACATCTATCACTTCTGGGACAAGTATCTTTCTGGTAAACTTCTTGTTTGCATTGTAGTACTCAAGTCCTTTGTAATCCATAGCTTTCAATCCGTTCCTACTCACAAGGCTCTTCATGAATGGAAAGCTCGAAAATATTATGCTTCTAACTCCTTTGTTCTTCGTTGCAACAAAGAAGAAGTCCAATCCCATCGACTTGCGGAAGCTTTCTATCTGCAGCATCAGTGCCATCCCTATCTCTTTTGGAGGCACCCCTGATATTTCCTTACCCTCTCGGTCCACCCAGTCCTCAAACGAGTACTTCACTGTAGATCCTCCAAAGACAAACTTCTTATGGTTGAACATTTTGAAGTCTTTCTGGAGAATAAGACTTGTTTCGTGTTCGTGGTCATTGTGTCTTGCACATTTCAACTCCTTGATTATGCACTTTAGCTCCTTCTTGCTTATGCCAGCCATCGCCTTCAACTTCCTATATTCAAAGACATCGAAATGGCTTGTGCGCCTCTTCAGGTATCCTGTGTCAATAAGAATGGGAATCAACAGAAGCCTTGCAAATGCAGAGCAAAGCGTCTCCTGATCCACATTCCCTGCACTGCTCGATCGTTTCGAAAGGGTACTGCAGTGTGTCTTTTTGGTAAGATCATCTCCTAGGTATCTAGAAACCAGCGTGGTTGCTGATCCAACATCCAGGTCGATGTACATTCTTTTTGCTGGAGAAACATATGAAGAAAGCGCGTGGTGGTCAATTATAAGCTCAACCTCGCAGTCATCAAACACATCTGCAGGCTTGCAGTGGTCAGTCAGCAGCAGCTTGATTTTCTTTCCTGTTACCAGATGCTTCTCGCCTCCAAACTCAAAGTATGCGCCCAGCTTTCTTGCCCTTTTAGAAAAGTGTAATGAAGGCTTTATAAAAAACACCAGATCATCGACATCTATGTGGAACTTGCTGCAGACCCACATCAGTTCACCCTTTGCCATAAAGACATCTTTCTTCATATTGACCACATGGATCGCATCTTCTGCATATGCTACAACAAGAGAGCTGATGAATGAGTCGAGGTCGCATGCCTCGTTCCCCATTGCAATTGTTATGTCACTGTGCTGGATTCGTTCCTGATTGGACTTGAAGAAAGCATTCAATCTCTTCTGAAGCAAGGCCATACTGTTGCCCCTGTTCATACTAAAAAACAAAACCTGAAACAGAAAATTGCAAAAACAAGGCATAACTTGCTTTATTTCAGCATTAGACATCAGTACGCCTCTTGAAAACAACAGATAAAGCGCCTTCCCTGTTCTTATGCTCAGCACCACTATCAGGCATCTAGATATATAAATCTCCTTTCAAATAAAGGGAGACGAGCACACTCCTTAATCCTCCTTAAACAATATAATAGCTTGGCGTGGAGAAGCCATATGTTGAACCTGATTATAGGAAATGAGCACAAGAGCAGGCTGATTGCACAAATAGACAGAAGAGCTGAAGAGCTAAGAAAAAGCAATCTACATCTGCACGCAGACGATGATGAAACCTACTTTGTGATACTCAATCCAAGCAAACCAATGCATGTAGATACATATGCAAGAGATCTTAAAGCAAGCATTGTGCAGACATGGTTTGCAGTGGTGATGTTTATTGTCTCATCTGTAATTCTAGTGATCATCATGAAAAGCACCGGTGTTATCTGAAACATATAGTACAACCATATAGAGCATAAATCACAATCGTAGGGCCTTGCTAAAAGTAAATACACTTTATATGCTATACTTGAAGCATGGGAAATATCTGTATATCTTGATGAATAGCAAAAATGGATGCTATGATGAATAATCGAAATACATATCCCCTGAGCATGGGAACCGTTTCAAAGAAAAACAAGGAAAGAAGGAGTAATGATCTGGAGAAAATCAAGAAGTATGCCGAGGAGTATTCGTTTGTGGCATTTGTCACAAATCCAGATCTTCCGAATGTTGCAATTAAGAAGATGAGGGAGGATTTTGAAGGCAAAGCAAAAATTCTTTTCGTTAGGAAGAAGATGGCAAGCGCAATGTACAACATGCCAGCAGTGCCAAAGGGAACCTACTTTCTCATATTTGGAGGAGAAAGCGCAATGGAAATGGTGAAGTCATATCATTATATGGACTTTCTTGAGGAAAACGATGTTTCCAAGCATCGCGGCATCATAGAAAAGCAAGCAGTGAGAAACAAAAAGATACAAGAGCTCTTGCCAGTTGCTTGTAAGGATGGACAAATGCAACTGACTGAAGACTATGTTGTTTGTGAGCCAAGCGAATCAATCGATGCTTCAAAGGCTGCCATCCTTAAGTTTTTCGGAAAAAGACTGAAGGAAAAGACTCTACCTGTCCTTTGTATCGTGCAATCCTCAGGCCTAATAAGAGCTTCTGGCAATTAAAGATTTATTGGATTTGACTTTCAAAAAAGGACCTGCTGATTTCAAACTCAGTAGTGGCACTGGTTTCGTTTTTCGACGTCTTCTTGAAAAATTGCTGACCTTCAACCTTGAAGGTATTTGCATACAGAGAATTGAGTGGCTTCCCCTTGTAATCTTGCAAAAACACTTTGATAAGTGCTTGCGATCGTTTTGTGGGGGACTTCAGCACATCTTCCCGCAAATTGATGCATTTCTGCAGATCTATTCCAAGCACTTCAGCAAATGCCTTTGCACCGTCCTCTTGCATGATACATACTGCTAAAGAGGCCACAATCGAGGGATGCGTGCTTTCCAATGCTCCAGAATTATACGACATTACAAACAAATACACCGCTCTAAATGTATCAAAGTTATTCGAGCATATGCCGAATGTCTCCGACACCTTCCTTACCACACCAGGATCATCAATCTGTAAAATCTCAATAAGCTCATCTATACACGGATAAATCATATGCTTGCTCTTAAAATGAGCAATCGAATGCCCAATTGCTTGTATTAGCGACTTTGTACAAGAAATATGATCCTCAGGATCTTCAATGTCTTTCCATTCATTAACAAGCCTTGCCACTTCTTTTCTGATAAATGGTTTCTGTTCATCAATGTATCCAAGAAGATCCCTATTGAAGTGTCCCAGATCCTTAAGAAGATAAGCGTCTATGCCATGATATATCTTTTGCAATACTTCGCTAGGAATGCCTCCAAACATCCTAAGAATGGCAAAGCATCTATCAAACGGCTCCCTTTTCAGAAACACATTGAAGTATGCATTTGCATAGTGCTGGAAGCTCTCAGGCCGTTTTTTAAGATAGAAAAAAAGTCTCATGAGCTCATCATGCGTCCATTCTCCACAAAACTGCTCTTCCTGCCCAAGCTTCATAAGACACTCAGCAATAACATCGTTTGCATATGTCTTGTCCTTGACATCGCATTGCCCCAGTATCTGGTTCAGTTGCACATCCGATAGCTCAAACATCTCCAGAATGTTGATTATCAGCCTGCACGGCTCCTTCTCGTTCAGGTCAAAGTACCGAATATACTCCACTGCTGAGATGTCCTTCTTACACACAGCAAGCCCACAGCACACAACAGGATCCTTGAACGTCAGTGCCAGTCCATCGTTCATCAACTCCATTCCTGGCGCACCAAACACCTTCTTTATAAAGTGAAGTGCAAGCTTCCTTCCTATATAGTCCCCATTCATGCTCAGAAACTCAACAGCACACTTCGAATAGTTCTTACACACAACATTGAAAAACCCATACACCTCGCCCTCAACCTCCTGCCTTTGATACTCATCAATGCTGAGATATATCGAAACAACCTCCGTCAGTACTTCTGCAACAAGCTCTGGCGTACTACCCTGCCCAAAAAGCTTCGTCCAGAACTCTATCGATGCACCAAACGTATACACATCCTTCCTGAGCCCTTTGAACACATAGTCATACATCTTGCACACATTCCGAATCTTCGGCGCCTTATCCTTTAGTCCATTCAGGCACATTATCACTCCCTGGCACACTTCCATCTTCGATATAAGCTCTACTACATCCTCTATATCCAGCATGCCCATTCCATCACATAGAAACTCAATTGTCTTGCTGGGAAACTCAGCCCCCCTCCTAAGCACAATCCTGCAATCAAATGTCTTTGGCATCATCTTCAGAGACTCGGTGAGAATCGGGATAATGTGTTCGGCCATCGTGTCGTCAAACAATGGCATGTATGCGTTTGCCATCATCGCACACCCCTTCTTCAGCTCGCTCTTCCTCTCTTCGTTGATTTCCTGGCTGTAGTTGCATAGATACATAAAGTTCTCCAATATCATATATCCCATCTTGTCTCCATACGAAAGAAAGTCAATTATGATCGAAAAAAACGCAGGAAACTCCTTAGGCCATTCGTAAAGGCCAAGCATGGCAAACACCTGTGCGGACTTCCTTGTCTTTACCTCCTTGACCGTATCTTTCATAAACTCCACCTCCTCTCTCAAAGATACGCCTGCCATCTTTTTGGCCTTGATTCGCTGCTCAACAACCTTCAATGCATAGAAAACAGTCTCCATTGTGTTAGATGCAAGCAGTGCCTTGACAGGCGACAGGTCCTGGTGATTAATGTATTTTCCAACCTCGTACTCTATCTCGGGCATGACTGAGGGATCACCCTTGAGCTTGAAGAGGAGTTCCTCAAGCCTAGTTTTCATTTTAAGGAGGGTCCGGAATTCTTGAATTTGTGCTGAAAACAAGGCACAGTCGATGATGCAAAGGCTGTGCATGTGCTTTACATCGCTATTATGGATGCACATTTATGCTTCAGCAACGCATTCTTATGCATTCTAATGGCTAGACCTGTGCATATTACATTGGCATCATGCTAGCTTCCAATCCTAGGCAATATTGATAGATATCAATCGCCAAGCCTACTCAAAAGGCACGTGCTACAATAAAACATGCAGAACCAATTTTAGAATAGAATAAGCAATTGCAAAGGATCGGCTGATTCGATTTATAGCATGCTCAAATATTATCTGATCCCAAGCTGATGCATGCATGTGCATACTTCGCTCCACATACCTATACATATACATATACTGTATGCGAGCTACAGAATGATAAAAAGCAAGTAAATCAGAATCAGCCCGCCAGCAGTTGCTCCAACAATGAAATACTTGAAGTTTTTCCAAAACATCTTTGCTTTAGTTGCCGATGCCACTTCTCTGTGCTCTTCAGTTGTCTTCTCTAATGTGAATGTCTGTTCAAGCAATCCCTCCTCCACATCCGCAAGCTCTCGTTGCTTCATAAGCTCGTCCTTCAATACATCCTGTAGTTCCTGAATCTCAGTTTCTATCTCATTAGTAATGCTATCTGCCATGCTACACTGTCAAAGTATGCGTTACATACTTATATCACACATGCTCTACCAAGTTTCAAGCAAACAGTTAATCCAATCCAGTACTTTATTTAAAAATGTGATCTATAAATCACAGATTGTCAAAAATGCTTTCAATTGCCTGATAGTTCAACTTCCCAGACATCCTCTTTTCAAGACTTCTGAATGCATCAATAATCGAATCGTATTCCTCGACCCTTCTCTTCTTTCTATGTTTCTTCACCCCACTCTTCATTCTCTTTTCTCTTTCACTCATAAACTCTCCATACATCTCCTCCCACACTATCTCCCTCTTCCTGCTTTCCTCAGGCGAAAGAATGTTTCTATCAATCTCATCCTCATCATACGACCCTTCGCTATCAATACTGCTCTGAGGTGTTGAGTAAGGAATGCTTTCACTGCTTCTCGACTCAAGCTCCTTCACCTTCTCCATCATCACTCTCATCATCTTAACTGCCGGAGGATCCTCTTCCTTCTCAAGCCATGTTGCATTGAACTCCTCAATACTAAGATTTGCACTCTCTGTGTCTCCGATTTCCTTCAGCCTTCTATTGATTGTGCTCACAGACACATGAACCGTCCTGGCAATCTCATAGATACTTCTCTCCTCCCCGACTATCCTCGATGCCACCAGCAGCGCTGCTCCACACAGGTTGTTCGGCCTTCTGCCAACTACTATCCAATCCCTTTTCATCCTACTGATCAACCTCAGCGACAGGCTCAGCACTTCTTTGCTTTCAAACCTCAGGCGCGACACAAATCGTGGCATGTACAGCGACGGATCAATCAATGGTATGTCTATGTTCAGCATGCTCGTTATCCTCAAGAAACTCTTTCCTATCTTAAACACATCAATGCGCAGCGCATTCGAAAAATCCATCAGCATGTGTGGCGTCCCCTCCTGCCTGCACACAATGTATATGCACGCACTCAGCGTGTACAGTATCGACTTTCCCTTGCTCAAGTTGTGCTGCAGAAGCAGCTTGTACCATCTGAACGAGCACTCAATGTGATCTCCGCCAAGCCCAAGCGACGCACATATCCCACTTATAGTGTTCTTAATATAGTAGCTTGGATCAACAAATCCTGTCCCAACATTTCGCGACTGAATGTCAATAATCTGCCCATTCAGCGTTGCCTTGCACCCTTCCGTGTTGAAATTCAATGCTGCAACTATCCCGCTCTCCTCCTGCACCATCCCACACACCATGCAGTACACTGCTCCGTGCATCGTGTCAGTTGTGAATTCCTCCGATGAACAGTTCTGGCACTTTCCCATGGGTCCTGCCCCTCCTCTCAATAACAAACTAAATTACCTCTCCATTCCACATGCTCCAGAAATACATTTAATCTCCCGCCGCAAAGCATCACTCATACTCCTTGAAAACATGCCGGTCCTTCCACGCACAGAAATCACTTGCAAAAGACACCGGCTGCTTAAAAAACCCATGCCTCTCCTTCCTTCCCTCCAATATCTCGTTAAACTCTCCATCGCTTATTCGAACCTTCTTTATGCCCTCCTCTTCTCCAATAAAACTAACAAGTTGAAACTTATACTCTTCATCTTCCCCTTTACTATTTTCTTTTAGGCTCGACTCTATAAACCCTCTGGTAAACTCATCAATGCTCAGGCCCTCTTCATGAGCATCCCTTTCCACCTTGTTGATCTCGCTCAAGCTCCCCCCACTCCTCATAAGCATCCGAAGCTGTGCATTCTTCGGAAGAATCCTCAGCACATGCAGAATCGACTCCTCGCTTCCCACATTGTATCTATCACTGAGATAGTTCTTGATCGTAATCTGGTAGCGTAGAAACGAAAGCATCTCTGCAATCTGGTACTCACTCTCGTCATACAGTTCATCAACAATAATCCCGTACATCAGCTCTGCAACAACACCCTTCTCGTGCCTTTGCTTCATTCGCTGCCCAAGCTGTTCAATGTAAAGCCTCATCACATCGGCAAGCACATTGAGTGCTTGGTCCGTCGTCCTATCAAATCCACTCTGAGCCAGTATCTCCACCACCGCTAACTTCAATATCTTGAGATTCATGTTGGACTTCATTCAATCCCAAGGAGTAATTTTTTCGGCCTTGCAAAACCATTTCTCAAATGCAAGGCAACTCTATCAAAGCATAAAGCAGGACTCGTTCAACCACAATACAGTATTTATTTCCCTTTATTCATCTCTGCATCCCATAGATGCCCTATCCATTCAGTTGCGCATTCATTCAATGCCTAGCCGCTTCTTAAGATCTTCCAACTCGCCTAAAAGTGTGAAGAGCTGGGACTCAAATCTCTTCTTGAGAATGGGATTCAGTGCATTCTCAACCTGCTTCCTCTTCTCCTCTACGCTCCCTTCAAGAAGTTCTAGCTCCTTGCTTCGTGGCTGTTTCAACTTCTCCTCCGCCTCCTTAAACTCTACATACACATCCGTTTCATCATGCACATCCTTCTCCAACACTTCAATCCTGTCAACAAATTTGTTTTCAATTTCTGCTGCAAGTGTGTCCAGATCGTCAGAAACCTCCTTGTCATCCTTCGACACGATCTCAACGCTCTTGGCTCGGATGTCCTTCTCCAGAAGTTCATTCACCCTCCTCTCAATCTCCTCAACATGCTCAATCTTACTGCTTCGCTTTCTGAATCGCCTTGCCTTTGCATATTTCAATGGAGGACTCAGCCCACACATCTCGTGTATCTCGCGCTCTCTGTCAAAATCAAATCCGTCATGCGGATACACAACCACCAACGCCGAGATGTCTGCCACCTTATAGTACTGCCTGTTGTCCATGCTCTTCTGTGACTCAACAATGCACGGCAGCCTTACAACAATGCACGGGTACTTCTTGAGTTTGTGCGTCAAGACGGCCTTTCCGTTGCTCTGGATGTCTATTAGCGACTCTTTCAAGTCGACCACATGCCTGATGGATTCATGCAGCCTTAGTATGAATTGCTGCTCCATGGGCTGCGCCAATCACAAGAATGTGTATTGTACGTTCTGGCACATGCAATATGCCATACATGCCAATATACCGCAGCCCTGATGAAAACAGAAGCAAGCGGCGCAATCGTCAAGTTTTTCAACGAAATAGACACCTCTGATGCAGAGTCTATCTGTCTTGCAATAGCATCAAAGCTTGAGTCTCTGGCCATGACCTGCGAGAACAGAAACGAAATGGCGTTTCCTGTGGACACAGTTAAGGATATGATCGAGCTGTGCAACAAATTGAAAGAAAGAACCCCGCATCACAAGATTCCTACAAAGTACATCGAGCATATAAGAGAGAATAAAGAGGCGCGTGGCTATTTTAATGCATTGCAAGATGCTCTGAAGAGCGAAGAAGCTCGCATCATCACAAAAAGAAAGATGTTTGCTGCATTCAGAGGCATGATGAAGGACATGGATGCTCTGTGATGCAAGAATGCGTTTAAGCCAATAGACGATGATCCATTCACCCGAACGCAAAGCATTTGGAACGATGCATAACAGATGCACGGACGGCGTGAGTATAATTTAAATAAATCTGTAGCAAGTTGATGCATTTCTATCGCGCGTTTGCGGCTGTGCTTTGCTTCGATATATGTAGAGGCAAGACTGCACAGGCTCTGGCTTTCTTTGGAAGTCCAGGAGCAGAGCAATTTTTTCGGCAATAATGAAAAAAGGAGCAGCCCATGATGATGGAGCTTTTTTTGGGTATTGAATCGAACGACATGAAGATACACAAGCTAAAGAAGTATGTCGAAAGCGAGGCATTTCTCAACGTGTGTTTCTTTCCACATGATTTTCTTGAGGGATTGGTTGTGTTTGCAATTGAGGTACTTGGAAGCGCAGAACCTGAAAAGAAGGCACCGTTTACATCGGGTGGAAACGAGGCACGGTACACTGTACTCAGGGTGTTGAATAAGTTTGTGCTTGGAAAGACGCATGGAACGGAGCTTGTGCAGCTGCTGCATGTGGCATTGAAGAACGACAATCTGCCAAACATGATTCTTGCGATGAAGCTACTGAGTTCGCTCAGTCGATCAGGAGTGGTATCTGGAGAGCTAGGGGACATTCATGCAGCAGTTATGCTTGGAGTAATGCACGATCTGTTTGGCAGCATTGACACCGGGGATGAGGAGCTGATTGAGATGTCTCTTTTTGCAATTGGCGAGATGTTTGACCATGTGCATGTGTTTTTTATGGGCGTAGGCCACTGCGAAATGAAACTCGAGCAGTTTCTTGCTAGGGCGTATCGGCATGTTAGGATTGCAATTGACAACCGACGATTTATGGACCTTGCAGCACGCAGAAGGGTGTTTTGTGTTGAGATGTGCTCTATGATATGTGGATTGCTGAAGCTTACGTGCGAGAATGCCTCAGTGCTGATGAGGATGGGGGCATACCAGATGCTTGTAGCAGATATCGCACTGGTGGGGATGGCGTACTGCCCACCTGAATGCCTAGAGATGCGAAGGGAGATATGCTACTTCTTTGGGAAGATATGTGCAGCAAGCAAGGATGCTTTTCTGCTTGCAATGGAGAAGGTTGACATGTTCTCGTTTCTGTTTTCTCCGGACATGCTTGGCTCTGGGATGAGTGGGCTCAGGATGTTTTTTGAACTATTTGGGCTGTTTAGGGATACGCTTAGTAAGTCCACGGGCATGGACTTTGCGATACGGGTGTCTGAGGTTGTTGTGACGGTTTGCTGCTCGGCTGAGAAAACATGCAATGAGATTGAGAACGAGCAGTGCAACGAGGGGATAGAAAGCAATGAATGGAAACTCCGAGTGCATATTGAGCTGATGAAGATGTGTTTGAAGGAGATGAACACGGTATTGAAGCATTTTGGAACAAGGATTGGGGATGCTGATGACATGAGCCCGGTGTATATCAGGAGTTTTTATGACCTAGACACGATATTTGCAGGTGTTTTCAGGGTTGTAGGGGTAATAAGCAAGCAATACAAGGAAGTGAGTGAGAAGAGGAAAGAAGGAGGTGTAGACGGAGCGGAGCGATCATGTGCAAGAATGCAGAATCTGAATGTGTGCAAGGAGAGCAGAGAATCGCTGAAAGAGATGGTGTTTTTGTTTGTGTGCTGCTTCAAGGAGGTGATAGGAAGGATCAGAATGGCTGAGAAAGCAGGAGGCATCGATAGGTTTTCGACCACAGAGATCCATGTGCTGCGTAGGATGTTTGAAAGGTCGTTTGGCGTGTTTTTGTGTGAGATTGACTGGAATGAGTATGTTGTGGGAGAGTTCTATTCGGTACTGGGCATGCTGTGGGAGAATGTTGCAATGGATATTTCGGAATGTTTTTGTGAGAGAAGCTTTGAGTTGTGGGTTAGGAGCGAGAGGTTTATTGGAGTGTGGAAGGCAGTATGTAAGAATGCGATTTTAGGCAATCCTGTTGTGTCGTATGGGTTGCGATGGATTCTTACAGAGCTTGGGAAGGGCGAGGCCGAGGGAATCAAGCGGGTTGTGAGGCATTTGGTGCTTTTTTTCAGCAACGATGCAAAAAAGATAAAGCGTACGAATGTGTTTCTGATGCACAAGATGATATCTGTTCTTATGACGAAGGATGTAAGGAACATGAGATGCTTTGAGATTCTGCTTGAGGTTTTTGAAGCATTCCGAGGGATACCTGAGAGCAGTGCGTTTTTCCAGAAGTATATTTTTGACAACTTTCATCGGATTGTTGAACACTTGATGCGACTCTATGACAGCCAGAAGAAGGAGATTTTTGTAAGGTTGATATTTGCACTACCAGTGAGTGTGAATCTTGTTGAGGCCGACATTCATGTTCTTGTGAGGCCGATTGAGAAGGGCATGGGGCTTGACATGGGCACGCGGATAAGGGCATTGTCTATTCTTGTGTATGTGCTTGATTTTTCGAAGCAGGAGAGGATTGCAGGGCTTGAAGATGTGTGGAGAAGGATTATTAAGGGTGTGTATGAAGGTCTGGGAGATGGAAGGACGTCGCTGTTGTGTTCGAAGATCCTAGGCAAGCTGAAAAGTTACCATAGGGTATTTATAGGGCATGGCGAAGGGGATGGAAGGAGTGTGAATGGAGACGTAATGCGAATGGTGGTTGGTGGAGATGTGCCATTGTGCAGTTTATTTTTTGAAGCCGTGGAGAAGCTCCGAGGAGGATATGAGTACAGAGAAATGGATTTTGGATCTGAAGGAGCGATTATAAGGTTTAGAAGAGTGTGCGGGAGGAAGATTGGAGAAGAGGAGCAAGGAATTGCGTTTAAGTTTGTTGCAAGAATGCTGTATGGTATGATTGGAATAGATGCAGTGAAAAAGAAAAAGGTGATATGCAACTTGAGGGAGATTGTCAGGGAGACAAGCAATTCAGAAGTTGCTGTGCTGAATGTATTAGAGCATGTATACACGGGAATGGTTGGGAATGATATGAGACTGTTGGGCATGGGGATTGATATGCAATGCATGTATGATGGGATTCTTGGGCTTTTTAACTGCTACGGAACAAGCCATGAGGAGGATGCACAAGGGCTCTTACACAGTATATATGGGCTGGGGTTTATTAACAAGATTGTGATGTTTTACAAGGGAAGGGATGAACGGATAAGCATGCTACCTGAATGCGAGGTGCTGCTTGATGCACTTGCTGAGTCTTTTGGGGATGTTGGGAGCAAGATGCCGTTTATGGTGTTTTTGGTGATGGTGCAGCGAGGATATGAAATGATTGGAAGGAAGAGTGAAGGGTTTTGGAATGAGTTTTACGGAAGCATGTTTCTGAAGCTTGAAGGGCTGTGCAAGCTATCTGACGAGAGGAGCAAGGAGGCAGGGATGAATGGAATGCTGTGTTTAGCAGCAGTGATGCCGGTAAGGGAGATGGTACGACTAAGGATGTGTGGGAAGATGTTTTCGAGTGTGTATGGGCACTTTATACCGCCTGTGGCAGATGACTATGAAGTGCCATTGAAGCTTGTGGTTTTTATACTGAGGTACAAGTATGGAATGGTGAGGAGATGTGCAAGGCTGGAAGGCCTGGGAAATGATGATGCAGAGGGAGAGCTTGGGGTATTTGTTGGTAGGTTGTATGATGTGAATAGAAGAGTGGTTGAGTTTTCTAAGCGAGTGCTTTTGGAGGTGATGAAGAATGAAGCGCCAGGGATACTTTGCAGGCACAAGGGAGCGATATTTAAGTTTCTGAAAAGCGAGTATGTGATTTGGAGCCGGACGATGATGGTGAGGCATCTCGAGGTGTTTGTGTTTTGCGTAGTGAATGGAGGAGAGATATTTGATGAGTCTGAGATGAGATACCTGATTGGCAAGTTTATTGACAACGCGATGCATAATGAAGAACTGAAGGAGATTGAAGGAGCATATAATGGGCATGGTGATGCTGCGAAAGTTGCAGCAAGAGGATGTGAGTGTGAGAGGAGTGGAGGAGACGAGATTGTTGAGATTAGGGGGATAGCGAGGAGTGTGAGTGAATTGAGTGCAAGGGACTATATAGAGATGTGCATAGAGGGGTTACCTGAAGTGAGGTGTAGCAGATGCATGCAGTGGATTTACACAAACGAAGATGCATGGCCAAATCAGTTTGCGAACGAAGGAAACGAGCTGATGTATTGGATGAATGAGTTTTACATGATAGTGATCAAGTACTCGAAGAATGCGGAGGAGATAAGGAAGGGGATGGAGTATGTGATGAAGCATGCGAATGGAGATATGACTGAGTGCATAAAAATGATGTATTTGCAGAGGCCTATTGATGTAAGGAAGATGCTGCTTGAGCAAGTGGAGGCAAGGATGAATGAAAGGCATGATTACAAGGTGATTGGCCTGCTTGTTGGAATGTACAATGTGTTTGAGATGCCGGATGACTCGAGGATTACGATGTTGGCTATAAAGGCACTGAATGAGATGCGAACATCAAAGGATTTTCTGGTGATGATGCATGATGAAAGGAATTTGGTGTTTTTTAAGGCGCTTGAGCTTGGGCTTCTGCTGAAAGGGCAGGAGCCGGTGTATAGCGAGATATTGGAAGCATATGTGGCATTGGATGGATATGGGAAGGAGTATGCAACGAAAGCATATGCAAAGATTGTGGCAAGTGTGGGAAGGCTTGGGGCGCAATTTATTGGATGTATGATTCGAAGGATACATGAGTCGGCAGTGTATGAGCTATGTGTGAGCCTGTGCAAGGAATCGGATGACTTCAGTAGGATAATGGCTGAGATGAAGAACATGATTGCAGAGAGGATTTCGCAAGCATATTTCCGAATGGAAGGAGTGCGTTTGTTTGATGGGAAGGTGTTTTTGAATGCATACAAGTTGCTTTGTTTGATAGGATACGAGATGAGAACTATTGATGTGCAAGTGATTCTTGGGATGTATTCTGAGATGAGGAGTAAAGCGAAAGGAGGATATGAGATACGAAGGCTTATAGGAAGGTGTATTGGAGAGTTCTGTGCGGAGGATTTTGAGATGCTGTTTAAGGTTGATCCTTGGCTTGTGATGATTGACGGGATTGATCCTGGATGTTTCAGCGGCAAGCTGAGTCCATCAACACTTAAGTGTATGTTGAGAAGTGTTGACAAGAGGGACAAGGAGAAGGTTGTGAAGCTTGTGGAGTGTTTTGGAGATAACAAGCACATGCTGGTTGAGCTTTTTGTTGGGTTGAAGATAAGGAGCGAGGAGCTTTTGAAGTATTCTCGAGAGAATATTCAGAATGTGAATTTGAGGGGGGTGTTGCTGTATTATCTGTGTACTTTTGAGGCAAGCAGCATGTATTTTGAGATGCTATTTAAGATGCCTTATCAGGACCGAAGGTATACGGTGTATTGCTTGGAAAGGCTTGTTGACGCGGCAGGAGCGGGGGTGTTTGAAGAGATAGTGCTGGTTGTGCTGAGGTCTGAGGTACGATCGAAGACGAGCGGATGGATATTGTTTCCACTGATGATGTCGAGGCCCGAGCTGATTAGCAAAAGAATAGGAATGGAGCTTATTGGGGTGATATGCAAGCTGATTAAGTCTAATGTGCGATCGCAGGTAAGGATTGGATTTAGGCTGTTTAAGGTGTTGTATGATAGGTACTGTGAGTGGAAAGAGGCGAATGAAGGAGAGGCATACTGTGAAGAAGGAATGATGAATGTGTATACTATGATGTTTGTTGGCTATGTGAGTTCTGACAAGGATTATGTTGATGAAATGATTGCAGGATGCAAGCTGAGGTTGAATTTTGGGCTTTTGAGTTTGGAGCCTGAGAAGGTGAATACAGAAAAGATGATGAAGGCGGTTGAAGAGGAGATGCAAGGAGAGAAGTGTGAAGAGTATAAGATGGATGTGATCAGGGCTGTGCTGGAAGTTATTCCGTTGAGTGTTTGGATGAGCGGAGAGGTTATGGCAGGAACTATGCAACGAATAGTGAAAGGAAAGATGATGAATTATAAAGAGATGTGTATGCATCTTGAAGATGAGGAGGTCAAGTATGCAGGAACAAGCTTGTATAGTCTGATGAGTGTATTGTGCGATAGGATGGATGTGGATGAGAGCGAGGATGTGGAGGGCGACTTGATGAGTTGTTTGCTGATTGTTAAGTTTTTGATTGCAGAGTATGGCAAAAACAAAAGTGCGAAGTATTTTGGATGGATAGAGCAAGGGATTGAAAGGATAACTTATGAGCTGTGTGAAATGGAAGGGATGGAGAGTGTGGTTTGTGAGATGTGTTCGATGCTTATGGAAGCACTTGGAAGCGAGCTGCTGGATGTTGAGATGATAAGTAGCAAGGTGTGTTTTATGATGCCTGACCTGAGGATACCGCTTTCAAGGAAGATGGAGATGCTTGGGCAGCTTTCTGCAAAGGGGTGTGATGAAGATGTTGTAGGGATGCTGGCATTATCTGTTGTGAATAGGTACAAGTATTGTGGAGTTTGTGTAGGAGACGAGGCGCATGTGTTTTTTATGAAGGGATTGTGCTCCAGAAGTAAGGAACTAAGACGAGGATGCATTGATTTGCTGAATGCGATACTTCCTCGGAATGAGAGCTTAAGAGTTAGATGGCTGTTGAATGTGGATTGGAAGGAATGCAGAATGGTTGAGTATGTATTTCTGGTGATGATGATGTATTCGCATGATGATGTTAGGATTGTTGTAAGGAAGTGCGGTGGCTATGGAATAGGAGATGTGAGTGTATGGAGGATGGATCAAGTGGAGGATGAGCTAAGACTGAGTATTGGAAATATGGAAGATGTTCTGCAAAACGGGATTGAGGGAATTGATGTGTATGGCGACCGGATGAGTGTTGATGAGATTGCGGATGCCTTTTACAGTATGCAGGATGCTGTAAGAAATGTGTTGCCTGATGTTCTGAAGAGAGCGATATGTAGGATGGAGAAGATGGATTATAGGGAGGTGTTTGGAGAGTTTGTTGGGTTTATTGAGCAAATGGCAAGCATGCCTCGTGTGGTAGAAGGGTTTCTGCAAGGGTTTGAGTGTATCCTGAGGTATGCAAAAGATGAGTGCAAGGATGAGTTTGATAGGATGGTTGAGAGGTTTGCAGGAGGAGATGGATGGTATGGGATACTGGAGTATGCTGGCGAGAATCAGAGGATAAGGATTTATGAAAGACTTTTGGATGAGGATAGGATGCTTGGGATGTGGCGCAGCGTGTGTGTTTTTCCTGAAACGATGCAAGGAAGCTTTTTACAGCAGATTGGAAAGACTAGAGATGCACAGGTGAAGTATGAGGAAGTACAGAAGAAGGCAAGTGATCGCAAGATATCGTTTGAAAAGGAGGAGTATGGCGAGTGGCAGAAGAGATGGGTTGAGTGTGCAAAGGAATTGCAGCAATGGGATGTGTGCTATGAATATGGAATGCATGTTAAGGATTATGAGCTTGGAAAGGAGTGCCTATGGCACATGTGTGATTTTAGCAATCAGGGAGCATTGGAAAAGTTTAATGGGCTTGTGTGTGCAGGATCTGGGTTTGAGCAGAGACTTTACGAGGCGTTTGGGGATTTTTTTTTGAATATGTCGCTTGAGAAGATCCGAGGATGCATTTCTGATGGGATTAGGGAGATTCGAAGGTATCCAGCATGTTCTGTGATCGGATCGAAGCTGCTGATGCATTTGCAGATTATGATTGAGATGATTGAATTTGAGCCGATGCTGAGCAGCAAAGCGGATGGAGAGACATTGACATCGGTTTTGTTCAGATGGAAGGACAAGGAGCCATGCGTGCTTGATGGGATTGGAATATGGGGAATGTTTAAAGCATGGAGAGTGCATGCATATTCGAAGCTTGGGGCGCCTGACAGAATGCAGGTGGATAACAAGGCAGCTGCAAGGGGGCATGTAGGAATACAGCATCCAGGTATAAAGGTCGGAGGCAATGATAATGGAATGAAAGTACGAAGGGAGATTGCAAGCAGAGCAGTGAATGAGATGGCGAAGGTACTGAATGCATTTTCTAAAGCTGCGATTGTCGATGGATACTGCGATGTGGCGTTATTTCAATTGAGGGAGGTGTTTGACTTGAGTAGCATTAAGGTGTGTGATGCGTTTGAGAAGGTTGTGCATGAGCTTGTATGCCTGCTTGGTAAGGGCGAATACAAGATGGGGCTTGACCAATGCAATCTGACGAATATCCAGTATTTCAATGATTTGCAGTGCTCAGCATTGATTGGGATGAAGGGGACGTTCTGTGAGAAGATGGGCAAGGCTTCTGAAGCAGAGAAGTTTTACCTACAGTCTGTACAGGTGTGCAATGTGTTTGGGGAAAGTTGGCTTGCATGGGGAAGGTTTTTGATGAATAAGGCGGAGAAGGAGGAGTGCGTAGTGTATGAGGAGAGTTTTTTTGCGATGCTGCAGGGTGTTATATACAGCGACGGAAAGAATGCACGCAAAGGGATACTGAAGCTACTGAGGATGCTGAAGAAAGATGGAAGGATATGTGAAGAAGGTCTGCTTGAGAAGATACTGTGCGAAGCAGACATGTCGAGATTTATTTATTTTGTACCTCAGCTTATTGATCTTCTGAGCAGAAGAGAAGTGGGGGTTGCCGAGATGATACTTGTTAAGGTAGCGCAGGAGTATGCGCAGGCAGTGATACGGCCGTTGAAGCTGTGCAGGGAGAGGCTGAGGATGCGTATATATCCTAGGAAGTCTGAGAATGAGTTTATGATGCAAATGAACAAATTGAAAATGAGGTCGGTGAATGGGAATGAAAGATGTTGTGATGTTGAGAAGAAGAGGCATCATGATGTTTTTCTGGAGAATGTGATGCGGGTGTACAACCAGGTGAAGAATAGGAGATATGGAAGGGAGCTTTGGAAGATACAGTGCTATGTTTATGAATCGTTCCACTCGTGCAGATTTAAGGAGGAGGATCTGGTTTATGAGGAGATAGAGAAGATTTTGAACAATGCAGTGCAGCATGTGATAGGCAGAAGGGCGCCGAGTGCGATTGATCAGGTGAGTGTTCTTAATGAGATGATATCGCATGTATCGCTTTGTGGAGTTGGAAAGGAGCTGAAGGAAGAGGTGATGTCATGTGTTTTCAGGATGAGAAGCCTGTGCCCTCTTGAGAAGATATGTGATCTGGTTGAGTTTAGAAGCAAGCTGAAGAGGGTTGTTGAAGAATCGTTTTGCAAGAATGACAGGCTTGGAGAAGCGGGGATCAATATGATGCTACACAGGTCTGTGCACGAGCATCGGATGTTTGAGCAGTATTGCGAGATAAGGAGCAACTACAAGCGTTTGGTGGGTATTGAGATGTTTGAGCCCAGATGGAGCTATTTGCATAGGAAAATGATTGGCAGAAGCAGGATTCATGTGAGAGGAAGCGATGGGCGGTTATACAGATATGAGATACGAAAAGTGAAGGGGGGTAATGGAAGAGAGCTGGTTGTGCCACAGATGTCGTTGATGGTAAATGAGGTAGTAAGCGAGCATGTGAGGCTTCGAAGGAAAGAAGCGGAGCTGAAGCTGTTTGTGCCTGTGATGATGTGTGAAGATCTTGCTGTTGAGTGTGTTAAGGAGCCTGTGTATGAGATGAGCGATGTGTATGGAAGGATGCTGAATGGATATGGAATGTGTGTGGACGAGTGTGTACTGTTGTGTTTGAACCACTTTGCAGCATTGTATGAAGTGGATGAGAAGGAGAGTGATGTGGTTGGAAGGAGGTATGATCTTAAGGACAGGACGCTGAGAAGAGTGACTAGGGATGTTGCTAGCAAAGATGCAATGTGTGAGTGCCCAAATATAAGGAAGGAAGGATGTATACAGCATGAAGAAGTGCATGCAAACATAGAGAATGAAATGAAAGCAGTGATATGTGGGCAAAAAGAAAGGTATGCATTGAATATAGCACTGAAGGAAGCATCATGTCTAGGATGTGGAGAAGAAGGGATAGATATTGAGCCATGCACCTACAGATATGATGTTACCAAGCATCGGAAGCAAGAAGCATATGAGAAGATGTACAATACATTTAAAGACAAGAGTTGCATTGAGGAGTATTTCAAGAATGAGTATAAGAGCTATGGGAAGTATTTTTGGATGAAGGACAGGATGCTTGTGAGCTATTCGATGAATACGGCATTTATGTATTTGCTCTCGATTACGGAAAGAGATGTAAAGAAGCTTGTAGTTACTAAGGAGTCGGGGTGCTTTATGAGCAGAATGGTGTGTAATGATGCGCATGAAGTGCTGAGTAGAAGGAGAATGGAGGAAGGGGTGATAAGCCCGGGATATCAGAAGTTCTTTGGAAGAGAGGGGATAGAAGGAACGCTGCTGTCTGTTATGTATCACTTTGCAGAGGTGCTGAATGAAGAAGACTGGTATGAGGATGTATTGAAAGTTTTGGGAAGCGGAGTGATTGAGGATTGTACAGAAGAGATGGAGGAGAATATTTGTAAAGAAGGAGTGGAGAAGGTGAAGTATGTGGTTGGCAAAGGAGAAGATGGAACCTATAATGTTATACCGATGGTTAGCAAATGGATGGATATTTCTAAGCTTGGGCAAGTAGATCCGAGATGGATTGCATGGCTTTGATGATGCTGCCTGGCAGACGTATGTGTATTATATGTATTAAATTGTTTGATTTTATGCAGGATGTCGGTAGATGATGAAAAGTAAGCGTGCAGAGAGACCCATGGATACTGTTTTAGTCAAATTAGTTGATAGGATGCATCCGGAGATTGAGCATGATGCTCTGCATGTTGAGAGGAGCTTTACGGCAGAAGATATCAAAAGATATCTGAAAGCAGTACTTGGAATGGAAGGTAAGTACAGACTGTATATTGAGGGAGTGCCGTTTGAAGGAAGTGTTGATAGCAGGATAACAGATAGAGGGCTTGAGATTGAGAAAGGAGTGGCTGTTGAGTATGAGATTGATGATCAAAGCACGCCGGATGTGTGTGTTGATCTTGAAGACACAGTGATGTTTCTGAAAGTTGTTGGTGAGGATTCAAAGATATGGTGTTGCACCTATAGCGGGATGTTGAGGATGTACTCGTGTGTTGAGAGGGCGATTTCACTGATAGCAACAACTGAATGCCGTGGAGTAAGAGGAATGGCAATTGGAGATAGAATGCTAGCATATGACTGCGGCGGAAAGATTGTTGGTGTTGATGATGCAAAAGTGTTGCTTGAGATTGTAGGAGATGTGACAAGTATGTCATTCAAAGGAGATATGATTTGCATTGGGACATATCAAGGAGAGTGCTATGTGCATGGCCAGGAGCTTAAGAAAGTGAATGAGTTCAAGACCAAGGTTGTATTTACGTCAGTAAGTGAGGAGGCTGTAGAGTTTGTGTCTATGGATGGGGATATGTATCAATGGTGCTTGAGCGGAGAGTGCAAGAAAACCAAGCTTGGCCATAATGTTACGGCAGCAGACATGAAAGGGCAAACAAAGGTTTTTGGAACATCGTCGTCAGAAATGCTGGTTGTGAGCAATAACGAAAAGTCCGTTGTAAAGACAAGAATTAGATTCAGCACTGCAGTGGCAATAGGAAGCCAGGGCATAGTAGCACAAGCATCACAATACACAATCTCTATTATAAACACAGCCAGCGGAGATGAGATGCGAAAGATCGTTGTAGATAAGTGCATTGCGGGCATTGGATGGGTAGAAAACATGCTGATTGTAGCATGTGGATCTACCATCCGTGGGTATTTTATACATTATTGACATAAACCTGACATTTAATAGAATTATTTCTGTAATGCTTCGATAGCAGTTTCGTTGCTGAGACATATTATTACTTAACTGTTTTACCGTTGCTTTGGTAACAATTAGAATAATGTTGGAAGAGCAAGCCTTTCGACAAAGCATCTCTGTCCTCTGTATGTTACCAGCGGAACCCCTGGAATGGCTCGTATTCGTTGCTTCAGAGCAGTGTCTGATGTTGCAACAATATAGCATCTGTGAGCAGATACTCTGTTTAAAATGCAGTCGTCTGCATATGTGCCTTTATGATTGCATTCTAGCCTCTGCACCTTGCCGTCCCTCATGAGCGAGAGCGCCACTCTGAACGGCCTGCCTAGTTTTTCCAGCTCTCCAATAACACACTCTGTAACACACATCCTGATGCTTCCATTCACAGCCTTCATCAGTTGTTGCTCTATGTCCTGTTTCTTCCTTATGCAGTCATTGATGAAGTTCGTATCCACTATAATTCTGTATGGAGGCCTAAACACATGGTTGAGCAGAAACACGTCTGTGTTTCTTGGATTCTCCTCTGTTTCTATGTCTTGCTTGACCACCTCCGGCTTCTTCCTTTTCATTACATTTATGACTTTTTTGCTCTTTACTGCATGCTTTACTGCCATTGCCCTTCCATAATCATATTTATTTCAATGTTTCAAATAGCTCGCCAAGCTAATGCTCATGCTCATACACCGGTTCGAAGTGGCTATGTGCATAGAGTATCGAGATGCTTTCCCTGTGATCTGCATATGTGTCGATACCGTCCTTTCCAACATCCACAATCTTAATTGCTATTGGTATGCTGTTTGAAAGAGCACATATCTCGATGCATCCTGCATGCTTGAAAAACGGATCTACATGTGTTGAGCAGTATTGATCAACACCCATGTCTGGAATGTACAGTTGGTAAACGTCAGAATTACTCTTCAGCTCTGCCGATACAACAAGCCTCAGATACGCCACACAGTCATACCATGTATACAGTGGAACGTCTTCCACTTTCACCGTGCCGTCCATAACGTCCTTCAGCACCTCAACAAACGTTTCATGGAAGCCTGAAAACCCTAGCTGCTCAATCCCACATGCAGTAAATCTTGAATTTATCCGATCAAATACACTTACCAGTGTTCCAAACAGCTGGTTTTCAGCACACACAAGATCGGCAAGTGCCACTGCATATGAAATATACAGGCAATTGCCGTCACGGATGCATTCTCTGAATTGGTTGTGTGTATGCATTATTCGTTGCATCCTGGCACATGTTTCTGGGTCTGTGAAGCATCTGTGCAGAGATAAACTCTTCTTAATGCTTGTTGCAGGCTCAACAGATGTGCTTGAGTCATCGATCTGATTGGGCTGCGCATCTCCTTGCATCAGAAGGGGTGGAACACAGCATTCTATTGAACAGTACTGCGTATCAGAATTCGATCTCTGCCATATGTGTGGCATTTATTTATGCGAATGTTGATGCACTGGCCATGCATGGCTGATTTATGTGTTTCGCCCAGACCCATCAGATATGAAAAAAAACGAGCTAAGGAAGGAAAGCATTTCGATATTCATTAATCTCATAAAAACAACCATAGGATCCGGGATCTTGAGATATCCGTTTCTGTTTAAGATGTATGGCCCGTGGTACACAATAGTCTTGACACTGATTTCTGCACTAGCGTCTCTTTTTGGGCTATGGATGTACATCGATTTGAACGACTTCTATGGATTGGACAATTCGATGTCCACAATTGCTAGATACATATACCCGCCACTGCAGAATATTGTGAATATTACTGTGTCTGTAAAGTGTTTTCTTGTTTGCATTGCGTATCTTGTTTTGCTGAAAAACAATGTGCCTAGAACAGTGAGTGCGATATTTGGGATGCAGGACGAGTATCCTAATCTGTGTATTTTCGTAATAGCTGTGTGTATTTTCCCGTTTGTTGTGATGCACCGGATAGACAAGCTGAGATACACGTCGCTGTTTGGATTGGTTGCTGTGATGGCCCTTGTGGCTTCATCGATTGCTATGTATGCCAAATCAGGCGATGTAGTAGCGATGCAGCACACAGCCACCAGCAATGGCAAGTTGTTTGGAGAGCTTGGAAGCTTTGTATTTGGATTTACATGCCACCAGAACATCTTTTCTGTTCAGAACGAAATGAAAACCAACAACAAGACAGCACTCAAGCTCACTACGTTTCTTGTCCTGGGCACGGCATCTCTTACATATATAGTATTTGGGCTTGCAAGCTACCTAGCACTTGGAGATTCAATGAAGGAAAACTTTTTTGAGAATCTTCCGGATAGAATAAGGAACACAGTGGCTGTTTTCTATTTCTTTGTTGTTATGATGTCGATTCCGTTGCAGACACATCCATGTAGAACATATTTTCTGAATCTGTTTGGAGCAAAGTACTCTGCCGAAAGGAAGTACAGGCACCTGAGGTTTGTTACCAGTTTGTTTATAATAGCTGTAGCACTGATAGCTGCAATGAGTGTAAGCAAGATGGAGAGGCTGTGCGAGGTCATAGGCGGATCGTTTTCAGCATTGATGTGCTTTGGATTTGCATCTGTGTATCACTTCATGGCATTCAAGCACCGAGGGATTGAGATTAGGAAGATTATGCCGCTTTTTGTTCTTTTGTATGGAATGGCTGCGTTTGCCTCGCTCTTTGCTCATCCATGATGATATGCCTGAGCATTGATTTATTTGTATTTGTGCATGGAGTGGAGAGCAGGCTGTTGAGTACAGGAGTATGAATCTGTTGAATAGTGCTAGTCATGGAGATGCATTTGATTGATGAGATGTGCACACTGATTGAGCGAAAATAGATACCGTAAGCTGAAACATATGTCTCAGAATGTGTCGGAAAGTATAAATTTTCGATATTGTGTGTTTGCAGTGATGAGAGGGACTTTTGTGGTGCCAATCTTATTGAGCCAGATGATGTGTAAGGTATACGATACAGGATATTCTTCATTTGAGCCTGTTGTTGATGAGGCAGCACTGAATAATGTGGGAATCCCGTTCCTGACCGGGCCTTCACAGAGTGGAATTAATATGCTGAAGGACCCTATGATGGTGGATATCTACGGCAGCTATGACAAGTATGGCGGGTATCCACCATCAGCAGGTATGAATGCAGTGAATCCGATTGCAAACATGGAAGGAGTGTTTTTTGACAATCTGTATAAATCCATGGCACCCATAATAGCGCATTTTAGTGATAAGATTGGGCAGTTCCGTACGTGGTATCAATCTGTTGAAGTTATAATGAGCAGCGACATGAGAAGAGAGATTGTTTCTAGTATGTATGCAATTCATCACAAAGAAAACGACAATGAGCTGGAGGAGTTCTGGGCAATGATTCTTGGGCAGCTGCTGTTGAATACAATGCCTTCGTTGAATGAGGATTTTAACAAGCTAAAGCTGATGGTGAATGTAGAAAGGGCAGAGGGAAATGATGACAAGTATGAGTTTAATGAGCTTCTGAAGGCACAGACCGAGAACGATGTGGAGTATGTCAAGGAATCAGGATTGGTTATGACGAACCTTGAGCTTGGGATATCGAAGTATGGCATGAAGATATTCACTGATGTTGTGGAGCCGTTTTTGAACTCAGCAGTTGATTTCAAGAGGTTGAAGAGAAGAATGGAAAACATGGTGGGAACATCCAAAAGCTTAATAATAAACTGACTGTTTCTGTTAATGCTGTATTGTGTTATGTGTTACTAGTAGTGTGATGAGGGATGCAGTGTAAGATGCTAGTGATTAGTGATCTTTCGCTGGTATATTGCACATGGATATGCTGAATGGCAGCTAAAGAATTGTGCTGTTGGCCCGAGGCTGATATTGGCAAACGATATGTGTGGGTGTTGTCTTCGGTGACGTGGCCGAGCGGTCGAAGGCGGCAGACTTAAGATCTGCTATCGTATGATGTCGTGGGTTCGAACCCCACCGTCACCATACCGTTTTGGGCATTCAATTTTATTATTTCTACACTGGGCAATCGACTCTGCTCAGCACTACAGGACTCATAAATCAAACCCCATGATCTGGTTGTATTACACCACAAAAGATAAAACGATTTAATAAAGCGTTATTGGGCTTGCTTGGTTCGTCTTAATCAGCACCCCATCGAGGCTCTGCAGCCCCTTCTTCAGATACGAAAGAAGCAGTCCCATCCCACACTTGATGTTTTCATATACGTGTTCAGAGTCCATGCCAGTATGCCCCACTGGAAATGAAGTAACTGCAAAGTCCTTGATTCTCAACTTGTACGACTTCTTTGCCTGCTCAAACACTTTCGAAACATCATCATCATTCTTCATTATGTACGGAGTCTTTCCACATCTAAGAATGTTCTTCAGCTGGTATACCTTCTGGTATCCAGGACATAGTATAAAGTACTTGTTCGTTTTAAACAGCCTTTCACGAACAGATTTCTTGTTATCTGCACTGATCTCATCAATCAGCACACACGGTATTCCTTTCTCAGTACATTCCTTCATGTGTGCCTCGTCGGCAATCACAACCACCTTGTCCGCCCTTCTCACCTTGTATGGAAAAGCCATGTCCTTCGAGACCTTGTTGTCCTTCTTGGCATCATATCCCTTGAGATTCACCTGTATCTGTATAGTGTCTACCTTCTCCTTGCATCCAGTCTTCAGACGCTCAATCACTCCAACTATCCTCTTGACCTCAAGAAATGCTAGCTGATCGTCCTGCTTGTGAATCATTAGCCCCTGCCGAGCAAAAAAATTTAAAACTTTTCTTTACTACACTTTACTATGGCTTGCAACATAATTGCAAATACCTCGGCAATACTGTCCATAAATACTGCATGCTTTTACACATTAGGCTCATACAGTAAATACAATATGCATAGCATACTCAATAGCCAAGTCCATTTACAATCTCCACATGCACATTGCAGAGATGCGAGTGCCAACAAATAAGCAATTACATATTAGATTCAAAATGATTATGTGTAGCTACAGTGAACCTTATAGTGCTGAAGCATATTGTCCTTTCTTGAAAATCGTTTGTTACAGTCTCTGTTCAGGCACTTAAAAGGTCGTAATCTAGTATGAACAATATAATGCCGCTTGATTCTACTTACAGTAGGCAGCTCCATTGTGCATCCTTCATACGGGCAGATGTACATTTTGGTTCCGTTTCTTGCCTTGTATGCGAACATGGATGTTTCAAAATCAGCAAAACATTCAATTTTGTCGTCAGTCGAGCCTAGTGTTTCCGTAGATGCATGCTTATATTCCTTTTCCTCAAACACGGGTTTTTGCATGTGCTCAGCAATGTTTATTTCGCCCAGCACTTCTCTCTTTCTCCTCCTGATTTCCATTTTCTTTTCATTTAGGCCTTTGCTAATCTCCATGTACTGGCTGATTCGTTCGCCAATGATGTTTTGCATTTCTATCTCGGCTTGAATGATCAAATACTGCAAGGATATCAGGTTTTCATCCGCCTCTGCACTATCATTCCGATTGTAGGTGCTTTCGTTGCTGTATTGCTTTGTGGCCGTGCTGCCTTTGGTTGTTGTATCCGTGCTTGAGGCATTACAAAAGCTATACTTTTGTAGGCTTGCTACAGAGCTGTGCTTGATTGCTTTACAGTGTAGCATGCATACCTCTGTGCATGATGAATTCGGCTGAACATCCGCACAACCTTGTCTCATATTGCTTGCTATTCTTGTTGAATATGTACCAGCTCTGCCTCTTCTTGTGCATTGCTGGCGATTGTTACATTGCGAATCCTCAGAAGAGCTGCTCGAATCAAGCCCAAAGTCTGCTCTGCAACCGAGCATGCTGATACATGTACTACCGCTTATATCTTCCCGCTACTTATTGTAAAGGAGAGTACCTCCTTATGCCATCAACCAATCAATCATGCTGGTCTGCTCGTGAATGCATGGCAAATCTATCATGATGATTATATATGCATGCATAATGCTTTTGACACAGACACCAACATCCATTTGATACATAAGTGCATCTTAGAGCAGTAATTTGTACAGTAAGCAGTGTTGTCCTTGGTCAAGTGCGTTTCGTTATTAGTGGTCTATAGAACTCAACTTGCTCAGATACTGCTTGCTTCCTGGTACTGTTTGTAAGACCGCAGGCACTCAATTGGAAAGCATGATGTATTTTTTTTTGTCTGAGGCCTCGTTGATGAAGTTCTCTATAGCAGACCAGAAAAAGAAGTATGCAACAAAAGAGGATATCGCAGATGTTTTGAAACGGATTGAAGATGACATCGAAGAGCTTGTTGAAGTGGATCTTTCGGGCAACTGCTTTTCTGAAGAGGCCATGGAGGAGATCTGCAAGGTGCTTACGAATGCAAGATGCCTACGCGTTATCAATCTGTCGAGTGTGTTTCTGCTTCTTGGCAAGGAGAGACTGTGCCACAACCTTGCGCTTCTTTCGAAGATGCTGAGGAAGCACTGCATACAAAAGATCGACCTGAGCGACAACGCAATAGGATCTGAATTTCCTGAGGAATTCGGAATGTTTATTTCTGAGGCAAGAAGTCTTGTGCATCTGAAGATGAACAACTGTGGGCTTGGGGAGATCGGAGGAAATAGACTTGGAAGATATATGAAGAGCATTGAGGACAAGGGCAAGCTCGAGGTGGTTGACATTGCGCAGAACAGGTTTTTTGTTTTTCCAAAGGAGTTACGAGAGGCGCTTGAGGAGTTTGATGGGATAAAGGAGCTGAGGATCCAGTACAACACGATTGAGGAGGTGACGATGCTGAGCCTTCTGAATGGATTAGAAAAGCATGTGCTTGAGGTGCTTGACATGAGAGACAACTTTTTGTCTGAAGAGGGATCAAAAAGACTGGGTGAGTTGTACTGCGGATGGTACATGAAGGAACTACGGGTTGGGGACTGTATGATGAGAAATAGCGGAGTCAAGAGGTTTTTAGAGGAAGCAAGCAAGAAGTTTGTGCCGATGTGTCTTCCTGGTGAATACACAGGAAGGAGTGGGGTTGTTCTGGATCTGTCATACAATGAGTTTGAGCAGGATGCAATGGATGCTTTGTGTGAATTCTGCAGGATAAATGCTGTGAAGGAGTTGATAGTGTTTGGAAACTACTATGAAGATGCTAGCAAGGCGATTGAGGTGGTGAATGAGCATGGTGGAAAGGTGATAGCAAGCGAGGGACGGGACGATGCATCAGACGCTGATGAAATAGCAGAGTCGTTGATAGAGAAGGTGGCGAAGCTGTAGACAATATTGATGTTTGTTCACTAGCGATGCTTGGCATGGACGGTCTGTTTGTGTGTTTATGCATGCATCCTTAGTGCTATGAAATAAAGGAAGATTGGATAATTGTTTTGAAGTTTGTATGATAGACGCTTGAATGTTTGGAAGGAAGATAAAAAGAAAATCCATGCTGGGGTGGGAGGAGCAGTTTCTGGATGAATTGTAGAGAAATTGAAGAAGCAGAGAAGGATCTATTTGAAGGGGTTGTTATTGATGCAGAGAGGATTGTGGCCAATCGCGGAGTGGAGATTGGAAACGGCGTGCATGAGAAGGATAGAGAGGCGCCCGGGAGATACAAGAGGCTGCAAGCGATTCTCGGGGAGGGATCGTTTAAGAAGGTTTACAAGGCGATTGATCAGGAGGAAGGAAAGGAGGTTGCTTGGAACGAGATAAAGATGGGGGGGAGGGCATGCGATGGCAAAGAACGGGTGCTGTTTGCAAACGAGATAGGGCTGCTAAAGTCTATTTCGCATCCAAACATCTTGAAGATATTTGACTACTGGTTTACAGCAGACAGTTTTATATTTATTACCGAGCTAATGAGTGGGGGAACACTCAGACAGTATATATCTGAGATTGGAGATCTGTATGTGAAGCTGATTAAGAAATGGGGGAGGCACATACTTGAAGGGTTGGTGTACATGCACAGCCAAGACCCGCCGATTATCCATAGAGACATTAAGTGTGAGAACATCTTTGTGAATGCCGCGCTTGGGGAGGTGAAGATTGGAGATCTTGGTGTTGCAAAGGAGCGAAGGATGAAGCGATACACGGTTGTTGGAACGCCTCAGTTTATGGCAAGGGAGATGTTTGAAGGAGAGGGATATGGAGAGAAGATTGATGTGTATGCATTTGGAATGTGCTTGATTGAGATGGCCACAGGGACATATCCGTACAAGGAGTTTAACAGTGCAGCAGAGGTGTATAAGGCGATTATACAAGGGGTTCCGCCCGTTGTGCTAAGCTCGATCAATGACGTGTGCCTGAGGAATCTGATTATGAACTGTTTGGTTTCTGAGAAGGACCGGCTGCGTAGTGTGGACTGCCTGAGGCACCATTTTTTCAGTGCAAGCAATACATGCAATGGAGAGTGTATTCCGTCTGAGTGTATGTCTGGCGTTCCTCTTACTGCGCCTGCAAGCGACATGGAGATAAGCTTTTTGTCATTTAAGGACGAGGTGATTACGTTCCAGCTGTTTTTCATGAGCATGGCAAGGTTTATTAAGTTTGACTATGACTTGAATAAGGATACCGTTGAAGATGTTGCAAATGAGATGCTTGAGGAGGATGTGGTGTCTGAGGAGCAGAGGGAAGCGCTTGTAACACTACTTTCGAAAGGACTTGAGAATGCGAAGTCGAAATACTTGAGGCGTGGCGAAGAGAGGGATGAGGAAAAGAGCGAGGAGCGGGCTATTGAGGAAGGGATTAGGCAGATGGAAGTGGATGCTATGAAGGAGAAGAGCGGCGTTAGGAATGACTTTAACAAGATAGGTGATAGAGAGATGAGCACAGAAGATGCAGAGTCTATGTCTGAGATGGATGTGAAGCCAAATGAGTGTGAAGGGACTGGCAGGAAAGAAGAGCTGGGTGGTTGTGACACAAGGGTTGGGAATATATGCAAGTCGCCTCTGAACTCACCTGAGATGCTTGGGAATGTGGATGGAGGAATATCTGATGAGCAGCGAAGGATTGCGATTATTAAGTGTTTTGACGGGTTGGAGTGTCCTAGCAAGAAGTATGACAACGATGTAGTGATTGAAGAGTTTGCAATTGATGTGTCTGTTGCAACGAAGAGATCACCTGAAACGGCAGGCAACTGGATAAAAGTGTTTAAGTCGAATGACATTGACACTGTTTTTGAGCTGAAGATTCTTGTGGATGAAGACTGGGACAAGCTTGACCTTACAGTGTTTTCTAGCAGAGCAATGAAGAACATTCTGTATGGAATTGACAAGATTCCACTGAGGGAGAAGCAGCTTCCGACAAGCACGGCTACCAAGGACTATGATGGAGAGATGGGGATTAGGGAGTTTCTTGAAGAGGTTGCATCGCAGGTTGGAAAGGAGAAGTGTGTGTCTGTATGGGAAAGCAAGCTATTGGCGCAGGACATACGAACGGTTGAGGAGTTGAGGTCGTTGTACCAGGACGATTGGGATAGACTGGGACTGTCTGTGTATTCGTGCAGAGTGATTAAGAATGTTATTTTTAAGAAGGGAAAAATTGTGTGTTGCTGAAGGATACGAATTCAAATGATAATAAAGTAAGATGAGTTTTTATAGGATTGGCAATGTAACAAGATGTATAGTATTGTATATGACTGTGTGCAGTATTAGGCGGAGTAGATGAGGATGATTATGATTATACTGCCCATGGAAGAAAGGTCTGGTGGATATGACATTGTGCAAACACCAAATGGAATACTGGTGAGCGATCTGCCTGGGAAGATGGAGTTGGATAAGCCGTTTGAGATAGATGGACAAGTGTATGTGTGTGAGAAGTACGGAGAGGAGGTTATGGCAGTGAGTGAGGTTGAAAATGGAAGGAGCAAAATGCCGACGAAGTGCAGGAGCTTCTATGTTGTCCGAAGACTATGATTGAGTATGAATGCACCAATGCAGTAGTTGTCAAATGTTCCAAGCACATGTGTTTCATTTCTTGCAAGATAAGGAGGATGCGGTGGATGGGCATGGAGACAAGGATTGAGGAGCTGTTTGAGAAGGATAAGCACAGAGCGGATAAGATGAGCAAGACCGTTGATGTTGGATGTGAGTATTTGCATTATGACTTTTCGAAGACACACCTTACGGACGAGACTATTGAGAAGTATTTGAGAAGGATGAGTGGAATCGAAGGCAAGATTGAAGCAATGTTTTGCGGTGAAAATATCAATTTTACAGAGAACAGAAAGGTTCTTCACGTGCTTCTTAGGGACAAAGAGATTCTGGACATGATTGAGAATGGCAGTAGTGCAAAGCTGGATGGAGACAGGCAGATGGTTCATGAAGAGCTGATGAAAATGAAGCAGTTTGTGAATGACTTTGAGCAAGGAAAGATTTGCGGAGCCACTGGAAAAAGACTGGAGGCGGTTGTGAATATAGGCATTGGGGGGAGTGATCTTGGGCCTAGAATGGTATGTAGTGCGCTGAAGCGATATGGCATGAAGGGAGTTACAGCGCATTTTATTTCGAATGTGGATGCATCGGACACGATTGAGGTTTTCGATAGCATTGATGCAGAGAAGGCACTGTTTATAGTTGTAAGCAAGACGTTTACAACGATTGAGACTATTCAGAACATGGAGCTTGCAATGAGATACATGGAGCAGCGACTGAAGCGAAGCAGGGAAGAGATTGCAAGCAGACATTTTATTGCAATTAGCTCGAATGTGGACGAGGTCAGTCGATATGGAATTCAGCAGGTGTTTTCGATGTGGGACTTTGTCGGGGGGAGATTTTCATTATGGTCTGCTGTTGGGATGTCTATAGCGCTATATGTTGGGTTTGATGGATTTCTGGAGATGCTACGAGGAGGGAGCATGGTTGATGAGGAGTTCAGAAAGGAAAAGGGATGGCAGAATGCAGAGATTATGCACGCAATAGTTGAGATGTTCTATTCTGAAAATGGATACGACAACAAGTGCATTGTCCCGTATGATCGGTACATGGAGAAGTTTTACTTGTATTTGCAGCAGGCAGAGATGGAGAGCAATGGAAAGCCGTCCACGAGCAACGACACAGGAATGATAGTGTGGGGAGGAGTGGGAACGAATAGCCAGCACTCGTTTTTTCAGCTGCTGCATCAGGGCACAAGGAAGGTTCTGTGTGAGTTTTTGATGCCTCTGAGGCCTCTGCATAACGAGAGAAGGTATCATGAAATAGTTGTGTCTAACTGTGTGGCACAAAGCAGGGCATTGATGGTTGGCCAGAAAAGCGAGCAAAAGGAGAAGTGTTTTGAAGGCAACCGGCCAACAATAACGATATGCTACTCGAAGCTTACGCCAAGAACACTTGGAGCGATGATAGCGCACTATGAGCACAAGATATTTGTTCAGGGAGTGTGCTGGGGAATCAACTCGTTTGATCAATTCGGGGTTACACTGGGAAAGGAAATAGCGACTAATGTGTGTGATGCGATACGAAGCAGACAGACTGAGAAGTATGATGGATCTACAAACAAGATTCTGGATCATGTTTCCAAGAGTGCCGAGTAGTTGGCATTGCGTTGAAGACGTGTGTTGGTAGTTGATTAAAGCACAGTTTTGCTTTCTTTATTGTTGTATTTTTGTACTGTTGTACTGTTGTATTGTTCTTGCAGTGTAATGCAGTGGATGCATGATTATTGAGAAGGGACATGGCCCTGTGGATGCTTTCGTTCAAGAGCAGAATGAAGACGTTTGCGGGATGGCCCAGGGACTATGGAGTTGCAACACCTGAGAGGCTGTGCATTGCAGGGTTTATTTGTGTATCTGCCGAGAATGAGTGTTTGACTGTTCAGTGTGTGTACTGTAAGAAAACACTTGAGTGCTGGGAGGCAACAGATGTGCCTGCGAAGGAGCATTATGCACACATGAAGACATGCCCGTTGTTTAATATGTGCAAGATTGGCAGCAGGCTTGCGATGTTTGCGGAGCAGGATACTAAGGATGCCAAGCTGCTAGCAAAGAATGGATTTGTGAGGTATGATCTTGGAGATGAGCCATATGTGTTCTGCTATGTATGCGGGTCTTCAGACACAAGCCATGTGTGTAAAAGGGCGAGGAGGAGTGTTTATGATCCTTTGAAGATGCCCACTGTGTTTTTCTACAAACTGATTGAGGGAGAGTACATCAAGGAGGTTATAGAGTGTTTGGAGTCGAGTGTGTATGTTCCGAACAGGCTACAGGGATTGGCTAAGATGCTGGTGAATGGGATGGGGATGAAGGCTGCATTGACGATGAGTGTTGGAGATGCGATAAGTGGATTTATAGGAAAGGTGATGCAAGAAATGAACAGGATGATGGTTAGAGACATGAAAGAGATTCTTGACGCAGGGCATAAGGTTGAAGGGAGCGAGCTACTGGAATGACTTGGCGCATGAATATGGTGAGCCTTGGCAGATGCATATGTGGGTTGTAAAGGCAATTTTTTCACAATTAGGAAGCCCCTTAACATGAAGGTAGGTGATTTAGAAAGAGCTAATTTTAGTTGAACATAGCTTATCCGACAAATGGAACACAGAAGATGTTTGAGATTGACAGGAAGCAGTCGATCAAGTTGTATGACAAGAAGATAGGAGATCAGTTTGATGGAGGAGTGATAGGGCCTGAGTTTGAAGGAGCAATAGTTGAGATAACAGGAGGAGATGACAACCAAGGGTTTCCTATGGTAAAGGACCATCTGACAAAGAACAGGCTGCGACTACTTCTGTCTAAGGGGGATGTGGGCTACAGATGCAGGAGAAAAGGAACCAGGAAGCGCAAGAGCGTGAGGGGATCGATAGTATCTGAAGAGACGTGTGTGCTGAACTTGATTATTATCCAAGCAGGAGAGAAGGAGATAGACGGGCTTACGAATGTGGTCTGTGATGTCACACATCTTCCGCGCAGGGTAGACAAGCTCAGGAAGCTTTTCAATGTTCCCAAAACTGAGGAGAATGTATCGAAGTACATCATGAACATGCTGAGAGCTGAATGTGGTGGAGACATAAAGAAGGTTCCTCAGATCAGAAGCAACGAGAAGATACTGAAGAGGAAGAAGGAGAAGATACAAGAAGGAGCAAGGATCAGAGCAGAGCGAAGAAAGATTTTGGAGGAGGAAAGGGCAGCTTATCTCAAGAAATACTTCAATAAAGCTTGATTTATTTTCTTATTGGTATTACTTATTATGGTATTTTTGTAAAGCTTATATGTAGATGCAGTGATGAACCATACAAGATAATGTGTTAGCCTATACTAATAGCATTAGATCTGTGTTTGATGTATGGTGTGAATGTGAAATGTATAGTGGGTGCGTGATATGCATGAACTGGCTGCAACAGTATTCGTGCATGAGAGCTACAGGTCACACCATTCAGGGATCTGTGCAACATACTCTGTGCCGTTGTAAATGTATTTCCAAGCATGGAGGCAAATGTGATGATCTCTGATGATGAATGAACGGTTGTTCTTTCCTTTGCAGTTTCTTATTATGCATTCGTATTTCTTTTTATCTTCAAACTCATCTATGCTTGCATTGCATTCGCTGCTGTGTAAACTACTCGGAAGCTCTCCAGATCCATAAATAACATCATTTACAATCGGAAACCCAATGCTTTGGAGATGGATTCTAATCTGATGTGTACGCCCAGTAACTGGTCTACACTCAACTATCGAATGCCCATCTGCATATCTTAGCCTTCTGAACATTGTCAGGCATTCCTTTCCATTTTCGCCCACACGTCTATATCGTCCAGATATACATTCTATTTTTTTGTCAACAGTCACTTCGTCCGGAAACATTCCACACACTTTAGCAAGATATACCTTTTCTGCCGCCTTGATTGCATCTAAGCACTTAGTATGGCTTTCAAACGCTATTATCAAAACGCCAGATACAGGCATATCCAGCCTATTCACGCATGCAACCTTCGAATCTCCAAACAGCGCCCTTGTGATCGAATACTCTCGATACCCACCTGTTGGATGGCATGGAATTCCTGCTGGCTTGTTAACCACCACGTACTCTTTTTCTTTCTTGATCACATTGATGCATGGAATGGGAGGCTCATGGATGTGAACAGTGTGCTGGAGCACGTCGTTTGGTCTTATTGTCGCCGATGAATCAACAATCTTGCCATTGATGGTTATCACTCCACACTCCAATGCCTGCAAAAAGTACTCCCTTGAACGTGTTCTGAATTCGTGCTCAAGAACGTCCAGGAGCGGTTTGTTGCACCATCTCTCCTTTGCGTTTGTCCTGTATGTGAAGAAATATTCAGCACCATCAGCTGCCATGATATTATATGGGCGGTACATAAGTACTCATTTGTCAGGAAGTAAACACACCATGCCATAAATCATAGTGGCAGGCAATGCCCTGTCGATGAGAATAGAAAACGAGCTTGAGCTACTCCAATTGACAGGTTTGAGTGTGTTTTCGCTGCTAGTGTATTCCACCGGGTATCAAAAAACCCTTCTGAATGATTTTGTGTTTTGTATAGTGCCTCAGTACCTTGCAATCATGTATCCAGATAGCGTTGGAAACATTTACATATGCCTGGCGATGATGATAAGTTATTCGGGAATTGAGAATAAAACAAGCAGAAATGATCCACAAACACGGGTGATCGACATGATGCGGTTTGTAGTATCGCTTTTGGTGGTCATTGCAATTTATGCAGCAGACTTTTCGATGTTTGACCCAAGGCTTGGAAAGTTCCACTTCTTTGGAATCGGGCTGATGGATATCGGCGTGGGCAGCTTTATTTTCAACGGAGGGATTATAGGATATAAGAGCCAATCGCGGCGATATTTTAAATCGTGTCCTGTTCTTCTTGTGCTTGGACTCACTAGGTATTTTGTAGTTGAGCAGTTTGGATTGAATGTGAATCCAAGGGAGTATGGGATGCACCTAAACTTTTACTTTCTGCTCGCATTTGTGAACGTGATGTATGCAATAGTCAGATCCAGGCATGATTTTGTTGTTGGGCTGTGCATGATTACAGTGTATGAGGTAGTGCTGAAGTGCACGGGGTTGACGCATTTTCTGCTCTCAGACAGGAGAGAGACGCTGCTTGAGAAAAATAAGGAAGGCGTGCTTGCGATTATTCCGTATCTCTCGATATTTCTAATGGCCACCGCAGTTGGCAAAATATGTTTTTCTGATATGAAGAGATACAGGAAGGGATTCGGGATGCTGGGAATTACGGCAATCTTTGGCTGCCTGTATGTTGTGTTCAGTGTGATGAACGAGGCTTCTCGAAGGCTGGGGAATGGAGCATTTGTGTTTTGGGTTCTTGGCCTTCATAGCCTGCACATGACGGTGTATTTGCTTTTTGAGAGCATGTTTGATTTGCATGTGCCTTTGATGATGCGGTTCAGCAGCTCGAACATGATGTTTGTTTTTCTGTTTTCAAACCTGTTGGTTTTGGCAGGGAACATGATGTTTGAGCTGAAAGCGTTTTCTGCATTGGAATCTCATGCAAACATGCTTGTGTATCTGGTGAGTGTTTTTGTGATTCCTGCAGTTTTTGCAAGCACATTTGACCTGAGGCGCATTGGTCTTAAGTATAGAGCGTGATGTGTAGTGTAGTGCAATAAGACAGGATGCCTGTGTGTTTGCATGTGATATTGAGCATTATAGGGATGAAACTGCTGAGCAAGTAGCTAATGGTGTATGCTGAGAAGGACGGAGAATGAATAAATGAGAATGATATTTGGAGATGGATTGGCTACGCCCTAAATGATGAGCAGAACGGAGATGGTGTGCAGCAGAGGAGTGTTTGAAGGAAGACATGCAATTATGCTTGAGAATATTTTCCATTTGCTATGTGGGCTTGACACGGCTCATTTGAAAATAGGTGTGCGAGATAGACAGTATGTATTGATCGCTGACACAGGATATCCGCAGCAGCTCATGTGTTCGTTTGAGTCTCTAGGAATCAACATACGAGTGTTCAGCAAGTTTATACAGAAGTCGCAATACTGTTCGGATGCAATTAAGGGAGCGATTGCAGACTGTGTTGAGAAGAAAGTGGATGCATACCTGAAGGACATGGTAAGGCTCAGAAAGGAGATATGCAGTGTTGAAAGCCTTGTGGTAGCTATTGGCGGGTGGAAAGACGAGTTTGAGGAAGTAAGAACGGTTATTGATGGAATCAGAAGCATGAGCGGAATGCGAATTTTGAACTACATTAACGAAAGAATGGAAAGAATAACATGCTTTGAGTGTCTTTACCAGGGATTTGTTTCTGCTTGTACTGAGATAGTGAGGGAGGAGATTGAGTGTTGGGTTTTGGAAGGCAGGATTCTTAGCGATGGATTCATGGTAAGGATAAATGAGGAATGTAGAGGGTTTGAGGAATCGAGATGGAGCAACAGGTATGTGCTGGTTGAAGAGAATGTTCCGTGCTGCTTGGCAAAGATGCGAGACGTTGTTTTCGATTGCGGAAGGGTAGTTAGCATCGGTAGAGGCATTGCAGGGAGAAATGTGTTCAAAGACTCTCGCAAGGAATACGAACTGGTTGGATTGATGGGGTTGAATAGGTATTTGAATGCACAGCTATTGGAGTTATTGAGATCAGACATTGAAGGAGAATTTGATGAGATGTATAGATATTTGTTGCTGAATGATTGTGCAGTGTATGCTGACATGCTTGACGAGGTTGGCGACGAGGTTTTTGGAGTAAATGAAAGGACAATAGTTAAGATGAATGCAATAAAAGATGGTAAGCACACAGCGGGGTTTTGCTTCAAGATTGCACAGATGTCGCTAAATTCCTATGTGATGAAGATTCTTGGCTCAGAAAAGAAGTGGAGCCGTGATTGTAGGGGATCTGTGCTTGAACTTCTAACGGTGGAATACCATCCACGAGTACTGCGCGACTTTATTTCGCTGAGGGTTGTTTCTGAGCTTGAGATTCTGTTTAGGTTTTTGTTTACTCTGATGGCGCTTTCGTATCACATGGAGAGGCTCAAAGGATACAGATTTGCAAGAGTGGCAGGCATGGTGATTGACAGGTTCAGATTTGCGATATACTCGAGGATGCCCCGCATAGAAGTCAAGCAAAGCATAGGCCATGTGATGGAGGCGTTTTTTTCAAACATCAAAAGATGGCTGAGGGAGTTTTACTTGACGAATGAGAAGACATATGGCGTGTGGGGAGATCTGTTTGATATATGCTTCAGGTTTCTTGATGCTGAAAGTGGGATGGTGCTGTGCGGAGAGGACGTGGATGGATATGAAAAGGAGTTGGCCTATGCTTGCGAAAGATTGAAGATTGAAGTGAGCACACTCGACTATAACGACTGTTTTGTGCACTTTTTGAATGGAGTGCACTGGGAGAAGGTATTTGATTGAAGCATGGCTTGCTATGGATGTGCAGCAGCTGTTGATGTCTGTGCAAAGGCTTGCGTATGGTGGACTTCTGATCTAAAGGCTTTGAGTACCTGTGCCGTTTATAAATATGTCAATTTGTTTTGATAAGTGTACAATTTTAGTAGAAAAGATGATGAGGGAGTAAACAAAGTATGGGAGGAGGTGCCAATAGTCGAACAGCGAGTAGGGATGTAAGAACGGTCAATGGGCTGGGCGATGAGGACTTTGAGGTGTATCGGTCTATTTTTTTCTGGCATTACGACGATCTTTTGAAAAAGTATTTTGGGAGATTCCAGAGATTCAGGCTGAGACAGAGCAAGCTTGCAAGGATGTTTTTTGAGTACAAGGCGTTTAGAGAATCAACAGAGTGGGAGGGTGTTTCTACGAGTTTTAGGTATGGTGATGATGCAGAGCTGTTTGTTCCAAGGAACTTTTACATACTTACTGAGACTATTCTTAGCCTTGATTGCAAGGTTGATGGGATTTTTAGGATTGGAAACTCTATTGAAGTAATCAACGAGTGTGTGGGCATCATAAATGAGTGTGTAGATAATAATGTCTCTTATGAGGATGCCAAGCAGTGCCTTGCCAGCAGATTCAGCGTGATTGACATGGCTACTGCATTCAAGCAAGTTTTGAGGGAATACCCAACAACGATAGTTCCTGAAGAGTTGATGGACACTATGCTGGTGATCTCGAAAGTAGGCAACAGTGAAGATCAGCTTGTGCTGTGCCGTATGCTGTTTTTAGCGATGCCCAAGCCTAACAGGCATGTTCTTGAGGCAACGATAAACTTTTTATACACTGTGCATGACATATCCACGAATAAAGGAACGGACTATGAGGGAAAAATGAATATTGAAGGGATATCAAGGATCATGATGCCGAATCTCGTGCTTAAGTCGCACAATCAAGTTGATCTTGATAATATAGAGACTCTTGTTAACTTTATGAAGATGTTTTTTGAGAACTTTGCCCAGATTGTTTGCTTGGATGAGAATGTTGCTGAGCTTTGAGGCTGTTCTGTATTGCATGATATAAGGACGCATGCATGCTGAAGTTGCAATGGATGAACGACCCTTGATGCAGGTGATCAGGCTGGACAAGAGGTTTAGAAGAATGAATCTGTTTGATGTTGGAGGATGCATTATTGATGGAATTGAGTACCTTGAGGAAATTTTGGAGTCGAACATGAATGCTACTAAAGAGGACGACAAGCATCTGTATATGCCTTTGATGATTGGAAAGCTAAAGACAGATGACTTTACTGAAGAGGACTGCAGAAACGGGCTTTTGATTGTGTGTGTGAGTTTGCTAGAGACCAATTCTGTAAACGAATTCCTGAAGCGATTTTTCCAGAGATTTACAGTAAGGACAGTTGAAGAGTGGAAGGAAATTGAGTTTTGTTCTCTGGATGATGCATCAAGATGTCTGTGTCTCAGCAACAAAGATATTGCTTTTTATAGGCCAAGGAGATATATTGAGCTTCCGAATGAATCTGATGTAAAGATGAGCGGAAGCAAGTACTGCCAGGATATTCCCTGCACAGAAAATAAGATTATTTTGGGACCGCTGGATGTGAACTATGCTGACCTTAGGGATGCACTTGACAGGATTGCACCTCTTCGAGGCTTCAGAGTGTGTGAAGATGCAAGGTATTTTGTATTCACCTTTATGGACGATGATTTCTGTGATGCATTTGTGAGAGTTACAAGCCATGTTTATATGGCTGATTGCAGCCAGCCGCTTGTGTCCAGAAAGGCATATGACGGATGTGTTCTACTGGACCTTGGGCGAAATGTTCCGAAGATTGCACCAAGAAGGCTTGCAGGACGTGTTGCGCTCAGCAAGGAGCGAACACGCATTGTTGTGCTGCTGAATGTTGTTTCATCATGCGATGATGTTGTGGAAGAGATTTTGCACGAAGTAAAAGAGCAATGCAAATATTGTGGAGATATACGCAATGTGGTTGTTCCTGCTTTAAAGCACGGGTTTAAAAGACAGCCAGGAAGCTCAACGATTTTTATTGAGTGTGGTGATATTGAGACATCCGAAAAGGTGTATAGAGAGTTCGGGGGGCTTGTGTATGACGAACGAATAGTTGTTGCAGGATACTATCCCGAGATGAATTATGTGGCAGGAGAATATGAATGAGACTATTAATTAAATCAAAATGTTGAAATGTGTTTTGAATGTTTGGCTCAGAGAAATTAGATTTATGCAAGAGGTTGCCTAAACAAAAGGATGGTCAAGGACAGAATTCCATTGCATGTGATGATGCTTACGTATGTGTCGTATTTTGTTGTTATTCTACTAGGAAATGCTAGAGACACGTTTGGAAAGTTGTTTTTTCCTGGATACTACCGAAAGTACAAGCATGATGATGGCATGCCGCCTCTGTACAGTAGCTTTGAGAGCTTTTTCAGTGGAAGACTGTTCCGCAGAATCAGGGATTGCTGGGAAAGGCCGATTGCTGGCATACCTGGCAGAAAGGTTATGGTTATAGAGCGTATCTCTGTGGATCACAATGAGAGTTTCAAGCATACGGGTAAGACGGTGGAGCTGCTTAACTTTGGATCATACAACTACCTTGGGTTCAGCAGCAATCGCGGGCCTATCACAGAAAAGGTAATAGACACATTGTATAAGTATCCTCTTGTGCTGTCTGCACCTTCGCGAGAGGTGGGATGCTATAGCATCATAACCGAGCTTGAGCAGGAAATGGCGTCGTTTCTGTATCAGGAGGATTGCATTGTGTTTTCTATTGGATATGGAACAAACTCTGCAAACATACCCGTGCTATGCGATGAGGAGACTCTTATATTGTCTGATGAGCTCAACCATGCATCGCTCATTACAGGCACAAGAATCAGCAAGGGCACAGTAAGAGTGTTTGAGCACAACAACATGCAGGACCTCGAGGAGAAGCTTGTGTTCAACATTTCGCAGGGGCAGCCACTGACTCACAGGGCATGGAAGAAGATCGTGGTAATTGTAGAAGGGATATACTCGATGGAAGGCACAATAGTCGACATGAAGAAGCTTGTTGAGCTTAAGAAAAAATACAAGTTCTACATATTTGTGGACGAGGCGCACTCAATCGGTGCACTGGGCCGTACTGGGCGAGGCGTGTGTGAGTATACTGGCGTAGACTTCAGAGATATCGATGTTTTTATGGGCACATTCACCAAGTCATTTGGAAGCATGGGAGGATACATAGCAGGATCGAAGAAGTTGGTGACATGGCTGAGATTCTACAGCGATTTGTCCATGCATGGCGATCAACTGCCGCCGTTTGCATGCTCACAGGCTCTGGAAAGCTTGAGATGCATAAAGTACACTGAAGAAGGGAGGAACAAGATTGAGAGACTCGGTGCGAATACTGCTCTTATGAGGAAAATGCTTGTCAGCGAAGGATTTTTCGTGCTTGGGGATGATGCATCGCCTGTAATACCTGTGCTGATAGTTTACCCTGCAAAGATAGGCGAGATTTCCAGAAGATGCATGGCAGAGGGTATTGCTGTTGTGGTGGTGGGATATCCAGCAACGCCGATTCTTACAAGCCGGATGAGGTTGTGTGCGTCTGCATCTCACAGCACAGAGGATGTGCAGAATGCTATGGAGGTTATCAATAGGATAGGAGGGGAGCTTGGGATGAAGATGTGTAAGTGACAAGCATACTATATGTAAGTGGTGAGTGATGCGCAACGAAAACATCACAGCACATGCTGGAGTATTATCTATGGCTGCAATAAAGACAAAGATGGATCTGCCCATGGACGAGGAGGTCTACTGCATTGACTTCTATTCGAGTACAAGAATGCTGCTGTATGGTGGGAAGAACAACAAGTGCATTGCAGTGAATGTGGATACTGGGGATGTGGTGGCAGTTGTGGAGGATTTTGATGACTCGGTTGTGTTTTGCAAGTTTCTGGACTCTGAGAAATTCATTGTTGGGTCTTTGGACGGAACAATTTCACTCATGACGTTCGAGGGAGAGATCAACAATGTCTGCCTAAACGAGGACATTGCAAGGATGAAGGTTCTGGGAGATAAGATTGTTGTTGGAACAGAGATGGGCAATGTTCATGTGCTTAGCCTTGACCTGTGCTTTCAAAATGTATGCATTGGGCAGCATGCTGAGATACTTGATGTGTGTTACGAGAATGGCAGGGTTTACACTTTGAGTGGCAGCTCGTTCATGACGTTTGATGCAAATACACACCAGAAGCTGGTTGGATTCAAGGTTAAAAACGGGCTTTGCCTGGACAAGATTCCTGAAAGCGATGTCGTGTGCATAGGATCTGAAAACATGATTGTAATAAGCAAAAACACGAGCATTTTGGCGAAGATCGAGGTTGAAGGATCGCCTCTGTGTGTCTTATACATGAACAACTACTTTGTGATTGGAGGATGCTTCGAATACATTTTGCTTGTTAATATTCCAATGGGCATGCGAGTGTTCAAGATACCGCTTGGATCCATTGAGGTGTGGGACATAAAGGGATTTGGGCTGAATCAGATTGTGTTTAGCACGTCGTGTGGGCTTGTTGGGCACGGCGACATTCGGGACGAAAAGAGCTTCAGGCTGTTCAGGACCGATCTTGGATCTATCTTTGATCTGTGCTTCAAGGATCAGGTGGTTTATGCTGCTGGAGAAAACGGATACAATGTGATTGATCTGTATGACACCGATGACTTGGAATGCATTGGGCAAAGGTGACTGCATACATCGCCATACACTGGAATCATTTATAGACAGTGATAAACATTTTAATCTACCTTTAGTTTGTGTGGAATCGCCGAGCCCTATTCGAATGCATGTGAAAACTCATCCTTGGATACAAGCCCGTTTATGCTGAGAAGGCGTATCATGTCTTTGATCTCATGATCTGAGATATTGAGATCTAGCTTTGATGCAGCACTTTTAAGCGTTTGGAGTGATATATGCTGCTTTCCTTGTGAGAAGAACTCAAAGATTGCGTCAATGTGTGTTTCTCCCTTCATGAACCTTATCTGATCAAAGGCTATTCTGTCGCCCATGATATTTTTCTCAAGTGGCTGCCTAACAATGCTCAGGCAGTATCCTTTGTATTCTTCGTATCTTAGGAATCCTTTTCTTCCAATATCAAAGCTTTCCGGCGAAGCATGGCTAAAATAGTCCATGAGGGTTTCATGCTGTATCATAAATCCCTTATATGAGTCAGTACAACCAGGCTGATGAAGGTGGAAAACAAACTGCATGCATGCGCTGCAAAAAAGACTGCATGCTGGAAGTGCATACACACGATGTAAGCGATTGCCTGGCTGCTTCTGCCACAAATGAGTTTGAAGCTGCTTTTCGGGTGTGCATCCATGATGAATTGCCAATAAGCAGGATGGGTTATGAGCTACTGCCTCAAGATCTAAATAGATTAGCGGATGGCGGGCTGCTGAACGACAAGATAATCAATGTGTACTTCGAGATTGTTTCAAAGTATTCTACACAAGCAGTGCATTCGTTCTCAACGTTTTTCTACAGTGCATTAAGGAGCAGGGGAGTGGAGTGGGTACAGAGATGGACTTCTGAAGTCAATATCTTTGACAACAAATTGATATTCATTCCTGTTCATGTTCCTGGCCACTGGTGCCTTGTTGTGATGGATGTTGAGGAAATGCAGCTGGAGTACTATGATTCCTTAGGCACTGCTGACATGCAGGTGGTGGATTTCGTGATTGAATATCTCCGTGCTGAATGGTGCAGAGTGTGTGGCGATGGATTCAAGATTTCAATCAAGCCGATGAAAGACATTCCACAGCAGCAAAACGGAACAGACTGTGGAGTTTTTGTATGCATGTACGCAAGATACAGGCTGGAGAAGAACAGCAAATGGTTCCGTTCAAATGAAATCAAAAGCCTCAGGAAGGCAATTCTGCATGAGATAATGGCCGGAAGAATAATTTACCTAGTGCCGCATGTGCTTGGCTGATGTAATGGTGCTATTTGTAATTGTGTATACTTTTAATAGAGTGTTTAAGAAATGCAGCAGCTAGGGGTGCATGAAGAAGCCGGTTAAGAGCAAGAGCGGAACCTGCCAGGAGATCGAAGAAGTCAATGAGCGAACACTGATGATGAGGAGGATGCTTGAATGTATAGACAAAGGAGCAGAAGATGAAATCAATGAGATTTACAGATATGCGCCATATGATGACGTGCCTGAGTTTGTTAATCTCTGGTCAATAGAGGAGACACACGGTGTGCTAAACGACGTGGCCATTATTATGGCTTCAATAAAGGAGTGACTAAAGATCGGTGTTTGAAGAAATCAAGGAGATCAGCACACAACAGCCTCTAACTGTGCTGATATTCTTTTTATATTTTATCGTAAACAAATTCTCAGCATCCACAAATGCATTTATTTCATAGTTCATCTGACGCATAACATCGACCGGATCGATTAGCCAAGCTCAGCTCATAATGGTGCTCTGCAAGACCACTACACATCATAGTTTGGATGCACATGGATCTTTCCATCGCATACAAACAGAACACCCTCTTTTGCAATCAAAAACGACAACACGTTTTCAACCTTGACATTCTCATCTAGAAACGCTCTTTCACTTTCAATGTACGGTTCACTTTCTGACATAAACGCTTCTAGGAGCTCATGCCTCTCCATGGGATCCCTGGTCTTGATCAGGTATATAAGCGAACTCGTTATTCGCACATAATCCTTATGATTCACAGCAAACCCGGGATGCTCATCTGTCCTCGCTATCACCTCTATGTCTTCTCCTTTTATCTCGATCACGCTGCTTTTCATCAGCCTGTGTGCTTCCTCAACATACTCCCTGCTAACAAGCTCAACATCATGAATCTTTGCAAGTGCTTCGCTCAGCCTAATCAGGCTTTCCAGATGCCTAGCAGTCATCATATAATTGCTGCTGTGGACCAGGCTGTCCTGCCGTATTTCAACATACTTCCTTACCAACAGATCCTTGGCTTCATCAGTCATCCTTGGCTTCTTTCCTCTCGCATGCCTCAGATACAACTTCACTTGTTCAGGTGTAAAGTAGCTGCTTATGCTTCCAGCCTCGCTCAGCGATGCATGGTTGTTCAGCACATGCATTGCAACATTCCTGTCGTTTTCGGGATTCACATCGTCAATCAGTACAAAGTACAGGTCAAACCTTGACATCACAGGCGCACTCAGATTGATGTTTTGCCTCAGCGTCTTCTTCTTGTCGTACCGGCCCTTTATGGGATTCGCTGCTGCAAGAATACTGCTTCTTGCATTCAACGTTGCATTGATGCCTGCCTTCGATATCGTTATTGTTTGCTGCTCCATCGCTTCATGGATGCTCACCTGATCCTTGAAGTTCATCTTGTCAAACTCATCGATACAGCATACCCCAGTGTCGCTCAGCATCAATGCTCCTGCATCAATCGTAAACTCTCCAGTTTCGCCATCCTTCACTACACTTGCTGTAAGTCCTGCTGCACTGCTGCTCTTTCCAGATGTATACACACTTCTTGGCAGAAACGCACTCGTCTGCTTCAAAAACTGCGACTTTGCTGTTCCAGGATCTCCAACGAGCAGTACATTTATATCTCCTCTAAGACTGGTTCCGCCTTCTGCCTTCTTTCCAACTCCACCAACAAGCATTAGCAAAATCGCATTCTTGATCGAGTAATGCCCATGGATTGACGGAAACATACTCTGGCTTAGCTTATAATACAGGTCCGATGATGCTTTCATCTCGTTGATTATTGCAAGCTCCTCATTTGTAAACTCCTCCTCCGTGCTTCTGCAATCTGCATGGATACACATAAAAACCATCTTGTGATTCAGGTCCTTGATGTTGATGTTCCGTTTCTTCTTTGCCTCCCCGCCCTCTCCTTCATGCATAGGAACCACCTTGCTTTGCGGCATCATCAATTGAATAACATCAGGGACAACTATCAGATACCCTGTCATGACAATCTTATCTCCAGCCCTGATCTTCTCAACAAGCTCATTCCTTACTATCACATCCATACTCCTTGGCAAAGACCCAGCAGGAATCTCCTCTGTGTTTTCCTGAACATGCACTCTTTGCCAATTGCTGAATTTGCTTTTGCTCATGTCCAGTGCCCACTGCTTTCTATTTGTGCACAGATGGTTCGGGCATGTCAAGGGCTCTGTGTACTTGAACTCCTGTGCAACATTTGCAGCAACACTGTTGCATATCTTGCATGCAAACGACCCGTTGACCAGCTCCGGCCTTACTTGTGTTGTTCTTGTAACTGTTCCACTGAAGCTTATAAGCTGTCCCAACCGCTCGCTCTTGAGCTGCCTGATCTTATACACAACGTGGCTGTTCCAAAACGACGTGTACTCCAATGCAGCAGAAAACGTCTTTTTGGTAAACACTTCCGTACTGTTGTTAATTCTATCCACGTCTCGTGAAAAGTTCTTCAGAAGGTCTACATACAAATCCACAGAGTATGCGTTGATATCCTGAAGATCAATAGTAAGCACTTGCTCGTTCGTGTATATTGCTTGCTCGGCCTGATGCCTTACTTTGGGCGAGTTTTCAAGAAACTCAAGAAACTTCCCGTGAACTTCCTCTGTCATCTGGGATATTTTTTTCAACCATGAAACCATTGCGGCCTGGACATCCCCTGTTGTCTTCTTTTCTCGAGTGCCTAAGCACCACCTTTCTCACCTGCTTATACGGAGATGCTCTTTTTATGCTTGCACCTAGAAACACGAATGCATATATGAATGTGTATACAAAAAGAGACGCAAACCTGAGCGATATCTTTGGCGATATGTATGGCATTCTGATTACAACTGGCGCATGGAACACAAGAAACGAGCATATAGAGGCAAAAATCAATGCTATTCCAGCAAATCGTCTATTACGTTTTATTCTTTCCATCAGGGTTATACTTGCCTGCCACAATCAATAGTTGTGCCTTGTTCCATCCAATTCTTGACAAACTCCGATTCTGCATGCATTCACGCGTACAAACCCTCCGTTCAGGTTGAAGTCTGTAGCAGATATATGCATTTTTTCTCTGGATGGCTTAAGCTGATGCATGCATTCTATCTCCAGCTCTTCATCAGTAGCAGGTTGTGCGATGAAATAGACTGTGTCGGCGTCTTTCCATATCCTGAACCTAAATGAATAGCCATGCATAGATCTTGGCATGAATCTGTACATGAATTGCTTTGCAACTATTGAGAACATACTTCTTGATGCATCAGCATATGCTTTGTACACAGATGCGTAGCCTTGCAGTCTTTGATGCATCCCATCGAATACACTGTAGCCTGGAAGTGTGTTTCTGTCGTCCAGGCACTCTAGCTTGATGAAAACAAACACACCATCAAAGTATTCCTTAATGCTGAATGGAGGATGTATCTCGTATATGTGCGATTCAAGAACTCTCTGCTTTGTAGCATCAACATCTTCGAACTCTCTGTACGATAGCACGCCCATGCGATCATTCTCGCAGTACGTTTCGATGTAGTTCACAGTCATGATGCTTGGCGTGCCTGTATGGATGATGATGTTAGTAAAGATCTGCTGGTGATCAAGCCGTACTGGGATGTGGTACATATCACCTGGAAGCATTGAGAATGTATTTTTATGTACTATCTCAACCAAGGTACACCTTGGAATGCTCTTTGGAATGAATGACATTCCTTCATATAGCCTGATCATGTATGGGCAAGATGTATGGAAAGTGTTTTAATAGCACATGAAAGGAAGTAAACAGTGGTGGCTGGTAGAAGGATGCACTCTGTGCGAAGAATACATGTGTGCTTGTGGGCAGAATGTGTTCATGTATGCGACTGAAGTGTTGATTGAAGTGTTTGCAAATGGATCGAATGGAGAAGTGTTTTTGGATTTTTTTATGCGTGCCAGTCCCCTATAACAAATGAAGATGAATTTTACGTACATAACGACAGTTCCGTTGAGCACGGCATTGATAGACATATCGCTGAGCAAGACACAAAAAAGGACGCCGACGATTGTGCATCCGCAGTACAACATCATAAAGATACGTGCGTTCTACATGAGGAAGGTGAAGCATGCAAGCAACGAGTTTGGATCAAGGCTTGGGACGATTCTGAGCGACTTTCCAAGGCTTGAGGATGTGCATCCGTTTTATGGCGATCTGATAAATGTGCTTTATGACAGGGATCATTACAAGTTGGCGCTTGGGCATGTGAATGTGACGAAGAACGGGATTGAGAAGGTAAGCAAGGAGTTTGTGAAGCTGCTGAAGTTTGCAGACAGTCTGTACAGATGCAAGCAGTTGAAGAGGGCGGCGCTTGGGAAGATGGCGTCATCAGCAAAGAAGCTCGGAAAGACACTGGAGTATTTGGAGGAGGTTAGGATGCACATGAGCAGGCTTCCAGCAATAGACCTGAGTGGAAGGACTCTGCTTGTGTGTGGGTTTCCGAATGTTGGCAAGAGTTCGTTTGTGAACAAGGTGTCGAGAGCGGATGTGGAGGTGCAGGCGTATCCGTTTACAACAAAGAGCCTGTATGTTGGGCATTTTGACTATAAGTATCTGCAGTGGCAAGTGATTGATACACCGGGGATTCTTGATCATGCGCTTGAGGACAGGAACACGATTGAGATGATGAGCATTACGGCGCTTGCACACATCAAGGCGCTTGTGCTGTATTTTGTTGACCTGAGCGAGATGTGTGGGCATAGCATTGAGGAGCAGATTGGGCTATTTGAGACACTAAGCCCGTTGCTACGATCTAATATGATGATAGTGCTGAGCAAAAGCGATATTATGAGGCTATCTGATGTCAAGAATGGAAGCGCGATAATGAAGTTTCTTGAGGGAAAGAAGTATATGGAGATGAGCAGCGAGAAGGAAGAGAATGTGGAAGCGGTGAAAGCAATGGCATGCGATCTTTTGCTTGATGATAGAGTTGAGAAGAAGATGGAAAACGACAACATTGCGGAATACATCAACAGGATTGCGATTGTGAAGCCGAAGAGGCTAAGGGAGAAGGAGGAGTCGTTTGTGTGCTCGAGGGAGATTACTGAGATGAGGAATGAGCAGGAGGGGTATTTTGTAAAGGATGAGTATAGGTACGACATAGTTCCAGAGATATTTGATGGGAAGAATGTTGTTGACTTTTTTGACGAGGATATTGAAAGAAAGCTCAGTGAGCTTGAAGCAGATGAGGAGGCAATGTTCCCGATGTATTGCAAGACATATGATCTCCTGTCGGCAGAGGAAAGAGATGCAAAGGAGCAGATTGTGGTCAAGATTGAGGAGAGACGGCTTGTGTGCAAGATGAATGAAAAGAGAAAGCTGCCTGCAGGATGGAAACTTAGGTCAAGAAACAGCGGGACGGATATTGTTGTTGCGCCAAGAAGAGACAGCAGGGCAATACAGCTTGCGCAGCCTTCTAAACCAGCACCTAAGAAGGCCAGGTTTGATACGAATGGATATTATGATCGTAAGCCAAAACACGCTTATATTGGGAAGAATCATAGATGATTTGAAGCATATTAAAGAGTTAGTGATCTATGGTGTTTTAGCGAGTTTATGAATACACAGCTTTGAATGCTGTGCAAAGGAGTGCTGAAGGCAAAGTGAAGCACATTGAATGATTTGATATTTTCAAGGATGCGTGATGATAATTTTGCCCTAAAATGGAGTTTGCAGTCAGAAGGGCTTGATGTGGAAGCAGTGCAGGACCTTTGCTCTGGAGAGCGGGTCATTGAGCGACAAAGAGAAGGAAGGGATCACGGCTATATGCAGTGGCAAAAGGACATATGCAGGCTGTGCTGATGGAAGAATACACTGCTATGACGATAGGAGACTGTATTCTTTGCAAGCTTTTGAGCTTGAGTTTGATTATCTTGAGAGCTGTGATGTTCCTGAAAAGATTGTGGCGATTGAAAGGCTAGAAAGTGGAGGCGTTGATGAGCTTTTGGTTGTTGGGAATGAAAGGAATCTGAAGGTAATGAGGATCAGGAACAAGGGCGCCACAAGAGATATAATTGAAGGGCGGCTTTCTGAGTGCTATGATAGTGTGTGTGTGAAGGAATGCAAAAATGTGCATCCTTGCATTCTTAACAGTCTTAGCTTGAACAATGATGAGCAGTATTTGCTGTCATCTGACTATCTCAAGATCAACCTGTGGAAGCCTGAACGGATAGATGGATGCTTTACGGTTGTGGATATAAAGCCGCATAAGTACAGTGAGTTGACATTTGTTATCAACTCAACAAAATTCAGTAATGAGATGAACATGGTGTTTGGATACTCTACAAGCTCTGGTGGAATACACATTAATGATCTGAGAGTTTCTTCGAAGTCTATGGAGACTCTGCGGATGGAGGGTGCGGAGATGGAAGGAATAGAGGGTGCTGTGAGATCGATCTCAGACTTCCAGTTTGTTGATTCAAGCCTAATAATCGCAAGAAGCCTGAACTCAGTTGCTTTGTATGACCAGCGGGGCACTAAGCATGAAGTTTTCACCACTGTTTTGTGCAGTGATGCTGATGAGATCAATGCTGTGTACGATTCAGATGCTGTGTATGCAAAATTCCGGGTTTCATGCACAAGCATGCATGGGTTTACTGGAGGATTTGGTGATTGTGCCCATGCAATCAATCTTGTTGATGGAGAAAAGGAAGATGTGTTTGTATCACATCTGCAGAAGGATTCAAAGAAGGACAAGCTCAAGGTGGTGACTTCGCATGGAAATGGGTTTATTGTTGTCTGTGAAGATAGGATGATGGAATATCAGCAGTGCGAATAGCTCCACAGATTGCTTGGCATATTGCTACATATGTGCTGTTATGCACAACTTGCTAGTCGATTATTACCCATCTTTCCAACTATTATGTGAGAATTGTGTTAAACAATATATCTTCATATTGCTTGGATGATGCTTACTTCCCTCGCTAGCATAATTCCGACTGCTTTCAGAAAAGTTTTGCAATAAATTACATATTGTGTTTGCCATCTTAATCAAGCATGCTCAGCACTGTCCTTGAATAACTGATACACGAGCTCAGCATGGGGTTTATCTCTTTACGAGCCAGATAATCCAAAGCAATGCCAGCCAGAACAAGAAAAACTTGAATATTGAAGATCGTGTTTTGGATACATTTTCCCATGTTTTTCTCAGTAGATCAAGACTTCCAGAAATAAGTGTATCTGACGTACTCATCATCTCGTCGATTCTTTTGAAGCTCTCCTCCTGTAGCGACACATGCATGCTTATCTCCTCCATTATCTGTCCAATTTCGCTGATTTGCATCGATATACTCTGCCGCTCTTTGATTCTTTCCGTGGTGACCTCGTTCTCCATAAACACCACGTCCTGGCATTCCATAATGCATTCAGAGTCAAAGTCTCTTCTTCTTTCCACCATCTCCTGATGCCTGCTTTCTCTCTTTCTTGCAAGCTCAGATAGCTTCAAGAGATGCCTTGCTGCCCTGTGCTTTATCATTGCATCAAGATTGCCATATGACGCCTCTTCTTGGTCGTTCCTCGCCTTTTCGTCAATGCATGATGCATTCCTCATCTCCTTGACAAATCCTCGGACTTTGTCCATTTTCGACTGTAAAGTAAACGACTCATACACCTTTCCCCTTCCAAGCGCATTCTCTAGCTCGCTCAGCATTTTCCTTGCTGCTGCATCCATCTCAAATGCTTTTGAGTATGGCGACTGTACCTCCACCCTACTTTGCTGCGGAATGCGTGTGGATCCAACTATCTTCATGTACTCATCAGTTCTGTCCATCGGGGACTGCCTTCCAGAAATTATATCTGGCTTTGTTTATGTGCAGCCAAGGCGCTGCTGCCCATGGCACAACAGGAACTATTTGCATACTACGATGAGCCAAGCAGCACAGACGACATGCTAACATTGGCATACATTCAGGAAAACAATGTAGACAGGGTGGTGTTCAACTCTGAAATGGACCCTGTAGCTCTTCCAAGGCATCCAGGTGTGCCTGCCAAATACACAGAAGCATTGAAATCGTTCGAGCAGTTCATAGAGTTCTACAGCGAAATAAAAGAAGAAGGCATGTATTCGGAAGTTATAGCATATTATAAGCTCAAGCATGCAAAACTTTCATTCATGGCATTGCATTCGAAGTATACAAGGCTTTGCAATCATTCACCATCATCCGATACAGAACATTCATATGACGAGCATGTTTATTCAGCAATACTGCAATGCAATGAATATGCATGCAACAGAAAATGCCTACTTCTTGCGCCAGTTTGCACTGCAAAGTTCCTTGAAAAGCATGGATGCACAAGCAAAGCACGGATGCTTGTTAAGGAAGCAAAAAAAATAGCAAAGGCCACAGACAAGCTTGAAATACTCCAAGAAATTGAAAAGGATTGCTTGCATGGCTATGTTTGTGGATAAAACACATTCGACTGTTGTGAGATAATCAATTGTGTGCAAATACTTCAGCGTCTTTGTCTTTGATGAAGCTTGCAACGTCTTGCTCAATCTTCTCCGTGTTATTTTCTTTGTGGAGAATGTAGTCGCATATAAACTTCATATAAACAGTCAGCATCCTCATTCTTTCCTCCACAACATTCCTGCTGAGCTTCTTCCACTTCTTCTTTGGAAACTCAGGCAAAATCTCTACAAGGCATCTCAACCGGCAGTGCAGCCTAAGAAAGTCGCTGTATCTCCTGTACACTTTTGTATAACACTTTCCAAACGCCTTACTGTTTGTTATGCATACAATCTCATATTCCGTGTATCTGTCCCTGATTGTTCTTGATCCAGCTATTGAGATCTCCAGAACATTTTCCTCCATCCAATTGTTTCTGACACACCACTAATTTTATTCCATGCTGTTTCACAAGCACTTCTGTTATGAAGCATGTGCAGGCAGCACATTTGGCATGCATGTATCAGCTACTCCGGCTCATATGCCGTGCCATTGCATCAGGCAACACAGTACTTATTACAAGGTCAGAGCCTTCAACCAGACATGTAGCATTTAGCAGACACATACATTAACACGCATGCATAGAACGCTTCCTTTTCAATCGCATTTATACTTTCGTGCATGCCTTCTTCAAACTCACGGATTTCGCCATGCAATTTGTCCCCAAGCGCTTTCAACTCTACTGCATTGCAGCTTGTGAAGTACTCCTTCAGTACCGAAAATGCAAAGCATCCAAAGATCGTAAGCTCGAACATTTCCTTTACATCTTCGTAATGCTTTAACCGGACCTCCAGCACCTCCTGTTCAAATGGGAAAAGCCTGACAAAAATATGCAGTTCCTGTTGGATCATCAGCTTGAACATAATGTCCTTGCTGCTTGTGATGCACGCTGCCTTCCTTAAACACTCTGCCTTTCTTGATTGCAGAACCTTTAGTTCTACTTTGTGCACAAGATCCTTGCCTATAAGCCCAATAAACACACTAAACTCCGGAATCGCCATCAACGCCTCGACAGATTTGTATATGATTTCGTTCAGTTTTACAAATCCTGCTTTCTTTGCCATTCTCAGCAATCTGTCTGACTTATCAATGTATTCCGACGCATTTTCACCAACAAGCTGTGCTCTTGCAGCCATCAGCTCCTTCATCACAGACACAACGCTCTGAAAGCTCATTCTATCGATTCCCGACGATTTCATGCTCAGCACATCCACTATGTTATACTTTTCCAGCTTTGCATCTATCTCGCATATCTTTCTTTCAAATGCATGTATTTCATCCATATACGCGTGTATTCTATTGCTGATGGCTTTGAACCTGCACACCTTCTCCCTTGTACCTTTTATGCATGCAATCTTTGCATCCAGACAATGCATCATTGCATCTGTCATTCACACCGGGGTACGTGATGCTATTGCACTTGTTACATCTGTCAGCATTGTTGTTGCACGCATATAAACCTGAATCAGAATGCCCTGATGGCTGAAGTTGGATTGATAGGGCTGGGCGTGATGGGATACAGCCTGGCACTGAACATTGCATCTAAATGCCACAAGCTGCATGTCTTCAACAGGACATCATCGAAGACAAAAAGGCTTGTTGGTGAAGACCTACGAATTATTGCACACTATTCGGTCCAGGACCTTGTGCAGGGGATCAGCGAGTCGCCAAGAATCATTATTCTGATGGTGACGTCTGGCGATGCAACAGATGAGTTTCTTGATGAGCTTGATAAGTACCTTGGGCCAGGCGATGTTGTGATTGATGGAGGAAATTCGGCATTCAAGGACACAATTAGAAGAGGCACACATAGGTTTGGGTTTGTTGGGTGTGGGATTTCTGGAGGAGAGACGGGAGCCAGGAATGGGCCTTCGATTATGGCTGGATGCAAAAGACAGGTATGGGATGTGGTTGGAGGCTTTCTTTGCACGATATCTGCGGTTGGAGCAGCCACAGGCAAGCCTTGCTGCAAGTGGCTGGGGAATGACGGTGCCGGCCACTATGTAAAAATGGTGCACAATGGAATTGAGTATGCAGACATGGGGATTCTGTCTGAGATGTTATTGGTGCTGAAGTCTCTTGGGTATTCGAATGAGGAGATGTCTAGATTGTTTGGAGAGTGGAACGATGGAGAGCTTGAGAGCTATCTTGTTAAGATATGCTCGTTGATTGTGAAGGCAAGGAATGGTAAAGGATGGATTATTGACCAGATTGTGGATGAGTCAGGGCAGAAAGGAACAGGAATAGAGGCTGTTGTATCTGCGATGGAAACGGGAACACCAGCGGTTAGTATAATGGAAGCTGTAGGGTCTAGGATGGTATCACATGCAAGAGACGCAAGGCAGGAGTTCGGCACGATGATGATGAATGGCAGTGACGATGTACAGATGAGGGGAGATGGCTGTATAAATACGAATGCATGCAAAGATGCGTTGGATAAAGAAGCGATGAGGAGATGTGTGTATTTGGCAAGAATGGTGTCGCATGTGCAAGGATTTGGGATGCTGATGAAGGCAAGAGCAAAGTATGGATGGGAGTACACGGTTGCAGACATATGTGATGTGTGGAGTAGTGGATGCATACTGAGAGGAAGGATTCTTGATACAATCAAAGAAATGGGAGAAGGAACAAATGGGATGATGGAGCTGAATGGTAAGTATGTGTCAGTGTGTAGTGAATATTTGAATGATCTGCGGAAGGTGGTGATGTATGGGATTGAGAATGAAGTGCCGATGCCTGTGACATCATCATGCCTGGAGTATGTTTATGGGATGAAGAAAGTAGAGGGGGCAGGAAGTATGATCCAAGCAATGAGGGATTATTTCGGAGCGCATCAGGTGCTGCTGAAAGGAGAAAGTGAGTATGTGCATATTGATTGGGATGGTGAGGATGCAAGATAGGAATAAATACTTTTAAGATTGTGCTATAAAATTTATAAGATGAGGGAAGCTGGTTTTGGGTGTATGCTGCACCGTTGATGCTGCGGTGCTGTATTTGTAACAACGTTAAAGGGTAATTTGCAAGTCCTTGTAATGGATGGTGCTGAATGGGCAAGATGCATGAAGGAGTTGAGATGTGCAGACAATGGTGTAATTAATAGATGTGTATTTGATGCAGGGCACAATGAAAAATGTGTTGATTTGAGCAATACGAAGAAAAATGTTCGGAAACTGCTGTTTATAACATCGAATTCATATAAGCACACAGTTATTCAGGAACTTCTCGGGATTTCTGTAATGCAAGTGGAGTTGGAGATTGAAGAGATTCAAGGCAGCAAGCAAGAGATAGTTGCAGACAAACTGAGGAAGGTATGCCATCTTGTAGATGAACGGAACATTGTGATCATAGAAGACACCAGCATTCACATTGATGGGCTGTATGGGTTTCCAGGGCAGTATGCAAAAGATTTTCTTAGTATTGGGATAGACAAGGTGGTTGATGTTACAAAGAAGGTTGGGGATGGATGCAGATACTCGACAATTATTGGGCTCGCGTATGCAAATGGAGGAGATGTTGTTATGAAAGCATTTGATGGAGAGGTTGCAGGGCGAATAGTGCTGAAGGAGGGTACTGAGCCAAGGCTGTTCAGGGATGTGTTTGCTGCAGAAGATGAAGAGTATTGGGATGTGCCTAACGGGCTAGATGGCATCAAGATAGGGCGGTACAGGGCGGTGAGGAGGATGCAGCAGTATCTAATGGAAATGAATATCTGTGTGGCAGAGGAGGACAAATGCGGTCTGAAAGCAAGCCCCTAAGTTGAGCAGGGTGGGATGATTGAGAATTTAGACGGATTTATTTTCAAGAGGAGAATGCATAGAGCAGTGGAGCCTGAGATAAAGACGGGAATTGAGGTGAATAGGAGGGAGTTGAGTGTGATAAAGAAGGACACAGACGACATATTTAGCTTCAAGTTTGTGAATGAGAAGAGATGTAAGAGAGAGAAATGTAAGGAAGAAGAGATAGCAGATATACTGAGTGATGGGGAGGGATTTAGCGAGAGTGTGGTTATTAAGGAAAGCAAGAAGAAAATGGATGCAGATGAGATACACATGGAGCTGAGCAATGGAGGAGGGCTTGAGGAATTGGTTAAGATGTGTGTAAGATGGCTTGAGAGCAAGAAGAGAACAGCATATGGTATGAGGATAGAGCAGGCGATGTCTGAGGGATGTATAAAGAGAAGGGATGCAAAGAAAGAGATTGCAGAAGCAATTGAGAAGATAGAATGGGCAGTAGAGGAGGAGGCGAAATGGAAAAGCATTAAAGAGAATACGATGAGAACTAACAAGATCAAAGTGGAGACGAGGGTGTATGAGAGAAAGGAGAGTAGATATGAAAGAGGAATTGCGAAGGTAAATGAGGAATTTGCAAGCAAGGTGGAGAGGCTTGTGTTTGTGAAGGAATCTGCAAAAGTATGGATTGGGCGAATGCGAGAGCAGAGTGAAGAGCTTCTTCGCAAGATGTTTAGTGTGGTGCATAAGGAGAAGGAAGCAGACACTGTATTTCTGTTAAAAGCACGGTCGAAGGCAGAGAGGTGATGAGCAGATAGTATATAGAGACAATAAATATCTTGTGATGTGATTGAGAATAGCATATGTTGTAGGGAGAGAGTGGAATGAGCAGATGTGCAGTGTGTAAGAGCATATGCCATGTCGGTATGTGACAGGAGATGCAGTACCAACAGGAAGGTGATGTGTGCGAAGCCGCTATAGCTCAGTGGTTAGAGCGCCAGTTTAGTAAACTGGAGGCCCCGAGTTCGACCCTCGGTGGTGGCTTTTGCCAGTATCTATTCGTGAACACAATGTTTCCACAATTTGTTTTATTCATTTCATGCTCTCTATCATCACTGATAAAAACATTCACCAATACCCTTGGAATGGCGAACCAGCAGTGCTTAGATGCAAAATGCTTGGCCTCAGAATACATAAAGTCGTTCAGGCTGTTCTTTAGAAAGTGCGTGAGGCCCTCTGCAAAGGAATTCATCATCTCTGCAAAAACTCATGGAATCGGCATCGGACTTCTCGGCATCCTTGGATATGGGATAAAGCTCATTCACATCCCAATCAATAACATTATTGTGAGTAAGCCAATCAAGGAGTAAGCAGAAGCGCCTCAGGCACTTTCTTGCAATTCGCCTTGAATCAAATAAACATCCTTGTTGTATCGCCGATTTATTCTATGTAGTCATTCTATTTCTTCACTCTTCTTCCTCCAAACGTCAGGAACACAAAAAAGAAAAACCCCATAATCAGTGAGCTTTTCATCGAGAACTTCCGAACAAACCCGTCAAGAACATCACCAAACACCTCTGCAATAATCCTCGTATATCCCACTGACCCATTGCCATTCTTGATCGTGCATTCCCATCTATTGCACAGCTCCTCTATTGCCGGCACCCTTGTATCTGGATGGCATCTATTTATTTCGTAAGACGCCCGGGCATCTTCTACTTCCTTCTTAATATGCATCTTTCTATTCGACACCTTGTATCTGATGTCTCGCTGTAGACTTACAAACACATACACCACTGCATAGCAAATAAACCCTATCATCACTGCATTCAAAACCAGATGCAGATATCTTATTAGCACTGCTGGAAATCTCATAATGCATCCTTCCACATCCCACCTCTTCCTCACTTCTGTTTCCCTTACCACTTCATTCCTTTTGCCATTCTTCTTCACTACCTCTTGATTTGCTAAACAGATCGGAAAATGCTCATCCACCTTTCTCTTCTTCAGAGGAGACAGATACTCACACCTTGAGCTTCTCCTTTCATTTGCATTGCTCCACCCAATCTCATGCTCAACATCCATAGGCGTCTGCCCCATACAAGGATCACAATCTGCAATCTTTTTCAGCCTAACTTCAATTCCATCCATCTTGTGCATAAGCACATAGCACATAATAAACATATCCAATAAAACGCCTTTATTCAGAAAATCGCAATATAGGGCTCATATCCAACTTCAATCGGTCGGTTGCTCTCGAGACAGATCTCCATCGCCTCCCTTGGCCCCTTCATCTGCCTCTTGATCTTCGGCATCACCAGCCCTTCCGCCTTCGCCTTTTCAATCTTCTCATTTATCTCCTGAATCCTCCTCTTACTCTCCTCATCGCTTCTGCTCTTCCTCACATGCTCAACACGCACAATAACCTTCTTGATCACATACTTCCCTCGCACCTTCTTGCGTATAACAACGTTCAACGACCTTGGCTTCACATCATACACTCGCCCTGTCCTTCCTTGATAGTACTTATACGGCATCCCCTTCATCATCGCTGGATTCACTACAATATCAACAAGGTCTCCTATCGCATACTTCTCGAGATACTTACTTGTCCTTGCTACACCGTGCTTCCTATGGTCCTGCGAAAACAGCGATCTTGTTCCTCTTCTGTATCCATTACTCCTCATTCTCAGGGCTATTTCCAATTCGCAAAATTTTCATCCCACCCATCAAAGTGCCATCCTGCAGAATCCACAGCCCATGCTTCTCCAGCCCTGGCACTCATTCATTCTTATCCACTGGAACAATACTCTCTACAAACTCGCCTCTTACAACAACAGTAAATGGTATCCCTTCGGGCTCAGAAACATCAGATAGCACGGCATTCATATATGCATCATATCCAATTATCACGCCTTCTAGCACAACCCCGTTGCTCATCTTAATGGCAACTCGCTTGTGGAGCAGCTTTGCAAGGCTCGGAACAGCGCTTCTTCCCATTTCAGGGATCAGCTCCATCGAATTAAACCACTCGGCACTCAAAGTCCCAAGCGTATGCATTCATCCTGTGCAAGCAAGTCTACTAGCACTGCAGGACCTTCAAATCAAATAGAGCAATTTTTTCACCCTGAATGGTTGGTAGAAACTTCAGCAAACGAGGAAGCACACCTATGAATCCATTTGATAAGCCGCGCCTAATAAGAGAGATCCAGCTTGTCGGGACATACGGGCTCAAGAACAAGCGAGAGCTGTGGGTGATGAACGAAGTGTTTGCAAAGGACAAGGAGCGTGCAAGGATCTTGCTCACATCGACAAATCCTGAAGATGTTCCGACAAACGGGCGTTCATTGCTGATGAAGCTAATGAAGTACGGGATTCTAGGCGGAATTGACATATGCGACAAGCAGGAGGTCATTTCTGGGCTGAACAGGGTTCTTGATCTGACCATCAACCACTACTTAGAAAGGCGTCTTCAGTTCAGAGTGTTTGCAGCAGGGCTTGCGAAGTCTGTGCACGAGGCAAGAGTGATGATCAAGAGCAGATGCATTTCAATTAAGGATCAGGTCGTCACTACGCCTGGATTCATGGTGATGGCGGAAAACGAGCCCTTGATCGAGTACAATCCGTACTCTGCATATGGAGACAAAGGCAAGAAAAAGAAAGCAGCCTCCAAGGCTGGTGGAGATGAATAGTGGAACAAGCGGGACTTTAATAATAAAACACCCTTATTCTATTGGTGTGTTGCATTGGTTTATTGTTTATTGATTATGCTTGCCAGGACGGATGATGTGCTGCCATGCCGAATTGTGATTATCTTACTCTTCAACTACTCACGATGTCTATGCTCTGGATGCTTGTACCACTCGTGCATTGTGCAGAATATCCTCTGCTGTAGAGAGGTAATCATGCTCCGCATCGACTTTTCGATCTCATCGGAAACCCATTTGCCCATCATAAAGTTGTTGACCTCCACGCTCAGGTGCTTGTATGACACCATCATCGGGATGCCTTTGCTTCGGTACACACTGATCCACCCATCGGTAAGCCGTCCTCTTCCGCTCTCTTCATGGTAATAAGCAGAGGGATCAAAGAGCGGATCAACAGGGTTGCAATGGAGATCAATATGCACCTTCTCAATTGTGCCTGCTTGCTCTGCACAATATTCAAACGGGTTTTCGTGGATCTCATGCCCATCCATGTTGACTGTGTAAAAAGCCATCTTGAATGTGTCGTGCGAAAAGTATCTGTTCTTGTACACGGTGTGACACCTGGTACGTGCATTGTGTGAAATCTCTTCAACAACAAATGCATCTTCTGGAATCACACTATGAAGAATCGTTGGGATCTTCGATTTAAGATGCATCACCTTGTGTGTCATGTCGCTATTTCCAAGAGTTTCATGGACAACCGTGTCATTTCCAATCAGCTCCACCTTGAGCCCTCCAAGAGACTCAGACTCAGTCATAGTGCTAATTGCATGCTGCTGCCCATCAACATACTCGTCGATAGTCATTGGAAGCACAGTCACATAAATCTTCTCCACCTTGCTCATCTCGCACGCTATCGTCTCATCTTCTTTTATCTTCTTGATCAACAAATAAATAAAAACAGAATATTGTACTTGCGACTGCCATTTAATCCACATTAGCATTGCCCGGCTCTCATTTACTAGCCATCCAATCATTGGAGGCCATGCATCATGCTCTCATGCATATATTGATTTGAACTTCGGATCAAACAGAGAGTAGAATCTCACTATCTTAGACCTGCTCTCCTTGCACAAATCATAATCATCATAAAGTCTAATCAATGCCAGTACAACATTGTTGATGACGCTCAACGACTTGAAAAGCTCTCCAGACCCAATACGGTTCTCGCATGCGATCCTCTCCCAGCTTCCATGCTTGAAGAAGTCAACAAGATACGAGTTCTTTATCTTATCAGCGTTGTCCACTACCAAGAACGAGTATATCGTGTGTAGTGGTGCATCAGACATCTGCTGTAGTGACTTTAGAATCGGTGGATAGAACCTGCTTACAGATCTCCTTGAGACTGCATTGATCCTCTTACAGAACTCATCCACTGCTGGGTCCAGCGCAAGAAGCGTGCATCCCATATCAAACAGCAGCGGCCTCGTCTCAAAAAAATGCGCCAGCGTCGTCATAAAACACATCGGCTCAAACGAAATCGCATTGCACTCAAGTAGCAGAGCAAACGCCAAAATCGACGGATCACACTCCCTGTTTCCAATCACAAGGTCGCAAAGATACGACTTGCAGCCAAAATAAGGCCTAATCAACTCCAGTTGATACTCTACAAGTTCACCCCTATGCTTCTCACTTCCATACACATCACTCATGTCGTACACACGCATGCAGTCCTCGTTCTTTTCTGCACCCCCCCTTCTGCTGCCTGCCATCACATCCTTCTGATTCTTTGCCGAATAGCCAATCTTCACCTCGTCAACTCCCTTCTCGACATCCTCCAGATTGCTGTACAACGTGCTTTCCAACAACGGGCTCTTGATCAAAGACTCCTTCAAGTCAAACCCAACAAAACTTGTGTTCGAATACGTATACACACCTTTGATGTTCGGAAGCAGCGACACCATAAGATTCTGGACACGGTGCTGAGGAATGCCCATAAAAACCACATTTCCAAGCGTGTCAAATCCTCGCCGCCCTGCCCGCCCTGCCATCTGCTTGTAGTTCATCGGATCAAGCTGCAGCGAGTCTCCTGCAAACACAACGCTCCTGCATGGCATATTGATCCCAAGAGCTAGCGTCTCTGTTGCAAAAAGCACCTGCAGATGCTTCTGCCTAAACAGTATCTCAACAAGAGACCGGTACCTCTTGTTCATGTGTGCATGATGGACTCCAATCCCTCGGTACAGCATGTCAATAAACTCAAAGTCGGTGTTCTTCATAAACTTCGTCTCCTCGTCAAGCTCATAGTCAGTAAGCTTCGTCAATGCATCAAGAAAACTATACTTGATGCTCTTCTTGTCGTCTCGCATCTGGAAGCTCTGCTCCGCTGCTGCTGACTCCTCTTCCCAACTATTCTTGCCTTTCTCAGCATCCCTCGTTCTCTTCGCCTCCTTCATCATCTTCTCAAGATGCTTGTTCCTCTTCTTCTCCATGTCCATGCTTTCCAGCTTCTCATAAACTCTCAATGCAAGCTTGCTGACAAAGTCCCTGTCCGTATTGAAAACAATGCAGGGAAACATCCTCCTCTCTTTCAGCTCAAGCAGCATATCAAGCATATTGTCAAGAAGATACTCATCGCTGTAATCGTTGACTCCCTTAAACGCCTTCTGCACCTCCCTTGTCTGCATCTTGTATACATTGCTGACTTGCTTCTCAGATAGCACATCGTTCTCTATCATCTCTTGAAATTTCATCAGCAAATGCCTTCCATACTCGTTCACATCCTTCTTCGATACAATGTTGCTCTTGAAAAAGTTCTTGGGCATCAGCCCACTAATCTGATCCAGCTGCTCCTCCCCAACAACCGCACATATGGAGTCATACAGATGCAGCAGCTCCTCAGGAAGAAAGCTGATGTCGTTTCCAAACCCAAACCGCTTTATGTGTGTATACGAATATGCAAACAGATTGTTTATCGCCACTATCTTCTGGCTCCCTGCTCCTGCATACACATACGGCTTCAGCTCGCAGTACCTTTCTCCGTATGATACAAGCTCACACTCCCGCCCTTTCCCATTCTCTATCTTCTTCATCCACCCATAAAACCCATCAATGTTCCCAAGTGTTGCGCTCAGCACCAGCATCGGGCAAGGCGAAAGATGCACTATCCTCTCAATCGGTATCCCCATCTCCTCGCTTCCAATCTTATGCACCTCATCAATAATAATGTACCTGACACGCTCAATAAACCCCTTTGGCGGCGAGTTCAGTATCGACTCCAGTAGCGATGGTATCACAATCAGTACCTGGCAATCCCATGGCGCAACACAGAAATCCTTCATCAGGCTTCCTTGCAGAAACATCTTCGAATTCACCTTCGGCGTAAACCTTGCATATATGTCTGCTGACACCTGATTCACCAACGCCTTTGTAGGCAAACAGAAAATCACCACATCAGTATCGCTCTCCCTCAGCACCTTCTCTATTGCATAGAAACAGATAAACGTCTTTCCCGCACTCGTTGGCGCAGATATCACCGCGCTCTTGTTCTCATCCACAAGATCAAGCAAGCGCACCTGCCACTCATCAGGCTTGAAAAGAACACGTGCATCCGACTTCGAGTTCAGGCTTCTTTGCAATCTATCTCCTGTGTACTTCAACTGGAAGCAAATGTCAAATTCGTTCGGCTCGCTCCCCTCTTCCGTCACATACTCAAGCTCCAGACTATTCAGCCCATTCTTCTCAACAACCTCCCTTGCAGTGGCCTCAAATCCACAGTCAATCAGCTTCTGCAATACAAACTCAAGTTCCTCCTTCGGCGCCTGATCCTTGCTCCCCAGCTTTCCAAAGTCCTGGATATACTCAAGACAGCTCAGATAGCATGGAACAACTACCCTTTCATCATAATCATCAGACTTGCTTTCAAAGCCCCACAGATCAGTGTAAAATTCAATCTTCAACAGCAGCACCTTCCTGTACATCCCAGACCCATCTGCCTTCACACTCTCCAATAGACTCCGCTTTCCATCAACATCTAATCCCTTGTACTTACCAAAAAAACTCTTCAGCCATGCATTCTCCTTTGCCTCCTTCTCTGCCTGGATCCTCCTACTGTTCGCTTCCATTATCATCTTCTGCTTGTTCGATATCTTCGGTGCCTTGCTTTCCTTAGACCTCACTATGGGTGCATATAGCACCTTTCCATCAAACAGCGACTGTGCAGACTTCCTGACATTCCTCATGTGCGACATTGCCGATCCTGCTGGCATCTCCTTTCCATTCGTCAGCAGCTCAAGCTCTATTCCTTCCTGTTTGCTGGCTATCTGCTTATGCCCTTGGCCAATTATCACATCATATCCCTCCTCCTCCCTGATTATGCTCATCGGCACCTCCTCATACAGCATTCTTCCGTCAAAATCCTTCTCCCCGTCCTCGCCTCCCCTGCTGTACATCCTAGCAAGCTTTCTGCAAATACACTCAGGCACTTCATACTCACTCCTTCCAAAGGGCTCAGTCCTCATCTTAAACCTCCTATCCATCTCTTCAAGCGTCATATTTGCTCCCATCTTCTTCATCTCCTCACCAACATCCTTGTCCTCCTCCCCATCGCCTTCCTCGCCCTTATTTGCTGCATCATACATATTTAGGCTCATCTCAACTCTTCGAGGCAACGGACTATACACAAAAGCATGCACATTCGGTATCCTGAACTCCATATGCTCCATCACCGCACAGTAAAGGCTAATTCCCAAACATCCATACAGAAACTCAAGCTCTCTCCCTTCAGCCCCGCCAAGAACAAGTGCGACCCTTTCGTTCTCAACATACTCTTGTACTTCGCTTATATCCATCCCTCCAAATCTTCGCTGCAGATACTCCTTGACCACCCTCCTGTATCCATCCTCCCTTCGGAAAAACAGCATCATTCCACAAAACCCTGCTTTCTTGAGATTCTGCAGCATAAACCTAGTCCCATGCAAATACGTATGCAAAGGCACACTTGCATCATTCAATCTATATCTCCTACACACCTCGCTCATCAACGCCCCTCCATCAATCAGTATATGCCCAATCCCAGTAAACTGCGCAGAAATGTTCGTATACACTGGATGCATCGTCTTGAAATATTCAGAACACTCCATTTCAGGGTTAAAAAAACACTCCATTTTCCATCAATACCTTTGCCAAGCCTCTGCAAAAACACATTCTTCATTTTCTTTATTCCCACTTGTTTCAGCATGCTATCGCTTCGACCTCCGCTTTCCAGTATACCTGCTATCCCTAGGCACCTCTATCCCTTTTCTTCTCAGCCGCTCCTTCTTCTTCACAATCAGATCAATCCTTCCAACTCGTTTTTTCTTTTCCTCACGCCTTTTCCTCCCCTTCATCGTAAGAACAAGAAAGCTTTTCGCATTCCTGGTTCCTTCTCCGTCAATCTGGATCCCTCCGTCAAACCCTGCACGCACTGCCTCATTCCTAAGCATCTCAATCTGCTCCTGCCTCTTCAGGTAAAACTGCAGCACACATCTCCCCTCAGGCTTGCAAATTGTGTACAGTGTCGTAAAAAACGTTCGGAGCCTTCTCGTCGGATTCGAGCCGCTTGAGTACGAGTAAAGCAGCCACTGGACTGCACTCACGCTTATCACCCCATCAAACGTCCCCGGCTGGAAATGCAGTCCTTCTCCCATGTCCATCCTGGCATATCCCTCCCCCCCTGCTTCAAGGCTCACACCCAGGCTTAGCATATCTTCACTGATGTCAATGCCAACCCAAGGATATCCACAATCAGAAAGAACCGCTCCGCTCAATCCAGATCCGCATCCAACATCTAAAACAAGCCCTCCCTTCTCAACACCAAGCAGCTCAATGCATCTCCATGCCAATTCTGTCTGCACATGGCATATTCTACTGTTCTGCGTGTACTTTTTCGACTGCTCTTCGTCGTAGTATTGCTCTGCTGGCCCCTCAAGCTCGGGAATACTCATCGCAGGGCCTCAATATCGCCCCAATATCCATCCATATGGCACAAGCATCTTAGCTCGTGCTCATTAATCTTTTGAACGCCACACATGCATCTCAATCGCAAGATGCATACATCCGCTCGCTCATCGCTCACCAGTCAACCTTGAATGTCTTTCTTTTCACATCCACAGCCGCAAACATCCTCCTTTGCTCCATTGCCTTCTTTATCAACTCCTCCTCACCAAAGACACTGTATACCATCTCGTACTTTTCTTTTCCACATTGATCATATGAATCGGCACCTGTCTTGCCTGTTCTTTCCTGGCCAGGCCCTGCAATGCATCCGCCTCTGCATAAAAACACTTCTGCCATTTTGTACTTCGGTCCACTCGTTTTGCTTGTGTTGAAGTAATTGATTGAGTTCTCCAGCCCGGTTATTTGGCACAGAACATCGCCAGACGCAACAACATGCTCCCTAACCCCCTCCCTCACATCACTCAATCTGCTCAGGCATTCCTTGCCAATAACAAACTCTGTATAACCACCCGTGCTGGTGCCAATGTTCCACTGCGTCATCTCGTGTGTCTCCATCTCGCATGCATCATCAAATTCACTGATAAACTCACCAAACGACAGGCTGCACAATATACTGTGGAACTCCTTGGTTGTCAAAATCGCATCAAACATGGCCAAATCCCTTCCATTCTCCAGTCGCTTGTCTTGACACGGCATTACGCTCACTGCCTTATGCCTGCTCACAAGCGAATATGCCATCTGCTGTGGAGACTTCACACGCGAGAGGTATCCTAGAAGATGCGGCGCCGTTCGCTCCACATATGTAACAACGCCAGGGCATGCACTGACTATCAGGTGCTTTGTTGCAAGATACTCCTTGTAAACCTCCTCATATATCTTGCTCCTCACATATGATGTGTCAATTACTTGGTCCACATTGAACACATTCCTAAGAAACACACACAGGCCCTTCTCAAACATCCTGTAGCTGATCCTTTCCGATCGATACATGTCGAATATGCTTGCCTTCGACTGTGGCGAGATAACAAACGATGTTTTGGCCTCTCGATCAATTGCAGACGATGGGTCTCTGGCCAGTACGCCAAGCTCCTCTGCAGACACACACCCACTGCATGCAAGGCAATCATCTAGCGAAGCCGTTGCTGTAGAGCTCTCTTTTATACATCCAGGTCCGTCCTTTTGAATGCCATCAAGAAACGACATGTCCTGCGCAGGGAGCGCTGTGCACATTTATGCGATGCAACACCACAGCAGCCCCTTGATGGAAATACGGTTGAGCTCGTTCAAAAGAGAGCACTCGCTGAAAGAGCTGATGTCGAAGGACATGTCTGAGTATTGGGCAACAGATGATGTGCTACCGCATGCAATACAAATTTCGTTCAGAAAGGTTAGGTATGTTCAGGCAGTGCAGCTGTTTCTGAGCTTTTCACAAGATGACAGCTACACACCCGAGAGAGTTGAGATCAGAGCAGGGATGACTAGGGAAAGCATCCACACAATAGGGTCCGTCGTACTTATTGAGCCTGAAGGGCTGGTCACACTCTGTGTTGCAAGGAGATGCTTATACATCCAAGTAGTCATCCAGTCAAACCATCAAGAAGGAAAGGACAGCCATGTAAGACACATAAAGGTTCTGGAGTCGTTAACAAAGGAAATATACCACAGGGTGTAATTTATGACTAATGACGGAAGAGAGCAACGAATGTGTGTACCAAAGCTTGATGTATTGCATGCATGATTTTATTGCAAAGCAATGCTTGTTATTGAATTGAACTAGTGCCTTCGGCAAGATATATAGCAGCCCATGCACAATCCCATGTATTTCTACTTGCTTCACATCGATCAGATTGGAAGCTCAAGTGTGCTTCTGCATGGTAAGGTGATTGCGAATGTCGAAAGATGTGCATTGTCTGATGCCATCGGCGAAAAGCTGGTGTCTGCTCAGGTCAGAGTCGACAACGTTTATTCTCCTGTGTTCATGAAGGCGACTGATGGCAGGCTGCAAGAGCTTCAGGCAGACATTGAGGAGTTTATGAGCAAGATGGATGTGAAGTATGTGCTAGAGAATGTGAACAAGCAAAATGTATTTTACACCAATCTTGAAAGGCATGTAGGCCTGATCAAGGTGGTGTGCAGAAGCAAGGTGTCTTTCGATGGGTTCTTTTCAGAGTATTATGATGCAATAATAACTGAGTTTGTCAATCCTGTGGAGAATATGATTGTTTCCAGAGGCATCCGTGGGCCGTGTGTTCTTTGGATAGATGGGGCAAGGGTTTCTGGGGATAGCTATGCTGTTGATTCTGCCGAATGCGTTAGATTTGTTTGCAATGCACGATTGCCCGAGCTGACGATTGCTGCATTGGCCATAAGGGTTAGCAAGCATGGAGTAAGTGGATACAGCTTGTGTGTGCGAGGAAAGACTCAGGATGGAATAGTTAGGTCTACGGATACTGAAGACGTGGAGATGGCAGAGAGGATGGGATATGTGGTGCATGCAACGTCAAGCTCGCTATTGAGTCATCTTAATGCATTGATCCGTAAGGAAGGCGTTGATTGCATTGTGTATCACAATCTTCCTGGAGCGGTTCGCAGAAGACTGGACATGTTTGGAAGGATCAGGTGCGATGTTTTTGCTTTTGCATCTGGATGCATGAAATGCAACGACTACTCGATTGATGAGCTGATGTGTGCATTGAGCACGAATGATCCACAGATACAGATGATGATGCAAGAGAGGCAGATGATGAAGGATGCCTGGCATTTATGCTTGCAGTGGGAGTCGAAAGCAATTGCTCAGATATTTACCGGGATGTCTGCACTGCAGCTATCGAAGGAGATGTGCGAGATATCTGGATACATTCTGAACAGGGTGCTTGAGAATATGCGAGCAGAGAGGATTGAGTATACCTTGCTGCATGAGTTGTATGCCGGAGGGTATCTGTTTCCACCAGTGATGGCAAGAAAGGAGGTAAAGTATGCGGGAGGGCTTGTTCTATCACCACAGTCAGGGTTCTATGAAGATATTGTTCTTCTTCTTGATTTCAACTCACTGTATCCGTCGATTATACAGGAGTTCAATGTGTGCTTTTCAACGATTGGAGCAGCGGATCGAAGTGCAAGTATGCAGATGAGCGAAGAGCAGCTGAGGATGCTTACTGAGTACAGCAAGAGATGTGAGACGGGGATTCTACCGCAAATTCTTGAAGGGTTTGTGAAGCGAAGAAAGGCAGTTAAGGAGCTGATGAGGAATGGAGCATCAGCTGAGGAGATAAGAATACTGGAGATTCGTCAGAAGGCATTGAAGCTGACGGCAAACAGCATGTATGGGTGCCTGGGCTCATCAGGATCGCGGTTCTGCAACTATGCCATGGCATGCTACATAACGTTCAAAGGAAGAGAGCTTTTGATGGAGTCGAAGAGGATAGCTGAGGAGGAATGCGGGATGAAGATTGTGTATGGGGACACAGACTCTGTGATGGTGTACAGTGGAATATCAGGGAGGAATGCAAACTACGCAAAGGCCATAGAAAGGGCAAGTGTGTTGCGGGATGCGATCAATGCTAGGTACAGGAATATTGAGATTGGAATTGAGAAGGTGTTTAAGAAGCTTCTGCTGTATAAGAAGAAGAAGTATGCAGGGCTGTGGATGGATGGCAATGGAGGAAGTTTTATTGAGTATAAGGGGCTGGATCTTGTAAGAAGAGACTTTTGCAATGCTAGTAAGAAGATTTGTACAAAATTGATTGAGTTGTTGCTACTTGACTTTGAGCAGACTGAAGTGGTAGAGAGTGTTTATGGAGATGAAAGGAGCATGTGTGTGCCTGTGGATGGAAGAGTTGTGCAGAATGATGGAAATGAAAGAATCAGAGAGCTGGTGTATGGAGAGTTGAAGAAGCTGGCTGAAGAGCTGAAGAGCCTTTCTCGCGATGAGTATGTGATCTACAACACACTGTCGAAGGCGCCAGAAGAGTATGGTGCATCTGTTGCGCTTCCACATGTTTTACTGGCACTAAGACTGAAGGAGGAGGGAATGAAGTTTGATCAGGGCGATGTTGTTTGCTATGTGATGGGAAAGGCAGTTGGAAACGAGCCGATGAGTAGGAAGGCATATCATCCGAGCGAGTGTGTAGAGATTGATTATGGATACTACATATCCAGCCAGATTCTTCCTGCAGTCTTGCGGATATTGGATGTAGCCAGGGGGTTCCATGCAGACAAGATCAACGGGATTTTTGGAGTGTCGGGAGTGGAAAGGATTGGGCCACAGCGGAATGTGAGTTTCCTAACGCCTTGCTGTGAAACGAGCCAGAATGCATTTCCTGTATGCTTGACATGTTCGAGGCCTATTTCAGAGGCTTTTTATGTATGCAAGGCAATTGAGATGCTCAGGAAGGAGGTTAGTGCGATGTATAATGCATTGCCTAAATGCGGAGGATGTGGAGCGCTGTGCCATATGCACATGCTGAGCTGCTTTCACTGTGGATATGAGCTGGATACTGCAGGAAGTAACCAGGAATTTGATGTGTTTCTTAGTAGCTTGGAGTCAGCATGCGAGAGCTTGGGAAGCAAGGATCTAGAGCTGCTGATAAGAAAGCATACCAAAGTGTCTGGATACAGAAGAATTGATTTTAGAAGATACTTTGAGAAGGAGATTGGCAGATATGTATGTAAGCGAGTGTAGGACATGCAGGTAAGTGCTATGAGTGGGCAATATACTTGTGTGATATAGATGCTGAGCTTGTGGAGACTAAGATGTTGTAAAGGGGAGTGAAGCCTGATTGGAGTTTGATAATATTTGAGAGGTTCGGAAGCAGCAGGCATGCTTGGGATATGTGCAAGGCTGAGGAGTTGCATGAAGATGTTGCGTAACAGATTATTTGTAAGGAACTTCAGAGTGGTTATTCTCGGGTCTGAGCAGAGTGGCAAGTCTACGATTGTGTCGAGGGTGTTCGGAGAATGGCCGAAGCGTTTTAGGAAGCAGAAGGATGTGGATGTGTATGAGTTCAGAGAGGGCAATATAAACTACATGGTGTATGATGTGAGCGGGAAGAGGCCGCTGAAGGCAAGGTGGGACCATTTGTACAGAATGAGCGATGTTCTATTGTACTGTGTGGATTCGAGTGCTTCTGCAAACGATCTTGCGAGAAGCAAACAGGATCTACTGTCTATGCTATATAGGAGCATATGGACAAAGAGGAACATGCTTGTTCTTGGGACCAAGAGCGAGGTTGATGGAGCGATTGGCAGCAAGGAGATGATTTTTGCAATGGACTTGCTGTCGATTGCAGACAGGGAGATTTCCTGCTTTTCAGTGTCTGCTTCGAATGGTATGAACATTGGGATGGTGAATATGTGGCTGAAGGAGCAGTGTGATGCAGCGATGGCTGATTGAAGGGATGGATTTGGATAGTAGGGGCGTTTCTCTGAAGATTATGATATTTAGTAAGTGGATTATGTGGTAAGTCTTGATGCATATGGCACTATTAGTGTGCCACAGTTGATGTGGTAGGTGCCTGATGCATGAAATAAAGCGAAGTCTATTTTTTCGGTTTTTTATGCAGCGTATTTGTCTTGAGTGCAACCCTGAAGATGGCAAGGATAAGAAGGGAGAGCGACGAAGAGGTATTGGATGGATCTGATGACTCATATGATGTCTATGAGCCGCAGCAAGAAGATGGCGATCTTGAGGTTGAAGAGGATGCATACAATGCACTTGAGTATATTTCTCTTGACTGGCCTGCACAGAGCATTGATGTTATGAGAGGATACACCATAGTGCTGGGAACAAACCCGGCGCCAGGAGAGGGCAAGCCTGGAATGATCAGTATTGATCTGTTTCCGACACATGGATTGAGCAAACCGGACAGGATGGTGATATCGAAGAAAAAGATATCTGAGTCGTACAACAGGGTGCGAGTGAATGGAGAATCGGCGTACTGTTTGTCTGATGACATGTTGGTGGTGCATGGGCCGAAGTTTGAGGTAATTCATACAAGACACTATGATGAAGGGCTTGGATATGGATTGTGCTTCAGTGGCTCGGGATGTGTGTTTGGAACCAGGGACGGAAAGATATCGATGAATGACTGGAAGCTTAATGAGACAGGCACGGTGAAGATTCATGAAGGATCGATTGAGGGCATTTGCTGTGAAGGAAGCATGGTATACTCTGGAGGATGCGATCATTCGGTGGTTTTCTTTGATGTTCGAGGCAAGGATTCTGTTTTCAGAAGAAAGTTTGGCTCGGATATCAATGCAATAGGATTCAACGGAGACAACACGCTTGCATTTGGAGATGACGAGGGTACTGTCTGGCTGATGGATATCAGGAATCATGGCGTGGAGAAGATAATACGGCACAAGAGCCCGATCAGCTGTTTGAGATGGAAGGACAGTGAGGTTTTTGTTTCTGGCAGCGATGAGCAGCTGTGTATCTGGGATGTGTCTCTTGATGTAGCCGAAGAGGATGGGTATCTTCTGTTTGTGCACCAGGGGCAAAGGTTCTACAAGGATGTGGCGTTTTGCAGGGGAGACAGTAGCTTTGTTATAACGACCAGTGCTGATGGCCTGTGTGTGTTCAATCCGATATCGTTTAGCCGTGAGGAGGAGCAGAATGGTGATGGCTGATGAAATGAGGTAAAATAAGGAAAGTGATTGGTGAATTAAATGCGTTGAGGAAGGCTGTATGAATTAGTAGGCAAAGAGTCGTTAAAGGATTTGCAAGATGCTTGATTTGTAAATTTTTGCTATGTGGGCCCTAGGAATGCATGAAGAGGGGAGTTCTGCAGTGGATGAGTTGGTGAGGGGGGCTGAGGATACCAATCGGTGGGGGCCTCTTCTGAAGGGCATGGACACGATGATTGTGAAGACCGACAGATACACGCCTTGCGGGCGTGGAAGCATGCCGTTGAACCGATGCATTAAGGAGTATATCAAGTACGGAGTTGTGAGTTTGGACAAATCAGCGAATCCAAGTTCTCATGAGGTTGTTACGTGGGTGAAAGGGATTCTTGGATGTGAAAAGACGGGTCACGGAGGCACGCTTGATCCGCAGGTGAGCGGGGTGCTGACTGTCTGCATTGACCGAGCAACACGACTGACAAAAAGCCAGCAATCCCTGGGGAAGGAGTATGTGTGTGTGATTGAGTTCCACGGGGAATGCGATGAGCAGGGTTTTCGGAATGCATGCAAACGGCTTGTTGGGGCATTGTTCCAAAGGCCGCCATTGATGTGTGCAGTGAAGCGGGAGCTAAGGATACGGAATGTGTATGGGATAGAGATAGTTGAGTTTGATGCAAAGCGAAGGCTGGGGCTTTTCAGGGTTTCATGTGAAGCAGGGACGTATGTGAGAACGCTTTGCACACACATAGGGGTATTTATGGGGTGCGGAGCGGTGATGAAGGAGCTGAGGAGAGTAAGAAGTGGGCTAGTGGATGAGTCGCAGATATACACACTGCATGATCTGCTGGATGCGGTTTACTTGCTTAATACAGAGAATAACGAGGTGGCAATTCGAAGGGTGATACAGCCGTTGGAGGCTCTTCTTGTTGGGTACCCGAGGATTATGATTAAGGACAGCAGTGTGAATGCGATTTGCTATGGAGCGAAGCTAAGCATTACGGGGGTGCTTCGGTTTGATAAGAATATTGATGTTGGGGGAGACGTGGTGGTTATTACAACAAAAGGAGAAGCGGTGGCGCTTGGAGTAGCATTGGCAAGCAGCCCGGAGATGAGTATTGCGCAGCATGGGTTTGTCTGCAAGACGAAGAGGGTGATTATGGAGAAGGATCTGTACCCAAGAAGTTGGGGGATGAAGAATGAGTATGAGGTGATTGAGTGATGTTTTGATAAAGATTTTATGATTTTGGTGTAGGAGGACGACTGTTGTGGCTGGAGAAAAAATTGCCCTTGATGTTTGAGCTTGAGCTGGAAGCAAAGGAGAAGGGAAAGGAAGCAAGTAATGCATCTGAGGCGTTGTCGCTGGTGAAGAGGGTGCTAGAGAGTCTTTCCGAGCTTGTTGAGCAGGCGGAGATAAAAGTGTCGGGCCGTGGAATGAGCATTCAGGTGATGGATGTGATGCATGTGGCGCTTGCAGATGTGTTCTTACCGGCATCGATGTTTACGAAGTATAGATGTGACAGGGACTTGGCAATAGGAGTGCAGCTGAAGACGTTTGTGAAGATTCTGAAGGGAATGAGCCTTGATGGGGGAGGGATGTTCAGGCTGGAATGTGACGATTCTGTGAGCAGCCTGAATGTGAAGAATGTAAGGGATGGAAATGCACTGAACTTCAAGCTGAAGCTTTTTTCGTCTGATAGTGAGGCATACAATGTTCCTGGCCTTGAGTTTGAAGCAACGGCCAGCATTCCTGCCGATGAGTTTATGTACATTCCTAGGCTTGTTGGGACATTTGGGGATTTTGTTGGGATTAAGGCCGAGCCTGGGCGCCTGGTTTTTTTCCAGACAGGAGAGTATGCCGATGCATCGATGAGTTTTGAGGAGTGCGAAGGAAAGGAGCTGAAGATTGATGTGAAGGAGGGTGTTGTGCAGGAGATTGCAATGAAGTATGTTAATCTGATTGGTAAGGTTGCAGGGATGTGCAGGAGCATGAGCATTTCCCTGGGAAATGGAAAGCCTGTGTTTTTCAATTTGCTGATTGGAGAGTCGGCATACATGAAGTTTTACATAGCGCCGAAGGTTGAGAACTGAATAGTTGAGTGCTATTTGCACGGAACGATGTGTTGTGCTATTTGTGTTGCAAGATGCATGTGTGTTGGCGAGAGTGGTTTTATTGAATAAACACAATAGGTATATGCAGGTATTATGAGCTGCACATATGATGGTATGTGTCTGTGATGTTTTAGTTGTGCTTGCTTTACTCCGCGCCTTCCAGTTTTCCTGGCAGTGAGTATCTTGGCTCAGGCCTGAATATTTTTATAAGGCTGTTGTATATTTCGATTAGTAGCTCAACTTTTTTGTTTGCTTCGATCTTTTGCTTATTGCGATACCTGTTCCACGACCACCACGGCCTATTTGTAAGGCAGCTTTCTTTGTACATTTCGTAGAATTTCGGTTTCAGAATTCTCAGCAAGGTGTATATATTAATTTCGTCTCGGTGTTTAAAGTGCTGCGAGATCTCCAGCCAATACCGAATGGAGTCTTCAACCACCATGATGTTTTTTCTTCCTAGTATTTCCGGTGTTTTTACGTAGAATCCTTGGTAATGGAAGCTCACTTCGTCCATGCTTTCGTACTTCTCCAGCCCAGATATCTGGAATATTCCTCTGGGCTTGTACTGCTTTTTGCCTTTGCTGTCCTGCATCTGATATAGGTACGATGTGTTGTACATTACGATTGTGGCGACAGAAAACACCTCGTATCGCCTGCTGTTGCAATGGTCAAAGATAAGCCCAAACACCTCCATCACAAATGTCTGGTTGCTTGCCTGTGACTTGTCGAATAGATCCACGCCGAATGCCAGCTGTCCCTGTGCACATATTCTGAACATTGTTTCCAAAAACTCGATATAGTCGAGGTTGTGGACATGGTATCTTTCGCATTGACTGTTTATTCTGTCCGAATTGTCTCTCGAGCAAAGACATGTTCTAACAGCGTAGTTGTCGTAACCAGTCTGGGCATTGATGGCAGCAGTTGCAATCAACAGCACGAAGGAAACATTCATTATAAGCATGAATGGTTCATGCATGTTATATGCATCTGAGTAAATTAATAAATTGGCAAATGCTACTTGGTGTGCCGAATATTCAAGCAGTAGTATGGATATAAGATGCTGATGTGGAATAATGTGGCATTGCTCAAGGAGTGTGCTGGATGAATGCACGGCAAACGAGAGGATGATTCATGGAGCATTGAAAACATTTTGGATGTGTATCCTTTCCAGAATATCCATGCGTATGGAAGATGATGCAGGAGGCATGGAATACAAGTCGGTTTTACAAATGGAGCACAGAGTATATTGCAGCATTTACGGTGTTGTTATTGGCTGGACATCGGGTAAAAGATCAAGGGGAAGCGATTACGTGATGACTGTCGATGTTGCTGATGAGGACATGCAGAAGCTTTCCGTTCGGATATTCAGCCGCACAGAAATGTTTGCAGAGGGACTGTGTGTCGGAGATGTCATAAGAATAAGGAATGTGAAGCTTTATGCCGAAGGAAAGGCAATTGTAGGCAAGAAAAACGAGGTGGATGTTGTGTACAGACGGAGCAGACAGGCTGATGAAGATCCAGGCCAGAATGTCATGAATCTTGTGGATGCATTCGAGAAGTGTAGGAGGGGATTTGTGAAGCAAAGGATGATATCTGAGATAGAAGCCGGGCATCGCTTTGATTTCTGTGGAGAGCTGAGCGATAAGCGGCGCGAAATGCATAACCTAGTGATTCTGCAATTTGTCGATTATAGCCATGAGGCTTGCTCGCGGGATGTGTGTAGGCACACGAATTGTATGGTACTTGTGGTAAAGGCATGGGGAGAGTTTTCGCACGCAGCAGAGCAGTGCGAGATCGGTAGCTATTACCTGATCAAGAACCTGAAGGCCGATGAAGTGGGTGAGTTTGCGGTTGCGAGCCTGTCTGAGTCAAGCAACGGTAATATATCAAAGATTGACAAGCAGGCACCTGCAGGATTGGATATTGAATACAGAAGAAACGAATATCAAAGAAAAGTTGTATTTGGATGCAATAGAGGATCTGAACGGCAGTCAGATGCACTGATGCGTATGAGCAGTGGCAATGAGTGTGTATCTAAGCCTGGTGTGCATAGAATTAAGGCACAGATAAGAATATGTGCATTGCTTACAAATAACACAATCTCAGTATGCAAAAACTGTGGAGCAGTTGAAGAAAGCACGGTTGAAAAGCAGATGCAGTCTTGTATGAACCACAATGTTGAGCAGGTTAGAATAGCCAGGGTGATTGCCTGGAATGGATATGTTGAGATAAAGGCCGTATGCAGAGGAAGCATAGCGGAGAAGATGATTGGCAATGCGACTCTTGGAATAAAAGGCCAAGTGTATGAGTGTGTTATATTGAATGTTGAGGAGAACAATCGGCTGGTTTCGCATATTATTAGCATCCGGTGAATATCAATATGCATGAGATGTGAATAAATGATATGGATTGTTGGCGAATGCTTGTGTTTATTCGGGTGATGCTATGATTGCAGGCTAATCTTTCTATTGGAGTGATATCTCGGCATGGCAGGTCTTCAGCTGCTGTACAGTTTGCTATGAGCAATGCACTGCTGATTGCTACAACTCTTCATGCCTGAACAGACGTAGTATTTGTTCAAGCTTATCTTCGGTGAATCTATCGTCCATGTCCTCGATTATTAGTTGGAGGCTAAGGATTGATTCAGGAATGATGTTGATCAGCTGGATCGCCTCGAATGTTGTCAGTTTCATTTCTTGCAGAGTCTTTTTTGTTCTAGATGTGTTTTCTTGGCTGAGTGGCGAACTTGAGTACTCCTGTACCTTTTCCAGGAAGCTTAAATGGTTTTGGTGTGTTTCTGAATGCTTTTGTATGACTGCGAGTGCTTCTGCATTTGAAAGAAGATGGACTTTGCTGGATGGCCTCATGTAAGGGCTTGTATGCAGCGGTGTATGCAAAGCAAGTACAGATGGAGTAAATTTTGAATGAGCGGAGCCGTTTGAAAATTCGGATGAAGAATACCAAGCCGGAAAAGAGAAGGAAGGACAAGTCTGACAGAGCGACTGTGGACAAGGTACTTGATAAAAGAACGATGGGTATTCTTGAGAAGCTGCAGGACAGAAGAAAGCTTGTGGATCTAAGAGGAAGCTTGTGCACGGGAAAGGAAGCCAATGTGTACTTGGCAATGGCGAGCACGGAGCTTCAAAGTAAGTTTATAAACAGCAGGTTTGCAGAAAGCAAATGCCTGGATGAAGAAGAGAGTGATGAAATGGTTGCGGTTGCAGTGAAAGTTTTCAAAACATCGATTATGCCGTTCAAGGACAGAGAGAGGTACATACGAAGTGAGAAGCGATTCCAAAGGTTTTGCACATCGAATCCAAGGAAGCTGGTGAAGGTATGGGCAGAGAAGGAGGCCAGGAACTTGAAGAGGCTGAATGCAGCAGGGATTCCATCGCCTCGGCCGATGTATCTGCGAAGCAATGTGCTTGTGATGAGCCTGATAGGAGAATATGATTGTGTGGCGCCTAGGCTGCGAGATGCAGAGATTGGGGATGCTGAGGAGTGTTACATGCAGTGCATAGGAATGATAAAGGAGATGTATTGTAAGGCAAGGCTTGTGCATGCAGATCTGTCGGAGTATAATCTTTTGTATTACAAGGGTATTGTGAGTGTGATTGATGTTGGGCAAAGCGTGGAGATAGATCATGAGAATGCACAGAGGTTTCTGATAATGGACATAGGCAATGTGAATGTGTTTTTTGAGAAGAGGGGAGTGAGAGTGGCAAGTGTGAATGAGGTGTTTGAGGATGTGACAGGAATGAAGATTCCTGTGTGCATGGAAGGGATGCAGATTGTGTCTGATGTGTTTATTCCATCAAGGGTCTCTGAGGTACGAAACGATGAGGACTTTGAGATCTTTGGAAGAGATATGAACGGAGATGCAATGTCTATTGAAGAATCTGAGCAGTCCGATGGATATGGCGGTGAAATGGAGGAGAACAAGCAGGAAGAAGCAATGGGCAATGCTGGGGACGAGAAGAAGAAGAGGAAGTGTGCAGTTAAAGAGTTCAACAGGCTTAGGAGAGCAGCAAGGATTAGCAACAAGGAGAAGAAGAAGATATTCAAGAAGTACATAGGCAAGAAGCATAGAAAGAGATGAACAAGTAAATTCACAAGGAGATGCGAGCCCATGAATGGAATTAACGAGTGCATTGGAAGGATGCAGATCGGTGGCAATGCAAGGTCAAAGCAAATGCATATTGATGAAGCATTGAAAATTGTGCAAAGAAACAGAAAGTATAAGAACGATCCGTTGTATGGGGCATTCCTCAAGACGGTAGTTACTGGCCTGTGCGAAGGAATAAGCAATTCTGAGATTCTCGAGGTGATTAGAGCAATGCAGAAGACAATCAAGCCTAGGCCCAGAATTACTGGAGAGTATTCTTGCATTGAGGAGCTAGATTGCTCTTAATAAGCACAAAACACAATAATAAAACGATTCACACTAATCTTCTTTAATCGATGCCTGTAACCGCTCCTTATGTATGAGATGATTGCATCTGATTAGCTTGTCCAATACACTTCCCACATCATTGTTCCACTTTCTGCCTCCAAAGTCCACCATTCCGGTCTTCTGGTCGATCTTGGCATTTACAAACCGATTGTTCACCATGAACGATATTCTCCTTATAACATCGTCTTCAGACGTCTGCATTATAATTGCCATGTCTTGGATGCTTACTGACGAGTGGAACTTTGCAACCACTCTGAAGTTATGCTCGTCAATGCTAGAAACAATTTCATTCAAATATGCAGATGTGTTGACGGCCTCGCAAAAAACATCCCGAACCTCATTTATGGCAGACTTGTCTATCACCATATCGGCCAAAAACATCCCAACAACTTTCCTTGATGCTTCACTATTGTTTTTGTCTTCAACAAGCTTGGCTAGCATCTCCCTCTTCTTGGATGCAACATCCTCCAGCTCACTCTCGCATGCCGTAAGAATGCCGAAAAACGAGCTTAGCACAACATATCTGCATGCATCCGCCCCAAGCTCACTCAGAGCATAATAGATACACGATGCATCAAAATACTTTCTTTGCCCTAGATGCAGAAGCACACTCAGCTCATGGAACTTTACCTTCTCAGCAATTGCCTCAGCATTCGTATCAAAATATTTCTTCCTAATCTTCTTCATTGTGATGTCTGCTCTTATCCAGTCCATGTTTTGTATGCACAGCCTTAGCTGCTCAAGCTGGTAGTTGATAACCACAGACTCATTTACCATCGTAAATGTCTCCACTGGCACATTTATCACCACACCAAGTGCATTTTCCGTGTCATCGCTTGCTTCATATCTTCTTCTCAGATCCTCAGTAATGTATATCCGCTCCTCTTCCATGAATATCTTCCCCTCAATCACATCCTTCAAAAGCAAGCTGAAAAACCTGATAAATCCCTCCTCGCCCTTCTTCTTGTTGAACAACTCTCCAATCATCCACTTCATTGCCATCTTGTTCTGCCCTCGCTTCATGCTCAGCATCCTTACAACACCAGCCAACTCTTCATCCGTTGTGCACATCTCCATCATTCTACCAAATACCTTCTGCAGTCCGTCGTAGTCATTTGCTATTCTACACTTCCTTTCATCCTCTAGCAATGCCTCCATCTCAGGGGCTTGTGCAAACAAAAATATCATAGCATCCACCAATCTAATTCATATTACCAATTCTACAAATGCTGCAAGGCAATCCACTTGGCACATATATGCTCTCCACAAGCTCAAACATCATACACATGCTCTGTATCATCATTCGTTATCTTTGGCTTTTGCTCTCTCAGGCTTCTGTGGTGCACAATACACCTTCAGCATCAGCGTAAGAACAATCCCAAATATATTGAACGCCACAAACTGAACAGTAAAGTCCGGAATCACAATCCAATCCGTCATCACATCTGTCCACACTACTTGCCCACCAACTATCCCAAATGACCTGATCACCACTCCCTCTTCAATGTGTGGCGAATACTCCCACACTCTGCAAAGCTGCTTCTCACACGTAACATCAATTGCACATCTTCTGTTCATACGAAAGACCACCACCAGAGCCTTCCTTTGTTCATACACTGCTTCAAACACTCCATGGACAGGCACTCCTATCAGCTGCGGAATAACACCCTGTGGATACATCACTGCAAGGAAATGCGGAGATTGATGCGCTGTCATATATCTTATTGTGTTCATCGAGTGGTTTGTTGAGATGATGTCTCTTGAAAAGCACATTGCATATGCCAGAAGCATAAGCTGCACAATGTGCTTCATCAGGGCCTGTGCAGAATGTTTCTGTAGTCGCCGAATTAAAAGGCAGCTGCCAAGGACCCCGGATGAATCCATTTTGCGAAGACTCTTCCTTCGATCCAAGGCTGTATGAAGTAATATGCAAGATCAGAAAGAAGGGCGGGAAAGCAAAGCTTGGCGGGCTAAAGGAGCTAGAAGGGCTTCTAGAGACACTCGATGTGGATGGAGACATAGACATGGTGGTTGAGGTGGTTGAAGAGTGCATTGTGTCTGAGGATGTCCAGATCAGAAACCAATCGACAGACATTCTTTACAAGCTTCTTTGTGTGGTGCCTGATAGAAAGCAGCTTTCAAGAGTCGTTTGTGTGTGGCTGCATGGGTTTGTGGAGAATCCTGGCTATGCGGTGTCAAGAAGGATTTTCTGTGAGTTTGTGAATATTGAAGAGCTGGAGGATGAGTTTGTGAAACAGCTGGATTTCAAGGAGAACGTGACGCTGTCGTTGCTTTGCCTGCTGCTGTTAATAAAGAAGGGAAAGAAGGATTACCGGGGTGTGTTTGAGGAGAATGTAAAGCACCTGAGGTTGAGCTCCAACAAGGAGCTGGAAGAAGTATACAGGATATGCTGTGTGCTTGGCGCAGTTGATGATCTGTATGAGCGGATTGTGCGTATTAAAGGGCATTCACTGATGAATATCAAATGGAGGATCCTGCTGGATGTGTTTAAGAGTGTGCCTGAATGCATTGCTGATGATGCAAGGCATCTTGACCATGAGATACTCAGCAGGGCGCTGTCTGGAAGAGAACGGTGTGATGAGGTGATGGTGAGGAGTGTTGATTCGCTGAGAGTAATTAAGGGCCGAATTCAAGACATGAATGGATACTTGAGCATGTATCTGAGAGGAGGAGCGGTTGAGGGGCTGTGTGTGTTTGAGTTTACTGATGACCTTGGATTTATTGATGAGTCTGTTGAGTTTAAAGTTGCAAATAAGGTGATTATGAATGTGATTAGCATGCATTTTGCGAATGAAGACATGATGGCCTGGCTAAGCAGGGTGCAAGATGGAGCAGATGATGTTTGCAAGCATGCAAGCGAATGCAACGAGCATAGTAGCCGCATTCACGCAGTGAGTGATAGATTGGAAATGGCAAGAATGATAGCGAAGAGCATTGATGGGCTTGAAGGCTGGAGACGGATAGTACGAGCAGATGCGATAGGTATGAAGCTTGAGCCATGTGGATTTAGCAGAGAGGATGTAGAGGAGGTGTTTGAGAAGTCTGTGAATGTGTTTCCCAAGCAGTATATGCTTGAGAGTGAGTTTGGATGCGATGTTTTCCCGCTTGTTATGAAGTATCCAGATGATGCTGGTGAGATAATGGTCAAGCGTGCAGTGAACACGAGGAACATGCATCTTTTTATGAAGAGATGCAAAGACTTTGGGCTGATGCGGCAGCTGATGGATGGGATGAGCGATAGGGATGTTCTAGATGTGTATTTGGCATGCGAGGTTCCTGTGGAGCTGGATGTTGACTTTTACTACAGGATTGGAAGTAGGATGGGAGTGCCAAGGATGATTGAGTATGAGGAGGTGATGAGAAGGTATCTTGATAGTGGGTTTATAATGAATGCGATTGATGGAGGAGTGATGGACAGGAGAAAGCTGTACGATGCAGTTGTAAGGTGCATGTCGCAGATTGAGTTGCCGATGAGCACGGCATACACTAATGAGTTTTATGACACTGATGAGTGTTTTTACAAGGATGTAGAGGTGAGGGAAGACAATGCGATGATTAGGAAGCTTATAAAGCTGTATGTGGATATTTACGAAAGCACTGAAGAGATTTTTCTGCTTCTTGTGATTGATTCGATGAGTGGAGATGAGCCTGATGAGCTTGAAGGGATGCTGAAAAGCAAGGGAAGGGGTAGCAGAGAAAAACTAATAAGAGAGCTGCAGAATGATGTGTCATGGGTTGAGAGAAGCCGTAGGATGGATGTAGGAGCGAAGATGCATTTTGTGGAGAAGGTGTTTTTTGAGTTGGGAATGAGCAGTAGAAGATGTGTGGAACGACCGATTGCCGAGCTCGTGATGAATGGAGGGAATCGTGGAATTGATTATGTGTTTAGGAAGTGCAGGTTCCCGCTGCAGATTGTTCCATTTGTGGATTTTTCGTATCTCAGCGATGAAGGACTGAGGAATGTGGTTGCATCGTTGGTAATGAACAAGGGCGGATCGCATGTGGACCTTGCAGGTGAATGGGGAGGAATGGAAAAGGAAGCGATGCCTGATGAGGTTTTGGCATCGTTGATTGGATCTGGAATCCGAGGAATTAGGAGCATTGGAAGTGCATCTATAATTGGGATGATTGAGAAAGATGCAATTCTGAAGAGGAAGCCGTATAGTAAGAAGAGGCGTGCAATATACAGTGAGTTGCTGAGGAATGTGTATGAAGAGGTTAGTGAGTCGATTGTGAACATGTACAGCATTTCAAGGGTTGAGAGCGAGTCTGTGGATGACGAGGTATATGAGGTTCTGAAGGGAAGCCTGCTTGGATCAAGAGGCCTATTTTGGGATGTCTTGTTGAATTCGCTGATGGGAGTTAGAAGCATCAAGATTAACATGTTTTTTGAGAAGATGGTGCGTGAGAAGGAGGAGTGGAGGAAGTTTGTGAACGAGGCAGATGCTGAGCAAAGGTCGTTGTTTGCATTTGTGTTTCCGAATATTTTTGCAGAGATGCCGAGGATGGAGGTTGTTCTGGACGATCTGATATGGAAAGAGGCGAGCAGGAACATTGCGGGTGTTAGTGTTAAGATGCATAGGCTGAGCAATGGATTCAATGTGAAGATAATGTATACGGCAGGAGACATGTGCTTTAATGCGTTGATAGTGATACCGTTTGACTATCCACATGGAAAGGCTGTTTTTTCGTCTGAGATAGGCAGAAAGAGCCTGCTGAACCTGAAGATCAATGAGTTGATGAGGAGGTGCTCGAAGTTTATGGAGCTTGTGTGCTTGTGGAAGATCAATATTGACGAGAAGGTGTCTGGGCATGATGAGTGCCCGATATGCTATTTTGTGATTGACATGCATGACTCGTCGTTTCCGAACAGTCAATGCTCTGGATGCAAGAGTAAGTTCCATGTAAGATGCCTTACAAAGTGGATTGCGAATGGGGTGCGAAGCAGCTGCCCGATGTGCAGGAAGCCTATCGAGAATGTGGAAAGCAAGACAGCGGCGTTTACTGCAAGGACATGGTGAGTCTGCAGCATGTGGAGTGAATAAAGCATGTATGGGGCTTGATTGTATAAGCTTGGGATTAAAGTGATTGTTGTTATTGAGCGATGTCTGAGTAGTGTGTGCAATGCTGTGCAATATTTTTGGGCTGGCAAAAAGTTCTTGAGAAGCTCAGTTGTAGGCCTTAGCGATGTCTGTGCAGAAGCGAGTTGATTTGATGACCAGGAATCTACAGGAGGTGATTGGGAGAGAGGAACTTGTGAGCATTGCAGAGAAGAGGGATTTGAGTGTGTACTGGGGAACTGCGATCACAGGGAAGCCTCACATCGCATATCTTGTGCCTTTGCTGAAGATAAAGGATTTTGTGGATGCAGGATGCAGAGTGAAGATTTTGTTTGCAGACATTCATGGATTTTTGGACAATCTGAAGGCGCCGATTGAGAAGATAAAACACAGGTGTGTGTACTATGAGAGGCTTATCAAGGCATGTTTGAGGATGCTGTGTGTTGAGTTGGAGAAGATTGAATTTGTGAGAGGCAGTGAGTATCAAAGATCACCGGAGTATGTGATGGACCTGTATAGAATTCTGGCAATAACTAATGAGCATGATGCGAAGAAGGCAGGTGCGCAGGTTGTTAGGCAAGTGGAGAACCCGATGATAAGCTCGCTGGTGTATCCAGCAATGCAGGCTCTTGATGAGGAGCATCTGCATGTTGATGTGCAGTTTGGAGGAGTTGACCAGCGGAAGATATTTACGTATGCCAGGAAGTATCTGCCGATGCTAGGATATGCCAAGAGAATCCATCTGATGAGCCCGATGGTTCCTGGACTGAATTCTGAGAAGATGAGCAGCTCTGAAGAAGTTTCGAAGATTGACATGATGGACTCGAGTGAAAGCATAATGAGGAAGATGAAGAAGAGTTTCTGCGAGGAGGGGAACAAGGAGAACGGCCTGCTGAAGATTTTCCTGCATATTATTTTCCCTGTGTTTTGCATGCATGACAAAGAAGTGTGGATGGAGATAAGAGGAGCAGGGCGTGTTGTTTTTGAAAGATATGAAGATCTTGAGGATGCATTTGGGAAGCGGGAGGTACATCCGATGGATTTGAAGGAGGGAGCAGCAAGGATGATCGACGAGGTGATTGGGCCTGTTAGAAGTGAAATGATGGAGCAGGCGGATGTTTTGAGGCAGGCATATGATTAAATTGATGGATTTATTGTGATGAGCGAGCTTTACCCTGCATGGAGGTGTGTCTTGAGCGAAACCAAGAGTTTCGGATTGAGGTGGGAGAAGGGCAGAGGCTGAAGGTGATGGTGATGAGTGGGCTTGCAGAGGTGAAGGGGCAAGAGCTGCTGAACGAGAGGTGGTATACATTCAACAACACGAGGACGTTTGTGTTTACGTTTTCAGGATGCAAGCTGAAGGTTGATGGAGTGTGTGATTTGCAGTATGTTTCTGATGTGACGAATGTTCCGTCGATATTCAACATAGTGCGGTTTTTTGCAAGCAGGGGGTTTGAGTATGGGAAGATGCGGACGTTTATGGTGGTTGGGAATGGCAGGAGCACGTTCTGTTTTACTCTGATTAATTTCTTTGTACGGCTTGGAAAGAAGGTGTTGTTTACTGAGATTGATCCTGCCAAGGGGAATGTATTTCCTGGGGCGCTTAGCACGATGCATGTTGATACGCTGATTGATTGCGTAGAGGGGCTGAGGCTGACGAACCCGCTGTCGTTTTACTATGGATCGACAGAGATAGGAAACATGGATCTGTATGATGCTCAGACTATGCGGCTGCAGGAGGCAATACAAGCGAAGGGCGTGAATGATTTCCATCTGATACTTTGTCCCGAAGGCACTTCGATGTTTTACGACGCATTAATAAAGAGATTTGAGGTTGATAGAGTTGTTGTAGTGGGAGACGAAAGGATGTACCATTCGATGAAGGTGATTGCAGAGAAGATGATGATACGTAGGAGTGGGTATGTTGAGGAGAAGGATGTTGGAAGAAGCATATCGAGGTATTTTAAGGGAGTCAATGGGGAGTATACGCCGTTTTCGTTCAATGTGAAGTATAAGTGGAAAGTTGTGAGGGTTGGAGAGATGTATGTTGCGCCGATGAGTGCGTTACCGCTTGGAACGTCGAGGAAGGTTGGATGTGTGGAAGCAAGCGAAGTGGAGGTCGTTGAGGGATCGGTGCTGGGGATATCTGAGGCGAAGAGCATTGAGGAAGTGGCGAGGCTGCCTGTTGTAGGATATGTTGTGGTGATTGATCGCAACACATTTAAGATTCTATGCACACAGCCTAGGCTTCCGAAGTACACATTTTTTGTGCAAGGAGACATGCGCCATGTTGAGTATTGATTGAGAAGTGAGTGCAATGTGCTGGAAGAAGCAGAAGTGTATGCAAGCTCGTAGTTGATCAATGGATGCGGGTAGCTTTGGAGTAGTAATAAATTTTGTTTCTGTTGGACATGTGTTAAGTGTTTGAAAGCATTGCCCTTATGCACAATAGGGGGGTTGTTAAGGATGCAGGAGCGATTCTACGGGATAAATACATCACGTCGCACTTGAATGACAGCCTCAAGATTGACAAGGAATATCCTGCGCTTGAGAAGATGGGGGGAATGGGCTATGTGTTGCCGAAGATAGTGGAGCTTGTTTACAATCCGTTATTTCGCAGAGATATGTATGAGGGGCTTGGGATTGCGCCTCCCAACACCCTGTTGTTGCACGGGGTGTCTGGGGCTGGAAAGACATTTCTTGTGAATTGCATAAGCCAGGAGTATAAGGTACCGATAGTCAAGGTGTGTGTTGATTCTGACAAGGAGCTGAGGGAGTCGTTCAGAAAGGCATCGTTGCTGGATGCATCGATCATACTTGTGGAGGACATTGACTGTCTTGGAGAGGATGACAAGAAGGTGATAGCACAGCTGTCTGAGTATATTGAGAATCACAAGGGGAAGTCTGTAGTGATTGCGACAGCAAAGAATCCAGCATTTATACATGAAAGCCTGAACAAATTTGATAACTCGCTGCTTGTTAGGATTCCGAGTCGTGCACAGCGTGGAGAGGTGCTGGCAAGAATTACTGAGAAGATGCGGTGCGAGCACATTGATTGGTTTGAGCTTGCTGAGATGATGCCGGGGTTTGTTGCAAGAGACATAAAGAAGCTGGTTAAAATTGCAGCAGCCAAGGCTGTGTTTGCAGACAGTGGGATTGTAAGAATCAGTGATTTTTTGGCTGCACTGAAGGAGATGACAAGGAAAGGAACAGAGATAACGTTTGACAGCATCGGATCGCTGGAGGATGTCAAAGACGAGCTGAACATGAGCATAATATTTCCTTCGAGATATCCCGACAAGTTCCGTAAGCTTGGGATCACACGACCATCAGGAATTTTGCTATATGGGCCGCCTGGGTGTGGGAAGACGTTGCTTGTCAGGGCAGTGTCTAACATGAGCCATTGCAATTTTCTGAGCATCAAGGGGCCTGAGCTGATAAGTAAGTATGTTGGAGATTCAGAGAAGGAGATAAGAAAGCTATTTGACAAAGCAAAGCAGCTGCAGCCATGCGTGCTGTTTTTTGATGAAATAGATTCTCTGTGTGGAGAACGAAGCGGAAATGAGTTCACAAGCAGAATAGTCAACCAGATTCTCACGCTCTTGGATGGGCTTGATGATAGGGGAGATGTGTATGTGATTGGGGCAACGAATCGAATAGAAAGCATAGACAAAGCAATACTGCGTCCTGGAAGATTTGACAAAATTCTTAAGGTTCCGCTACCGTGTAGAGATGGCTGCATTGATATCTTCAACAAATGCATTCGAGGAATACCTATGGAGCTGTTTGATGCAAACGAGCTTGACCTGGAAGGGCTTAGTGGTGCAGAAATAGCGGGCATAATAAGAGAGGCAGCAACATTATGCCTGAAGCAGAACTTCCACTCGGACGTACTTGAAATAACAAAAGCAAACATCATCAAGGCGCTGTGCATTACAAGAACCACACGATCGTTTGCATAACATCAATATCACAGATGGCTTTATTCAGCACCTTATTAATCAAAATAAATACATCCATCAATACATCCTATTGATCTTATTAAGAATTGCAAAAAGTGTATTTTTGTTAAGTCTTCTATCATCAGCAAATCTTTCTATCTCCGGTATGCTTAGTGTGTTGATCAGATCAATATCAACGAGTTTTCCTGGCTTTTCCTGCTTTGGGCATATTGTAAGAGTATTTGCATGCTGTTCCAGCTCAAGTAGGATGCTCGCTTCATCTTCGTTTACTCTGCATATTCCTCCAATCCTTCCGTTTCGTGTCAAAAAATACATCATGCGTGCCTGTTGCCACGACAGCGATCCATAAGCCATGCTTGTTATGCACTCTGTATCAAAGCACAGCACCACTTCATATCCATTTCCATACAGCATAGCCCTCCCATCAGATGTTGTGACAAAAAGTCCTTCAGGCACAAACATCATCGCCTCCACCTGTATCCTTTCTGCACAGGCAAACTCTCGTGCCAATGAATTGCATTCCTTGACAAATACAAACACCTCAAATGATCTGTGCATGCATGAACATGCAATTATACCGGCATCACTCACTATCTTATACGGCACAAACCCAATATCCAATCCGCACAGCTCAACAAGCATCGTTGCCCGTCGTTTGTATACATACAGCATGCATCCTCTATTTGCCACCACATATCCTCCATCAATACACAATCCATAAACTGCTCCCTTTCCGATCACCTCGCATAGTACCTTAATCTTTTCGTTCTTAATCAGAAGCATATATATTTTCGACATGTCTTCATCTTTGGACATATTGCTTGCAACTACGAAGTACTCCGTTGACAGCGACTTTCCTTCCATCAATATCTCATCAGCAATCTTCAAAGCCCCCTTCTTCTTTGCACCTACTGCTACATACGAATTAATAGCTGCATCATTGCCAATGCTCAGGCTAAATTCTACATATCCACATACTTCTTGTCCATCATGATTTGCAACAAATCTGGGCATCACCTTGCCTTGTCCTTCCTCTCCAACCCAACGATGCCTTGTAGATACCAAAAGCCGCGGATCAAGCACAAGCTTGCATTTGTATATTTCATTCCCTCTCGAAACATACAGCTCATCTGCAAACACTCCATACGATACTCCTTCCTGCGCACATCTGTATAGGCAAAACTCATTCAAATCCGCAATTACAGTCATGCATCCTATCCCCACTAAGCACCCACACACATAAATAAGAGTCTCAACCACAAATCCAAACGAAAACAGGCATTCAATAACAATCTTGCCAACTCCACCGCCTTCTTCATCTCTGCAGCACATTCTATAACACATTCCAGAAATCCCCACAAAAATCACGTCTCCGTTGGCATCGCATGCTGCCTTCAGCATCTCATGCCTCCTTACATCCAAAACCTTCAGGCTATTCTTGTCCATGATTACAAACTCATCGTTGTATGTTGACACAAACAGGTATTTGCCAATATACAGTAGGCTCACCTCATACTTGCACTCTACACACATAACTCTGCTCATGGTTTCAAGGCATATGCTCACAATGCATCTTTCCTCTGTATAGGCAACACACACACTTTCATTATATGCTGTCAACACAATTCCTCTCTCCTCAACCTCGGCAACATCCACACCATTCACACTAAATATACTGCTTCGTGTATTGAAGTAGCAATGCATTCCAGTATACACATTCAATATTTCATCAAACTTTCTTTCATCCTGTATATGCTCTCCATACATCCTTCCCTCATTCATATATGAAACAATCAGACTTCTTTCAAACACTCCAAATCTTCTTACAGCACTTGGAAGCTCATACCTTGGCTCTGCACACAGATCAACACCATACATCATGCATCCTATGCTGCTCATCGTAGTGTATTCAAATTTCCCTTCAAAAAATGTCAATCCCTCTAATCCTCCCTCATTTTCAAACACCTCCAGCACCTTGAGCCTTTTTCCTATCCTCAGGTAATATGATGCACCAACACTCGATGCTGCATAATAGCACTCGTCGCCAGCAGGAACAATCGAACTAAACCATGTGCCCACATTTCCAAGAACCTCCGTTCTCAACGCTATTCCATTCGATGCATGCATGGCAGTGCTTTGCATGCCCCGTTCCCTTCTCAAAGAGACACGAATGACTTCTCCATCGTTCATAGACAGCAAGACACCTTTCTCAGTTGCCAAGCTACATCTAATAGTTGGATTTGCAAACTCACTCTCAGCCACAAACCTGTCTTCTTCATAGTAATGCACCTTTCCATTCCCAAACAGCAGGATTCCATCTTCAATCACTTCTGCGTATCGGATCCCTTTCTTGAGCATTACTCGTTCCTTCAGCACCATCCGTATACTGCTCTGCTCAGGCATGTACCTTGCCAAAAACACATCTCGTGAAATATCCTCAAGTACAAACCCCACATGGCTCCGCATCCAGAAACAGCCAATAATCCTGTAGTAACCGAAGTCGTTTACATCACTGGCAAACACCAACTCTTCACCATTTATGTGTGCAACCGCCACACATCCTTCTTCTGCAACAAAAACAAATACTCGTGAGCATTCGATCCATCTTGTCCATCTTGCCTTCACAGGCATTTCGCCTGTATGCATACACACTCCGCTACACACTATGGCATACATTCCTTTTGAATACACCAACAGTATTCCATGCTTACCTGAGACCGTAACAGGAATCGCAAGCAGCACCCATCCGTTGGGATATATTGCATCCACGGGCCTTATGTCCTGGCTGTATATCTCCACAGCACATCCTCTGTTTACAGCAATGCATTCCATATGCCTGTGTACCACTCTTGCTGCAGAAACCACGGCGCTTGAGCTCTTTAGTGTCCGTATTGCATACATCTGTAGAAATTCTGGGCTTGCTGTTCGAAGTAGCAATCAATGCAAGTATTTATGAAAAAAGATAAATAAACAAACGGATGATGCACAAAGCATGCGAGTTCACAGAAACAAACGAGACCGTGTCAATCATGATAAACAGAGATGTTGTCTCGGAAACGACTATCAATCCGCATATCGAAGGGCCAAGAAGATTGGTGCTGTGCGACGGCCTTGCAGTCGATCTGTTAGGGGATGTCAGCCCAGAGGTACTGCTGTGTACATCAGGGCCAAGAATAGAAGTGCGCTTGAGGAAAATGGAGTGCAAGATATGGATGGAATGCACAGGCGATGCAAAGATGGCTGGTGCAGACAGTTGGGTGTCTGACGATGAATCTGAGCAGACAGAGTCGTTGCTTGACTTGCTGAGCAGGATATACAAACGATCAGGAGATAATGTTCGTAGGGCAATGGAGAAGTCGTTCTATGAGTCGGAAGGCACTGTGTTGAGCACCGACTGGGATCAGGTCAAGCAGAAAAAGGTTGCGCGTGAGGAATAAAGTTTTTGGCTTGCAAGTCTGGTACTATTGTGGCAATTGCATAAATACACATCCCTGACTGGATGGCAAGGCGCTTTGATGCAATCGGGCTGATATCGCAAGGAAAGAACACAATGCTCATGAAGGCATTCGATAGCAAGAATCACAGGGCTGTTGTATTGAAAAGGTATTTAGGCCAGGCAAATGGCGGCGATCGTGAGTATTGTAGAGAACGAGACACGCTCGAAGCATTGCCGCCGCATCAAAACATCATAGGGTATAATGGATGCAGGGAGGATGCAGATAGATGCTATTTGATTCTGGACTATTTTGAAGGCAAAACAATGCAGAAGGTTGTATCTGAGATGAATGTGTGCAATTGCCCGGAATGCATGTGTTTCAAGGCCAGATGGCTCGTACAAGTGCTCGATGCCTTGAAGCACATGCATAGTAATCATGTATACCATTGCGACATAAAGCCTGAAAACATACTGATCGCAGGAGATGAAATCAAGGTGATTGATTTTGGATGCTCAATAATTAATGCAGAGGGGGTTGCAAAAGGCAGTAGTGTTGTGCTGCTTGGGACACCAGGGTTTGGAACAGTAGAGGTTGGAGATCTTACATACGATGGCGACGTGGTGCTGGCTCATATGGATATCTGGGCGTTTGGGTGTATTCTGTATTATGCATGCACGGGCAGTGTTCCGTTTGTTGCTGAGAGCATGTTTGACACTCTTAGGAATGTCAGAAGCATCGAGGTGGATCTTGGAGCAGTGCCTGCATGTGCATCCAGAATTCTTAAGCGCATCTTCACAAGGAATGTTGCTAGTAGGTACACTCTTGAAGAGCTGGAGAAAGATGTCAGAGGCATGGCTGGCTATGATGAACAGCATTTGGCATGCAAAATGTAGCACTTGATTGGAATGGAACAACAGCATCAGCATGCTGAAATTGATACGCAGCATGGCTGGAAGCACCTATAAGAAGAGTTTAATTAGCTAGCTGAGGGATCTATATTACGGATGTAGGGCATGACCGATGCATTTAGTAGCATGCTGATCATGATGTGCAGCTATTCAATTAATCTATGATGTTTTATAGGTGTGCTAGCTGTGGGGTTCAGCATCCGGATCTATTTTGTGCAGGGCTGTCTTGATTATAGATATCTTTGAGCTTGTCTGCCAGTGTGTTTTCTTCGCACTCGAGATTATGAAACTCGAGCCTTTCCATCGCCATTCTGAGCATGCCGAGGCGGGATTCTCTTATTTCCTTTTCCTTGGGCTTGATGAGATTTCTGTAACCGTTGATTGCCTGCAGGATTGCTTGCATGGAGAAAAGAGCATCGTCAAGCCCAAGGTCGCTTTTTATGTCTGCTTCGAGCATCTCGATTTCTTGGATGAGCTCTTTCATAGCGGGGATGAGAGTAGTAGCTTGATATTTAAATGTTAATTATATCTCGAATAGTAGTATGTTGACATCCCGTTTATGTCATGTTTAATAATTTCAATCATGTGACTTGATGGATGGCAGGAGGGCGGGACATGATTGACATGGCGAATGGAAAGTGTTTCTGTATATTATTGTTATCTAAGCGCCTGAGCGGTCTTAAATGTAGAATGTGTACGATCGGTTAATTTTGATTAGAAATGGAAGCGAGCGATGGTTGATGGCTCATAATTGGAGGAGATAAGAGGAAGCCAAGTAGCTGCCATGAGCAGTGGGATGCTTGCAAACGAAAGAAGAATGCAGGCGTGTAGAAGCACAGATGCGTGCATTTGGGTGTGTCTTTGCAATCCTGCAATTATTGATATACACTGTGTATCAGGTAGCTGGATTAGTACAGATAAGCTGTGGATTAGTGAAGATATGTGTTGAGGCAAGCCATAGCATGCATTAATTAAATTGATATATATTAGCCTGAGCGATGTCCAAACAAATGCTATCGCAAGGGGAAATGCTAAAGAGTCGGTCAAGAACCAGACTTCAAAAGGAACCCCAGAGCAATGTGGAGAGGAAGGGCACGTGGCACAGAATCACACTGATATTGACATGTCTGATCCCGAACTTCATGCTGAGGTGTTTTGGAATGACAACGCCAGAGGTACAGCATGCATGGAGAGAGAAGGTTGCACTGTGTATATGCATATTTTTTTCTTGGATTGTGCTTACGTTTATGACATACGGGATGAACACGATTGTCTGCAGAGGAAACAACAAATACATTGCGTCTGGCCTGCGCCCTGATGCATTTAGTGGGCGTGTTGTGATAGCAAGCGGGGGGATATACTATACGGATGGCAGCTATGAGCTTGGAGAAAACCAGACACACATGTTTAGCAAAAGCAGCGGAGCATGCAAGCTTGCATTTGGACGACAGCTGCCGAGCGGATCGATGAATATGGAGGACTGGGCAGACATAACGAGGAAGAAGATGGTTGTTGTGGGCAGTAAAGTGTATGATCCGTCGTACTGCACGGAGCCGATGTTTGAGGAGTTCAACGAGAAGTATGCAGGGACAGAAGGGAAGCCTGATTTTGGGGTGGATGAGTGGAGGTGCTATCAGGACATGTTCTATGCAGGAAAGGTTGCTACTAAGACGCCTGGGTGTTTTCTTGCAGATACGATGTTCTGGATATCTACGATATCGATTTTTGGACTGATCATTGCGAAGTTTTCGCTGGGGCTGTTTTACTCATGGTACATGAAGAAACGAGCAAAGCCAAGCGCAAAGGTAACGCCCTGCATATTGCTGGTTACTTGCTACAGCGAAGGGCGGGATGGGATTAAGAAGACACTGGACAGTCTGTGCAAGCAAGATTATGGATACGACAATAAATTGATTATTGTTGTTTGCGATGGGGAGATAACAGGATCTGGAAATGATATGAGTACGCCTGGCATAGTGCTGAGTCTTTGCGAAGTGAATACAAATGCCGAGCCAAAAAGCTATGTGTCATTGACGCACGGGTCCAAGAGATACAACAGGGCAAGAGTATACGAAGGATACTACCATGCGAAGGAAGAGGCGGAGGACGGAGGATCGTCTTGGTCGTGCTGTGGCAGGCAAGATGGCGGTAGGGAATGCAAAGAATACAAGACCAGGATTCTTGTGATCAATAAGTGTGGAAATCCAGACGAGGTGTTCAAGGCAGGGAATAGGGGAAAGAGAGACAGCCAGGTGATTCTCATGTCTTTCTTCTCGAAGCTTATATATAGGGATAGGATGACCGAGCTGGAGTTTGAAATGTACAGGAAGATTAAGATTCTGATGCCACACATTGAGCCTGAGGACTTTGAATGCATTCTGATGGTGGATGCAGACACGATTGTGAAGCCAGATGCACTGTCCGTGATGGTGAATGTTTTTGAGACGGATCCTAAGGTGATTGGTGTGTGTGGGGAGACAATGATCCTGAACAAGCTGGAGAGCTGGGTTACGATGATTCAGGTATTTGAGTACTATGTAAGCCATCACCTGAGCAAGACATTTGAGTCTGTGTTTGGGGGTGTGACATGCCTTCCAGGATGCTTCTGCATGTACAGGATCAAGATTGTGACGAATTCGCATGGAGAGCTGCTTTCTGGGCCTTTGAAGACACATGCAGCAGTGCCGAAGATCAGTAATGCAAAGCAGCTTTTTGGAGCGTCTGTTGAGAAGAACCTTTGCCTTCCGATTCTTGCACATCCGTTTATTATAAATGCATACTCAGTGTTTGAGGCAAAGACTCTGCATCAGAAGAATCTGTTGCATCTTGGAGAAGACAGGTATCTGACGACATTACTACTGAAGAACTTTTACAAGCGCAAGCTTGTGTTTATACCTGCAGCGAAGTGCGAGACATATGTTCCTGGTGAGTTTAGTGTTCTTCTAAGCCAGAGGAGAAGATGGATCAACTCGACGGTGCACAATCTGTTTGAGCTTGTGCGTGTGAACAACCTCTGTGGAGTCTTTTGCTGCTCAATGCAGTTTGTAGTGGTGATGGAGCTGTTTGGGACGTTGGTGCTGCCAGCCGCGATAGTTTTTACGTTTGTGATGGTAGCGGTATCAATTTTGATTGAGCCAGCGTGGGTTCCTCTGATTATGCTGGGGGGTATTTTTGGGTTGCCTGCGGTTCTTATCCTGATGACAACGATGGAGCTGCAGTATGTGTTCTGGTGCATAGTGTACATACTATCGATTCCGATATGGAACCTTGTGCTGCCGACATATGCGTTCTGGCACTTTGACAACTTTACGTGGGGAAACACAAGGAAGGTGGATGGAGATGGCGAGGAGAACGAGGACGGGGAGTTTGATCACTCGAAGGTCAAGGTTCGTGAGCTGGAGGAGTTTCTGAGTGAAGAGAGTAAATGATTAGAACTGTATAATAAATGATTGTGTAATCAAAGTGTTTAGTACGAGTTTGTGGTGCATGGAGATGCTGTGATTGCATCTGTAACACTGCTTTGTGTTTATATTCATGTACCGATTCTGGCTTATAATATAATACTCAACGATCAGATACATAAATGGTACAGGGAGATGGTTTGTCATGCAATACTGGACGGCAATCCGATGTAAACAAGCACAGCGATTCCAATTGAAAACACAATCAACCCAATTGCAAGCCTTGGCCTGGTCATTTTGAATATCTCGTTAAGTAATCGTGAGTTCCTGATTAAATGCGCCCTGCCGATTCCAATCTTCCGCTGTACCTCAACAAGCTTTTCGTTCTGCAGCGTTATCTCGCCAAGTATCATGGCTAGCTCGCCTTCAGCAAACTTTGCATATTCTACTACATCGCCAAGCCTTTGGTCAGGCATCCTCAAGCACAACAAACAAAAGCAAGGCTATTTGGCGTTTCGAGTTCGATTGTTTACGCAGTCACTATAAATCAATGTGATTGTTTGTTTTCATGGGCCCGAAGGGAATAGGCGTCTCAAACCTTCCGAATGTGAAGTACAGGAACTTTTGTAAGGCCGGTATCGACTTCAACATTATGACAGTAGGCTCTAGCGGACTAGGAAAGACGTCTTTCATCAACCAGATGCTTGGTGTATCTGTTCTTCCGGCAAACCCATTTGCCGATTCATCAAGCTCCATATGCACCGGTGATGCCTCATCAGCACATATGGCTTCAGAGAGTGCCAAATACTTACACAAAAACTCAGCTCTCAACATCCAGGTTTCGAAATTCTTTGTGATGGAGAACGGATTCCAAACACGTGTCACCATCACCGAAGTTGATGGCATTGGAGATAGTGTGAACAATAACGGTTGCTGGGAGCCTGTTGCTGATTTGTTGCAAGAAAACTTCAAAGACTTCATGCATCAGGAAAGAAGAAGTGTCAGGTCGCTCATCAAGGACAAGCGGATCCACTTGTGCCTGTACTTTCTGGAGCCAAATCCAACACATGTAAGAATGGCAGACATCTACACAATGAAGGAAATATCAAAGATGTGCAATCTGATCCCGATAATTGCAAAAAGCGACCTTCTGAACGATGCAGAGCGAGCAGAGTGCCATGAAACAGTTACAGGCATTCTTTCTTCAGAGGAAATCGACACGTTCTGTTTGGAGTCCAGGCATGATGACAATCAGAAAGCACGATGCCCGTATTTTGTGATATCTGGCAACATGGGGTTTGAGGACGGGCATAACCATAAGAGAGAGTATCCATGGGGCATTATGGATCTTCACAAAACTGCATGGAATGACTTTTACTTCCTTGTGGACTCGCTGATATCAAAAAACCTGATCAACCTTGTCAGGGCCACAGAAACCTTCTACGACGATTATAGGGCTCGGGAGATCGGCAAGGCAGTGACCAGTGAGTCCGAGGCTCTTAAACAGGACGACATCAAGCTTACAAAGGAAATCCAGAAGAAAATCAAAGAAGATGAAAGGATAATCATGGAGTTGAGATCAAGGCTACTGGAAAAGAAGAGGGCATACGAAGCAAAGCTTCTCCAGATGCACATCAATCGAATCGATAAAAAATAAACTTGCCTGCTAGATCTTTTATTACTCGTTTGTATTGTTTTTGATTTACCTTGGCCTTGACTGTCTCTTATCCTTGTTGTTTGCAAACTTTTTGTTATTGCTTCTGTTATTGCTGCTACCTGCATTGTTACTGCTTCTGTTATTGCTGTTCCTGAAATCATTCTTTTTGCTATTCCACCCCCCGAACCTTTTATCGCTGCTTGCATTGGCTTCTCTGCTTCGTTCCATTCCGTCTCTTCTTGACTTGGCCTTTGTCGTATCCCTTTCTTCCTTCTTCTTCTCAACCTCACTTCTTGCTGCAAACCTTCGCTTCGCAATAAACTTGTCAGCATATGCAAACAGCATCTGCCCAACTCTGTCGGTCTCGCTGGCTACGCTCAATATAACAGTCGCATGCACATCGTCCATCCTTCCAAGAACTTCATCTACCTTGCCAATCACCTTTGACGATCCGTCCAGCACACTTGAGTTCGGATAAGGGATGTCTTTTGCAACCAGCTTCAGCACAAGCTGCTCTTGGCATACATACAGTACTTTTCCAAGCTCTGTTGTCTCGTTTGACACTTGTCTTTTGCCTTTCGGATCCCTTGCCATATCAAGGGACTGATTTTGCAATCATATACGCATGGCGCCAGCAACACATACTGTGCACACAGGCACAGTGTATATTTGTGCATGCTTGCAATGCCAATACTTACTCATACAAACAGTGCATCACGCATGCCCTTCACATGGAAGACTCTATGCTTAGCTTTGTGCTTGGGTCAATATTCATGCTGGGTGTTTGCCGCTCAGCACATCACATAATGCATGTTTTGTCTTCGATTTCACTGCTGGGCTTTGTGTATTGCACAGCAAGCCGTCGAGATGCAAGCATCCAGATAAAGATTTTGGGACTAAAAGACATTTCTGCTTTGATTATCGGTATTGCAATTGAAAGCACCCTCCTAGCAAAGTCTGAAAGATACATGGGAGGAGGTGCACTGAAGAGAGTTGCAGCATGTGGTTTGTCCTTGTCAATTACGATGTTCTGCATAAGCATTGGATGCCTGAGAAAGTCTGTGGAAAATAGAAGATTCTTTCCAAAGGGCCTGTATGCATATGCCAGACATCCGTTGTATCTGTCATTGATGGTTTTCTGGGCATCCTGCTGTGTGTATGCATCATGCTTCGTTTCATTTGCGTTCTTTGTATGGTTCACAAACTTCAAGGTGTTCCCAAGAATGAGGGACGAAGAGTCAGAGAACGAAAAAATATACACTGATTATGCAAGATATCGGAAGTCCACGTGGTCTGGTGTTCCAATGTATAGATGATTGATTAAACCTTGGCCTTTACTTTTCTGAAACACTGACGATTTAAGAGGAAGCGGCAAAAACACACATAAGGCAATGTCTTCGCTATGCATACTGATGGCGATTCAAATAGCATGCCGCATTCAAGCAATGCATTGTGGAAAAGAGGCTGAAGACTCACATCTAAGCCATGAGTTCGATGGGGTTGAGTCTCTGGTTCCAAACAACCTCAATCGCGAGATCCTGTATGAAAGCTTTGTCTCGATAGAATCTGTCGTGTTTATTTCCGAGATGAACCAGTTTGATCTGGGAATGCTCGACATGTTTATCAAAAGGACTGTTCTGGCTGTCAAAAGCATTCTGATTGAAGATCCTGCTGCATTCTATTTATTTGCAGAAGATGCAGGCACAGGCCTAGCTAATGGGGCAAGAGGCGCAGGCATGAACGAAAAGCTTGCACAAGCACTCGATGAACGGAACAAGTACTTTACCAAAGATAAGTCCATGATAGCAAGAAATCTGTGGCTTGATAAGTACAATGCACTGAAGGCTCGGATTACAGGGAAAGAGCTGGATATCTACTACGAGGACCAGAACAAGGAGTATCTCAAGATGATGGAGAGGCTGACCAATGCAAAACGCCAGGATGACGGAGTATCAAGGGCTATAAGGCGTGAGATGTTTGAGTTCTACAAGGAAAAGGTACCGATGTCTGTATCCAGAGTTCTTGACTCCAGGATCAGTTTGAGCATCGGAGGCCCTATATTTTCTCCCAATGTTCTTGTTAGCTTGCTGAGGCAGCTTGATGTGCCCAACAAGCCCGAAATGACAAACGAGATTGTTGCAAAACTTCTTGCACCGTCCGAGAAGTTGATAACAATGATGCAGAAGAAGTCGTTTCCAGAGAGGAAGGCATTGGTCCTGGACTTCCTTCAGAGCTGCTTGATGCGGAGAGAAAGCATATTCAGGGACAGGATCGATAAGGCATTTGAAGAACGAACAAAAATACTTGAGCTCTACCTGAAGAATGACAAATCGCCGCAAGACAAGCTGAAGGCATTTGACAAGCTTCAAGAAAAGGAGATATGCTCGCTGCAGTTTGTTTTCAAGAACATTGAAGAAGAAGACCTAGTGCTAAGGCTTGACAAGCTTGTCATAGAAGCATATACAGGTATACTAGAATCTGGCCAGGCCTCTGCAAAAGATATGCTGTATGAGCTTTTCAAAGAGGTTTAGCCAGGTATCGATACACGCGATGTATGATTTGTGAATATCACGGTGTAGATAGTATGATTTATGTAATGTTGCTTTCAATATATTCGCCGCTTCTTCTCGCTGTCCCTATCAAGAACCTCGTAGTCAAGGCTCAGCAGTGCAGATGACAAAGGAGGAACCTTTATCAGTGTTTCTCCATCAGGGACAGAAAGTGGCTTTGAGTTGGCCATGGCTGCTATTTCTGCAAGATACTGCCTCGGAGGCGGCGGGACAAAGTACTTCCCAACCTTCGTTTGCAATGCCAGCTTCACATCGCTTGAGTTGATCTGTGATCTGTTTGCATGTTTTGAAAACAGCAGTGCGTCTCCAAGAACCTCTGTGGAGTATTTGTATGCGAATTCAAGCAGCTGTATGATTACCTTTGGCTCGCACTCTTCTATTCCAAGCGATCGGAGAATTACCGAAATGACCTTTGCATCTCTCGGCGCCAAGTTTTCACCAGATGACATATGGGGCAAACAGTAACAAATTTGGTTGAGCTTAGATAGCAAGCATGTGCTAGTGCACCCATAGCTGTAATATAAATGGGGTCTGGAATACTATCAAGGATAATTGGATATGTGCGTGACATCGGACTGAATACGAAGGACTCGAAGAGAGACTTTACTGCAGAGCATCAGAAGCTTGAGTGTAATGTATACTTTATTACCAGGGATATGAAGAGGATTGGAGCATACTTGCTGAAGCCTGCTGGAGACTGCAGGCCGAGGTTTGCAATTGCATTGCATGGAAGAGGATGCTCGAGAGAATGCTATCGCTCGGAGTCCAAGATTGGGCTTCTGTGCAGCATGGGATACTATGTACTGATTCCCGACTACCGAGGGTTTGCAGACTCTGAGGGAGTGTTTGAGATTGAAAAGGTGAATCTTGACATCATGGCATGCTTTGAGTATCTGATGGGCAATTTTGGGGCGAATGAGATAGATGTGGTAGCGCATTCGCTCGGGACAGGAATACTGGCGGAGTATTGCAGGTATGTGAGGAGTAATGGAATTGAGGAGTGCTTTATGCCTCGCTGCGCAGTGATGATATCGCCGTTTATGTCTGTGATGGATGTTGTGTTGGAGTCTTTTGCATGGAGGCTGTTGTGTATGCTGATGCCGTGGGCAAGAAGGATTGTGAGCAGAGAGATTGGATACGATGTGATGGGAAACATCAAGCATATGAATAAAAATGCACTGTTTATATATCACGGGACCAGAGACGATGTGATTTCTTGCAAGCATGCATATATACTGTCGGAGATGCATGGCCTGAAGCTTAGGCTAAGCAATCACGACCATGTATCGATTCTTGACGATGACGAGCTTTGGAAGGGCATATATGTGGATTTTGTGCATGGATGATGCGGTCGCTGTAAAAATAAACACTGATGAGATAATTGATTTTGGAGACTTTTGTGTAAAAACATTGGAAAATGTGATCCTTATGGAGAGGATAAACATGATTGGCGACTGCATGGAGGCGATCCATCACGAGGCAGCGAATCGAGGAACGGCAGCCTCTCTTGACAGACTAAGGGAGATGATTGGTGTGAAGACAAAGCCTTGTGAGTACGAGATTGTGAAGAACATTGCGAAGGGCGGATATGGCGAGGTTTTTCTTGTGAGAAGAGAGAAGGTGTATGCAATGAAGAGAGTTGCTAAAGAGCTTGTGCTGAAACAACCTCATACTGCGTTGTTTATGGCAGAGAGGGAGGTGATGGTTGGCAGTATTGGAAGCGAGTGGCTTGTAAGTGCACATCTAACGATGCAAGATGGCGAGTATCTGTACTACCTGATGGACTTTGTGCCTGGGGGCGACTTTATGGGCCTGTTGTCGAAGGAGGATGTGCTGGAGGAGAGCTGGATAAGGTTCTATGCAGCAGAGATAGTGCAGGCTCTTGATGAGCTGCACAAGCTTGGGTGGATTCACAGGGATTTGAAGCCGGACAATATCCTGATAGCTGCGGATGGCCATGTGAAGCTGGCGGATTTTGGAAGCTGTATCAGGATGGTTGATGGCAAAGCAAGATCGGCAATCACTGTTGGAACACCGGACTATGTTTCGCCGGACGTGTTATGCTCTGTAAATGAGGAGTGTGAGTATGGAGAGGATGTGGACTTTTGGACGCTTGGAGTGATTATTTATGAGATGGTGTATGGGACTACGCCTTTCTATTCGGAAACACTGATGGAGACGTACCGAAGAATAGCAAAGGTTGAGCTTGGATTTCCATTCAAGGTATCTGCAGAGCTGACTGATCTGATTACAAGATTGGTCACCACCAAGGAGCAAAGGCTTAGAGTAGAGGAGATCAGAAAGCATCCGTTTTTCAACGGAGTTGACTGGGAACGAGTCAAGGAGCTGGTGCCGCCATTTATTCCTGAGATAAAGGACGACCTTGATACATCGCACTTTGTAGATACGCATTTTGATGCGGAAAAGGGAGGAGGCGAGGAGAAGGGAAACTATGTGCCGTTTGTAGGGTTTACGTTTGATCCGTTGTTTGCACAGAGATTTAGGGATGTCTTGAGAAGTGAAATTACTGCTGACGAGGAGACGAGATACCGCGAAGAGTTGAAGAGCAAAGGCGCGGAGTATGAGCAGAACCTACAGATGCTGTCGATAGAGATGCGTGAGAGTAGCAAAAGGCTGAATGTGCGGAATGGGGAGCTACAGGAGGTTGAGGCGAAATTGATGGATGCAAAGATGCTGCTGAAGGAGGCAGAGGATGGAGCATTGAAGCATCAAGAAGAGCTGAAGGGTGTACTTATGCAATTACTTACAGAGAGGGAAGAGCTTGATGAGATGAGAGCAGAATTAGAAAGATGTAAGAAGAGCTTGAAGAGTATCAATGAAGATATATGCGACGGGAGAATGATTTCTGAGGAACTTCTGCTTGCAGAGAGTAAGTCAGGAATTGGCAAGCAAGAGATGGATGAAATCCGAAGGAGCTGGCAGGCAATGAAGAACGAGAGCAGTGGAATAGAAAGTCTTGTTGCGGATGTAGAAATTATGGTTGGCAAGCTGTGGATGAAGAGCAAATGGATGAAGTCTGAGGTTGAGATGTATAAGGAGAAGTATGGCAATGCAGTTGAGATGATGATTAGAGTGGAGGCAGAAAGCAAAATGATGGCTGAGAAGCTGAAAGCCGAGGGCCTTGAGGGATTGCGAAGACAACTCCGTTTTAGAATAGCAGAGGTGAAGGAGTATGAACAGAAGCTGAACCAAGAGATTCTTTTTAGAAAGAGTGTTGAGGAGGAGCTGAGTTTTTTGAAGAAGGAGAAATCCAGAGAGCGGAGAACCAATGCTAGGCAACAGTTTTCCTGCAGTGTTGTTGGAGGAGATGGCAGCACTGTTACAATACGGATTGAGAACGACAAGTTTTGGATCGGAGACGAATCTCAGCATGGATGTAATGTGTATGTTGGCGAGCTGAGGCCTAACGAGCTTCACCATCTTGCACAGAAGAAGGTGTCGTTGACGTTGAAAATTGTCTTTATGAACGAGGAAGTCAAGAGCGTCAGCTCGTCGGGAAGAAGAAGCCTTCGGTCGCTGGAGGAGGATCTGAGCACAGAGATGGCGATCAAAGATGGGATAGAGAAGATCAAGGTGCTTTTGCAGGGAAAGACGCTTGACGAGGCAAACATGCAGCTTGAGGGGTCGAATAGAAAAATTGCACAGCTGGTGGCAGAGATAGAAAGAAGTAGGCGAAGCACAATTGTGGAGGCAATTCCTGACGATCCCGTGAAGATTTACGAATTCAACAATCATCTGTTCACAAATAAGACTGTGCCCCAAGGAACCTTGTGTGATTTTTGTAATGAAGTGCTTTATGGTGTAGTGAACCAAGGATTTGAGTGTAGAGATTGCAAGATGACCGTGCACAAGTCTTGCTATGTTCTTGGAGATGTCTCATGTGAGCTGTATTCAGCGCTGAAAACTGGCAAGACATACTATGTTACTATGAGAACGCTCGAAGAGAAGGAAAAGTTGCTAAAAGCATATTCTGGATACTGATAGTGTGCTGGGAATGTATATTTGATGGCATTTCATGTGTGATACAATGTGAGGATGACTTAATGGCGATTCATGATGATTAAAGAATTTGAATTTGTTGAATCTATTTACTTGTGCACATCTGAACAGCTCAACATCAGGATTGTACATCAGCAACTTCTTTTGACTGCTGATCATCACCTGTCTGTTTCTGCTTGATATTGATCCTTTCTAGCTCCCTGCCCATGTATGATTGCAGAGATACTCCACTTCTTGGATCTATCCATGCGTCTCTGCCAAGATCGAACTTCCTTGGGCCTGTTATTGGAGACGATGCCCATATCTGCATTGTGTATGGCTGCTTGTTGAACACATACTCTCCAACGCCTTGTATCTTTACCTGGAGATTCCCATCCTTGTAGTCCTGCTCTGCATCAATAAGCTCGTCCTCAAGTCTCTCAGACAACACTTCCAATGCATTGTTTGCCAGCTTATGGTACATAACCTTGGTAATCATGCCCTCTGCCTCTTGCTTCATAGGGACTCACACACTCCTCCATTTATTCAAAACATTTAATCCTCAATAGTTGAATACAACAACCCTACACATTCCAAACTGAGAGTAATATCCAATGCATATACATCTTTCAAGCACTTCTACCTTGCTTATGAGTGAAGGCGTTGAGAAAAGCGTCCTTACAAAAGCTCCACTCTTCAGATCGTATATCTTCACCGCTTTTCTTGTTCCAATCACCAGTAGATCCTCCATTACTGCTTGTGCCGTTATGTGCCCGTCTTCCTCAATTTTGTACACAAGAGCATTCTCGACAACATCCCACTTGCACAGAATTCCATCTGCTCCGGAACTCAATAAATATCGACCATTTTCAACGAACTTCAGCCATATAACTAGCGACTGATGAGCTTTGTGAGTGCACAGCAGCTTGCCATCCACTCTAGACACATTCACTGTAGAGTCAAGGCTTCCAGATGCAACATATTCTCCCTCCAAGCACACAGAATACACTCTAAGCGTATGTGCTTTAAAATGGCGTATAAGCCTTCCTTTTCTGTAGTTCCATAGTGCCACACTCCCATCATACGACCCACTCACAAGATACGTTTCATTCATATCCATGCATCTAACACTCATCGTGTGCCCTTTAAGCACATTCAGGCACAGCCCCTCAAAACTCCAGATCCTTATCTCCGAATCCCTGCTTCCAGTTGCAATATAATTCCCACAGATCTTCAGCGATCGGACTACGGACTTGTGCCCAACAAGAACACAAACCGTGTGGCCTGTCCACATGTCCCATATCCTGGCTGTCTTATCAATACTACCACTCACAAGATGCTTCTGATTGAACATAAATGTCCAGACTCCTCCCTTATGCCCAATCAGCGTCTTGATCAATCTTCCATCTGTTCCAAACATCTTTATTGTCTGGTCATCCGACGAGCACACAACTCTGCCCATGCCCATCTGTATGTGCGTAATGTCCATTTGGCTTGTTCCAAAGTCTATACTACGCTCATCACGTGCCTTCGACACATTTCTCACCAGAGTGTATCTGTTTTTTGCATCCTCAATGCATCCTGCAATGCTCAAATGCTCTTTTGATGAAAAGCATCTCCACAGAATCATGTCTCTTCTCATCCTCTCATAAAGAACCAAATGGCTCTTCATCACTCTCTTCACATCCTTCAGGCTAAGATGCATCAATATCTTTGGAATCAATTCCTGAGGTAGACCAATAAAGCTGCTCGCTCCTGCACTCTTCACTCCCCCCATTTCTTCATTCACATGCATTTCAGGGTTCAAGATCACAATCACAATCACTATTCCAGCACAGACAACCAAATCCTTTATTCAGTATATAAGCTTGCTTGCTCTTCAAAGCTCACTCAACCACTCCAATCTCGCAACTGCTACACAATCCTTCTTCGGAGCTATCAACAAAACACATCCTGCATTGCTTGCTATTCTTCCTCATCCCAAGAACATCATGACAAAACGTTCCTGCTGGAATCTCATACTCATTACTCACATTATTATCCTCAATCGCCTTCTTCACAATCTTACTGCTCTCTCCATCTGCTCCTAGCAACAGAGCAATCTCCTTGGCCTGCCCAAAGTTCCCATTCTTCCTCAATACCGCAATCGCCGTAGACGCTGCCAGATTATGATGCTCCCTCCTCAGCGGCAGCGAAGCCACATACATTGCCATCACAATACTTTCCAGTGGATCCTCCATCTTTCTCCTTGCCTTTTCAACAATAAGACCAGATATATATGCGCCAGCCACTCGCCTCTCCTCACAGTACACATCCTTCTCTTCTCTTCTCGCCATCTCAGATGCCATCCTTGCAATGCATAGCCGGAATGTTTCAATTGCTTTACTAAACTTCCCTGCCGTCGTCAATTCAAATCCATTCTCCATCATCTCATCAATGCTCTTCTCATCCTCATTCATCTCGTGCATGCTAAGCACTGACTCATCAAAAATCTCGCTGCACACCTCAAGCTTCTCTAATTCTGCACATACATCGCTATCCTCACTTGTGCTTTCGTTTTCATCCATAAACTCATTCAATTCTTCCAATATCTGCTCATCCTTCATTCCATCCTCATCCACAGCCTCTATTTCTTCATTTCCGCTCAATCTCTCCACGTAACTCCGCACATCCTCATCCTTTGCCCTATCCTTCATAGCCACCATTCTATCGTCTCTGCATCCATCACTCCTCCGCTTGCCTATCACTCCTGCCTCCTCAAAATACTCTAGATCTTCCATATACATCCTTGCCATCCCGCGTGTGCTTTCATCCGCCTTCTCTGCAAGCTTCCTGATCTTCTCAGCTTCCTTCGAACACACATACAGCATAAACAGCATATTCCACTCCTTCAGGCTCTCATAGCACTTCTCTGCAATATCTACTCTGCACTTACGCACCGCCACTTCTGCCAACCTCCTGTATACTCCCATGTCCCCACTCTCTATGCAATAGCTCAGGCATTCATCCAGCATCCCTTCGCTAAGACACAGCTCAAATCGCTGTCTTCCGTCCTTGATGTACGGCAGTGCAACTGCACCTTTCTTCTGTCCGACAAGATACGATAGAGGCGCCATTCCCGGAAGCACCCCCCCCTCAATCATCCCTACCACATCGTCCCCTTGCCGCACCGCATTCTTAAACTCAATCTCCGTCAGGTCAACCTCCATGCACTCAATTCCTCCGTCAGTAACAAAATACAACATGCTTCCTTCCTCCAATGAAAACGGCAAAATACACTTCTCAACACTTTTCAGCACCCCTTTGTCCTCAAAAACATACTTCAGATGCCTCAGCGTCGAGTACACAAACACTTCCCCATGGAAAAACCCTCCTTGAATAGTTGCCATCTCATTCACTGCATTCACTGCCTCAAGCATCGCCTCACACACACATACATCGTTTGTCCCAATAAGCGCCACTCGGTCTTTTGAGCAAACCACATTCACTGGCTTAAATGGAACCCCGATGCTCTTCACAGCCCCATCTGTTGTGTACATGCCCACATTCCTCTCGTTAACCATAAAGAACCTTCCGTTACTCCCTCCAAACAGCTTTCCTTCCGCCGTTGAAATCGCCCTCTTATCTCCTCCCTCAACCTTCATCTCATAAACTCCATCTCCGTTCTTCACAACCAATATTGCATGGCCATTCTCAGGCTCCACAAAAACTGCTTCGCCAGACTCGGACAAAACTACCTCCCCATTCTTTACAACCTCAAATCCTTCTGCATACCGTACAAGCAAATACTCCCCAGATACAAACATGCTCTCAACTTTCTCTTTCGTCTTGTAAACAACCTTCTCGGCCTTAAAGTCATTCAGATACACCTTCCACTCCTTTACATAGTACACTCCTGCTTCCCCTTTGCATACGGCCTTTGGCTCACTGCACATATATACCTCAAGCCCAGAGTCATGCCCTGCTGCATACACATCCCCTTTCGATGCTACACACCAATACCGTCCATCAACCCGGTACTCAACCGACTTCCTTCTTTCTACATCAAATACAGAAAACAGCCCATCCTCCCCCGTGCTCAAAACAACGCTTTCACTGCACAACAACCCTGTCACTGGCCCCTGATGGAAACACATCGTCTCCTTCTCCCACACAGACGTCTCAGACCACTCCCAGCACTTGATGTCCCGGTCATCTCCTCCACTCACAAACATTCCTTCTCCAATCGCTATTGCATTCACTCCTCGCTCATGCCCATCTACTATCTGCTTCACTACAATATCCGGCAACAGCGTGCTCTTCTTCTTGCCTCCCTCCTTCAATCCCTTGCAGTCCCAGACACGGATCGATTGGTCAAGCGACCCGCTCACAATCATGTCCTCTCCAAGAAACCTTGCACTCATCACATAGTGGCTGTGCCCTCGAGCCGTCGCTAAAAGCTTTCCCGTCATCATGTTCCATACCATTATTGTCTGGTCATCAGAGGCACTCAATATCCACGGCTTTGTCGGGTGGAAGTCCAAAGACCTTACAAAGTCATCGTGCCCATGCAGCCGGTTCGTTATTCTCCGCTCAGTATAGTTCCATATCCTAATCACCTTGTCGTCGCCTCCACTCACAAACAGGTCTCCATGCGGATGGAATTGAACCGCACGCACAGACCCATCGTGGTCAAGAAACTCATAAATGCAGACATTCATTTGATAGTCCCAGGCCTTCAGAGATCCACTGTGATGTCCAGAAACAAGCACAGGCTTGCTGGGGTGGAAACTCAGGCACTTCACTCGTGCAGTCTCCTGTTCCATAATCTTCTTAATCTCCTTCTCCATCATCACCCTTCCTGCATATATTTTTTCAAATACTTCCTTACACACCCACTCATACATAAACACAGAATCCAACACAGGTCTTTAATTAATCAACTCCACGGTCCACTACTTCTGGTCTCCCTTGTTGTACATCATCTTCTCAACAACCTCTCTTGCCTCGGGATCAAGCATGTCTATGTCTGCATGCCTGTTTTCTGCAAGATCCTCCACATCAATCTCGTCTGAGCCAACCAACAGGCTGCTCCACCACTCGTTCCTTCTTTTCGACAAGCCAACATTAATCATGCTTCCATCAGCCGTCCACCATACACTCGAAGCATCTACTTCGTGCAAAAGCTCTCCCTCAACCACTGCTTCCTGCCCATTGTTGATCACAATCTTCTTTCCAATCACCTCCACAACAACACGCTTTGCATCAAAGCTCTCAGGCAGAGGCATTAGGATGCTAATCTCGTTCAGCTCCTGATCCCACGTGTACTTCGCATCCATACACTTGTCCATTTGTCTGGGGTACAAGCAAACATTTTTTGTGCATCCATGCGTGCATTATGTACTACAAGAGCGGCTCAGGCATCAATCAAGCGCCACTCACAGATTCACAGCATACACAACAACACAAACAGCTTTGATTGAAGGAGAATTTATTTACAGCATCATCGAGAACACAGCCATCGCACCAAGCGCACCAAGCGCCACTCCACTCTTTACACCCTTCTTCTTTGTATCTACAGCGTTCTTCTTGTCAGTAGCAGCCTTCTTCGCATCGGCTGTCGCAATCGGCTTTGTTGCAGTGCCTTCCTTGTCGCCCACCGGCACCACAGGCGCAGCAATCGGCACAAACGTGCTTGGGTTCTGGTTCTGGCTTTCATACCTGCTCACCTCTTGTGACCAGATAGCCTCTTCTGTTGCATAATTGACCTCATTCGCAGTAGGTGCATACAGCGGTGTTGCATACGGAACATCTGTTTTAAACTCCATCGTTCCCTGATTCTGCGTAACAGCAGTCTTTGTGTCGTTGCTGACCACAAAGTTGCCATTGTTTGTCTGCTGCAGAGTGTATACTCCGTTCACAGGGCCTGCCCCGGCCATTCTCTCCAGCACGTCCTGTGTGATGAAGAACCCGCCTTCCGTTGATGCAGCTGCAATGCTCGCAATCGTCGCCACGAAGCAAAGTGTCTTTCTAACCATTGGAAATGGCAACATCCAGATATTTATAATGCAAAGCAGCAAGAACACAGATGTTTTTTCCATATATAGATTTATTGACAGATATGCTGCAGAGATACAGCATGCTGCATTGGCAATCTTATAGCATGAATGCTGATTGCGAGGTGTGATCAGCACATGCAATCTTAATTAATATATATCAGTATCCCAAGCATATGGGCTGCATTCGCCATAAATGCGTGATTGCAGAGTTAATTGCGATGTGAGTGATGTATCAGTGAATTCTGTGATGTATCAACATGTGCCAGTGGCATCAGCTCTCCAATGATGCTATGTGTATGCCCACACAATCCACAAAATGCAGGCACGTCTGATCTGAAGCATACGCTACGTTGTTAAGCATCCCACCCTTGCAATGGCTGACACACATATGCATGCATCCGATCAGATATACAGTCTGGTGGCCGACGGAAGCGAAATGACAATTGGAGAACTAGAGTGGTTTATTCACACAGTATTCATCGACACAACTACCGATCAGCTTGCACAGATAACACAAGGCCTCTCAAAAACAGTAACAAGAGCAGAATTCAGCACTGCTCTTTGGTCGCTTGCTCACAGAAGACCAACAACAACCTATGTCTTCAACATGTGGAACAAATCAAACAAACAGCAACTGGATGCAGAAGACATGCACAATGTATTCAAAAGCATCGGAATCTCATGCAAGCCAGAATACATACAGGCAATCATGAATGCATTTCCAGAATCAGGCATAAACCTTTACACGTTCAGTCAAATGCTCACCCAGGAGTCACAAACCACCGAATAACCCCTCCACACAAGCTGCATTGCATTCTGGAATACAGGCACCACACAATACTACTGTGCATGCTGCTCAGAATCCAAACAGATCGCCAAAAACACTTCGCTTCTTGATGCTGAGACTCTTGTGATCTGTACAGAAATTGAATCCAATCGAAACACTAGAGCCTATCAATCGGAACGTCTTTGCATCAAACATCTCAAGCTCCATCTCGCTAAAGCCTTCGACTAGGTTGTGCAGAGAAAACTCCGTATAGCAGAGCAGCGAGTTCCGCTCAGACACATTATAGTCGCATATCTGGATTCCAAGGACATCCTTCGTCTTGTCTATCTCCATAATAAACGATTCACTGAAGACCGGATTCGTGCTCTTCCGCACAGGCTTTGTCGAGTACACCTTTGCTTCATTAATCAGGATCTTGCAGTACGTATCTACAGAGCTGCCCTGTGCTGCTGGCCAGATATCCCTTCCACTCTTGATATACACCTCAAGATATCCCTTCTTGAGCATGGACTCCGGCTTGTACGAGCACCCCTGGATTTGCACTTCCATGTCAACAGACAGCCCTGCCTCGTTCAAAACAACCCTTTCGTTAAGCATCCTCTTCGGAATCATGCACCTCCCTGCAATTGCATTCGAGGACTGGTTTCCACTCTTCACAACCGCATATATCTCCTCTGCCCCAGACACAAACGTAAACACATCGTTCAACTCTCCGCTTCTGGTGAACCCAGACGCCTTGATAACCCCATACTTGCTCCTGAACTCAATAAACATCTCTTGGTTGTTGGCTCCGTGGAACTTCCCGAATCTGGCCTGCACAACCTTAATACCTTCCTTATCCTCAGGCGCACCCGTATAGTCTCTAAGCTCTTCACTCTCGATCTTGAGTGTTAGACTGATGTGGTCGTCAAAAAGAAGCGCCTCCACCCTGCTTTCGTCGCCGCAGCTTATTGTGTCCTCTCCAATGAATACATCTCCATTAATTGTCTCCTTGTACAGCCTGAACTTCATGCTGTCGCGCTTCTGCACAGGAACATGCACCGCCCTCTTGACAGGCAGAACAGACGTGAATGTCTCCATCCTGAAGCAATCCGTGTTCGTCTCAACAATTGCATAATACACTCCCTTCTCACTCATCGAGTCAACAGAAACCTTCATGACCCTTTCGTAGTCTATAAACCTGGCTGCCTTGTCAATCATGTCCACATAATCAATCGAAAACTCCAGCTCCATCCTTCCGCTCTGTGCATCATTCAGCTTGTACTTCTCCTTCTTGTTGAAGTGTATGTCCTTCACAGGAATCGAAACTCGGCCTATTACCTCGTTTGTCTTGTCGTTCATCACACACACAGAAACCACATCCACCTGTATGTCCCTGCAGAAAAACACATAGCTTTCGTTGTACAGCGGGGAATTCGTCGCAAATATCCTTTTCGACTCAAACACATAGAACGTGCTTTTTGATGATGGTAGTAGCCTTGTGCTCGTTGTCTCAAGCCCAGGAAGAATCCCAGAAATCATTCCTCCGCTTGTGTCGATAATCCCGCTCATCATCAAGGCACTTACATTCACCGTGTTCTCAACAAATCCAATCGGAATGCTCGACTCCTCCCTGTTGATCGGTGACACTATTACCGTGCAGAAAGTAGAATACATCGATGTCTTTGACATCTTGTTGCCTTGCAGATCCTCGATTCCAACAAGCGTCATCTTCACTACTCCGCTGTTGCTTCGTCTTTCCTGCAGTGGATAGAACTGCATGTTCGTGTTTGCAAACGAATACGTCTGCTCATCCCTTATCAGCCTGGCCTTGCTGAAGAATGTCCTTCGGGGATCGTACATTCCGTTCCTTGAAAACTCCTCGATCTTTCCAAGCGGTAGATTCCTCAGGAAAATCGATCCACTTCTTCTCCTTGTGCTCTTCGACTCACTTCGCAGAGATATTCCAATCCTCGAGTCCACATTCTCAATCGGAATGTAAAAGTGCTCGTTGTACACAATCCCCCGCCCTCCGACATATCTTGTCTGGTACCCTACACGGCCATCAACATCGATCTCTGCCTGCAGCCTTTCATCCCCATCATTCTCAACATCAAGAATCTGCAGACACACCACCCCGATGGTCTTGCCCTTATCCTTCGATATCTTGTCAACATCAACAACAATCGAATTCGGGTTCACAATCGTTGAGGACAGCGCCGACCCAATAATGCTCCTAATCCACTTGCTCAGCCCAGGAACATCCATCACATCCACCGTCTTCAGAGGAACAAGAGTAAAGTCAATTTCAGGCATGTCCATCAAGCACACCTCAACATCCTTGACAAACACGTTCTTTGAAAACAGATTCGCAGCAATCCTAATCTTCCCCTTGAAAAACAGCTCCTTGACAAGAATCGGAAGATTGATCCCTATTCCATTCTTTGTACCGACTCTAGCAGACAGCTGGATCTTCGAGTTCCAGTTCTTCTGGTCTCCCTCAAGATACCTTACAACATCCTTGCTTGCTTCAAGAGGTATAAACGCAACCTCCATCTCCACAGCAAGTGCATGCCCCTCCATGTTGATGTAGGAAACTCCTTCCACAATCGGAGAGCGGCTTCCAAGTGTAAACTCAGTCAGCCTCAGTCCATTCAGGAACGGCGGTGTGACTTTTAATAGCTCATTGTTCACGTTCTGATACACCTGTGCAGAAACAACAGGCTCTGCAACCTCCCACATCTTCCTAGTAATGTAGTTAAGCCACTCAACAGTCTCTCCATTGTTCCTGGCCTTTTCCTTCCTTGCATTATGGTACACCAACGACTTGAGGCTCCGAGTAAACCTGTCGATCTTTCTATTATACACAAAGAAAATCGCATATCCAACAAAAAACAGATTGACAACACTGAAGTTGAACTTTCCTATCAAGTATCCGGCCAGAGCACCCACGAATATCAGGCCTGGGATTCGGATGTAGAAAAACACCCCGCTCCTGGGCTGAATATCCAAAATATTGCAGAACTCCTCGACATCCCTCTCGTGAACATCCAGGCTGGCCTCTTCGGCCCTCCTGGGAATGTCTTCAGGAAGAAGAGGCTTGGATAATTTCTCCCTTCTGCTTCGAGTCTTTGAAAACTCTTCCATTCGGGGCACTATGTGCCTGTGCTTTATTCCTTGCAGGATGCTTGAGAGCTTATTCGACAAATCAAAGCCTCTTCTTCAAAACATATGTGTATCATCGGCCAATCGCTGCTTCTCCTATTAATGCAACACCAAACACCAGAAACAAATATTCAATCATTTAATGCACGTGCCTTTGATTCAGCAGCTTAACACACAGGTGTGTTTAGTGGTGCACCAATGCCTGCCGAAGCAATCTCCTTGCCCAAGGGATTGAACCTGATGTCAAGCATGTGCAGTGCAGTAAGCAGCATGTTGACGAACTTAGTGTGGTTACTCCACATAAAAAATCCGCTCTGGAAGTTCATCAGGTGCTTCACAATTATCTCAAGCCTTATATAGCTTGAGTTGATAATCTCCGAGACATTCACGCTGGCCGTGGTATACGACCTGTCCTCATTAACAAACGTCCTGATCACGTCCTTGAGTATTTGTATTTTCCTATCGCACGTCTTTGACGACACAAGCACAGACAGCTTCCATTGCTGCGATCGCGACCTCCGGATGTTTAGAATCGCCTTCTCACGTATCACAAGATTCGGCATTATCACAACCATTCCGTCCCAACGCTCAAGCGTGGTGTTGAATAGGCATATTTCTCTGACAATCATGTTTTCTCCGTCGATATGCACCCTGTCACCAGGATCATACGGATGCGTATACACAATGAACAGAAACGACTCAACAGCCATCTTGATCACAGGCAATGCAGGAAGAATGATCATTGGAACCGCAAGCTCAAGAAGCAGCGGCTGTGCCTTGATGTACATAAACACTATCACATATGCAACAACAATCTCTATGATAACAAGCGTGGCCCATACAACATTGAGCAATTTCTTGTTGTCTGCAATTGTTGTGAATAGGTTTGCTCGCTCTCCATTGATCTGTCTTCCGTTTTCCTTAAACATGTCGTAGTTCATCTCGTCTCCTCTTCTGAATGCAATCAGCCTGTACATGATCTGCGAATGTGTCTCTCCAAAATGCACGGCAAGCGACTTGGGAGAGATCAGCCCTGGCCTGCACGGCTTTTTCTTTTTTGTGTTCTTCTTTATCTCAAGCAGAATATCCTTCGCACTGACATTAGGCTCTGATTCGTTGGTTGTAGTTGGAATGCCCTCGCATGGCTGCCTCACTTGCATTTTCTCGGCAAGTACTTCATCGGATGTTAGATCAACCTTCTGGATTACTTCAAGGTTCCATGCACATGCATCTCTTGCACGGCATGGATACTCATGCATCTCTGGCAGGATGGAAACTTTTCCTCCATGTCTTCGCTGTCCCTGCACACTTGCTTCTTTCATATCGCTTTCTGAGTCATTTTCGTCGCACTTGCTTTGATCGCTCCACAGCGCAAACAGCTCGTCGATTGCAAATGCCTTTGGCCTTCCTCTTGCAAAGTACCGATCACTTGTCATGTCTTCGCCAAGCTCTGCTGCTGATGACCCTTCTGTGGAATGCACAATGTATTTCTCAAGCCTAAGGATGTCGCAGAAGTTACCCGTGAGTATCTTGTTTTCAAAGCTTCTTTTGGATGATTCATAAAGATACGCCCTGATAAGGTCTGCCACAAGAAGTGCAGTGCCAACCACAAAAACGCCATGGTCGTGCTCTGGAGCAGAGACAGAAACAGTTGTGTACATCAGAACAACCCATCCATAGAGCTTCACTATTCTCAAAAGCACCTTTGCACGAAGATCAAGATTGTGTCTGGTAGCAAAACTGCGCAGCATGAAGTATGATACCAACGACACAGTGTTGAGAGGTAAATACAGTAGATATCGTGCATGCCTGTTTGAGTATGTATATGCAAGCAGTAGTGCGATCTGGATTGCAGTAGCCATCACGCCTATGCATAGCTCCATTGGGTTGAGGGTGTTTGGCTAGATATATGATGCAGAGGATTGTGCTGTGATGTGTGATTGGTGGAGATCTCAATTGGATGTGAATTGCAGGTGCCCACATTTATGAATGACCGATGGGTACGATGCTGTAAGCATGATGGATATTTAATGCACAGTGAGCATCATGGGATTGTAAAACCTGAATGCAAGGTGTAAGGTGATGTTTGTTTGCAGAAACAAGCATAAAAACAAAACAGATCAGCCCCCCATGGCAATGGCGTTTGATGAGAAGGACCTTTCTACGGCCATTCTTGAGTCGAAGACGAAGAATACGCTGATAGTTTGCGACAAGGGCTGTGAGAGCCTTAGGACGTACCAGGTGGGGCTGAATCCAGCAACACTTAATGAGCTGGAGCTTTTTGAGTCTGACTATGTCAGGATGCTGGGGAAGAAGAAGGCGGAGCTAATATTCAGCACGGTTGCGCTTGAGTGTGTGCCGCCAAGGCATATTGCAGTGATGCGTGACGGTAGATTCAATCTGCGAGTGAGGATAACGGACACGGTGAAGCTGTACAGGGTTGATAAGAACATACCGGTGGTGAGCAAGCTGAACTTTCTTCCGATCCGGGACACGGCAGAGACTATTGGAGGAAACATATTTGATGAGTTTGTGAAGCCGTTTCTTGACTTTAACTTTATGCCTCTTACAATAGGATCGATATATGGGATCAGCTCTGGGATAGGAAGGGTGGAGTTCAAGGTGACGAAGATGGTTGATGCGCAGGACATGGACATTAAGCACGGATCTGTGACGTCGATGACATCTGTGTACTGCGACGAGATGATATCGAGGGAGGATGTTGAGAAGGAGTTCAACATGGTTGGGTACGACGATGTGGGGGGGTGCAGGACACAGATGGCGAAGATAAGGGAGCTGGTTGAGCTTCCGCTGAGGCATTCCCAGCTGTACTCGAGGATAGGAGTGAAGCCTCCGAAAGGAATACTGCTGTATGGACCGCCAGGAACAGGAAAGACGCTGATAGCAAGGGCAATTGCGAACGAGACAGGTGCGTTTCTGTTCCTGATCAATGGGCCAGAGATTATGTCGAAGATGGCGGGGGAGAGTGAATCGAACCTGAGGAAGGCATTTGAGGAGGCAGAGAAGAACTCGCCGTCGATTATTTTTATTGATGAGATTGATGCGCTTGCACCGAAGAGAGATAAGTCGCAAGGAGAGGTTGAGAAGAGGGTTGTGAGCCAGCTGCTGACGCTGATGGACGGGATGAAGTCGCGCAGCAATGTGATTGTACTTGGAGCAACAAACAGGCCAAACTCGATTGATCCGGCACTGAGAAGATACGGAAGGTTTGACAGGGAGATTGAGATTGGGGTGCCTGACGAGACAGGAAGGCTGGAGATACTGAGGATCCATACGAAGAACATGAAGATGGACGAGTCTGTTGACCTTGTGGCAATCAACAAGGAGCTGCATGGGTTTAGTGGAAGCGATCTTGCTTCGTTATGCAGTGAGGCCGCGCTGCAGCAGATAAGAGAAAAGCTACCTCAGATTGATCTTGATAGCGAAAAGATTGATGCGTCGATTCTTGCATCGCTGAAGGTGACCAATGATAATTTCAAGTATGCAATTGAGCATACGGACCCGAGCTCGTTGCGAGAGACTGTTATACAATCTCCAAATGTTAAATGGACAGATATTGGAGGACTTGAGATGGTGAAGCGAGAGCTGAGAGAGACTGTGCAGTATCCTGTTGAGTATCCCGAGAAGTTTATCAAGTTTGGGATGACGCCAGCAAAAGGAGTCTTGTTCTATGGGCCGCCTGGGTGTGGAAAGACGCTTCTTGCGAAGGCTGTTGCAACTGAATGCAAGGCGAACTTTATTTCGATCAAAGGGCCTGAACTTCTTTCGATGTGGGTTGGGGAATCTGAGTCGAACATCCGGGATCTTTTTGCAAGGGCAAGAGGGGCGGCGCCGTGTGTGCTGTTTTTTGACGAAATAGACTCTATTGCGAAGGCAAGGACGGGGAATGATGGAAGCAGCGGAGTTACTGACAGGATGCTGAACCAGCTGCTGTCTGAGATGGATGGGATCAACCAGAAGAAGAATGTATTTGTGATAGGCGCAACGAACAGGCCTGATCAATTGGACAGTGCATTGACGAGGCCAGGAAGGCTTGACCAGCTAGTGTATATTCCGCTGCCTGATCTTGATAGCAGGCTGTCTATTCTGAAGGCCACGCTGAGGAAGACACCGCTGTCACAGGAGATTGATTTAAAACAGCTTGCAGAGGCCACGGATAAGTTTTCTGGAGCGGATCTTTCGGAGATTTGCCAAAGAGCATGTAAGCTGGCAATCAGGGAGACGATTGAGTATGAGCTTGAGCAGAAAAGGAAAGGGTCTGAGATGATGGAAGTTGAAGATCCGGTTCCGTACCTCAGGCCTGACCATCTTGTGCAGGCAATGAAGACGGCAAGGCGTAGTGTGTCTGAGAAGGAGATTGAAAGATATGAGGCGTTTGCAAGATCTATGAAGGTTGACATAAGGAAATTTGAGAAGAAGAGGGATCTGAATGATGACGGGCTTTATGAATAAAGTAGGTGTTGTGTTTGCAAGTTTAAGAATGGTTTTGTTTGATTAATCTGAAGCCCTGATGCCTGGGATTGATAAGCATCTTGTGCTTACGGGCCCAAGTGGATCTGGAAAGTCAACGATTGTTGGATATGTTCTTGCGGCCTTTCCGTTTAGGTTTTGCATATCACACACTACAAGGATGCCGAGGGAAGGAGAGGAGGACGGAGTAGAGTATTTCTTCACAGCAAAGGATGTATTTGAGGAGATGATACATGATGGTAAGATCATTGAGTATGCTGAGTACAATGGAAACTACTACGGAACTTCAGCTTCGCAGATAGATACTGCTGAGGACAGGCTTCTGCTTGACCTGGAATATAATGGTGTTTTGCACTGCAAGGAGAAGTATCCTGGGTTTGTGGTGGTGTATATTGACTGCAGGAAGGATGTTGCTTATGAAAGATTGAATGCAAGGATGAACGGAAAGAGGCGTGATGAGATTGAAGGAAGAATGCGCCTGTATGATGAGTTTGGCTCAATTAAAAGAAAGTGTGATTATATAATTGACAACAGCAACTCGTTGGAGAGCTCAAAGAGAAGAATTGCAGAGATAATTGCCATGGAGTTTGAACTGCATCCAAGAGATTCAGGATTGGCACAGTAAGAAGATGATAATAAATGCTTGTGCTATTTGTATTGTGAGATTTACATTTGCAATTGGTGATGATTGAATTTATTTGTGATTGTGTCTTGAAATGCCGTTTATAGCCAAGAGCGAATGCTTCAGCATGTTCAATTCCTCCCTGACTCTGCTTCTTTCTTCAACGATTTCGGGATGCTCTGTAAGCAAAGCGCTATCTATTTGCAATCCTTGCATTATTCCCAATCCCTCTGTGCCGATGTAATCGCAGAAGTAGTAATGAACCGCCTTGCTTGTATAGTTTCTCAGTTCTTTTTCTACAACCAAGAGATATGCAGTAACCAATTCTTTCAGCAGTTTTACTTCAAATCCTTTGTTGTCTGCATATGTATCCTTGTTACTGTTGAGCATGCTAAGCAGACCAAATTCATTCCTGGATGTCCTTCGCAAAATCACTTCTATGATTCCTTTTCTATCGAAATCCGGATGGTCAACATTTACATGCGATGCTTGGATCAATCCATACAAACGCACGGCGGCATTGATCTCTGCGTGCTGTGTTTCTATGCATTCGCAAATTCTTTGGTTCAGCATGGCCGTGAGCTCTTCGAATCGCGGGCTCGATATTGACTGAACCTCATCAATCATCCTCTTCACAATGTGCTCGATCTTTCCAACGTACATCTCACACATCTTTGCTATATTTATCTTCACCACATCATGGAACACAGCCTCAGGCACAAACAGATACGACGATCTTTTCAGCCGTGCATGCAAGTTATCAAAGCATACCGCATATCTGCTGCAGTAGAACACATCTTTAAGCTCCTCAAGAAACCCAGACTGATGCTTCACAAACACTCTCTGTGTGCATTCAACATCCCTGAATATCCCAAGCACCGCTTGATGATGCAGCATAATCAATGTCTTTGCATCGGTCGGTACACCGTCCGCTTCAAGTTCCTGAAGCCTCTGGCTCTTGTCGCATATGTTGTTTCTTATTGATGCTCTGATTCTCGGTATTGCTTCAATTGCCATATTGTGGAATATTTCGTTCAGCCTTTGGATGAGATAGTCAGATCCAATGCGCGGATACATCTGGCAATACACAGAATTCCTTTTGAGATACGCAATTTCCCTAGATATCGTGTCTTGGATGCTCAGGCCATCAGCAATGTCCTGCTGGCGTCTATTAATGACACCAACATATCCAAGCATTAGCTTTGGGTGCTTGTTGGCCAATATATCCATGCAGTTTGTGCCTTCGTCCATGAGATCCATCTTGGTTACAACTCCTAGTGTTCTCTTCAGCTGCGGATCGGCTTTCTTTGCAATCTTTAGTGCTTCGTTCGTTGCAATGTCTGCATTTGCATTGACCAGTGCGAGTATTACCGATGACTCCTTGACTGCATAGCTCAGTGCGATTTTTTCAACCTGTGCCTCAATGTCGTCGGGCTGATCACCGCTGGGCACCTTGACAAGCCCTGGCAAATCAATGAGCGTCATTTCAAGCATTCCATTTAGCCTAACAAGCACCACAATCGGCTTTTCACTGATTCCTTTGTTGCTGCCACACATCTCTGCCATTCTTTTTGCTATTTCAGCCTGTGCAGCTGCAAAGTCAAGCACCTGATGCTCGATGTGATCAAACTGCACGCTTTCCACACCATCTATGCTTTTTCTTATGTGCAGTACGATTGGGCACCGTGTCACAAGGCCTACTCCGCGTGGAAGAAGCTCTCTTCGCAAGATCTGCTCAAGAACACTGCTCTTTCCACTGCTCTGTGCTCCTATTGCAACCACCTGCGGCGTCTCTATGCCCAGGTGGCAAACAGCCATGCCGATGTTCTGTAGCAGCTCAATGCTTCTTGAGTTCATATGGGGGCCAGTGAAGCTCAACGGCGTTTGCATGCAGCACGGTGCATTGGCGAATATTCCAATGCCCAGGCACAGCCCTGAATGAGGGAGTCGATATTTTCGGGCAAGATTCCAATAACGTGCCCAAGCGAAGAGATTCCATGGCAGATGAAATGTGAGACGACGGAGTCGAGATACGCCTGATAGACACCCGGGACATATTTACATTCTACTTAAATGCAATATCTCCAAGCGATTTCTATGTGATGAAGAGGGAACAGGACATTATTGTTGATTACGACAGGTTTGTAAATGCGTTGGTGAAAATGCTGCATGGGCTACAAAATGGAAGGTTGAGCGGGATATTTTCAAGAGAAACAAACAGGTTTGTGTTTGTGGAGAAGGACGAGTTCAGGAACATTGTGCGGCTCGAGCTACAGTTTTCAAAGCCTGACGAGTCGCACTACAAGCAGTACCTGGGAGACATCCTGAGCAGGATGGAGTCTGACAACATAAGGCTGATCAAGGAAAATGAGATGCTGAGAGAGAAGTGCAAGAGCTATGAGCGTGATGCAAAGGATAGGACAAGGTATCTTGAAGAAGAGCTTGCAAAGGCACAGAAGAAGGCAGACAAGCTGCTGAGGGAGAACACAGGGCTCATAGAAGGCATGAAAGCAAGCAGCGAGGATCTTGGCAAGCTAAACAGCAGGATATATGAGCTTGAAAAGGAAAACAGTAGGCTGCAGTATGATCTTGAAAAGCTAAAGCTCCAGGATGTAAAGAATGCAAGTCTTGCTGAAAAGACACAGGAAATCGATGAAGAAAATAGAAAACTGAAGAATGAAATAGGCACAGCCAACGAGATAATCAGGAAATACATGGATGAAATTGCACAGATGAAGAGCACAGCTGCAGAAAATGAAGAGCGAACAAAGGACATTCGGTCAGACAGCAAGAAGCTTAAAGTAGAGCTTGATGCGCTTAGGAGTAAGGCAAAGGATCTAGAGGAGCGGAACAAAAGAATGTCCGATGATGCAAAGGCCAAGGATTCAAGGCTTAAAGAGCTGGAAATTGAAAACGGAAAGCTTCTGAAGAAACTTGAGAATGCTCAGAGCGTGTATAGCCATTTCTACAATAAAAACATCGAGAATCCAGGTCCTGGGGTGTATTCGGATAACGAGAGTCTATTTTCTATTGTTCCTGAATCGCCTCCTCATTGATTGTCATTTATCAATTGTAGAAATTGCTAAGGCAAATGTTTAATAAAGTTTTTGTTGTTGAGCTGTTTTCCTCGGATGATTGGATGGATTGTGGAAAACAGCCTTGGAATGCTTCCAGCAGTGATGGAAAGGCAGATGCATGGATTTCCACTTCAATGCACAGATTGCTCAGGCAATACGTCCACTATGTACCACAATTGCCAGAATGAATGCTCAATCACGTACATCCAAGCAATATCTGCAAAAGCCAGCGTTGTGCATCCTACATCAAGGTTTATTGTCAGAGGATACCAATGGAATCGTGGCATCACGGCCAGAATATGCTTTGAGACAACAGCTGCATGCAATCAAACATACTTTGCTTTGGACACAAATGCATCTAGAATTGCTCACTTTACATGTTTTGATACAACAGTGCTTTATATGTTCATGGATAATCCAGAAGCTCCATACAGAGCATTCTACTGCTGCTTCAATGGATGCAGTTTACTAAGAAACCAGCACATTCGAATGCATGAGCTTGTACTCTTTCAAGACACATACTTATACCAGTTAGAGGACTGCTCCTCGTACGAGCTCATCATTAATCACATAAACATCAAGAGTAAGCATAATTCACGGTGCAATATCCACTACAATTGGGCAGATTTCGATTCTCAAGAGCACATGCAACCCGGAGAATGCATCATCCAGCCATCCTTGGACAAGCTTGCATACATTGTGCACGGATGCTGCTGTGTGTTTTGCTTCAAGAAATTCCAAACAATCGCTTCGTTGGCATTCCACATAAACCGCATTCATTCGGGCTACGGATGCACTGTAGACAACGAATCATCCATACTAACAAAAACAGCAGTATGTAGCACAGATGAGCATCACATACAAAAACCATATGCTATGCATCACAAAAACATCTTTTATGTATCCACAGGCTACAAACGAAACAGAAACTTGCACAGGCAAAACACAGGTCTGTGCCTGGCAGAACAGAACATCAGCAATGTATGTGAACACAACAACTCTGCACTCAGCCACTTGCTCTGCAAGAACATCAACCGTACTCAAAACCGTGACCTAAATGCTCTGATGGCAAAGTGGAACACACTCAGAATACATCAAAACACAAACACCATTATGCAAGACATCGAGCACATAGCCAGCCATGAAAAAGACAATCCAGAAACAATCAACTTCTTGCTTGCTCTGTATCACAAGTCTATCATAAATCCGGACGAATTAGCAAGACTGCTATATCTCTTATTCCAGAATAAATCAAATATCCGATGATAATCCACAATATTTCAGCGTATCTCAAAGTACGCAATTCAATCAGCATTCCATCAGCTCACACACAGTAATATCTCGTTTTACTGCAGACGAACTCCCACTTTTGTAACGGAATCTGAACCTTCCATTCCGTTCGTTTTTACCCACAGCCATCGCTTCAGCGTCTCTAATCCTCAGATCCTTCACATTATACATCTTTGCTATTGCTTTGGCATGCTGCATCCTTCTACCGCTTAGGTTGTTCAGCTCATACCTCGCAAAATACGGCATAACCATCTCATCAATAACGCTTGGCTTGGGATCCTTACACCATTCAGGCTTTACTATCTCTGCATTCCTGCTGCAGCATCTTGCATATCCTGGCATGCATAAATGCCTTAATCCCTCGGGAAGCACATCTGCAACAGATACATCCCCACAAATATCTGCAATCACACCAAGAACACTTGTATTGTACGGATACGAGCTGTGACACACTCCCATCAAACACTCAGAATAACTCTCCTCATAGTCCTGCCACCTCAGCCTTCCAGACAACACATTCTCCGCAATCTTGTACGGATGCAAGCACATACTCTTCTTGATGCTCATGTAGCTCGTCTTCGTCATCATTTTCCTTCCGCATATCTGTATATGGTTTGTTATTGCTCGCAAGTCTCCTCCACTGTCTTCCATCATCATTTCAAAAACACTGCCATCAACCAGAATCCCTTCTCCATCACAGACCTTCTCCATTGCCTTCTTCACTTCATCAATCCCAGGCTTCTTTACATTCACAGTGTATACTCCCTTCAGGCATGCATCATTAGACGTCACAACTATTGGATGCGAAGCACTCACCAATGAGACAAGCCTTTCCACACTCTCCATAGCACCAGCTTCCACATCCTCCACCAAAACAAGATTCCTCTTGCCATTGATCGTTCCGCTCATCCCCAATGCTTTGTCAATCCACTCCATGCTTGCACTTGCATTCAACTCAACAACATTCAGTCCAAAAATGTTTGCAAGAACATAAACAAGAGACGTCTTGCCAATCCCAGAAGGCCCGCTCAGTAAGAGCATCCTTCCATGCTTCGGATACTCCCGCATCCATTCCAATGCTTTGTGGTGAATGTCATCACTGAAAACTAAGTCTGTGTATCTCCTCGGCCTATACTTCTCTATCCAAGGTATTTTCTCCATAGGGGCCTCCACATCCCAACTGCTCTATTTTGGCTACTCAAGCACTCTTCTTATTGCTATACATTCTTCAGAGAAATCGTTCTTGTCGGAAGCATGTACTCGATCTCCAATCCCTGCATTGCCCTGTTCAGAAACGACAGAAATTTTGTCTTGCGCTTCAGATACAACTCAAAGTTCTGCCAGCTGCTCTTGTACTGCATATAGACCTTCATGTGGAGCTTCGACGAGTCCTCAATGCACTCATGATTCAGCATCGTATACTCGGTATAATCCTCGGGATGGCTCTTCACAAAGTCGTCTATAAGCTCTTTCAGCCTCACTAGCTTCTTCTGATTGGTTCTGCTGTTGATCTGGATCTTGTGCGACTCCGCCATGATCCCACTCCTCCGCAGATTCCGAATTGCCTTCTGAGCCAGAACCGTGTTCAGTATTGTTATGTACGTTCCATCCCACCTGTAGAACACCGTTGAGAACACATTCAGCTCAGACACCACAAGATTCTCCTCAGCATTGTCCATCGTTATAAACACTCGGTCTCCAATGTCATACGGATGAATGAAAAACAGAAAAATAATGCTGCTTATCACACTCGATGAAAACGAGTTCGAAATAAAGTGCGTTCCAAAAAATGCAGATATCACTCCAATCGTTGTTATTCCTTCCCCTCCTGCCTTGATGTAAAGCATTGCCATCACAAGCACGCCTATCATCAGCTTGAACGCAAACGAAACCTTATCGACTGCCGAGTTCATGTGCTCAAGATTCTCTCTCAGAATGTGTCTTTCTCTATAGCTCTTCTCAATAAACTCCGTCAAGCTCCCTCTGCTGAATCTGTAGTCCTCATCAACTCCAATCTCCTTCATTAAAAACCTGAATATCTCGGGCTTCTGAAAATACAGTGACAGCTCAGACATCGGCCCAAGCCTTCCGTCCCTGCCAACCATTCTGTTTGCCTTGCTGTTTGCCCTGCTCCTCAGCCTTTGCGAAACCTGCATCATGTTTCCTCGGGAAACACTCGATCGGCGCATCAGCCTTTGGAACTCCTTCAGAATCACCCTTTTCCTGGGAAGCCCAAGATCATCCACATGCTCATTGCATTCATACAAATCCTCTAGGTACTCATTTATCGAACTGATTGCATCGCTTTTGCACACCATCTCCCCAGACACACCAATCCTGGGCTTAGCAGGCCTTCGTTGCTTGCCATCCATGCCTGCAAGCAGACTTATGAATGCATCCTCAAGCAACACCCTTCGTATCCTTCTTATATACACCGAATAGTTGAAGTTCATCGAAATCGCCCGGTGGAATACCCTTACTCCCCCAAGCATCACCGTAGCAACAAGAAAGCAGTTGAACAGATCACCAAAGAACAAGTCAAGCCCCTGTGCGTTGTTCATGCAGTAGTCCTTGTCCCTAAGAAACACCACTACAATACCGGTGATAAAAATAATACCTGCAGAAATATGCTCCGAAATCTCATTTGTGTAGTAAAAGAATGTGTTTAGACTGTTCGATCTCTTTAGACCTGCAAAGCTTATCTTGAATATCAAAAAGTTCAATGCAATAAACAGAAAAACGCTTCCAGAACACAAAAACAAAAAATTGCTCAAGCTTACCATAATCACATCTCCTTTCCTGGCCTTCATGCTCACTTCAATCTTCCATGTGCAAAAGGCAACAAGCAGTAGAGCAACACCTCCCAGGAAAATCCATCCAGACCTCTGCTGCAGTGTGCCCGCCGCACTGTTCTTCAACCTCTCAAAAGAGCTTGATGCCTCGGCCATTCCCTCATTTCCATATCCATAATCATTTCCTCCATCCTCTGTAGATGTATCAGACTCATGGGTGTAGTTGTGGCTGTCGCTGTCCTCAAGATCAATCCTTGCACTACTCTTTATCACTCCATCCATGAGGGTGCTGCTATCACAAGCATAGAATCAACAAAACATTTATTTCGTCACTTGATCTTACATATCCTCGACTTCCCATCCTGCATAAACACCTTAAATATGCTGTTTGCACTGTCAAACATCCCGTTCTTCAAAGACACAACCAGAAACTGTGCATTTCCAAACTCATTCCGTATTATCTCCCCAATACTTTGTGTGTGGCTAAGATCCAACGCAGAGTCTATCTCATCAAACACATAGAATGGCGACGGCCGGTATGCAAGCATCGAAAATATCAGGCTCAACGCCACAAGAGACCTCTGCCCTCCGCTCAGCTCCTCCAAGCACTCCTTCCAACTACCAATCTTCACTCTCAGCACATACTCCCCTGCCTCCTCATCAATCCTTGCATCAGAATCAGGTATAAAATACTTAAGAAATTTCCCAAGTCGTCCGTTAATATGCCTAAATGCTTTTTGCCTTTCATTCAGTCCAAGATCATCAAGCTTCATCACACTCTCACTAATTGCTGCCTTGTCCTTCTCTAACTTGCATATCTTCTCCTGCAGATCCTCAACCATCAGCTCGTTCCGCTCCAGCAAATCAAAGTTGGACGGATCCATAGTGCTTCGCCGCACTCCTCCAAGCTTCACTAGCTCCTCGCCAATCACTCTTTTCTTCTCCATAAGCCTTCGCCTCCCTTCTTCATCCATCCTAATCCTCCGTATGCAAAAATACCTCTCATCAAGCCCCAGCCGCATTATAGCATTCTTCAATCCATTCTCAACCATCATGCTTTCATCAAAAACATCCCATTCACTGCATACTTCCTTAATCATCTTCTCTAGCTCTCCATATGCTTTCATTATCTTATTCCTCATCCTTCCTATTTCCCTGTTCAGCCCCCTGTTCTCTTCCTCCAGCCTTTCTATCTCACCATCATTCCTAATCTTCATACTCATCTTCTCCTCATATCCTTCAACTATTTTCTGGTACTCGCATATCCTCTGCTCGCATACCCTCGTCTCCTCTTCATTCTTCATTTTCAACTCCTCAAGCATTCTTATCTCCTCTTTCACCTCCCTCTTGCGATCACTCATCCTCTTCGTCTCATTCATCTCTCTCTTCGCTATAATCATATTCTCCCTCACTGCCTTCAGCTCATTCCTAATGTCAATCTTCTCCCCATACACATCAGATATCACACTCATCCTTGCATCAATCTTCTTCTTCTCCTCTCCAAGCATTCTCCTTCGTGCATCAGCCTCCTTCATCCTCAGAACTTCCTCATACTCGTTTCGCAGCTCATCAAACCTCAGCTTGTTCATTGCCATCCTTCCAATCTCCCTTTCAATCTCCTCAATCTCCTTCCTGCGCACCACATCTACCCTCATTACATTCCTTCCTCCGCTCACCATCCCACGCGGGTCATACACTGTTCCATCAACCGTCACACACATCACCTTCTTCTCAAAACATACCCTCCTTGCTACTTCCCCATCCTCAAATACAAAAAAATTGCCAAACACAAACTCAATCGCCTTCCGCACACTTCCATCGAATCGCAGCAGATCAACCGCCCATATCCCTTTCTCCATCCTAATCGCCTTCTCCACTCCTTCATCATTTCTATTCGCTCGGATCTTCGAAAGCGGTATCACACTAACACTTCTATCAGCTCCGTTCAGCACCTTCCCTCCAACCTTCTCATCGCACGTTATCACATACTTCCCCCGGCCTCCCATCGCTACACATATCGCCTCAAAGTATTTCATGTCGCATATCTCAAAATTCTCATCCACCGTTCCAAAAACTCCTTCAATAAACGGATAGTTGATCCGAGACCTCATCCCATACAATCTCTTCCGCATCTTCTCCATCTCATCCTCATCAACCCTCAGCCTTTCAATCTCCTCCAGCCTCTCCTGGCAAAAACACACTTCTCCCATCAGGCTCAGCTCAACATCAATCTTAGACCTCATGCGCTTCAAGCTCGCAAGCTCCTCAGCCTTACTCACCACATCATGCAACCCTGCATCAACATCTCCAAGACTCTCAACCAGCACACTTTCCCTCGCAATCAGCTCATTCATGTCATATTTTGCACTCATCTCTTTCATTGCTGCAAGCTCCTCCTCCTTTCTGATCATCATCTCCTTCACTCCTTTACGCTTCATCCCTTCAATCTTAAGCCTTTCCTCATCCATCGCCGCCTTGGCCCACATCACATCCCCTTCTTCATCCATTCTCCTCATCCTCTCAATTATCCTCTCATTCTCCTCAATGCGTCCAGCTCCACCGCCATACTTCTCCACATACTCTACCAGCCCTCTAACTGCACACTCCGCATCGCACATGCACATCAAATAGCACACTTCATCCAAGTCATCCGCCAGGCGCTTCTTCCTCTCATCAACATCCCTGCTTTCAACATACCTTGTGCGCTCCTCACGCAGCTTGCCATAAAACGGCGAAATCCTCCTCTTCAGCATCTCGCTGACATCCCTCAGCTTCGCCTCCTTCTTTTCAATCGCCTGCATCGCCTTCTCCTTCTCGCTCTCGTAACACCTTGTTCCTGCCGCCTCTCCCACAAAATTCTTCAAGTCGTCACTCTTCATGCTCAGAATTCGTGTTATGTGCCCCTGCATCACCACAGACGACAGCATTCCTCGCGACTGCAGCCCCATCGACATACAGAACTTACTCAGCCCAGACTGTGTGCACACATGGCCATTCACATAGTGCTTCGTTCTTCCATCCGCATCAATCGTCCGCGAAACCCGGATCTCGTCGCAATGCTCATATCCCGGCGGGCTTCTGCCCTTCTCCTTGTTGCAAAACACAACGTCCACCCTGCATTCGCTCCTGTGCACATTCACAAGCTCCTTCAGGCTGTCTGCACGCAACGCCTTAGCAGTCTCAAGCCCAAGCGCAAACAAAACCCCGTCAAGCACATTCGACTTTCCGGATCCGTTCATCCCGGTTATTGCATTGAACGAGCAGTCAATTCCTGCAACCACAGTCCTCTCCTCATAGCACTTGAACCCATCAAGAACTATCTCTTTGATGAACATCAGGGATGCATAAAAAAATCAATCAAATCCCCGTGGATGGAGACTGTGTTTAGGAACGACCTTGGAGAGGGAAACAAAACCGTTCTGGATGTTTCCCAAATGCTCTGCATTTCATACAGATCGAGGATAATGGCACAGATCATATTCCAGAAGGTGTATCCAAGATTTTTCAAGAAAGAAGGCCACACAATTGTTGCAATTGCAAGTGTTTATCTGTCTGCAAAGATAAACGAAGCACTCGTGAAGCCAGATGTGCTTTTTGAGATGATCTCAAGAAACATGCCGGCCGGGACCGCACTGTCCAGGGATAGGCTTGTGAGTGTGGAGTGCAAGATAATCGAGATGATTGAGTTCCAATTCAATGTGTGCCCTGCACAGCTGTTTCTGATGAGGGTTGGAAAGACCTTGGGAATAGATGTTTCTCGTAAGCTTCTGGCCCTTGACGAGATACACGGCGACAGCAGGGCAAACTTCATCAAGTACTTTGATGGAATGTATGACCCTGAGGTTGTTGCACTGAGCGTGCTGGGCGATGAGGAGGTGCGGCTTTTTGAGTGTTACTTCGGTGTAAGGATCGACAGGGGGCTGGTTGAGGAGGTGCGATCGATCATGACGAAGAAGTGATGGTGTACACCCATGTATTTTTTTGGCAAGAAGGAGGATGCAATGGCATACTTGAGAACGAAATTTGTTAATGCACATGATGTGAACAAGATTATGGTCGAGTATCAGATTTCGCTGAAACGGGGAGCGTACAGCTCGTACGAGGCGAAGAGGATTGATGATGCGATAAAGGCGTTTCTTGCAGAGAACGGATTGGAGATGAAGAATCTACATGGTTTTTTTCTTGAGGAGGAGGCTGAGTTTCCAATAAGGAAGCTTTTGCTTGCGGTTTCTGAGGTGCTTGCCAACAGGGCAATGAATTCGATATGGATATATGTGTCGTATCACTATCATCCGTATGTGGATGCAAAGTGGGAGCCTGAGAATGAGATCCAGCTGCTGAATCTTGTACGAGCTCTTGGGTTCCGGTGGAAGGAGATATGTGGGATTATGAACAAGAGCTCGAGGAAGTGTATAAAGAACTACTACCGAATCATGGGATATGAGTATTTGAGCAGTGCATCGTTCAAGATTGATGAGGAAAGCATTCCTACGACAGAAAGCGGATGGAATGAGATGTGTAGAAAGCTGAAGACGAACAGGAAGAGGCTGTCGCATCTGATAAATGGATATATATCGCGCAGGCTTATTGTGCCGCTGTGGAATGAGTATAACAACATGATGCTGATCGGATATGTGCTTGTGTACAATCATTTTTGCTCGATGGAGATACGGCTTCTGGAGCTTTTTGAGCTGATCAACAACAGATGCTTTGAGGGTGTGGATGGTGTTGATGTGTGCAGGGAAGATATTGCGAAGCAAGTGGATGAGTATTTGCCGGATGCAAGCAAGTATATGCTTGATGTTGCAATTGATGTTGAGGATGTGTTTTGGCGAAGCATCAAGGTGTTTGTGAGGTTTCCATCGGTACACTTAAGATGCAGGTTTATTCAGATAATGAAGATACATGGAATAAGGGTATTTGGGGATCTGTTTAGTGTATTTAAGGTGCTTGCTATTGATTGCTGTTTGTACAAGATCAAGGATATGCTTAGAGAGGAGGTCAGCAGGATTATGAATGCGAAGGATAGAAGATGCATGGCTGTAAAGAATGACAATATGATGCATTATTGATGAGCGAATGGAATACAAGTGTAGAATGGACGGATATTATGAATGGAAAGGAGAAGCTGCGTGATGCTTTGTGTACGGCTGAATTGCAATGGCAGAGAATGTAAGTGCTTTTCAAAACACGGTTTTATGCATGAAATAAATAATAATAAACAGTACAGATTATGATTCTTCTTATTACGGTGTTGGTTGGGATGTGCATGACAAAAGACACATACATTGTGTTTTTCGACCAAGATCCGCACATGGATAAGATCAGTGCGGGTGGGTTTTATGCAGAAAGTATCCTTGGGATCCAGAGCCTACTAGGGGAGGATGAAAGCATTGATGCAAAAATGGTGAATGGATTTATGGCACAGATGAGTGAGTCTACTGCAGAAAAGGTGAAGATGTACCCAGGAGTCAAAATGGTTGTCAAGGATAGTGCAGTTGGCATTAGTGGGCTTAGGGTTTCGGAAGCGCCTGATGCAGCTGAGCCAAAGGAGGAAATCATGACGCAGCGCCATGCACCCTGGGGGCTGATCAGGATTGGGGGAGGAACGTCTTTGGCGAATGGAAGCTTCTACTATCCAGCGAATTCTGGCAGAAGGGTGGATGTGTATGTCCTTGACACGGGTGTTGAGACAAACCATCCTGAGTTTGAGGATAGAGCAAGATGGGGATCCAACTTTGTACCAGGGTCTCCTGACGAAGACGAGCATGGGCATGGAACACACTGTGCAGGCATTGTAGCAGGAAAGAACTTTGGAATAGCGAAGAAGTCAAACATCATTGGAGTCAAAGTTCTTGACAAGAACGGGTTTGGAATGACCTCTAGACTGCTCCAAGGAGTCGATTTTGTGATCAGGGAGCACGAGAAGAAGAAGGATGACGTATACAGGCAGATGGCAGATGAGTATCTCGAATCCACAGATTCTGACGACTCTGGAATAATGGACATAGACTTTTCTGAAAGCGTTTCGGACATCAAGAGCATCAAAGCATCCAGGCCATCGTTGCATCAGCTAATAGACATGGCATCGCATGAGTCGTTGGTGCCAAAAACAGTGGTCAATCTGAGTGTCGGAGGGTCGAGGAATGCAGCATTGAACTTTGCAGTTGAGTATGCATCAAGGCTTGGAATACATTTCTCAACAGCAGCAGGAAACGAGCACGAAGATGCATGCGAGTTCTCACCAGGATCGTCCAAGGCAAGCATCACCACGGGAGCATCCACATTCAGAGATACTGTTGCGTTCTTTAGCAACTTTGGAAAATGCGTAAACATCTTTGCACCAGGCGTTGACATTCTGAGCTCTTGGATCGGTGGTAAGCAAAAGATTGCATCAGGCACATCGATGGCCACTCCACACACAACAGGAGCAATGGCAGCATACCTGACATACTATAATTACACGCCGCATGCTCTAAAGCAGCATCTCATGAGGGATGCACATAATGTAATAGACGACACTGCTGAGGATGAGTACATGCCTCCAGTGTCTGGATCACTCCGCCTGCCCTCGTTCTTGAGTCCGAAGAAGAAGCTGCCAATGCTGTCGATTGTGAACTTACTCAGGAGAATCAGTAAGCAGTAGCTCAAACACATAAGACAGTCAGTTACCAAAGCAAATAAAAGCTTTATTCAACAAAGATACTGCTATTCACCACCAGAATGCTCATACTTCATTATTCCTGTATACCATAATTGCTACACAGAGTTGCTATCCTTTGATTACAAGACAGGGTTTTAGACGGCAAACCATTTGTGTTAATCCAACCCTATCGCTTATCTCAACAACCCTGTTTACATCCTTGTACGAGTCAGGTGCCTCCTCAGCCATTCCTGCTCTGTTTGGGCATCGAAACACTATGTTCTGCATCCTCAGTGCTGAACATACATCCTCGTAGGTAAATGCTTTCTTAGACGTATTTCTTGCCAGCAGCCTTCCTGCGCCATGGCATGTGGATCCAAAGCTCAGCTGCATGGCTTTTTCGGCACCGCACAGTATGTAGCTGAATGTGCCCATTGATCCACCCACCATTACAGGCTGGCCTATCTCCCTGTATTTCCATGGAATATCTCTGTGGTATGGCGGAAACGCTCTGGATGCGCCTTTTCTATGCACAAGCACATCAAATTCTTTGCCTTCTACAAAGTGTGCCTCCTCCTTTGCAATGTTGTGGCATACATCGTACACCAGCTCAAGCCTGGCCTTTGGAAACACCCTTTCAAATGCTTTTCTTGCCTTTTCTGTTATGCTTGCACGATTTGCAAATGCAAAGTTTGCTGCACTGCCCATGGCTGCCAGGTAGTCTTGCGCCTCCTTCGATTCGTACTGTGAGCACATCATCGGGTCTGCCACGCCATGCCTTGCTGCCATCTTCATCAGTGCATCATGGCACACACCATGGCCAACGCCTCTGCTTCCAGAATGTATCATGACGACAATCTGGTTCTTTCTCAGTCCCAAAAGCTCTGCCTTGCCTTCGTCATACACCTCATCAACATATTGGACTTCAAGATAGTGATTACCTGATCCAAGCGATCCAAATTGGTTTATGCCGCGGCCCTTTGCCTTCTGGCACACAAGAGCACTGCTTCCTGGCATGTGCCCGTTGCTTTCGCAATACTCCACATCCTCATCAGATATTATCTTTGACCTGAGCAAATGGCCCAGTCCATTATCAAGGATCGAGTTGAGCTCGCAAAGACCTATGCAGGATCGCTTGTCGCCGCCTATACCCGTTGGCAATGCATCAAAAAGTTCGTCCGCAAGTTTCTCAGCATGCTCACTGAACTCCTTCAGGTCGATGTTGGCTCTCAACGCTCTTACGCCACAGTTGATGTCGTATCCAACACCGCCTGGGCTCACCACCGACTCAGGATTGTTTATGTCAAATGCAGCAACAGACCCAATTGGAAAGCCATATCCTGTGTGAATGTCAGGAAGGCCTACGACGTTTCCCACAAGGCCTGGCAACGAGCAAATGCGAGCCAACTGCTTGATTGACGACAGCTCATCGCCTCTGGCTAGCTCATCAAAGAGAGGAATGCGCAGCTTTTCATCCACATATATTGTTGCGCCTGTCTTCATGCGGCTGTCGAATGCACTGTCTATTGCTATGCTTAATTCGGATTGCTGGATGTTGATCGGATTGCTGTCCATGAGGGTCTGAGATGAGTGAAGGAATAGGATGATTTGAAGCCTGCTGGAGCCCTGAGGAGTTTGATGAGGTTAGTCAGGTGGGCCAGCGAAAGAAAGAGACAGCATTTTCTCGGTGCATTTACAATGGATCAGGTCGCGATGCATAGCAAGAGCGATGACTGCTGGATGGTGCTGGATGGGATTGTGTATGATGTTACGGAGTTTATTGCAATGCATCCTGGAGGAGCAAAAACAATTATGGAATATGCAGGGATAGACTGCACACAGGCATTCAACAAGGCACATGGATATGTAAACATAAAAGAGCTGCTTGGAAACGACATTGTTGGAGTATTGGTTGCGCATAAAGATTGAGCAAAGGGGCACGTGCTTGCTAAATGCTTGAGGTGATTTGATGAAGGCATGCAGTGCAGAGATAGAAGCATGCGATAGCATATGCAGATGGAAGTGATTGTCGATGATTGATTTGGAGTAAACAATGTGGTACAAATAGTTACGGTGCCCACATTCAATGCTTGAGTTTGTGAAAGATGGCGGTGTGATGCATTCTGAGGAGCTGCAGAGTGTTGATTCAGTGACCCTGGAGACTTATGGGGAGTTAGCATGTGAGAGCAGGAATATGCTGTTGTGTATACTAATGTGTGAAGGTAGAAAGCAAGTCTACTTAGCAAGCAGTATTGTGGCGATGCGGTATTCTGTTGTGAATGGGATCCGTGTGTATAAGCTGCGGGACCCAGTTACCAGAGTTGAGGTTGATGAGATTCTGTATTTTGAGACTGAAGAGAATCCACTGTATCTGAAGCATGGCGATGCATCGATTTTGAATGCAGTGTGGGATGGAGGCGTGAATAAGGAGACGATTGATGAAGAAAGTAATCTGTTTGGGCGGAAGACGGAAGATGCGATTGTGAAAGCAGTATACATTGGAAACGAGGTTGATCTTCTATGCAGCAAAAACATGCAGAAGAAAATTCTAGGGATTGATGCGAAGACACCTGTGCACAGAAGTGTGTTGTACAGGATTGCAAAGGCCTGCACGATTTTTTCGTTGATGTTTTTTTTACTGATGTGTTTTTTTTATGCAATGATGATGATCATTGTACGGTTTGGAGGCATGGAAGAAGGAATCTGAAATTGTGGATATAAATGTGAAATAGAAAGGTCTGGTGTTATGTGTTATGGTTTGCAGAAGTCTAATGATGAAGCACTTGCAGATGAAAGGAGGCTGTTCCAACATCTAATGATGTCTAACCTTGCCTTTGAATTCTTTGATATGCGTTGAACAATGAGCCTCTGATGTACCACGCTTTCGAGTTAAAGGTTTGCCCTTGTTGTGTGTACGTGTTCTGCAAGCTGAAGGTTTTTGCCGGGATGTGATTGGAAAGGTGGGTGTATGGGGGAGAGTGGCCCTGGGATGGTAAAGACAGGAGGAAGCAGCCCTTAGATGGATGAGTCTGTGGAGATTGAAGGAGTGTTTGATGAGAGAGTGTGTGTAGAAAGAAAGGTACTTTCCAATGTGATGAATAAGCAGGGAGGAGGAGTGAAAAACGAGGAGAGAAGGAAGAAGGAGCAAAGCAAGGTTGTTTTTAAGGATGTTGATGAGAATATGAATGGAGGTAGCGAGGCAAAGGAAGGAGAGAATGTAAAAGAGGAATGCAGTGCAAGATGTGAGGCGGATGCAAAGTCTGAGATGCTTTTAAAGATCGGAGCTGAGTTTGAAGAGCTGAAGGAAGCACACAGGAGGGGATTGATGGCAAGAGGGAAGCTAATAAGAAGGATGGAAAGGGAGCTTGAGGGGATTAAGAAGCAGATTGAGGCAGAGAAGAAGAAAGAGATGGAAGAGTTCAAGAAGTGCTGTGAGGAAGAATTTTTTGAAAGACGAAGAAAGTACAGAGAGAAATGCAGAAAGAAGGTTTGTGAATACAAGGCAAGTGTTGATGAAATGGTGAAGGCGTTAATGGCTGATGTAGGAAGCAAATGCAGGGAGTTGGTTAAGGGGATGTATAGGAAAAGAGCAGGTAATGGATAGGAGAGAATAAAGTTCTATTGATTTATTTTTGCTCAGGATCGTAGTAGATCCATTTCTTTGTGTCGAGTGGACAAACGTTTTTTGAGTTTAGCCATCTTGCGATGCAGTGTGTGTGGAATGCATGATTGCAGACGCCCCATGATACCTTGCATTCTTCGCTGCTGGCAATGCCGTTCTGGCACTCTACGCATGTGTCCATGATGTGGTTTCTACAGATTGCACATGTGTCTACTTTCATGTCGAGTGACCACAGTGCAACAAGGTTCCACTTCTTGAGCTTTATGATGTCCTTGTTTTGCATGTGGGCATTGTGTATTTGAAGATTTTGGGAGCCCTGGAAGGGAGGTGTCTGGAGTGAGATGGATGGGGGCATAGATGGAAAAGGATTGAGAGGAGCTAAAAGTGAGAGCAGTGGGACCAAGCGCGAGAATACGAGTGGAGAGCACACGAATGGCAATGAATTCAAGCCGAAAAGAACAATGGGAGTGGAAAGAAGAGGAGTGGAGGATGATTTGGATAAGGTAACGAGGAGTGCAAGCAGAGAAGGGAGGTTGCTGGGGGTTATGGCAGGAGTGGAATCGATGATGCCTGAGAAGAGTATGTGTAAGGAGCACAGAATAAAAGAAGTGACTGAAGAAGGGATTGAGTCTTTACTACTGAGTGATGTGATGGGAGTGATTGGTGTAGAGGCACCGGTGAGCGAAGTAGGCAGAATAATATGGTTTTTTGAGTGTGGAGAAGGAGGAGCGAGTGGGTTTGTAAGGATTGAAGGAATGCGAAAGAAGCAGGGATTGAAGGCGAAGGGGGAGAGGAGGGGGAGAAGTAAGGGAAAAAAAGAGGAGTGTGTTTCTGAGGGGAGAAGGAGGGATGAAGAGTGTGCAGGGCATAAGGATCAAGAAGGGGCTTGCAGCGATGCGAATGACAGCAGGTACAGGTATTTTTTGCACCGAGTGTTTCCGATGCATCAGAAGGACGATGAGCAGGCGATGAAGTATGCTGTGGATCAGAGAACGATGCTGATGAAGAGAGCAAAGGTAAATGCTGCGGAGATTCCTGAAGTAAGGAAAGCGGAAAGGATGAATGGTAAGAAGGATAGGCATATGGGGATGAAAGTGATTGATAGGATTCCAGCGATATGCAGGGTGGCATGGAGGGACGGGGAAGAAAAGGCGGTTGAGAAGGCGGTTTTGAGATACAGAAGTGACTTTAAGAAGATACATGAGAATGTGCCTGGAATAGACATTGGGAGATGTGTTCTGAAGTATTATTTGATGAAGAACAAGACGCATGCGTATATGAAGCACAAGCCTGGAAGGATGTCTGACCATGAGATTAAGCTGGTTGTGGAAGATGAATGGACTGAGTATGAGAGGGAGTTGTTTGCAGAGCACATCAAGGTGTATGGAAGGAACTGGGGAAGGTATCAGGAGGTGATTAACAAGAGCGAGAAGGATCTGAAGATGTTTTTCCGATACTACATGAAGTTTGTGATGGCTGATAAGAAGGAAGAGATGGATAAGGCAGTGGTGAAGGCCAAGAAGCCTGCCGAGAAGAACGGGATGATGAAGAGGTGGAGCATTGATGAGAGGCAGCTTTTTGCAATATACTTTCCGTACTACAGCAGAAACTGGATATTGATGGCGACGTATTTTCCTCAGAAGACGCCTGGGGATCTTAAGCAGTACTACAGCAGGTATTTTAAAGGATTGAGCTACAATGAGCAGAGGCTGGAGGCAAGCTTGTATGATTTTGGAAGGCAGATGACGACGCCGCCAGCGATGCTTTGCAGAAGAAGAGCAACGGAGGAGGAGTTTTGCGACAGTGCAGGGATTCTGTTTAGAAGATGAGACGGGTGTCTTTGGAGCCTGTGCTTGCTAGGGACGATAAGTGGAATAATGATGCTTTGGAGGAGAATAGCAAAGGAAAGAAAAAATTGCCCTTGATGGCAGAAGGTTATAACGAGTACTTGCTTGAGAGGATATATGAGCTATTTCCGAAGAAGGAAGCAGAGGTGTTTATTGAGGAGAGTGGGAAGCAGAGGCCCACGACCATACGTGTGAATACGCTTTTGAAGCAGAGGAGGGATGTGATGAAGATGCTAACATCGAGAGGTGTTGACTTGGATGAGCTGCCATGGAACGACAGTGGATGTGTGGTGTTTAGGTCGACGGTGCCGATTGGAGCGACGCCTGAGTATCTTGCAGGGTACTATTGCCTACAGGGTGCGGCATCTATGCTTCCGGTGCTGAATATGGAGCTGAAGAAAGGGCTTTGTGTTGTTGATATGTGTGCAGCACCCGGGGGAAAGTCGGGGCATATTGCAGCATTGATGGGCAATACGGGTGTTTTGTATGCGAATGATGCTAATGAAGACAGGATTGCTGGCCTTAAGGGCAATCTGCAGAGGATGGGAGTGAGCAACTGTGTGGTGATGAACATGGATGGAAGAAAGATGAATGTTGGAAAGGTTGATAGGGTGTTGCTGGATGCGCCGTGTTCTGGAACTGGAGTGATATCGAAGGATGCATCTGTGAAGAGCAGCAAGTCTAAAGAAGAGATAGATAAGATAGTTGTGTTGCAGAAGGAGCTTATTCAGCACGCATTTGAGATGCTAAGGCCTGGGGGGATTCTTGTGTATTCGACATGCTCTATTCTTGTGAAAGAGAATGAAGAGGTGGTGAACTATTTGGTATGCAAGAATTCAGGAGCGAAGGTGGTTGAATGCGAGGTGGATGTGGGGAAGAACGGCCTTGTTGGATTCCGTGGCCGCACATTCCACTCGTCGCTGAAGCATGCAAGACGGGTGTATCCGCATGTGCACAACATGGATGGGTTTTTTTATGCAAAGGTGCTGAAGACATCTGATTAAAGAGTTGATGATAGTGTATTTTGAGCTGTGAGTTGATGTGAAACATGAGTATTGGCTAATGAAACTGTTCCAGAACGGAGATATCTATGAGCTGTATTGGGCTGGTAAACAAAGGGTGAATGATGGGATGGTTAGGGTTAGTGATTGCTGTTGAATGGTGTGTGGGAATACCTGATATTATGAGTGGGCAGATGTATTCGATTCCACCACTGATGGGAGATCCAGGGATGTTTGGACCGCCACAGATGGGGGGCGGCAAAGCAGGGCAGGTGTTGACGTTTGGGCCTGATCCAAGCAGTGGGTTGATGGCGCCTGTGGCGTTTCAGCCGCCTGGAAACATACAGTATGCAAGCACCTGTGAGTATTTGAACAACCAGAATGAGCAGTTCAAGAAATGCATGGAGAGCCAAATCAAAGACTTTAAGGCTGTGATTGAAAATTGCAGGAAAATGCTTGGAGAGAATGCGAAGGAATGCTGTGTGGACGATGGCTGTCTTAATGTCATAAACAGGAATCTTAATGAATGCAGCAACTGTGAAGATTCTAAGGCATGCAGGGATGAAAAGTGCCAGAAAAACATTGCCGACTCGATTGTGAACAACATGAACACCGAGCAGTTCAAGATGCTGTTGTCTGATGTATTGAAGTCAAGCTTGAAAAAAATAGGAAATAAACTTTCGGGATTGACTTCATGCGCTAGAGACAAGTGTGAGAGAGATGTGCTTAATCGGCCGTCCAGTACAGTATCCAGTACAGGGCCTGGCACAAGAAATCAGCATGTATATGCTGATGAATACGATGGAGTAAGGGTAGAGAGCTTTTCTGATAACGTGCCAGCAAAAGGCGTAATGCTGGTTCCTGTAGAAAAAGCGAAATATGATAAGATGTTTGGAATGCTAGATGATGATGTCCGACGAGTAACAGGTAGCAGCAAACCGAATCAAAGAGCTATGAGTATGAGCGATCAAAATCGCACAGACTTCGTAAGGGACTCCGACTATATAAGAAGAGACATGCAATCAAGAAATGCATATGACTGCATTGGCGGTCGTAGCAAGGAATGTGTGAGAAAGGATGATGGCGACTGGCAACAATACAGCAATAACACGCGAGACAGCTACATAAGCGATTGGAATGATGACATGCAATACACGCATACAAATCGTCCAAGACCACATTCAGACCATGCAAAGACGCAGAGGCGTCCGGAGTTCGTGAATGAATCTGTATCCAGGACTGCACAACCTTATAGAACAAATACATTTAGGAAGACATCGCCTACTCACTCCAGATGCACTAGGGAGATGTGCAGTCGTGATGATAGGCATGATCTATATCCTGAGTGCACAGATTACTGCGAACGAGCAAACAGGAGTAATAATAGTACAGCAGGGCGTACTACCAAGAGCATAAATAGAAGCATAGAAGACCGATCAGATGTATTAGCAAGTGATTCTTGCCTGAGCGATGACTACGATTAATGTGTGCGATTGTGTTGTGTGGTAAGCATCGAATCCAGCACTGACTTGTAAGATCCAAGTATTTATTCCCAAGTAGAAAATAAACAAGATTATTCTTGATGCTAGATACGCATGCAACTTATAATGAACGGACGAGATGAATGATCTGGTGCATTCCATTCGATGGAGAATATTGTTTGCTGTTATTTTGGTTTATTGTTTGTGAGTCCAAACTCAATGTGGAACTCTGTTTTCCTTTCTGCAGGGATCGGTATCTCGTCCATCTCTTCATCCTTCAGATCCACCAGTGACTTTGATGTCAGCTCTATTTGTATATGATCTGGAAGTGATGCATCAAGGAACGCATCTGTGTAGTATGTGTGATCCATGTTGCGCAAGGGCTGGTGGATTCTGACGTTGAGTTGTATTCATGTGTTCATGTTTGCTGTTTATTGCCTACAGGTGCTTGGAATAAAATCGGATTGTGTTCTGGATCCATGGACGGGCTTGCAGTTCCGAAGAAAGCAGCAAAGCATCAGTTTCCATATGAGGAGCTTCTACTCAAGGAGAACGAAGATGAGTATCCAATGTGGGTGAACTACGATGGCCTTGTCATACTTGAGACATTCAGGGACTGTTCCAGACAGGCAAGTGACTTTCTTATAGCAATTGCGGAGCCTGTAAGCAGACCGGTGAAGATACACGAGTTTCAGATCACAGCGTATTCGCTTTATGCAGCAGTCAGTGTAGGGCTGACAACAGGAGACATTATAGAAACGCTTGATAGGTTTTCAAAGAACTTTCTTCCAAGGTCGATAAAGGTGTTTATTACTGAATGCACTCTGAGCTATGGGAAGGTGAAGCTTGTTATGAAGGCAGGAAAGTTTTTTCTCGAGGCTAGCGATGAGGAAGTAAGCAGTATGCTTTACTTGGATGTGGTGATACGATCGTATGCAGAGAATGTGATGAGTGACGGGATGATCCGGATCAAGACGGAATGTGTGGAGCTTGTGAAAAAAAGATGCATAGAAATAGACTATCCGCTGATTGAGGAGTATGACTTCAGGAACGACACGGTTTTGAGGAGCTTGAAGATTGATCTTAAGCCCACTGCGGTGATAAGGTCATACCAGGAGATATGCCTGAATAAGATGTTTGGGAATGGACGAGCTAGGTCGGGCATTATTGTCTTGCCATGCGGATCGGGAAAGACAATAGTTGGAATCACTGCAATTAGTACGATCAAGAAGAGCTGCTTGGTGCTGTGCACATCAGCAGTGTCTGTTGAGCAATGGAAGCAGCAGACCCTGCAATTCACGAATGTTTTGCCCGACAATGTGGGAAGATTTACTTCTGACCACAAGGAATGGCCTAAGGATGATTGTGGAATAGTAGTGACGACATATACAATGCTGGCATATACTGGGAAAAGATCGTATGAAGCACAGAAGATCATGGACCAGATCCGAGGCACGGAATGGGGGCTTCTAGTGCTTGATGAGGTGCATGTTGTGCCTGCAATGATGTTCAGAAGGGTGCTATCGATAGTGTCGCATCATTGCAAACTTGGGCTTACAGCAACTCTTGTGAGGGAGGACGACAAGATTGAGGACCTGAACTTTCTTATTGGGCCAAAGCTCTATGAAGCGGATTGGCAAGACTTGAGTGCCAAAGGGCACATAGCCCGGGTTTCGTGTGTGGAGGTGTGGTGCAGGATGACAGGGGACTTCTACCGTGAGTATCTCTCGCAGCCAGCAAGGCGAAGAAGGCTTCTTTCGATTATGAATCCGACCAAGTTCCAGATGTGTGAGTATCTGATAGACAAGCACGAGGGCAGGGGAGACAAGATAATTGTGTTTTCTGACAGTGTGTATGCGTTGAAGGCATATGCATTGAAGCTTGGCAAGCCGTTTATATATGGGCCGACGGGGCAGACAGAAAGAATGAGGATACTGAAGCAATTCCAAACGAATCCGTTGATCAACACGATATTTCTGAGCAAGGTCGGAGATACGTCGATTGATCTTCCGGAGGCTACGTGCCTTATACAGATAAGCAGCCACTTTGGCAGCCGTAGGCAAGAAGCTCAGAGGCTTGGAAGGATTTTAAGGGCGAAGAGGCGGAACGATCCGGACTTCAAGGTGTATTTCTATTCTCTTGTGAGCAAGGATACGGACGAGATGTTCTACTCGAACAAAAGGCAGCAGTTTTTGGTTGACCAGGGATACACATTCAGCATTATTACCGAGATACCTGAAGTGTATGAGAACGAGAGATGTGTGTACAGAACACGAGGGCAGCAGAAGGAGCTGTTGGCAAGTGTGCTGCTTGCGTCAGAAAGAGAGCTTGAGAGCGAGGAAAGTGGAGAGGAGGAGGCAATATACAATGTGTCGAAGTTGAAGAGCCTTAGTGGTGCAGACGACATGGCATACATGGAGATGATGCCTCAGCGCCATGCCGATGGAAAGACAAAACGAGGTAGTAAGTAGGCACGGAAGGATGATTTGAATGCTACCGATGGGTGGCCCATGAAGTTTTCTGTTGAGGAGGCAGAAAAGCTTAGGAGGATGATGAGATCGGCAAGGAAAGAAGAGGAGATAGCAGAGCTTTCAAGGGAGATTGAGAATAAGGAGATGGTGATGATGAACAGTATTTCTGAAGACTACCTGAATATAATAAGTAAGTGTAGCTCTCTTGATGTCATTAGGACTAGGCTGTCTTCTCTGATGAAGTTGAACAATGAGTTTGGAATGGCGGTATCGGATGGTGTCTTGCAGTATAGTGGAGTGATTAGTGAGATGGAGGAAAATGACTTGATGGAGAGTAGGCTTGAGATGCTGATGTGTGAGCTGAAGCGAATACTTGAGTTTGTTGAGTCAACACTATATTATGAGGAAGTCAACAAGGACGAGCGAGAGGATGCCGTGTACTACTTCAAGCTGGTGCAGAGTGTTCAATTGCTCGAGAAGAGCCTTTGCTTATTCCGGAAGTATGCGTTTTTTGCAAGTGCAAGCCAGATATTTATGAAGGTGAGGAATGGAGTAGTATCACTGATGATAAAGGATGTGGATCTGTGGGTTGAATGGGCAAGCAATAATGTTAAGCAGGCTGGGGAGGAGATGGGCGAGATGTTCATGATTGATCAAAAGCGAGGGCATATATTTGGGGCGCTTGGGTTGCAGCGGGGATTGTTTGTTAATAGGATGCTTCTCTGTGTTCTTCATGAGTCAAGGCGCCTTGGGGCGGATTCTGTGATTATTGAGAGGATAAATGAACGGAGAAGAAAGGGCATTGAGTACAATCTTCGGAGAGACGATCCAAGGATTGTTATGGATGCAGCAGGGTTTGTGCTGTGGAGCCATTATCTGACTGGCCTTGACGATGGATTTAAGACACACAACAAAACTACTTTTAAGGCACTACTCGAAAATGAGATGCTGCAAAGGCCTGAGAACTTCATGAAGGTGAAGGATGGGCTTGTTTGCTTAAGAAACCTTGCGATGTACTTAATGATTGATTCGGAAGACTTGGATAGGATTATCAGTAATGTTGCAATTGGGTATTTTGAAAAGCAAGGGCATATTGAAGACGGTGGTTATGATACAAATGATGCAAGTATGGTGGGAGAAGCGATAAATGTGTTTGTTGATGAATGCTATGGATTTGTATCGAATGTAACACAGCTTTCGAATGAGCTTGACGAGATGCTTGGGAAAAAGGTTGATGAGTATTTGTGCAAGCTGATTGAGAGCAATCTTGAGGATATGCAGAAGTTCAGTGAGGTTGCGGCGGCTGTTAGAGGGACGCTGGAGCATCTAGAGGAGAAGAATAGCTTTTATAAAGACGGGGAGTTTAAGTGTGTGGTGCTACTTGAAAAAAACAACAAAAGGTTTGCGAAGGAGGTGCTTGATGGAAGCATGAGGAGAGCTGATGAGCTGTTTGAAGGGATCTTAAAAAATAGAGATTTTGCGATTTTACTTCTGCAGATGTTTTCGAAAGCCAAGGAGGCCAAGGTTCCGGATGAGATGTGCCTTAAGATTAAGCATGACCTGGTGACGCACATCAACGATGGATTTGTAATGGCTGCGACGAATGGAATGTCTCCACAGGACACAAAAATGGTGAATGGATATCTCTGTAGTTTCTATGGATACTTGAAGGGAGCAGAGCCTGAATTGCAAAATATTCTTGAGGAGGCCATAGAAATGTATAAGAACGAAATAAAGTAAATGTGGAATGTATTTGAAGATCAGCGAAGCTTATTGAATATTGAATATTGAAGAGCTGTTTATTGTTTTATAAGTGGAACATCGGAGCATGTTCTGCGGCTGCTGTAAGGATTGAATTATTTTTCCAATGACCTGACAAACTTTTCGTCAAACGACACTTCTACAGACACCTTTGACCATGTGTACGGATCAAACATCACAATAAGTCTTTTAATGTGATCAACCACTGCACCGGATGCCAGGAAAACAAAGCACTTGTATATTTTACAGAACAGATACTTTCTCTTAATGATGTTGTTGTATGCCTTGAGCTGCAGTTCGTCTCCTGGAAACGAATAAAATATGTAGAAGACGGTTTCCTCGTGCAGATTGTCCATACTCATGTCTTGTATGCTGACTCTGAATGTGCCTTCGACTGAGGCCTTTGGATAGCAGCTCGGAAGCATTTTTGATAGTAAAGATTGCTGCTGAGGTGCGGGCTGCGAAGGATGGCATTTGTTCCTGGCATTTTCAATCATTTCCTTTATCTTATCCTTACTGACTTCGCCGATACTGCTCTGTTCCTGCTGTATCTGCTCCAGTCTTTTCTGTATGTCTGACATTCGACTGCTGAATACTGGGGTATGAATGGATACAAAACACAGACCCTTTGGAGATGAATAGGAGTAGGCAGGAGCTGGTTACGTGGATGAGGTCGCTTGGAATAGATGTTTGTGGGATTGAGGATCTTGGCAAGGGTGCAGCAATATGCCAGGTACTATCGATTTTGTATGAAGACTTTCCTCATGGGTTTATTACGAAGCCAAGGGAGGAGCATGAGTATTTGAGAAATATGAAGATCTGCCAAGAGTTTTTTGGAATGAAGAGCATCAAGCTGTATTTTCCAGTGGACAAGCTTGTCAAGTGCAAGATGCAAGACAATCTTGAGGTTGCGCAATGGCTATGCAAGCATTATCTAAAGGTGATGGGCCATGATGCAAGCAGAAGGGCTGCTGCTGATGCAGCGCCAAGGGTTGCAAAAGAAATGGGCCGTATGGATCGCTCGTGTGCTGCTGCTACTGTTGAAGAAAATGAAGAATTGTGCACCGATAATAAAGAAAGCGCTAGAGAGATGTGCTTGGACAAGGCTGACACAGGCAATGGAAGTAAGCATACATCGGAGTGTGATGCATCTGCAAATAGAAGTCTGCTTGGGAAGCATGAGGAATGGAAACCGGATCTAAATGCCTGCGATGATCAATGCAAGGGCAAGAGGATCAGGGAGCTGGAGGAAGAGGTATTGAGATTGAAAATAGAATTGGACGATTCAAAGCGTGATGTATATAAAAAAATCGAGGATGATTGCATTCACAATAAAGCTGGAGGATTTGATGAGGATGAGATAAAAGGATTGCTTATAACATTTGAGAAAGAAAGAGACTTCTATTTCAAGAAGCTATTTACAATAGAGAAGTATTTTCTTGGCAGAAACGATATTGATGAAGGACTGAAGAATGATGTTTTTGAGATTCTTTATGAGGAATGAGGCAATCTGTTACAGAGCGAACAGCAGTTGTTGATGAGGTGTGCAGTGCTATTATGTGCAGGATGCATGATTAATGAAATATAAAGTTTCATTGGCAAGAAGAATTGCTGATAATGTACGTGGCAGTAAACAAATGATGGAAAGCCCAATTAATCTAAGAAGGCAAGCATTTCTGTATTCCGTTCCTGCATTGATGATAACAAGCCATTTTGGCGGGCCATCGCTGTTTGTGCTTTCGATTCTATCGTCCATGGCTGCATTTGCCATAACAGACACGAAGGCCAAGATGTGTGTGTCGAATATACTGTTTGTTGCTTCGCTGGTGTATCCTAGGATGTATTTTGTATGCTATGGGTTTTCGATTGCAACAGTATACACCTCGATAGGAAGCCTGTGTCTGGGAAAGACGAGAGACGATGGGCTAAGGATGGGGATCGTTGCTGAGTCGATTGGTTTGTTTGTGTCTTTGTGCTATACGATCAGTCCCGTGGTTTCATTATTTATGGCAATCGCGCAGTTTGCCAACATTTACTACCTGGATCGTCCTCCTGTAGAAAGCCAAGACCATGGCCAAGCGTACAGCAGGATGAACAAGCTTTTCAAGGGAGCGTCGTTTACAGACAAAGCAAGCGAGTACAAGGCAATAGTTGGCAAGGAGAACGATGTGCTGATGCTCAAGGCCGACTTTCTAATGCCTGTGGTGATGAGTAGCTTGCCTGATTCATTGAAGGCGGCGGTGTGTTGCACGTCGTTTGTGTTTATCAAGAAATCGTATTGGATGTGCTTTGTGATGTATTCGTTTGTTATTTTGTCATCTAGATGGATGTGTGCGGTTCTTGCGTTTTTCTGTGATTTTGTTCCTGGACACCCTGTGTATCGACTGGTGAGTGTACAGGTTCTGCACGTAGCATTGAAGGGATAGGAAGGCAATGCAGCAGTGCTTGATTGATATAAAAACAAACAGAAACCCCCTTGAAATGTTGTCACTTGGTGCATACAAGCGGCTATTGAAGGAGGAGGCAATGCTGGAGAAGTCTGCAGATGATGAGGGGAAGCTTTTCAAGGCATACCCGTCTGTCCACAATGGAGAGAAGATTTACAATGTGTGGGATATATACTTTACGCTTGGAGGAGATTCACTGTATTCGGGGAGTATTGTTAAGGCACACATGAAGTTTCCTGATTGCTATCCGCTTCAGCCACCGAAGGTGACGTTTGTGTCTGAAATGTTCCACCCGAATATATATGAGAATGGACAGATGTGTATATCGATTCTTGAGGAGGACGTTCCGGACCCTACTGGATATGGGGATTCGAAAGACAAGTGGGCGCCTGTGCAGAACATCCGGACTATTTTGCTGTCGATAGTGATTATTCTTAATGAGCCGAATAGGTCGTCGCCTGCAAATGTGGAAGCGTCTGTGATGTCGAGGGACCACCCGGAGGATTATGCCAAAAAGGTGATTAAGACTGCAAGGGAGGAGCATCAGAAACTGTTGAGTACAGATAAACGAGCCAAAGAAATATCACTAAGTATGGAGGAATATGATCAAACGAACAATGAATAAACTAGTCCATAGGTATTTTAATGTAGTTTGTATGTGAATGTGAATGTTGTAGAACACATAAAAGACAAAGAAGTAAACATCAAGTAGCATATAAATACATAAAGTATGTAATAACATTTTTATTAATCTTGTATTTTACTGCCAGAATGAGAACTGAGAGCTATTTTGTTTAACTCTTCTTTCTAGTCAATTTTTTTTATAAAGCGTTTCACTATCATATCACTAATTCGTGTTGATCTTTTGTCAAGAATAAATACCATTGCTTTGATTATATCTTTCTTGTTTATCTTCAAGTCTTTTATCTCAATTCTGTTGTTAAACCTACTGCATTTTCTCTTGTTCACAAACACATTAATTGTAACATCCTGAATAATTGTCTTATTGTGCCCGCTTCCAAACAGAGTGTCCAGAAGGCGTTTCAAGTGGTTCATCTCCAAGACATACGATCCAGAAGGAATAGTAGCCACTACAAATATCGAGTTCCTCTCATGCATCGACTTCCTCAATACAACCGACAGCAAAACCTTATCATTGCACTTTGATACCATGTTAACTTCAAAAAGAGCCTTACTGGCCATGCAAATCTCAAAAGGAAGGCGAAACCTCACATACATTCCTGCATATTTTACCTCCGGCTTGTATCTACTATTTCCCTTGGGCATAAGCCTTGATATATACGACATAAATGGCGTCTCGCACCAAATATCATGGTTGCACAACATTCCTTCATTCCATGCCTTGAAAGCTCCAGCAACCATAATAGAGGCGTTCCAGTTATTGTATTCATTGCTTCCAACGAACGGATTGCAATAATCCTCACACTTCAGCATCTTCCGTCCGTCAGGATGCAATACACCCAATGACGAAAAGTCATACTTGATTGCTTCCTCACATTCAATATCTGAAAACCAAAGCCCAAATATCTTGTAGCCATCCCTCACAGCATGATCTACTCCTGCCTCCACACCACTCTCAGTTTCTTTCCAAGGATTCTTCTTTTTAGATTTCACACATGCAGAGAAAACATCCTTGTCCACTCTAAAGGCCATCCTAACTCCCGAAGGTACCATCGAAAACACAGACGAATTCAAAAAAATGTTCGGTAATCTGCAAAATACAAACTCTTTGATACGCTCATCGTTTATCCTTACAAACCATGTGTTTCTATCTATGAAAAAGCCATCCTTTACTCTCTCAACACCAAAATCATTGATGCTGTCAATATTCACAACTGTTTTCTTTGTACTTCTATTTATATTTCTAACTCTGTTTTTTGAAAAAAACACTGCCACTTCTTCAATCATCTTTTTGCACTCCTCAGGCATAAAAGTTGCTTCCTCGCACTCATTTCCATCAACCATCAAAATCATTCTAACCGGATCATGGTACTCCGCAACCACAGAGGCACACAGCCTGACCCCATACAGCATGCACTTCCCATGATTCTCTCGAGTCGCCGGGCTGCTGTACACTTTCATCGATAGAATATGCCCGTCAGTCCCATCGTGCTCAGCCACACTCTTGACCACTTTAACCTCAATACTAGGCACATCAACCAGCCCTATAAGCCCAAGAATCTCCTTTGGAACATACATCCTGCAATCAGCCTCATAAGTATCAACAGAACCTTTCTCATTCCTCTTTTTAATGCTCATGCTAGCATCAATGCCTTCTTTAGATGCCATTTTGAGTCTTTCTTTATCCATACTCAAATATGCATCCACCAACGTTTTTATGTTGCGTGATATAATATCATTCTCATGGATTGCAAGCCCTACATCGCCATTCATCAGCTGCATCACATCGTTGAGATTGGAAATCGTCACTCCAATCCCGATAGGTTTATCTTGCTCTAGCCACACACCAACACAGCCCCTCCACACACAGCATATCCGGATTGCATCAATATTCAACTTCAGAGGCGCCCTGCTCATCAAGTCTTCTCGATTTCCTCCATCTATTTCCGTCAAGCCACTCTTTGAATATACGCCAATGCTTGTCTTTTCTATATGTATCATATTTCTCAAGCACAGCCCTTTATCAACATCTCTCCGGCCATCGCTCATAACAACATCAAAAAAGTACTTTCTAGGCACCTTCGGCTTCTTGCCACTGTACCTTATACACACATTTCCAATAAATCCCCCTTCTTTGCCGTCCACAGAAGCACGTCCATATTGGCCATCGCAATCTGTAGATTCACCTCCATGCCCTTCCATCCCGGCCTCAACTCTATTTTCAGCTACGTCTTCGTCATATTCCTCAACAACACTACTTTCATCAGCATCTGTTGCTGCCTTTTTGCACTTAGAATACAGTGGCATAACACCCTTTGCAGCGGCCCCTCTGCTCTCAAAGCATTCCATAATACTCCTCATTTGCTGATTCCTTCCTTCATTGGATCGCATCGAGTGCTTCTCAAAATGCTCCAATATCCTTTCAAACGAATCACCTATCTGTGTACTAACCAGCACGCATCCATACAGACATTTAGATAGTGGCCCACAAGACACATACCGTACTTCACACGCCTTAATCTTGATTTTAATTCCAATCCCAAGGTCTTCCAGGCAAAACACAGTTCCTGTATGAACCAAGCGCACATATCTGTTTGCATAGCATTTCTCAAAAGGATTCAGCCTTACAGCCGTGTCCACTTCCATCCCTTCCTTTAAGCTACGCACATAATGCTCCACAGAAAACACATTGTTTTCTCCGCTTGGCTTCTTATCAATAAGTTTGTATCTTCCTATCCTCAGGCACATTCTTCCGTCAAATCTGAATGATCCCGTTATACTGTTCAGGACAAGCCCCAGTACACTCAAAGAATCCACAACAATATCAATTCCAGGCGTCTTTACGCTTGATACCAGCCCACAAACAAAATTCAACATGTACATATTCTCTGCAGTCAGCTTCAAAACAGTATGTCTTTCTTCATCAGTTATGGATGCCTTCAACGACACGAGGTGCCTTTGATTCAGAAACAGCATGACCGTTGTTCCTGTGTCGCTCATGCTTATAGAGGTGTCATCGCTGATGAACGGAAACATCTTCTTGGCAAACTTCACGTTTATGCATCGATTCCCATCAAATAAGATATCTATGCTGCTTCCAAGCGGTGGCTTCCATGGCTTATGTGACTTGGATTTCCTTCTAAACACAACATCATAATCAGAGTCATTTTTCGCATTAATGCCAAGCGTCAGCCCAACCTCAACAGCGCCATCAGGCACCATCCCAATCGGACTCAGAAACTCTATGCTGTCTATTCTAACCCCCACCTCCCTGCCTTTCAACGCCCTGACCATGCTCTTCTTTATCCATCTGTGTGCCGTTTCAATCACATTGAAATCAATCTTCAACGGGTTTTGAAAAAACGAATCGTGTAAGTCAATGTGTCCAATTGCAATCTTTATCATGCTCGACTTCTTGCCTAGAAAAATATTGATTCCTCGGCACCTTAGCGTAATAAACTTTGGAATCACAAGCTTTGAGTTGTTGACATACAGAGACATACCCAGGTGCTTCTTGCCTGCTTCAAAATGAATCCTCTTCAGCTCAATCTGCCTGCTGGACTTCGATGCAGGGCTGTCGAGCGAAAAGCTCATCGACCGTTTAAATGGAAACCTGATAAAGCATATCCGTGGATACAGCCTTGAGTCAACCTTCAATGCAAACCTAGTGGACAGCATCGACATCGCCAGATTCTTCTTGTGTATCTTACTGACATATATACTTCCATTAAACACAACGTTCTTTCCCTTCTTCAAGCTCAGCGCCGGGACAGTCAGTGTCAGCAATGATCGCTCAGTGTTGTGGCCTATGCTCGCCAGGCTCATCTGAATGTCTGTAAAATTCACATCAATCGGCGACCTGCTGTTTGCAAGTAAGACATCCACATCAATCTTCCTCCACATTCCAGTGTCGTATACAATCTTGTTCAGCGAAAGGCTGTCTATGTCAAGCGAATACAGCCAATACGATGTCATTAGCAACCTGTATATTACCAGCACAGAAAACACATACAGCGAGTACAGTATCAGCCGGCGCTTCTTCCTACGAAACCTGTTGTTGTTTATATACGGCGCCTTTAGTGACGGAAACTCCTCCAGCTTGCACACCAGCATTACTATTACTGGGGTTTATGCTTTGCACCTTGCTACTGCGAATGCGGTACCAAGTCTGCAGCAATGGCAAGCCCTCCAATCACAGGGAATGATCGAGTTGTCAAGGAACGAGATAAACCAGCTGATAGTGAAGTATCTTGAAGACGAAGGATACATCTACACGCTGTTTACATTCAGGAACGAAGCTGATCCCGGTGTGGGCGCATTTGAGCACACGCTTCCTTCAGTTATCAGCAAAGGAATACAGTATATGTACGGTGTGAAGCATCTGCATGGAGGCGAGGTTGTTCCGTGCAGTGCAAGGTTTTGTTTGTCTGAAGCGCATGTGTGTAAGTTTGGAAGCCCAAATAAATCTGAAGCAAAAGAGGAAGGCAAATTGAACGACGAAAACGCAAGCATATCAATCGACAAGGAGGTGTCCATGAGCACGGACATGCTGAATAGCGAGGACATGCCAGATGGGTATGCTGACAAGGTGAGCATTGATGTTGTGGATATGGACATGCATTTAAATGAGCATGTGACTCTTTCGTGCTGGAACAGAGACTTTCTATGCGTGTATACAAAGGCGCATGAGCTTGTTGGTGTTGGGCCAAGCGGTATCATGTGGAGGAGAGAAATCAAAGGAGTATCGGCACTCTCATGGAGTGGAGACGATGTTGTTGTAGGGAATGCAAATGGAGAAGTGATAACAATCAATCTACTAAGTGGCCGAGCAAGAAGCTATGCATGCCACGAGAAGAAGGTTACTGGAGTAAGGCAGCGTGGAAAGGGCGTTCTTTCGTCCGGAGAAGACGGAAGAGTGGTAATGATGAACAACGGAGTAACAGAGATTTGTGTTTCGAAGTCCAAGGTGACTGAGGTTATCTGGATGAGTGAACACGGCGTTGGATGTGCATTAGAAGATTTCTCGTTAGTGTATGTGGATATGAGTAGTCAGAATGCATCCACGATTGGCTCGCACAGCAGCAGGATTAGTCGCATAGGGCACAAGGAAGGCGTACTGTCTAGCTCATCACATGATGGATCGATTGGCATTTGGAGCAGCTCGTTGATGAATGGCCATAGAATTCAGGCACATGAAGGCGCAGTGAATAGCCATGCATGGATCAATGGAGCAGTTGCCAGCTGTGGAGCAGACGGATTTCTCAAGACATGGAATGTTCACAAAGGTGTACTCGTGCATGCATCAGATTACTCCAATAGCATCATGTGTGTTGATTGCACATCTCAGTTAATTGCATGTGGAACATCAACAGGTGTTGTCGCTATCACTGACTGTAGATGTGGAGAGATTTACAGATGCAGTATGGATGGAGAGGCCTCAAAGGTTTTATTTTCTGCAGATGGATCATATCTATACACCTGTGTGCTTGACGGGTATCCGAAGCTATTAAATCTCAGGTATATTTGACACAGTTGTGTGAGTCTCTGTGCAAGAATCACTTATGCTGCTTGATTGAAGAACCACACTGATTATGTGCCAACAGGCTTTGTAGTTACAGGAGCAATGGTATCTTTTGCTTCCCTTGATCACACTCTCACCACCAACTAAGAAATAGTCTATTGAATGCATTTGCATTCTGGCTATCTTTTCGTTGTATGCTTTGAAAGAGTCATTGCCCACCATCAGATACACAATCTCCTTAGATAACTCTTTGATTTCCTTCCAATCCATCGGGAAAATCAGGATATGCTGCATGTGAGTATTTAGCAGCGATTGTTGGCTGTTTGCAATATAGGTGAATGAATATGGGGCTGCACGCAATGAATACAGCATGGATTTTGTAAATACGCGGCATGCGAATAAAGATACACGGTTGATGCAGAATTATTACGGCAAACAAGCACAACAAACGATTTAATCAAATCTTGATTCTCCAAAAGATGTAGGATCAACGTATCTGTGGATGATATCAATGCCATCAATTATATGCATGTCTTCTTGGTTGAGAGCCCTTAGATCCATGTTTTCTTCTAGATGCTTTCTAGAAGTGCTTTTAGGAATCACACAAATGCCCTGCATTGCAAGATAGCTCAATATTATTTGCGATGGCGAGCACCCGTACTTCTCAGCAATCATTCCGATTGTCTTGTCGTCCCGTATTTTCAGGCTGCAATCGGCAGTAGAGCCAAGAGATGAGTAGCTGACTATCTGAATGCCGTGCTCGTGTAGAAATTCAACAAGACCTGTTTGCTTCAGGTACGGGTGCAGCTCAAACTGTGAAACTGCAGGTTTTATCCTGCATACTTCAAGAACCTTCTTGGTGTTTTCAATACCAAAGTTTGAGATTCCTATTGACCTTGTACAGCCTGCATCAACAAGATCTTCCATCTTCCTCCACAGCAGCACAGGATCAAATACACCCAGCCGAAACCTATCCTGGCCAAGTATTACCTCTCCATCTGCAACAGGCTCGAATCTGACTGGCCAGTGAATCAGGTAGAGATCAACATATTCGAGCTGTAGGTCTTCCAGGGTTTGCTTGATAGCAGCCATTGGATCATCATGCGAATCATTCCAAAGTTTGGATGTTATAAACAGGTCTTTCCTTTCAACCACGCCTTCTGAGAACAGATTGTTCAAGATCTGCCCTATTTTCTTCTGGTTTCCATATATATGTGCAGTGTCGATGTGCCTGTATCCCAGCTCAATTGCATTTCGTATTGAACACTCAAGGACGCATGGATCTACAAGCCCCCATGTTCCAAGGCCGATTGTTGGAATATGCAATCCATTGCTAAGCTTCTGTGTTGGGAGAATCATTGTGGGATATGCATGTGTATATTTCTGGATGCGATGTTTCCAAATATAGAATCGTGCGCCATCATGCTAGACGATGCGGTATACGAGGTGCATACTGCATGCTACCCCAACGACATGAATGACGATGATAAGGAAAGTGTATTCCAGATGATGTACAAATGCAACCGGCCGACGGTGAAGGCCGAGGTTGTGGCGTACTTCAAGGGAGAGATTGGGGCGACTGCAGTGCAGGATATACTTGACATTCTTGAGAGTGAAGGATGCTTGATAACGAAGATCTATGGAAAGTCCAAGGTGTATCTGGTTAATCAAGACTTATTTAGCAAAGATGAGGATGTAGAGCTTGATAGGGAGGTGAGCGAGTATGAAAGCAAGCTTGCGATGCTGAAGAGCGATGCGGAGGCTGTTGGAAAGGAGATTGAGTTGTTTGGCAAGATGCTGCCGATTGAGCAGATAGTTGAGCAGATTGACGCGACTAGCGCAAGGATTGAAGAGAACAAGAGAAGACTGAATAAGCTGCAGAATGACGAGATTGAGGTTGATAGCAAAGACATGGCAGCAGCGAAGAAAGGATATGAAAAGGCGGTGTGCACTCTGAAGAGGATGAAGAAGATATTTAATGAGGTGATAGAGAAGCTGTCTGAGGGGCTTGACATGAAGAAATCGCTGCTGTATGAGGAGATTGGAATTGAAATGTGAGGATTTATTTTTGAGTCGTGTGATCCCTTGATGCGAGAGAACAAGCCAATAATCATAACAAAGGCAAAACAAGATGGGCAAGGAAAGCCAAAAGCAGCGAATGTGCAGGATGTTGAGCTGAAGATGGTTGATAGGAGGATGGGAGAGGCGATTATGAATGCTAGAACGAAGAAGGGGCTTTCGAGAAAAGACCTGGCACAGAGCATGAACAAAAACCAGTCTATAATTGACAGTTGGGAACGAAGCGAAGCAGTGTATGAAGAGAAGATGGCAAAGGAGTTTGAGAAGGCCCTTGGGATTAAACTGGAAAGAAGGGAATAATAAATGATGTCGTATGAATTTTACTTGTTTGCCGCCTGGGCTTTAGATATAGAATACCGGAATTGCTTATGATTTATTATTAGAGTGCTACCCTGCTAGTATACGGCATGAGCATGCATTTGCTTTGAAATAGATCATATGCCTGTTGGTTCGACGGAGTCGTCGGGTACAGGAGGCACGGTAATGCTTTGGATCAATGAACAATTTCTGTCACGCTGCTCATCGTAGTAGTTTTCAATGAAGTATTGCCTGTTGTTATTATTTTCTATACACAATGAATAGACCAATGACACGGTTGCTTTGTAGTGAGCTTCACTGAAGTCCAGATAGTTGAATATTCCAAGGGTTTTGAATGCATTCTGCACGTCTTCTATGTGTCTGCATGCATCGGAAAGCATGACTGCGCTTGAGTTGTATATCTGCTTGTCACTCAGCAGGCCAATCAACCGGGGAAACATTCCTTGGATTTTTGGATTCAGCACTGCAGCACCATTCGAAAGAACAACCGATAGCTCGCATACAAGCAAATTCCTTTCATCAGGGCACACAGAAGCATCAATGTCATTCAATGTATCTTCAGTTACAAATGGATACGGATTCACAATCATATCGATGCATTCCTCGTCCTCTTTTGTCAGTTTATCTCGTACCATTGGGGTACCAAATTGCAGCGATTATGGAAGGCTACTTAAATCCACAGTGTGTGCTCCCTGCATGTCAACCCTAGAAAGACTGCTGGCAGAGCACGACAATTTAATGAAAAGCAGGAAGTACAAGTTCTATGCAATTCCGCTTGATAAGAAGCCGAGGGGATATGCTGCAAGGTGGGAATGCGGAATACCCGGGCCCAGTGATCCGTTGTATAGCGGCTCATACTATACCCTGCATATAGACTTTCCGAATGATTATCCATTCAGTCCACCCCAAGCAGCATTCAAGCACGAGGTGTATCATCCAAACGTATACTCTACAAACCAAGTTTGCTTAGACATCATTGGAGACAGATGGAAGCCCAGTATGAATGTGATGAATGTCCTCTGTGGGATACAGCAGCTGCTCGAGATGCCCAACACTCGGAGCCCTGCAAATATCGATGCAAGTAAATGTTTCAGAACAGATCCTGAGAAGTATGCAGGCAATGTAAGAGAAAACATCATGAAGTATCACAAAAGACCCGAATGGAAAGGACTGTAATTGTTTTATTTCAAGCTGTGGCCTTGAACATCTCGCTGTTGCTGCTGATGAGCTCCTTCAATTTTTCTATCTTGCTGCCGATTATCCTTCCTGTGTCATTACCAATCGGCTTCATGTTCTGGTCGACCATCACGATTGTAGGGAATGCAGATATTTGGAAGTCTGCACACATGCTGTTGAAAAACGGGCATGTGGAGGAGAATGTGCCGTTGATCTCGAAAATGTCGACATTCAAGTCTTTCCTAGACTGGTTGAAATCTGTTTTGTATCTGTTGATGTCATCCTTAAGGTATTTGCACGGGGCACATCCTTCGACTGAGAACTTTATGAACACGGCTCTTTTTGTGTCCTTTATCTTGCTTTTTAGCTGAGCAACATCGAAGCCACTGCAGTCGTGGATACTGATTGGCATTTGTAGGGGCAAGAATGTTTTGAAATCAAATAGATTGCTTTGTGACAGATGATGTGAGATGAATGTGCAAATGAAATCGATGATGTGTTGTTTGGCTGGTTTGTAAAAGAGCAGCAGGGATGTGCTTGAAGTGGGGACGCATCTGTATGGATGTTAACGAATGAAAAATTTTACCCCTGATGAGTGACGTTTTGGAGCCAATGGTAGAGCCGGAGATAACAATTAAGATTGAGGATGCGCTTAAGAAGGTGTGCATGGTGTCGAGGACGTACTGCAAGCTTAGCAAAGGTACTAAGGAGACGCTCAAGAAGGTTCTTTCTGGGCAGATGAGGTTTGTGATGCTTGCAAAGGATGCAGACCAGAAGATAAAGACGGTTGTGATGGATCTTGCAAATAAGGGCAATGTACCTGTGGTTTTGATTGAGAACAGGATGGATCTTGGACGAATAGTTGGTGTTGTTGAGACCAACGAGGAGGGAAGAAGCATCGGCGGAAAGGGATGCTCTGTTGCAGGAGTCCAGGACTACTGCGAGCAGACGATGGAGGCAGGGCTTGTGCAAGCTGCGCTACTGACAGGGATTTTATCGAAATAAATCCTGATTTACTTATTTGTGTGATTGTAATGAAGCAGCAGCAGGGCGTGATTGATGGATGTGTAAAGGGATTAGGGGCATGAATGTATATACGAAAAAGCGCAGGGTTGTAAACATGAGCCAGGCTAGCACGTCAGGAAAGAAGATGATAATATACACAGCTTTATTCTTTGGGATGACGCTTATTATTATTATTTTAGGAAACAAAGTTCTGGAAAACTCATCTGGCGATGAATCTTCGCATGAATCGCTCAAGGCTGCGAAAAGGACCAATAAAAATAGCACCTCTAGAGTGTCGATACCGCAAATAAATGTCAATGAGAATGGAGAAGAGATGCGCTCAAGCATTTTGTCGATGGATGTTGAGCACATCAAAGCCATCTATGGTGCATTGAGGCATGTATACCAGGACGGAAGGGTTGCAATGGATGGAATCAAAGGGTTTCTGATAAAAAGTAAGAAAAACCGGAAATTGAGCGCTAATATGATAAAATTAGTAGATGGGCTGATCAAATACATTGAGTCGTCATCTGCGGACGGAAAGAAGGGAATTTTAGCTCATAGCATCATGATGCTCAACAACAGTAAGATGAATGCAGTCATAAGTCTAGCAGAGTCACTTCAGACGAAGTATCAGAAGAAGATGATGCAGAGACAGGGCAGAAGGCAGAATAAATGAAATAAACGTGGTTTATATTTGATTTTTAACTATTGTTATTTGTGTAGTATATTCTGCCGTGTCATTTCATTAGGTATATATGTGGGCATTAGCTATTGGCTATGCCTAGGAGCCATGCTGCTAGTGAATACGATTCAGTTGCATCCCATACCTTATGTGCGCAACAGTTAAGGAGATAAGACGTATTTAGTAAATACTTTGGGCAAAAGCGGTGGCTTGATAGAGGAAATCTCCTTTTGCGATTAAAGTAAATTGAATGCAAAGTACTTAAGCTGTTTTTATCTGAGATGTAGATGAGTCGTTCGAATAGTTGCATGCAGCTAACGATGAATGTGTCTAAACTGTTTTATGTGATGGCATTATTTTTGTCTGTAATGTGCGGGAATGCAAGATATTCTGCGAAGACAATACTGAGTGAAAAAGAGCAGGAACTGAAGTGCCATTATGCTGTTGAAAATGAAATATTAGATAGCGAAATAAAATTAGAAATACTATGCATGCCTGAAAAGTGGTGGGAATTCACTGTAGAAAATAATGAAAGCATAATCCTGGATGAAATACTGGATAGAGATACTATAATCGCATACTATGACAGCTATGTAGAAATGTCATACATTCTCAAGGATCTTTCCAGCGATTTTATTATGCTTGTGAATGCAGTTGTTATTGCAGAGAGCCAGATTCCAAAAGATTTTAAGGACATAGTAATGCCTATTGTGGGGTATTTTGCTAAGTTTGATCAGGAAGACTACTACTGCTTTATTGATCTAATTAACTGTTTGGTGTTCACGGCTTTCCACGCGCCTGATATAGCTGATGAGGTGCAAAAGGAGTTGATAGCGCAAAGAAATGGAGCATAAGCTATAGCAATGGATTAAATAAATAGATAGGTTCTGGTTGTTGTTTTAGGCCTATTTGTACGAAGTAATGCAGCAATCAAATATTTGAGAATGCCTGGGGTTTGAGAAGTAGAATGAGAAGTGCTGAAGACAGTGAGGAGTCGAATGAAAAGCTAGGTGGAAAGCGTGTAGAAAATATGAGTGGCTGTAGGGACGATGGTGGAAGGCGTGAAGCAAGTGGAGAAGAATATACATGCAATGGAGGCGAAAATAGAGGATGCACGGTGTCTGCTGGTGAAGATAAAGCGGCGGATGAGTTTGGCAACATTTTCAAGACGAATATGGATATGCAGTGCCTGAAGAGCAAGAAAAGCATTTTTGAAAAGATGCAGAAAGAAGATGAGCAGCCTAAGCAATCCAGGGAGTCTGGGTTTCTGAGGATGCATGTACAAAAGACTGAGGAGCCTGTTGCCGAGACGATTCCGGGCGTTGTTTTCCAAGCAAATGTGAATCTGCATAGGTTCCGTGAGGAATGGGAAGGGATTGGGCCAGGAATTGTGTATGTGACCGATGTGAATGGAAAGCGGTGTTTTTTTATCAGAGATGAGGTGATGCAGACTTCATTTGACTTTCTAGTGAAGTACAATCTCCGTCCAGAGAAGAAGAAGTGCAAGGTATTTGTTGTTATCCGAGAGATGGATGGCGCAAAAGCAATTGAAAGGCTTTACTGCATTATTTTCAAGGATGAGAAGGAGGCTAGCTTATTTTGTGAAATGGTTAGAGTCTGAGACGTTTGCCAAGGAATGGCGAGCAGCTTAACAATCTGGAGTTGGAACGAGAAAAGAAATCGGAGCTGCGGAATGCCCTGTGGATGAATAAGATAGTTGAGATAGGAGAGTACCATAAGAACGTATGTCTTGAGTTTATCCTAATAAAGTGCCTAGAAATAAACAAAACAAAAGACAACGATGTTGTATCAACATGGCTAGTTGGAGATGAAAGCGGAACGATTGAGCTTGGGCTGTGGAACACGGTTTTAAATGCTGGAGATGTGATATGCTTGAATGGTGGATACACATCGCTATTTCAGGGGCGAAAAAGGCTGTTTGTATCCAAGAGCGGAACAATCAGCAGAACCAGGACGTTTAGGAAGATATTCAAGATGAGCGAGGCACACATCGAACTCTGAATTCTGACCGGATGAACTTTCTGTGCAAATCTGAAGTGGGAAGCTCAAAATAAGCAATATCTGCTGCACAAGTATAAATAAACTGAATGGAAGAATTTACTCAAGAATAAGATTTGAGTGCAGCATCACTCAAGAAATCGTTGAAGAAGTTTTCTAAAGCTCTTTGGATTTGTAATCTCATATGCAGCAGATAATGTCTGTAAGTCGTCTTTGTCTTTCCCGACTTTTACTGTGTATCCTTTACACACTTCAAACATTTCTTCATCTGCAACATCGTCTCCGACACATAGAATAAATCCGTCCTCAACAGTCTCCATTGCAAATGACTTTTTTCCGTTTCTAATCTCAACTATGTGGTTTCCTTCCTTGACGCAGTCTCCAAATGCCTGCTTAAGCAACGAGAAGAGTGCCTTGGCTTGCTTTACACCAATTAGGGGAGAGACATTTCGGTAATGGAATGCATATCCTGTCTTCTTGCTTTCAAGCTCAGACCCAGGCGTTCGCTGCAAGAAAAATTGTGCTATTTTGAATGCAAGCTCCTTCTGTGGAAACGACACTCGCTGCCTCCACTGTCCGTCTACTCTGTGGCATGCTCCATGCTCTGCAAACACCTCGAGTTCCTTCGGGAAAAAAAGATCAGAATCTTCAGTACTTCTTCCAGTGGATATCACCACTCTGCACACCTTGCTAAGGTTTACCAACAGTTCTTTTATTTCCTGTGTGGGTGCGGCCATCGGAGGATACGCAACAATGTCAGTAATAGTTCCATCGTAATCCAGCACCAATGTCTTTGTCCTACTGCTCTTGAAATCGTTTATCATTTTTATAATGACGGAATCATCATCATCGTCAGGATTTATGCTTGTTGCATGCTGCATTTCTCCTCTGTTTCTGGAGCAGCTCTTGCCCACAGGAATATCTGCTTGTTGTACCATCTCCAACGACCGCCGTACTTTCAGATCCTTCGGATTCAAATCAATCACATAGTTAATGCCTGATGCATACAACAGATTCCTTATGAAGTGCTCTTTCCACTCCATCTTCGAGGGAATGTCATTGCACATGTGCAGATCTCTCCGCTCTTCATCTGTTTCGCCATTGATCTTCTCTCTGATTTCTCTGGCAACCTGCATGAAATCATACACATTACTCTGAATAACAGGAACACCCAGGAACAAGCACAAATCAGCAACTTCTGGGCAATAGCACACATCACAGGCCTTCAGCAGCGACAAAAGCTCAAGATCGCTTGTTGGCACAAAAACTCTTCTAGTCACATTGTAGTTCACCTCAAGATACTGCCCAAGTCTCATGACCTCGGTCAATCCATCGAGCTTAACAGGCCGTATGCTCAGAAAAACAACAGTGACTTCTTCTTTATGGCATGAAAGGTACGATTCAATCCCAAGAAGATGTGCTTGAGAATCAGACGGAACAACAATCATCTTTTCTCGCTTATTAGATTGGCACTCTCCATCAGATACCGTTGGCAGGCACTCAAGAACCGCATCCTTGTCGAGCCCACGCCTTCCAACTCTAACCAACGGCAGACTCAGATCCTTGTATTCGGGGTTTCCTGCAACAAATCCAGCCTTCTGTGAGACTAGAAGATCAAAGCATGCCTTCGACTCCTTATTATTGAACTCAATGTATTTGCTGCACAGCATAGACAACAAGAGCCGCTCCCAAAACGGGATACACCTGAAAAGCGATGAAAAGGGATTTGCAAAAGATATTCCTACAGGCACATCCTTCATCATCTCAGGAAGAAGAAGCAAGCCAATGTCCTGTATCCACACTACATCGCCTTCTTCATAGATCTCCATCACTTTTTCGCAGCACTTCGAATTGTAATCCACATACTGATCAAACAGCAATGCATGGTCAAGGCTCTTCTGCACAAGATCATATGTATGCCCTTCAAGAGTCCTTCGTATCAGATCTGAATAATACGCTTGATCTTCAAACACAGGGTAGCATTTGTACCTTTTCATCGCATTTCCGATCACTGAGAGCTCATCCTCTGTAAAGCATCGGTGGTTCGAAAGCCCAAGGCGGCCCACAAACCACAAGTCATGATCATCTAGCATATCGACCGACATAAAGTGCGGCTTTGCAAACATACGGATTGAGTCGGCGCTTACCTCGGAAAACTCAATCTGTATTTTGCTGGACTTGTCCCTATGCGGAATGTTCTTCAGTATTTCAGACATAGACTGCTTGATTGCTATGTCTGCATCTGTGTGAGACGCAAATATCGGCAGCTCATCACTAACTATGATGACCTTCATTCATTTGCATCTTAAGATGCTCTAAATACCTAGCAGCCAGAATTCTAACAAATCGGATCTGCACATGTCAAATCAGTAGCTAATCATTTCTTTGATGACCTTAGCAGCGAGGAATAGTTCATCTGCTTCAGAAACACAATCACTTAACCAATCGCTTATTCTTCACATCAATCACAATACACTCTTCTTGCTCCGCTACCCGATTGACTGTCCTTTCGCTCTGGAAATACTCTGTTTGCAGTCCGTATATTTGCAAGAACTCATTTGCCGATCTCCTTGCATTGTCAAGAGTCGAGAAGTCCATCGATCTTAATGATGCAATCATGGATTCAATATCTGCAGTGCATGACCGTTTTATCCTGCTTTGCTTGTACGCTTTGGTCCTTCCATACACAAGAGATCCTTTGACAAAATCAGCCCTGCATAGCAATGCATCAAACATCTCCGCCATGCTTCCCTCGAAATGCCTCGACATCTTTTGCTTTGGATCGTCTTCAAAATACACCAATTCGTCTTCGTGCTCGAACGGATACGAAACGCCGTCATAGCCATTTGACCACACATGCACACTTCCATGGTACTCTTCAAAGATCGAAATCCAGTAATCCAACAGGTCTGCAGGCGTTCTGACTCGTTTAGCTTTGTTCAGCGAACTTCCACTAAACACATACTCATTCTTTGGATGGCTAAAGCATGATGTGATCCTGGGCCTCATGCACTTCAGAATCGAAAGCATGAATCTTCTGGCATGCCCATGCTCATATCCTGTGGAATCCACACATTCTATGTATACACGGTCCTTTATCCTTTGCAACACAACCACAACAAGAAATGTATCCTGGTTCATCAGCAGACACAGATACTTTTTGCCTGCATGGCGAATATGAACACCAAGCGTTGAACTGCCTTCTGCATCCTCCATATACCTTCTTATCTCTGAGTCCATCTGGGGCATATCGAGCCCATAATTGGCTCGGCTGGCTATACAATACAGGTAGTGCATCTATTCAGGTTGCTGCTGAGCAGGAATGGGCGCAAATCAACCAATCACATAAGCCCTTACATGGATTGGGTTGCTGAACTCAATTCCAGAATCGATATGCAAGATGCAAAGTACATCTCAATGCTGTTTGATGCATCCAAGCAATGGTCTAGAGAGACTGACTGCCATGCATTAAACGAAGTGAAGCAGCCATTCGGTGCTCTTCTCAAACTTCATCACGCTGTTCATGCTGAGAAAGCCTATGGACTAATTGAGCAGCTTGTAAACGGCACAGTAAAGCATCTTGGAAAAGAGCATTGGGCTACTTGCATATCAAAAGCAATATTCTACGGAGTATTCCAGCTGAGACAACTCGCAGGTACCAGAAGGATCAGTAGACTGTTATATATCTCACACAAGGCTCTGCTACACGATTCCAACAGCACCTTTTTTTACATTACAAACATGCTTCTTGAAACATACAGAGAGACCGGAGAGCTTGAACTTGCGGAAGATGTGTTCAGAAATACCAGCCCGCCAGTGAACAAAACCAGGGAGTACTTTACGTTTTATTTCTATAAAGGAGTGTTTGCACTGTATTCAGAGCTGTTTGAAGAAGCAAACATGCTATTCAAAACAGCATTTGCATATAGAAGAGGGCAGAAGGCAATTGCACCGTTTTATTTTGTTTCATCCTTGCTCACCAACAGATTCCCTAAACAAAAGTACCTGCAAGCGTTTGATTGCATGTATCTGCTCGAGCTGGCATGCACAATAAAAAAAGGCGAGTATTCCAGCATATGCAGTAATGTTGAAATGGTTTTTGCCAATATCAAGGACTACACTGTGTACAGAGTGCTTATGGTGCACGCCCCATTTGTGTGCCTTGCTAGCCTAATGCATCAAACATACTTGAATCATGGAAGCGATAATAAACTTAAAATACAGAGAATTGCAAATGCAATTGGTGACTCCGACCTCAAAGAAACAATCTGCTTGATAAGCAGTTTGATAAGTTTGGGACGAGTCAAAGGATACATATCGATTGCCAAGATGGTAGTGGTGTTCAGTAGAATAGATCCATTTCCCTGCTCGATCCACTGAAGAATGGCCGATTGTAAATGAATAAATGAGTTGCTAAAGCTGATACACCGCTCTTCTACTTTGCAAACTCCACTGATAGCCCCAGACTATCAATAGCAACACCCTTCAGGTTTCTAATGAGACTAATTGCATCATCCTTCGATGCAACTGTTACAAATGCAAATCCCCTGAATACACCTGTTTCCTTGTTCATAACAAGATTTGGACTCATGAACGAAACATTTGTATGAGCGCCAATCAGCTTGTACAAGCGATCTCTGGTCATGTCCAGCGGAAGGTTTGAGATTTTCACACTGCAGGGTTCCTGACGGGTGATTACTGGAGGTATGTATGCATTCGATACTACCGGTGCTTCAATGACAGGCCTGTATGGTACCGAGCCTGCATCGTTGTCCTTGGCACTTGAATCCACTTCTGTTGTGTAAAGTGTGAATGCAGGCGCTTTGGTATGCTTCATAACACGTATCTTGCTAGTATCTCCAAACGGCTGGAGTTTCTTCCTGGACTCGATTCCTTCCGTATCTGGCTCAAACTTTACTATTTCCATTGGGATTAAAAATCGCTTGCCTTTGTGCCTGCACCAGGAATGTATATAGCAATATGCTTAGAAGAATGGAATGCCGTCTGAATGCATGTATCAGAGTGCAGCTACTGTGTTTTATATTGTTCTTATTTCAATATGTTTATTTACATTCCCAGGTGCTCAAGCACAAACTGTGATACTTTCTTATTCAATGCTTTGCACACAATTCCCCCGGGTGCAAACATCCCTCCACTCCGCATTTTCCTAGCAACACGGTTTGGATAGAACATCTCAATGCCATCGTCCATCCATATTGACAGGCTCGTTTCTTCCCAAAAGGGTCTTTTCAACATCATGTCTCCGCTGCAATCCTCAACAATCGGATCGAATGAATAGCTAGCACAATCTGAAAATCGGCGTTCGTTGCATGGATCACGCTGTTGTAATGAAGCACGGATGCTCAGATCACCAGAAAACGCCTGAGATCCAGGAATATCATTCGGCATCCAGGAATCGTCACAGTGGTGCTTATCTGTGATCTCAGACACATTTATTTGTGTGCACACAACAGCACTTCCGGGATTGTCTGGTTTGGCTTCTGAAAAATCACGGCAAGAATCAGCAAGAGCCCTGCCTACCTTTCTATGCCCTTTGTGCACATCCTTTGGATTGTGGAGTGAAATGTTTGGAATGTGAATGAAGCAGCACCTTTTGCCATATGGACAGCTTCCCTCCTCCCAGAATGTCTTGCATGTTTCTGTCTTGTACTTTGGATGTCTTTGCACATATCTTAGCTCGGCTTCACTGTGTGCAAACTGGCACTTGTCCCCATATTTACAGTAGCCAACCTCTGAGTGGCTCCTACACATTTCTGTTTTATACAGTTGATATTTCTTGTTGTAATGTGGGCCTTTGGCAGAGTGGGTGTATGCGGCATGAGCATCAGTGCCTGTATCACGTGAATTTGTGTACACGTGTTTCTTACTGTGGCCATTCGCTTGCTGCTCTGTAGCCTTATTCGCCAAGAGTGTTGATGAATGAAGGCATGTGCTTCTACGCGGCTGCTTTGGCGTCTCATCGTATGCAGAGCACACACAAACATCGCCTAATTGCGCAAGGTCCGTTTGCCTGTACATGCACTTGCATTTATGCCGTGATTCTGTACCAGGATCGGATATCTGGATGCTGCTCGTTTCTATCTGCCACAGGTTCTCCCTGTGTTTCCCTCCAAATTCATCCATGCACCCTGCTATTGATGCTCTGCTTGATTTGTATCTGATAGCACATGATTAAGAGATAAATGCCTTGATCGATCAGTTAATTAAATCACAAGTACAGATCATGCATCAGTGGAGACAAGAATGCTACGCATTCCTCATGATGAGCTACCCAATATGAATTGCTACATGCTGGCCATTCTGACGCACACTGCATGGCAATTATGCCAGGTACTGCATTGCACTTCTCCCGTGCACATACTGTTGTTCAGATGCGCCAATGCATTCGCATTCATATCGCTTTGCAAACCGACCCAGCTATCAAACTGCATTTATCAATTCATAGGATATCAATCCGGCCTGATTAATTCATTAGTGCAATATATCTGCTCATCAACAGCGTGCTTGTATCTATCATGCAATATCAATTTCAGAAATACGAATGCAGCAAAAGACCATTCTTCGCTGCATAAACATATATATTCAGGAATCGAGGCGACTTCAATGAAGATCGTCGGACTACTTGCAGTTTGCATTGGCGCAATCAGTGCAATGACAATCTCACACGTGAAAGTCAGATGCGAATTGAGCAATAAGCCTTGGCTTGTGTTCAAGGAGGAGCGCAACATACTTCCATACATGCTTACCTCTGAAAATCTCCCAGCAACAAGAGAATACCTTAGGGTAACTGGAATCATGAGGGCATATGTCTTCTCGTGGAACGGAGAGGGAACGGTGTCCCCATTCGTTGTGGAGGCAGCAGCAGGCACAGTAACGCCATTCAATCCAGTCACCAACACTGCAGATTACATTCTGTGTGCTGGTGAATGCCCGTGCCCAATGCCAGGCACCCAGGGAAATGCAGGGCAGATCATCAATACCTCTCGGGAAAAGTACCTCGTCCGTGTTGAGTCTGCAAACAGAAGCAGTGTCAACCCATGCTTTGAAGACAAGCTCCGCAGGTGCGAGGAGGACTCTTCGTGCAGCGAGGCAGATGCCAAGTGCTATGAATTCGCGTCTGTAAAGAAGGAAAAGTGTGCGTTCTCCTCTGGGCACAGAAGGTTCCCGAATAAGAAGTTTGAGATCACTTCAAGCCTAAAGAAGTTTGTGTTCGACATCAAGACGTTCCACAGGAAGGGAGAGACCATCGTCAAGGTGACATCAAACAGCAACAAGGAAAAGGTCGAGAGATTTGTCATCTCGAAGAACGGAGAAATCAAGGGAACAGACAACAAGAAGTGCAAGATTGATCCTCTGCCAAGGTGCCTGAAGAACCCAAGGAAGCTGTACAGGCTCAAGAAGTGCATCGAGAGGATGCTTAACAATACGGAGGTGTGCATGTACATCAACGACAAGTGCGAGATATTCATAGTGGTTCCCAATGGCAGAGCATGTGTTGTTTACAAGGTCATAGTCAAGGGAGAGGGAGAAGGAAGGAAGGAGAAGATCCGCATCAGCAAGCAGATCAGGGGAGACAGGCTCCGTGAGCTGATTAAGTGTGGGCTCTTTGGTGTTGAATTTGGTTCAATCGATTGCAATTGATTGTAAATAAAAAGAGTCTGTAAAAGTTTGTGTTTATTTGTGAGCAAATGTATGTGCCCCGGATGCAGCTTGGACACTTGCTTGTTGGCCAGGTAATCATATGGGTTTCGCTTGGCGTGTTGGTGGGAGCGTCGGAGGGAAGAGCTATCCAAAGAATAATTGCTGTGATTGCAGATGCATCGTTTCTACGTGTGTCTGATCCGAAAGGAGTGTTTTGCTTCTTGTTTTCGTCTGCAATAATAGGATTTGGATTTGTACTGGAGGTCGGACGCTCAATAGCAAAAATAAACAAGAACGAAAGGATGAAGTACAGGATAATGAAAGCACAGAGGGGATTTGCATTCATGTCGCTGGTTCTGTTCATCAATTTCCTCAGTGCATATATATTCAAGGCATTGAATGTAAGAGCAACTAACCTGCTGGTGCTTGGACTGGTGAGCCATGTGATGTGCTCGTTGTCATCGTTTTTGGGGATGGAGGTATTGAACACGTTCTTCTACATGAACTTTGTGCTTTCGAATATTGCAGTGCTGTTGCTTACGTACATACTTGGTGCGGAAAGGATGCTTGCAGCATTGGGCAAGTGCTTTGCAAAGTTTAAGGCATTTAGTTGGTTCTAGTGAATTAAAATGTTTATTTGTAGGATGTTGATGTATTTGTGATGTGCAGACAATGGTGCATGATTGGTGTCTGCTTGTGCCGATTGGATACGGCATTTTGGCAAGAGGGATAAAACAGCGCATGCGGTGCAAGGCATGAAGCTTTTGGTTGTCAGCAATCGGTTGCCACTGACAGTGAAGCGAGGAGAGAATGGATTCGAGTACATGCAATCAAGTGGTGGATTAGTCACCGGACTCAAGAGTATCAATAACAAAATCAGGTTCAAATGGATTGGAAACATAAGCGGCGCAGATCTTTCTTCGGAAGAAAGAGAAATAATCAGAAAAGACTGCAGGGACAAATTCTACTCAATTCCAATCTTTATAGATCCTGTGCTGAATGATCAATCATACAACGGGTTCTGCAACGCCATTCTATGGCCGATGCTCCATTCGTTCAAAGACGACATAACATTCTCGATGGCAAACTACAATGCTTATGTCGAGTACAACAAGATCTTCTGCAATAAGATATGCGAGATAGTGGAAGATGGCGATGTTGTGTGGGTGCACGACTACCATCTGATGCTGCTCCCAGAAATGCTAAGAGCCATGTCTACAAAGACATTCAAGGTTATGTTTTTTCTGCATACTGTATTTCCAAAGGCTGATATAATGAGGGCGCTTGAGTACAGGAAGCAGCTAATAAGCGGAATAATGCACAGCGATCTCGTTGCATTCCACTCGTTTGAATATGCACTTAACTTCAGAGACGTGTGCATTGAGAATGGTGTTGAGTGCCTTGGAAAGATAGATGCTATTCCAATAGGCATTGATCCAGAGATGTTCAGAAGTGTCTTGCAGCAGCAAATCACGGCCCAGAGAATAAGAGAGCTTAAGCAAGAGTTCCAAGGCAAAAAAATCATCCTTGGCGTTGACAGAACAGACTACATAAAAGGCATGCCCCACAGAGTAAAAGGATTCCAGAGATTCCTTACAAAGCACCCGGAGTTTGTTGGTAATGTTGTTTTTCTACAGGTCGGCGTCCCGAGCAGAACCAATGTCAAGGAGTATTCTTCATACATCACAAAAATGAACGAGCTTGTTTCAGAAACAAACAGCATGTTTGGTTCTATTGAAACTGTACACATCTACTTCCTGAGCAACAGTGTGAACATAAACGAGCTGTGTGCTTTGTATGCGGTCAGCGATGTACTACTTGTGACATCGCTCAGGGATGGAATGAATCTCGTTGCTCTTGAATACGTTTCATGCCAGGACGGAAACAATGGTGTTCTTGTGTTAAGTGAGTATGCTGGGGCAACAACAACATTGCCGGCATCTCTTGAAACGAATCCGTGGAACACCGAGGAAATAGCAAACACAATCTACAATGCATTGACAATGCCTGAGGAAGAGCGTGCTGAAAGGCATAGGATTAATGCAAATGCAATAGACACGTTTACATCTGTGAAGTGGGCTGAAAGGAATCTTGATGGGCTTTGCGATGATTGGAGAGATTCTCTGATGCTGTAGTGCTCAAGGCTGTATTTTTATTACTTGAATAAATCGATTGATTGTTTCCATTTGTTTTTGATTTGTTATTGTGAGTCGCTGTGCCCTTCAGGAATGATTTTGCTGTTTTCACTTATAGCTACGATGCAGATGGTGTCTGCAACCTTGTTCCGCATGGATGCAGGGACAAACGTGGAGAGCTCGCAGAAGCTCAAAGGGCAAACCGTTGTGCTTATGCAAACACGGCTGCTCCACCGAGCATCTTCTAGGCATGAGTGGAAGGAGGTAGAAGACATGAATGCTGGCGTTGGCCTTACCATACACAAAAGCGACGGAGACTATGAACAGACAGATGCTGATCAGGGAAACATAGTGTTTAAGGACTCGAAGCACGGAGTGTCGAACACGTTCTTTTACACAACTCCCGAGACCGGATACTACACCATGGTGTTTTCTCTGGATCCAGGCATTAAGGGAGAATTTGCACTTGAGCTGTTTATTTTTGCAGGAAGGGCGTGGACACCGTCGATTGTGTCTGGAACAGACTACCAAATGGAATGGCTATCGAAAAAGATGGGTGACCTATTGTACTTTGCCAAGAACAACTTTGATCTACAGAGCCTGGATGATTATGACGAGATAGAGTATGTCGATCTGTACAATAACATATTCAGACTAGTTAATCGGGTAGTGTTACTGAAGATCTTTGCAATATCGATCACATTAGCATACATCGATAAGAAGTCAAGGGACTTTTATGTATCCAAGAGGATAGTGAAGAACTAAACATTGTTTTTCTTAAGATTTATACTTTGGAATCGCTGATCTATTGCTTTTTTCCTTTTGATATGTCTATGATAGAAAATCCCGGGGGTTGCTTTCTTTCTGGCTCTGCATATTCTTGAGAGCCAAAAGGCACAAATTTCGGAAACATTGCTTTCTTACGAATGTCCTTGATGCTTTCCGAAACATACTTCTGCCGATGATCGAAGCGGACAGCCTCGAATATCTTCAGTGCCAACGAATCACCAACACAGTGAGATACCTTGTTGAATGCATCCACCACGGTCATTGGCGTGGCCATAAATTCATCTATAATGCACTCAACATCGCCAGAGTCTTTAGCACAAAGATAGTCAATTACTGATTTACGTCTTGCACGGCTTCTTTTATGATCATCAAGAATGCTCCTATTCAAGTATGCAGGGACATTCAATGACGACGATTTCGGTATTGGCATTAGGTACTTGTTGTCATTTTGGCTTGTGACGACAGCCATTCCGTTTGGAGCAAGCACATCCACCTTGAACTTCGCATTCCTTTTCTTGAACGGATCCATCACTGGTATATCACAACAGACTTTCTTTTGAATACTGCTCAATGCTACATTCAGCTTGTGAATCTTTGCTAGATGTGCCAAAAGCTCCGTTTGGTACGTAAATGCATAACACTTGCTTGTAAGGCACTGATCAAACATGCAGCAATGGTGTGCATTTTTGTAGTGTTTTTCAAGATCCTCGAAATTTCTATAGTACTTATATTTAGATCCAATAGCATCACATATCTGACACATCTCATGCTCGATATTGCAGTGATGCCTTGCATCGTCTGCATCATAGAGATAAATCTTACAGTGAACACAAAACACATGCCCGATAAATCCATCTTCTCCGAGCATTCCATTTTTATGATCCTTGATTGTGGAGCTTTTGTATAGCTTGAACTCGTCCCAGAAATCCTTCCTACCACCGATACATTCAGAACATAGAACAAGCCCATGTTCAGAGTAGTGCTTTCTCAGTTGTGCTGGTGTTGAATATGTCTTCAGACATTGTTGGCACTTGCTCGATAAAAGATCGTCTGCGTACTTCTTAACAGCACTGCTTTCATAGGCAATGGTGATGGATGTTTTTATATCCCTCAGTGGCTTTTGAGCGGATGCAGCACCTGCCTCTGATGTATGGAGTCGAAGTGTCTTTGTGGCAGTTTTACACAATGGACAGTTGTGCTGCTTGTACAACGCCACAAGCCTCAAAGAGCATCTGATGCATATGTTGTGGCTGCAATCGTAAGATGCATATATACTAGAGTAGCAGCCGCATATCTGGCAATCCATGGGTGTCTGGAAGTGCGATGAAATGAATAGTACATGGCATGCGATTATACAATGAAGAGGGAGATGTGCTGTGGAATTACGCATGCACTGTAAATGTGCAAAACGAAGATGACAGGATTCGAACCTGTGAAGACAGAGTCTACTGGTTTTCTAGACCAGCGCCATAACCACTCGGCCACATCTTCTAAGTTATCAGAAACTCGCAAAATAGAATCATGCACATATACTATGCATCTCATGCCATGTATTTTGCAATCCACTGTTTCCTGCCCTAGCATGGATGTGAATTCAGTCCAAAGACCATCATCAAGAATAATACTGCATACACAGGAAGATTATAAGCCTAGTATGCATTGCAAACACAATCGGGACGAATTGCACTCGGAGTACACCATCAAAAAACGATACAAAACAGACTCCCGCAAGGAAAAGGTGTATTGGTCACCAGAAGAAACAATTGCACTTCTCAAAGGCGTAGAGGAGTTTGGAACAAGCAACTGGAAGGCCATCCTAGACAAGTACAAAAATGTTTTCCACAGCGACAGAAAACACTCCAACTTGTTTGATAAATACAGAACAATGAATAACAAGACGTCATACTACCGAGTAAAGAACAAACCATTTGTTTATGCAAACGAGAATGGAGAAGATATACACAATGCTTCCGGAGAAAGAGTTGTGTACTCGTCAAAGTTTCCATCCGACGTTGCAAAAACAATCGCACGTAAAGTTCTATCGAAAGAGTCCGACAGCTGCTCAATACACCTCAAGCAAGAAGAAAACAGCGAGGTAGTGATTCACACATACCATGCATCCCTCAACAACGGTAGAGTATGCATCAGGAAAACATCGAGCGCAATCCTTCAAACACCGCAGAACATTGTGAATGAAAGCAGGTAAACACAATCCAGCATCATTAACTACTATAAATTCATTTATTCATCACTCATCAATCGTAACAGGAATCCCAGATATAAGCTCGTTTCCAACAATAAATGATTCTTTCTTTAGCTCAAGCAGGATCGGAGACTTGCATACCGGGCATGTTTGCTGCCTTTCACACCACATCTTCAAACACCCAATGTGGAAACAGTGGCCACATCCAAGACTCTTTCCAGATTTCAGGTCATCCCTGCAAATTGCACAGAACCCATCACCCATTCCATCGACGCATTTCTCAAGATCTTTGCACAGCTTGATGTATCTGATAAATGTCTTTATCTTCGAAATAAGCGCATCAAGTATTCCAAGTGCAGATCGAAATAGATTCAGAGGCAGCCTGTAGCTGAGCGACGTAATCCCAATAAACACAACGTATGTCACAAAAGTAATGCCCATGTATACAATATCAATATAGAAGTTGATCTGTGACCGCCTTTCCTCATCTTCGTAAAACAGCATGTTCATCACAAATATGTTCTTGATCGAAGCCACGGCAAGAAGCATGTACTCAAACACAAACAATACGTGTCCACTCATGCGCGACATGCACGACACCACAAGCATGCATCCAATAATACATGAAAAAACACATATTCCATATGCAAGATAGTATTGCTCATGCCTTGCCTCCCTCCTGATCCGTATACCTAGCAGCCAGCTCAATGACTTGATGCACAGAAGCATCACAAACAGCATTCCGTTCTTGAAATTGATGTCGCTGTCAAACGTAGGCACTACAAGCAAAAAATCCGTCAGAAAGTACAGTAGAGACTCATGGAAGCTGGAAACCTCCTCAAGCCGAAGGCTCTTGAACACTAACTCAATAATCATGTTCGTCAAGAAACACATGACGAATGTCAAAAAAAGTACATGGAGAATATGAACAACACTGCTGTTCGTCGTGGCTGTAAGCACACTGTACATCGTCGGGTTTCTGTGGCCGGCCTTCATTGTACATACTGCCAGTAATGCAAGATGGGCTACTCCATACGACATGGAATGCTTCATATCTCAGGGTAAACACACTTGTTGCCGATCAAATACAAATACACAAACTCATTTGAAACTCAAAACACAAATATCAATTTATTTCTGCTGAATGTCTATTGCAACCACTTCAAAATTGGGTGTTTCGTAACCGCCATTCATCACCGGCTCCATTCTTCTTTTCCAGCATGCATGGCATACAGATGCATACTTCTCACACCCAGGCATCTCAATATCAATCGTCGGCCCGCTTGTGCTAGGCTTGCCGTCTACATATCTCAGGTGGAACCTGGCATTTTCCTTGCACATTCCACATAGCACCTGTATCTCGCTCAGCTCGTCGCTTAGCTCAACAAGGCGCTTCGATCCATCAAACAAACATTTCTTAAAGTCCGTTAGAAGCCCATAGCACCAAACAGATATCCCATGCACATCAACAGCCTCTCGTAGACTCTCGATCTGCCAAGAGCTCAAAAACTGTGCTTCGTCAACAAACACAATATCAACTCCCTCGTAGCAAACATCCTTTACAAAATCAAACTCGCTTCCAACACTAAGGTCACAACACATCTCCATTCCACACCTTGACTTTATTACGTCTACCTTGCATCTGGTATCTGCTTGCGGCTTCATCAATAAAACCACCTTTCCACAGGTCTTGGCATGCTTGGCTGCCAGAAGCATGTTGGCTGTCTTTCCTGCAAACATCGGCGAATGAATAAACCTCAGCCTTCCCCTGCTCATTGAATACTCAAGGGATTGCATGCACCGTGTTACTTAAACACCAATATTCATTTTATTCAAGCCTCTATACACACCAAATAGGCTTCCTAGATCGTTCACTTCATACACACTCTCAGCAAACACATTGTTTCATAATACTACAAATAAAATACAAGCAGAATGCATCGATAGATGCCTGCTTATCAAGACAGCCACTCAAAGAAAATACACTGGAGATTCTCACAGATACTGCTCATCGCCGTCCTCTATGCAACAGGAATAGCATGCGTCTTCATAAGCATTCAGCCACTATTGGAAATGGACTTCGAACCTAAAAACTTCATAGGCATTTTCATTGCCTTCCTCCATGGCTCATACATGCTTGGATTTATGTCAATACACAAGAAAAGCCAATTCGTATTCTGGGCCGCCAGTTACTCCCTCCTGTGCATAACAACAATCCTTCTGTACTACTACAACAGCCTATTCCTACAGTCCCCGACAGCATGAGTAAAACAAACACCAATAAACTTAGACAATATTCAATCACGATTCATTCAAGCTTCGCTGTCATAAAGACATATCTCTGGTGCTCCTCCGCAAGTAATGCACTCCCCCGTGCATTCAACCTCTCCTTCTCCAACAAAATTCACTTCCTTCGCATCAGGAATCGCAACCTTCTTGTTCAGAAAGTATTGCCCCAGCTCATCAAGCACCATGTTGGCTTTCTTTGCATTAAAGTTGCCATGCACTATCTTGATAAACCCGCTGTATATTGGCGAGTAAATCCACCTCAAAGTGCTCGGAAGAGTCATTGCAAAAAATTTGTTTAAAACTTTGTCCTTGTTCCTTCCTATTGCCAAATCCCTCTTCAGCCTCACCGACAGAATCTTGGATGCACAATGCCCCATAAACACCTTCAGAACCCTAAAATCGCCCATGCCCATCTTCCTATCAATAAACTCCTCTTCAATATCCTTGTTGCTGTTGCATGGATCAAACTCAGCAATATTGAATATCTTTTCGTTGATCGTGTTGAATGCAAAAATGCCCTCAATAATCAGCACTCTTGGCTTTGGGTTTTTATCATATCTCACTTCAGCAATGCCATTTTCCTTGCAATACAAGCTGTATCCAATATATGGCTCCTCATCGCGGATCGCTTTCAGCACATCAAATACGTTTTTCCAATTGAGCGACGCAGGATTGTCAAAGTCATATTCCTCATTAAAGCTCACACTGGCAGCTGGATCAGAATTAAATGAGTCAAAATAGAATGCATCAAGTGGGAGTATATACGAGCTTATTCCATTGTCGCTCAGCATCCGGTGTATACTCTTTGCAAACGTACTTTTTCCAGAAGATGTTGCTCCTTGGATGCATATAATATATCTTCTACCCGGATCATAGCATCCGTCAAAATATTTATATATTACCTGCCTCACATCCTTCACCCCTTCTCGGCACTCAATCACATCATTCAATTCTTCTTCAACCATATCAATTCCTGCGTCTTTGGGCCATGCTCCAATACACATTTTTAAATATCTTGAAAACGGATAATTTTTACTGTAAACTCGAAACCGGCCTGAAAATGTTACTCCCAGCAATCCGCTTCTTAAAGCACTCAATATCAATTGCATCTCCTCCAAGCTTTTCAAATCCAATCACCTGGTCAACAAAATATCCTTCCTTGAAAAATCCGAGAAACGGAAGAACACGGATCTCAAGCCTCTTGGCAACAACAGGACACATGTCCGCATCTACCCTGTAAAACGCTATCTCAGGAAAACTCCCTTGCACCTCATCAAGCATCTTGTCCATGATTGCACAGCGCTTGAACTCTGCTTTGTGAAAATGCACTATCATTGTCATTGTCTTTGTTTTCTCTATCAGCTCCTTTTCGGAGGAAATTGTGATCACTTTTGCAGAAAGCTCCTGCATTCTTCGTTCCCGATATCTTCTGAATACTTCGTTATCCAACATCCGGTCGGCCTCGTCCGTTTCGAATGGCATAGGATGATCTGATTTTTTGCTTAAGCCTTGGCTGCCAGAACACAGCCGTAGTACATCAGAACAAACTCGATTTGCACAGAACATAAAGCCCTGCAATGGAAAGGTTGAAAAACATACTTAAAGAAGCAAAGGTACAGCACGCAGAGCAGCGTGTGTTTCCTTGTCTTGAAGTGTGCAGAGTGTCAGAAATACCCAAGGCATCATCAATCGACACATTGGACGACTTGAACGAGGTTCTCAGAGAGTTCGAATTCCCAATCATTGAGCAAAGAATGCTTGATGACCATCTGGCATTGATAGACGTCCTCAATAACCTCAACATCGAGTACGGAAGGTATGGACTGCAGTTTTCGGCAGAAATAGATAGTCTGCACTGCAGGCAGGAAGAGTTGGCTTTGGTTGCAGAATGCGAGAGGGAATGCGATGTGCTGGAAGTCGAGCTTGCAAACACAAAGCAGAAATACGATGAGGTTGAGGAGCTGAGCCGCTACAGCATTGATGATCTTAAGCATAGACTTTGTGAGCTTCGAAAGCTGTTCAACGATTCTGAGTATGAAAAGCAGCATAAGGAGCTAATTGAAAAGGTGCTTGGATTCGTGAGACTGGAAAACAATTGCGATGAAAGCATTGCTGGTGCGCTTAGATACATAAAAGAATCAAAAGCATACATATCATGTATTGAAAAGATGGCTGCGGAGAATGCAATCAAATCTGCAAAGGACTCAGTGAATAAACACATCTTTACAAAGCTTATTTCACAGGAATACGTTCAGCTATGCGATCTTGAGCATGCCATTCATATCGACAGGCAGGGACTTCTAAGGATAGTTTATGGTTTGCTTAGTAAAGGTATTATCGTTTTTGATCGGACAAGAGACAGAATATCAATCCAAAGATAGCATGGCATTTGGGTTCCTTACAGAGCTACACAATGCAAATATCTTATCTTCAAGTAATACAATACAATAAAATACCATTAAATATCATTTAATTTTATCCAGAAATACTCATTCAGGCACATGCACAAAATTTCTGATTAATTGTCATACACGGGCTCTACTGTCTTTCCATTCTTTACTTCTCCATGCCCCATCAGTCGCCAATGCCCTTGGACTTTCCTGGAAATCGCTATTCTTTCTCCAATCTCACAGCATGCAGGCTTCACAAGATCAAGCGAAAGCATCTCTTCGCCAATCGCTCGGATCACTCCTCCCGTAGTCGTACTTCCTATGTTCACTAGAACCTGCTCGCCATTTTTTAGCTTTGTGCTGCCTTGAACACTTGTCTTCTGGAACAGCTTGTAGTCAACATCTATCTCGCACAATATCGACGGCAGGTGCCCTAGATGCCCCATTACCTGCCCAACTAGCTTATCAGCCTTGCAGAAAAACGGATCCATCGTGGTCCCGACTCCTATAAGTCCTCCAGGGCATGCTTCCTCAAGAGAAGTGCTCTCAGCCTTCAATGAAACCACCTTCGAGACAAACGGCTTGCACACAAACTTACTCCCATTCTTCGTCACCAGCCCAGGCCTTATCTCAATCTCATCCCCAGTCTTCAGCAAGCCAGTAACCAGACTGCCTCCAATAACCCCTCCACACAAATCCCTCACATACGTTCCTGGCCTGTTCACATCAAAGCTCCTGATCACCACCATTTTGGGATGCGCCTTGTCGTTCCTGACTGGCTCGGGGATATAGTTCACAATAAAGTCAAGAATCGCAGGAATATTCACTCCAACCTGTGCTGCCGTCGGAACCACAGGCCCAGATACATTCGATGTCTTCAGAAACTTCTGGATCTGCTCATGCTGCTCAAGCGCCTGCTCTCGAGAAACAAGATCTATCTTGTTCTGCACAACAAGCATCTTCTTCAAGTTCATTATCTCCACCGCAAACAAATGCTCAATCGTCTGTGGCTGAGGGCATGGCTCATTCGCCGCAATCACAAGCAGCACTGCATCCATTATTGCAGTCCCATTAAGCATAGTCGCCATCAACACATCATGCCCTGGGCAATCCACAAAAGACACATGCCGTACAAGCCTAAGAACTCCCCCACAGTTCTTGCACGGCAGCTCGTCAGGCGTAGAGCTGCTAAACGACTGGTAGCAGTTCGGCCTTGCACACTTATAATCACACTTGTATATCTTTGCATTCGCATACCCTAGCTTGATCGTGATGTTCCTCTCAAGCTCAGCCTTGAATTTGATTGTGCTCACACCACTTATCGCTTTCACAATCGTTGACTTTCCATGTGCAACATGTCCAATCGTTCCTATGTTAAGAGTGGCCTGCTTCTTCATTACCTCAGAAACATCTCTCATTGTTCCAGGGACAAAAATGCCGCAATAATTGGCTGATAAAAAATTGTCTCAGGCAATACAATACCACCACCAACTCCAAGTACATCTACTCGGCCAAGCCATACAAGCACAATCATTTGCCAAAGTTCACAAAAATACACCAAACACATTTACACATTTAATTGCATCCATTTCTAGAAAACCCATCATACGCCTTGCATCCTTCAAGATATAGATCCCAGCATCTCTCAATACTTCGAGATATTCCATCAAACTCGCTAATGCACTGCTGGTAGAAGTCATTGGCATTCTCTTGTGCTTTCGAATACTTCCTATACATATAATCCACAGATCTTTGATACGGAATCTTCAATGCCTTCGATGCATGCTTGATGTTTGTCTTTGTAACAGGCAATTGCCTGGCTATGAAGAACTCCTCAAGTGCAACTATCTGGTCGATCGAAAGAATCTTGTACTGCCTGACATTCCTTTTCCACACGCCGCTCTTTTCATAATCACACTGGAAGCTCTTTTCTATATGTTCATCATCATTCTCGCTCGCAAAAAGTATGTTGGACAGCCTCAGACCATCTTCGGCGCTAAACATTTAGGGCAATACACTCATATCACGAGTCTATGATATCTCAAATTTCCTTATTTGGTTTGCAATATATCTAGGTACTATATCATGCTCTAAATTCAATCATCGCAAAATATCCAATCGTAGGCCTAGCCTTTATTCATCAGTGTGTCAAATCGTAATTGGCATTTGCCCTCAAATGAAAAACGTGGTTATTATAGGCCAGGGCCCGGCTGCATACATGTGTGGAATATACATACACACTGCGAATCTGTCTCCCATGATAATCAAAGACAGTATGCAGCAAGCACCGTCCTTCCTTGGGTTTGATAAAGTTGCTGGTGTTGACGGTGTCTCTACCTCAGACGAGTTTACCAACCTGCTTGAAAAACAGGCAAGAAACATGAGCATAGATATTGTGGAAGACTCAGTAATCTGCATATCAAGAACAAACAATGCATTCACTGTAGCTACAAGCAATGCTTTATACGAGTCAAAAGCTTTGGTAATCGACAGCATCTGCTTGGAAAAAAAATACAGAGTCTCCCTGGGTGATACAGGTGTGTTTTATACCAGTGACAAAGCTACCCATAACGAAGCAATCATCATAGCCGGCGCTGGATGTAAGGTCTCATTCGATCTAAAAGAGTTCATTGAGGCAGATGCAATCAAGCAGTAATAAACCATCTATTTTAATAGTAACACATGCTTTGCAATTCCAGCATCGTTTATATACATATCACGCCCATGCTGCATGTGCTCAAAGAATCGTCTTCATGAACTCTTTTACAAGGCTATGCCCATCAAGCTTTACAACAATAATCCTCTTATCTGCATCAGATTCAACGAGATGGCTTCCATCCACACAGAATTTTAGCACTTTTTGATAATCAGAAAAATTCAGGAAGTTCGAATACAGATACCCAGGAACCATAAATATCTTATTTCTCTTCGATTCCCAAATTTCTATCTGGCTGCAAACAGTCTCTGGCAACTCTCCAATCTTGATACTAGACTCTAAAAAGTGTATTATTTGCCTTGCTGTAATTCCCTTGTCAAATGCTGCATTCGTGCTTTCTTCAGTTATCATTCCCTTGATCAGGTTCGGAAGCCTCGCTATAACATCGCAAAACAAATGGATCACAGACTTTTCATACTCAGAGCTTGTATATGCATATACTCTGTTGTTTGTTTCAACTATCACAAACTCCCTCTTGCTACGCTCTGAAGCTTCAAACATCCGTAAAAGATTCTTTCCAACGGCCAGCTTTTCTCCATGCATCTTCAGTATTCCAAGTGCCTCAAAATACTTCAGTAATCTGCCATTCACCACACATACTTGATCATACAGCACTCCAACTGTCTTTGCGCTTAACTCAAAGAATGCCTCAACAGCAGCAACCTCTTCCTCAACAGAGCTGGCAAAATACTTCAGCGAAAGCAACACAAGGCACCACAGCTGCTCCTTCTTTGTCTTCAGCAGAAATTCAAATCCTCTGTTCGTAATGTTCTTTTGCTTATCAAGTAGCCCTCCAAACACAACAATCTCGTTGATTCCAAATGCATGGCTCTTAAACTCCTTATTCACAATAAACCTTAGAATCGACTCAAACATCTGGCTGCTTCTTTCTTCGTCCATAGCAATGGTTTCATGTGTCTTCCGATAGTACTTCTCCATCACAAGCATGCAGAATCCATCCATCAGCGACTTTCTGAAGTCTTCATCCAGGTATATATTGTTTCTCTTCTTTTCAATCACTTGCACCTTCAACAGTGTTTTCAGCATATTCTTCACTCCATCAACTTCCCTCAGCATTCCAATCGAAGGCGACCTCAGAACAAGATCCATTACAAATCTTCTGGTGTCCTCGTCAAAAATTTTGAGAAAAGAAACTGCAAATATAGGTGCTTTATACAGATGTATCTTCAAATCCTTTGGAAGCAATCTGAAGTACTCCACAACATCAATCGGATAAGGCCATGCCTGTGGACTCTTGTGCATCATTGAAGCTTACAAGGGCTTTGCACAACTAATTGTAAACACCGTTGTAATATCGATCAGCGTACCACCAACTAACCACTTCATTGGGTAATACAGCAATCATAAATTATCAATCATCTAAACAAACACTTCGCTTTATTCACTATGGATCAGTTCCTATAATGCAGTGCTGTGTCTCAAGCAGTCACTTCGTGTAGTCAATTTCAGGAAGATTCCCCACTCCTTCGCACATCGTGTAGACATGCGTTGCTACATTCAAGCACAGGAGATCCGTGCTATCGCTGTCAGAACACTCTGCATATATCCTCACCACATTCTCAGTGCCAGAGGGCCTTACAAAAGACCTGCCTTTGAAATTCGCCATCTCAGCATCAATCATTTCCTGTAATCCCTTAGGCTCAAGAACACGATTGTTCAAATCAACCTTAATACTGTTCTTGTCCTTGATGACTACAGTATGCAGCCTGCTGGGATTCTCCTTGAACCTACTCAGGTCATTTGCTGATGCCATTATTCCTTTGAAGACCAAGAAATTCGCAACTGCATCTCCAACACACGGATCAAACAAGCCAGACAATGCTCTTAGAATCTCATGATACTTGCTGGACCCTTCTGCAACCTCATCAAAAAACGCCTGCGAAAAGTACACGCTTCCATGCCCATTCGGCTCAAAGTACACTCCCACGTCAAACGCTCTTGCTGCATTCACAAAATTCTTCACTCCCGTCTGCGCCAGCACCACATTGAACGAATTCGAACGTAACAGGCCAATCGCCGCATCGTTTGAGTAGTGAGACAGCACCACTCCCATGCTCATCTTCGAGTCAATCTCATCAAGATGTTGCTTGATAAAAAACGCCAAAAAAACCGCTTGAAAGTCGCCATCAAATATCCTTGTGCTCTTCGGCCCAGTAAAAAACATCAGCCTGTCTGCATCTCCATCAAATGACGCACAAATCTCATGTGTAGACACACTGAATTCTGCAGATTCTAGCGCTTCCAGCTTCGGCGCTCTATTATTTGTCTTGACAAAATCTGCTCCGCAATCAAGATTCAGTATTCCATTCGAATCATTAAGCACCCTGCATCTCAAATCTCCTCCAAGTCTCTTCTCCAGATCTTCAAGCTCTATTCCTGCAACTCCATTTGCAGTATCTACCGCCATCTTGAAGTTAAGCCCCGTATTCGATACAAGCTTCCTGAAGTTGCTCACCAGGCTCGCCGTGTATTCCTCTTTCTCAACAACCTTGTCCTCCAAATTACTTCTCCTTACTAAAAAGTGAAGTTCAGGAGTAGTAACAACACCATAATCATCAACCGTACAATTCAGCTTGCCCAAAACAGATGCAATGTTCCTGCAAATGCTTACTCCGCTTTCTCGAGTGTCTCTTCCAAGCACCACATGCCCTCTTACACCCTCCCCTAGCTCTGTTTGATTGCTGAAGCTCATCAAAATCTTCCTCATCACTCTTGGAAGATCCTTGTCTTCACAGTTCACCAGCACATCGCTATGCTGCTCCCACTTCTCATCAAGCATGCTTCCAGTGTGATCAATTATCTTAATTCCATTGTGCTCCACAGGATTGTGGCTTGCTGTTATCATCACCCCAATCACCTTTCCTGCAAGTGTGGTAGATCGCAGATATGCTATAAGCGACGCCCTGCACATTATGTTGTTCTGATCAGAATCTTTCGACCGGTACCCTGCTGTTCCATAGTATGCTGGCTTCAAAGGCTTTCTGAGATTTTCATCAGACAGCAGGATCTTGTCCATTGCACAGGGTCGCCTCAGGCTCTATTTATTTGTTCATGCACAAATCGATGCAAGAATCCAATCAGCCCGGATCGTTATGCTTCAACTGGATTAGTGTAAAATCGCACAAGTATCATTTGTCTGTAGGAATGATTGGTATACACTTCAGGCCATTCATCTTAGTTACAGGCTTCCACCATATCGTATGCATAGAGCCTGTGCACTAATCAATATCTCGAATCCAAGGATTCTCCTCTCTCAACAACACTCTGAATTCAACTTCTTTACTGGCATCCAAATTCAAATGCTCTCTGTGTACTTCTATATCACTAACAGTACATGCATTATCTTCCATCAGAATCTCAATACTCATATTCAATGCATGCTCCATCTCAAGTGCACTTGAAAGCGTAAAAAAACGAGCCTTAAGCTCGCAAATGCCAAAAAAGCTTGCAAATCCACTCTGCCGCTTCCTGTTGATCATAATTGTCTTCTTCTCTCTTGCAAGCTCACACACATTCTCGCATGTTCTGAGCGACATCACCGGATTCAGCCTGCACCGTATAAGCTCCTTGCTCATCACCTCATTAATCTCAAAAACAAGCCGCTCACACTCACTAATATTCGCATTATCAAGACCATTGATGCAGAATAACACCTTCTTTTTATCTTTCTCATGCATATGCTCGTCTACTAATGCACAAACATCCAAAAAATGCACATGCCTTGTAGAAGTAACAACCATGTATGCAGGCATCCAGTCTCCTGAGTATCCCCTTTTAACCTTGCAGAATGATGCATTTACAACAGCAATGCTTTTCCGGACAACAATGTTTCTTGTAGAAAGCTCCTTGCTTATCCCTTCTATAAGAGTCTCAAAGGAATTTTCTATTTTATCGTTTATCTTCAGACTCCTGCTGCTGTCTACTCTGGTATCTCGAATAAGATCTGACTCAGCATCAAAAAACTTCTCTGCATCTGCATGAATGCCTAAGTCTGTGTCTACCGTTCTTGCCAGATCCATGTACATTTGCTTTTGTTTTTGCACAAGCCTAGTCACCAGCAATCTGAGCCTATTCGACACATCTTGCACAAGTGCATTGAATCCTTCTATCTTCATGCGAATAGTACCACATGCTTCTTCATCGCTTATGAGCACTTTCTTGATAGCCGTTCTCAACTCGGACTCAGTTATCCAAGGATCATGCTTTCCAGATATCCATGCCTCTACATGCTTGTCCTTGGCCTCTCTGAGCCCCTTCAGACTTTCAACTGACTTTTCATAGGCCGTCTGCATCTCCTCGTCAATCGACCTCGTGCATGAATCAATTGTGAGCACAAGCTCGTCCAATTCTTTCATAACAGCATCGGCACATGAGGCATAAATCCCATCAAAAACAGCTCTTTGCTTCTCACACATCTCAACACACTGTACAAGCAATGCATCGTTCCATTCAATATCCCTGGGTATCTGAACCACTCGGAAAAGAATCTCAGACGACCTTTTAGACACCAGCATCACATGCTCAAGATACCCTTTAAAATACACACACTTAGATTTCTGCACCATGCATGCATCCTTGATGCTTTCTATCTCCTCCATCCAGTCCGTACCATCAACTCATTTTTATTCAGGATCTAACACTCATATGAAACGCAAGCACAGCATGCATTCGGCACACAACACTCCTGTAAACACACGAGCATCAACCATTTATATAAACCATCCAAGAGCTTATGCTTTCATACACAGAACTAACACTACACCGCATAAATTTATTCGTCAGCATATTCCTACACAAACTTACAGCATCTCTATCACTGTACTGCAGGCTCAGCATCATCAAGCATTTCCAAAACACCCCTTCAACACATCAATACACCTCATCCTTACCTCTTGACTAAACGGAACCGCCCCCATGCCATTATAGCACAGTGCCTTTTCTCCACACTTCGATATAACAACTTTCCATCCATTAATAAAATCAAACACAATCGTGCTGTCTGCCATTACAAACAGGAAGCCAGACTCAAACTTCTTTATCTTAACAATAAAGCATGGCTCAATGCTAATAAATACAAATCCACTATCAAACGTCCTGATAAAGTATTGCAGCGCCTTGTATGACTCAACAACCTCCTCGGGTATCTTCTCAATCAGATGCTCCTCCTTGTAGAACACCCTCCTTCCATTCTCAATTGTGGAATTCAGGTAGATAACACTTCTCTTATTCGGTCGCAGCATCAGGTTCCTATGGTCTCCAAAATATATTCCATACACCCCTGACCGCAGCACATAGCCAATTCCCCTCAGCTTGGTCACAGGAATGCTGAATATCACATAGTCTCCATCAACTCCCCCCTCTTGAGTTCTGTTAGACACCAGGCTCCTGTATATCCTCATCAGAAAATGCTCCTTTCGAGACAAAAAGCGGTGGCTGAGAATGTGCTCAAGCGCAGGCCGCTCAAGAGGATTTGTGTTGAGGATCTGCGTGATCAGGTCGATTGCTTCGCTTGAAAGATCGCACTCCTTCGGAAAGATATAGTTGTTCTGCTTGATCATCTTGTAGATATCCTCGACATTCTTCTTTTGGAACGGTGGCACACCCACAAGCAGAGTGTATATGATCACGCCCAAAGACCACACATCTGCCTCAAACGAGTGTCCGCTTGCCTTGCCAAATAGAATCTCCGGCGCTATGTAGTTTGGAGTGCCGCACATTGTAACCTTCTTCTCCCCGTCCTTTATTACTGCACTCAATCCAAAGTCTCCAATCTTCACATTCAGCTTTGCATCAAGAAACAGGTTCCCAAGCTTCAGGTCTCTGTGAACAATACTCATGGTGTTGTGCAAATACAGAAGGCCGTCGACTGTTTGCTTTATGAACTTTGCAACATATCTCTCCTTCAGTCTACCATTTCTCTTGAGCAGTGCATCCAGCGCGCCTCGTTCACATAGCTCAAGAACCATAAACACATACTCTTCACTTCTGAACGATCGATACATCTTGACGATGTTTGGATTGTCGAGTCTTGAATGTATTGCTATTTCGGAGTCAAGCTTTTCATGCACCTTCTTGCTTGTTATGTCTTTCAATCGCACAATCTTGATTGCATACTGCTCTCCGCTTTCTATAGAAACCAGATAGCACTGCGCATATGCCCCTCGGCCAAGTAGCTTCTTGAGAATGTATCTTGTGTGGTATTCCGGATCGACGATAACGCTTCCCAGTTCCATGTACGAATCGATCTTTGCCGGCATGCAGGGTGGAATTTTTGGTCGTTTTGGTTTTGTTTGCCATGCAAGTGCCATAAACGCATGGCACATACCCATCAGCTTGAATGACGTCGCTTTCGAAGGAGTATCTGCTGAAGGCACTGATAAACCTGCTACCGACCGAAGAGCAAATGAAAACAATCGGGCTGTTTATAAAGACATTTAAGAAGGATCACTCAACAATAGTGGATGCATGGATGTTTGTGTATGAGAGATCTAGTGCATACCATCGGCTGAATCTGCTCTACCTTGCAAATGAGATTGTGCAAACAACAAGGGATGCTGATGCATGCTCTATGGAGTTGAAGATGGCGTTCAAGACAGCGGTTTCTAAGGTATTCGGGCAAACAAAGCAGGCGGTTGTAGGGAATGTCCATCTGTACAAGAAGTACTGTGAGCTTGAAAATGTATGGATACAACGGAATGTGATGGCTGTGGAGAGCTATGGAGTGAATCTTGCGGATCTGATCCGAAGCATTGAAAAAGCATTTGGGGACAAAGCAAGGCTGTGCAGTGTTCTTGAGGATGCTCTTGCAAGAATACGAAGCGAGTGATAGGCCGTACGGACAGTCATGCATAGATGAGATGATGAAGGCTATGATGAGCATCTGCACTGCATCATCGGCAATGGTTAAGCCGAGTAATTTAAATGCATAGGCGTTGCTTTTGAGAGATGCGCTTGAATAAACGGAACCTGATAGGTGAAGCTTTTTGTGGCAATTTTTTATCCCTGAGCTCTTTATGCGCTGTGAGTTTATGTATGCAGGCTGTATACGCAAATCAAAGATATCGGCAAGGTATGGAAATGGAATGGTGTATGGGTCGATGTCGAATGTGATAGTGACTGACGAGAGAAGGGTGTTGGATGTGATTTATCTTGATGGAGAGGTGAATGCGTTGGAAAGCGAGCATGGGATGATAGTTGTTGGAGATTGCATAGGCAATGGATATGTGATAGGCAATACGAGAAGCATAACGAGCAGGTGTGAGTTTGGAGATTGTATAGTTGCGGTTGGGATAGTTGATGCAGTGCAGGTGATGTTTTGCACGATGTTTATGAGTTATGTTTATAATGTTGCTTCTGCAGAAGTAAAGCACAGCATTGTGAATCGATGGATTCCCACGTGCATAGCATCATTGAATGGGAATGCTTTTGTTGGATGCAGAGATGGCCGAGTGATTGTTCTTGACGGAGGCAATCAGTTTGATGTTGTAGGAGAGGTGAATGCGCATGAGGACAGTGTGCAGGACATAAAGTCGACGATGATTGATGGGAAGGGGCATGTGAGTACTGCATCGCAAGATGAGACAGTGAAGATCTGGAGGATTTGCGCAGGAGGGAAGAGTGTTGAGCATATTCAGACTCTGAATGGACACAGTGACTGGGTGTTTGGGCTTTTCTGGAAGGAGGATGGAGATTTGCTGAGTAGCTCTGGAGATTGCTCAATAGTTCATTGGAAGAGGCAGGGAGTGTGGATGAACGAGATGAGGTATGGCGGAGAGAAAATGTTCCTGAATGTTCTAATGATTGGGCAGTTTATAATTGGGCAGTCGTATACGGGTGGATTTTACAAGTTTGGAGATGAGCTTGAGGAGTTTGTTTCTGGGCATACGGATGAGGTGCGATCGATTGACTGGAAGGAGTCGTTTGTGCTCACGGGATCGTTTGATATGACGTCGAGGATATTCTACAGAGGAGTTGAGGTTGGAAGGCCGCAGACACATGGATATGCAGTGACGGCAGCAAGGTTTTTGAACAAGAATGACTTCAGCATTGTGAGTTCGGCGCAGGAGACGATACTTCGGGTGTATGAGCCGACGCAAGTGTTTTACATGTGCTGTGTGTATGCAGAAAGCCGAGACGAGGATATGTCTGATTTGGTTGCAGGGCTACGTGTTGGGAAGGGGCAAAAAGATATAAGGAGTGAATGCAGCGGAAGTGGAGAGGCAAGGCTGCATGAAAGGAAGTGCGTAGGCGATTTTTTTGAAAATGTTGATGAACTGAAGATGGCAGCGGTTCCTGCTGAGCTGTCGCTGACGAATGAGGTGGTGTCTGAGTTTGAGTTTGAGTGTTTGAATGAGCAGGTGTTGTCTGTGAGTGTGTTTAATGAGACCAAGAAGGTATATGGGCATTACTTTGATGTCAGTGATGTTGCGGTGAGTGAGAGTTTTGTTGTTTCATGCAACAGATCGCTTCTTAGGAAGTATTCGGGGATTTTTGTGTGGAACAGGCTGTTTGAGAAGATGAAGTATATTGAGGAGCATGATTATGGAATAGAGAGGTTGAGGTTTTCATGGGATGGAAGGTATCTTGCAGCAGCTTCTAAGGACAAGAGCGTATCTGTTTATGCGGTTGGAGATGAGATAAGGAGGATTGGAAGGCTGAAGGATCACAAAAGAGTGGTATGGGACTGTGCATTTAGCAGAGACTCGAGATACCTTGCAACATGTTCTCGGGACAAGTGCCTGATTGTTTATGGAATGCCTGGGATTGAGAAGCGATTGAGCATGAAATTTCATTGCGAAGTGACTTCGATATGCTTTTCACCGGTGATGGATGTGCTGGTTGCAGGCCTTGAGTCTGGAGAGGTGGTGGTGATTGATGTATCTGAAGGAGGGCTGAATGTGTTGAGCAGGAAAAGAGAGCACAGCAGGAAGGTGAATGTGGTGATGTTTAATCAGAATGGAGACAGGTGCGCGACGGGAGGGGCAGACGGGCTTGTGAAAGAGTTTGTGTTTGAGAGATAATAGACGAAGAAAATAGCCCTGTGCAGGAATGTCGAAGATATACAAACTTGAGAGTGAGATGCAAACGATGCTGTATGGAGAAGAATGCAAAAGCTTTGAGCAGATGCTAAGAGGCGTTTCGCTGAATGTAACGAAGTATTGCGAACGGAGCCTTGAGTTTGATCTGGTGAATGTTGACTGTTCGTTTGCGAATGCGTTGCGAAGGATACTTATAAACGATGTGCCTACGATGGCGGTGAAGGAGATTTTTCTGAAAGAGAACGAGAGTGTGTTTCCTGATGAGTTTCTGGCGCATCGACTTGGGCTTGTTCCGTTGGAGATTGATCCTGATAGGTTTGAGTTTGTGGAGGATGAGCTGAATGAGAGGAATTGTGTTAAGTTTGTGCTTGATGTGAAGAACGAAGGTAAAGACATTATGAATGTGTATTCTGACGACATTGTGTGGATGCCGATTGGAGAACAGAAGAATAGAATTGGAGAAGGAAGGTTTAGTAGCAGAGTGTTGCTATTTAAGCTTGCGCCAGGACAGAGAATTGAGGCCGAGCTAGTGTGCACGAAGGGAACGGGAAGGATGCATGCCAAGTGGAGCCCAGTGTGTCCGGCAACGTATAGGCTGATGCCGCTGATTGAGCTTGGGGATGTGTTTGATGAGAGCGCATACAAGCTACAGAAATGTTTTTCACCAGGAGTGATTGAAGTGAGGGAGTGTGATGGGCGGATGAAAGCGTATGTTGCGGATGCGAGAAGTGATACGATGAGCAGAGAGGCGCTTAGGCACGAGGAGTTCAAGGGGAAGGTGTTTATCGGAAGGAGGTCTGACCACTTTTTGTTTAGCATCTACACGACGTTTTTGGATCCATTATATTTGCTTAAGAAGGCTATACAGATATTTATTGAGAAGAGCAAGGCACTGAGGAAAGAAGTGGATATGAAAGAAAGATGATGGAATAAATGAAGTGCCGTGTGACGATGGAGTGTGAAGTTAGCGCATGCATTGTGAGTAATGCATGGCTTGTGAAGAAAGAATGAAAGAATGAAAGAATGATTGAGGAGAGGTGGAATGAATAAATGGATGAGGTATTTTATGGAGATTTTTTTGCCCATGGGTGATGGAGTGGATTTTGTCTCTGTGCTGTGGAAGTGTAAGGAAGAGGTATGCAGTGACACTGTTAGGTCTGCAGTGTGACCAAAGACGAGTGCTTCAGTGCTTGAATCTGAATGGGAAGGAGAGCAAGAATATAAGGCCTTTTTCTGAAGATGTATGTGTGATGCATGGGATGGAGCTGGTCTTGCAATCACTTGACGATGATGTGGACCTGTATGAGATAAGGGGGATCCATGTGAGCCATTGTGCAGCGGTGATGTTTTCGGTTGATGCAGACGACAGTGACTCGGTGGAAAAGTGTGTGTCGTTGCTGAATGAGGAAGTGATCAAGACGAAGGATGTTGTGGTTGTATTCTGCAAATCGAATGTATATGGAAGTGTGTCGGTTGATGCACTGAGACGAAGCTGTGAGGAGATTGGGCATGGGAAGATTGAGTTTGTTGTGTATGAGGATGCGAAGATGGCGGTGTCGGTGCAGAAGGGGGTTGACTGGATATGCAATCGGCTGGATGATTGAAGCATGCCTGATACTGCTCTGGATGGTGTAAATAAAGCCGGATGATATCTATGATTTTTGTTTGTGAACGATATGAGAATGAATGCAGGAGATGCATCGGGAGATGTATTTGGAAGCATGAAGATCCCTGATGATTGTGAAGATAGTCACGACAACAAGGATTCCTGGAGTGGAGATTATTTCGGACAACCGGGACGGATGCAATATTGAATGCGGCAAGGAGTATCTGCTGTGGTTTACGAATGGCGAGGTGACGATGTGTGCATTCAAGAAGCTGCTTGAGATGGGGAAGCAGATCATGTTCTATGTGGAGAATTTTGAGTTTTTTCTGTACAAAATGCGGTTGTTTAAGGACAGCACATTTGAGTTTGTGGAGTGCGAATCTGAGCATGGGGATGGAAGGATTCAAAGGTACATGGATATAGAAAATAAGTTGGGAGGATGTGATGTGGCACGAGGAGTTGAGGTTTCATTCAGGCCGGATGTATTTGGATCAATACGAACTTCGCTTACAAGGCCAGATGTGTATATGTGTGATGAGAGCATGAGCACGATAATATATGCAAAGCTGAGCAAACGATGCAAGTATGAGGATTTGAAGAGGATGGTGAAGAATGATCATGCAAATGCAAAGTATATGAATGAATTAGATTTTGATGATGACTTCGACAGGCATCTGAGGAGTCTTATGTTTGTAGGCATTGTCAAGATGCATAGAGATATGTTTAGTAGATGGAACCAATAGCTGAATAGAGTGGCTGTAAATATATTTATTATTTGTGCTATTTTTGACTTATGGATTACTTGAGCCGGTGCTTTGATGATTTGCTTTCATATGAAGGAGCAAGTCTTCTCTGCCATCCAATACGAGTTTGCATTTTGAGCATGTTCTAAATGCAACTGGCTCTTTTTTGTATGCTTTTTTAGGCTCCTGATGATTCTGCTGATTTGTTTCGCGAGGGGTGTTTAGTGCATCCACGTAGCTACGTGTTGTTGCTTGATTATTTGTACTGATAGGTGCTTGTGTATCTGGATGGATTGCAACTATTTTGGCTATCTGTTCTTGTATGTATTGCTGTGGTGTACTTGATACCGTGCTTATCTTCACCAAATGCTTTTTACTGTTGAAGTGGTTGAGCAATTGGTTTCTGCAATGAAATCCCTTGTTGCATTCGCAGCAGTTGAATGGATATGTCTTTGGAGTATTGCATTTTGGCTGTTTGTTCAATGACGAGTGTAAAGAAGTGGAAGAGCTTGAGAAAGATGATGCTGGTCTGTGGATGGCCATATCCATTCTTTTGTCAAGGCTTCGAACTACTCTTGCTATTCTACGAACACTTAAGCAGAAGGTGTTTTGCTCCTGTTCGGTCTCAAACTCTGCTTGTGTTCTGAAGTTGGTGAAGAAGTAATAGAATCGCTCAAAGTCTGGGTCGTCGAATCTCGGATAGTTTGCAATTTTGCAATAGTCAGCGACTCTCTCGAAGAAATCGCTCGCATACTTCCTGATGTCTTTTTTGAAAAGCTGTTGTGTGTATACCTCGAACACTGGTGGAGATTTCATCAATGTGTTGTATGCTTGGATTACTTCTACTGCATTTGTAGATGTGTCTGCAGTATGATTTTTGCAAGTGTCTGGATGAGTTCTGATTATGAGGTGCTTGTATCTTGCCTTGATTTCGTGTCTTGTAGATGTTGTGTCTAGGCCAAGTATATCGTAAGGTGTTTTTGCAACCTTTGAGTGTTTGTTTCCCATTAGAGCAGGGGATTTTGTGCATGAAAAATCGACTGTCTGTATCTGCGCATGAATGCAATAGAGAAACAATAAAGTGCAGCAAAATGCACTCGCCGAGGATTTTTTGGATTGAGGCACCCTTAGGGTGGCATGGAGGAGCGTTCGTTTTCACTTCAATTTAATCCTTTGCAGAGGATCAAGACAGTCAAGGAGTATGAGAACGAGATTGAGGAGCTCCGCAATGAGAATTTTGAACTGAAGCATCAATTGCTGCACTACAAGGGGCAGCAGGGACCAGCAATACAGGAGGATATTCAGAAGCTTCTTGTTGACAGCAAGCGATCGATAGACATTCTTGAGGAGGAGAATGAAGGGCTGAGCAAGCAGGTAGAGGAGATGTCTGAGAGGATAAGACGGATGATTTCTGAGAGGGAAGATGTGGAGAAGAGGCTTGGGATGAACGTGAATGAATTTTACAGCAAGATGAAGATGCTTGAGGAGGAGAATGGAAGGCTTTTGAAGCATTTAGAAGGCATGAATGGAATGAATGCAAAGATAAGGGTGGAGAATGAGAAGCTGATTGAAGAGAACACGAGGATAAGAGAGGAGAGTGCAATAGTGAATGAAAGGCTTAACCAGAGTAGAAGCGGGCTAGAGGAGCAGAAAGAATATGCAGAGAGGATTGCCGAGGTGGTTGAAGAGAGGATGATGATTGAGAAGGAGCTGCTGTCGTACAAGAATGCGGTCTTGAATTTGAACAAGGAGAGGGATCAGCTTGTTTATGAACGCGAAAGAGAAAGGGGAGAGTATTGCGGAAGGATCAGCCAGCTGCAGGCAGTGATTGGAGATTTTGAAAGCCGAGCCAATGCAAATGAATGCGAGATGATGAGGATGAGGGAGCACTATGGAAAGATGAAGAATGAGTATGAAGAGATGTATAGGCAAAGGCAAAGCGGAGAATTGTATGTGCAAGAGATGAAAGAAAACTACATGAGAGAGACTAAGGAGAAACAGGAGCTTGCGTTGAAGAATGAGGGGATAAAGAGGGAGATTGAACAATTAAAGGATGTGAGAGCGGAGCTGAAGAAGAAGATTGAAGTGTGTGAGAATGAGAAAAGAGCGCTGTGCTATAAGGTATCACAAGATAAGGCGTCTAAGGATGAGTTTGATAGATTAAGAGATGAGATGGATATGCTAAGGAAAGAGAAGGATGAGATGAGAGACAATGTGGATAAGCTTAAGAAGCGCTGTGAAGTGTATATTGAAGAACTGGAGAAGTCGAAGGATTTGCAAGGAGTTTTGAAAGGATTTGCACAGGAAAAAGGAAAGGAATGTGATAGGAGGATACAAGAGGTAGCGAAGATTGCGGAAGAGATGGATGAAAAAGTATGTTTGCTGTGGAGGATGACAGGAGAGATGAGGAAAAGCAAAGGAGATGGAGAATTAGGCAAGCAGGAGACTGAATTTTTGCACAAGCAGATAAGTGGATTGAAAGGAAAGATAGATGAGTACCAGAAGATGGCAAGGATTGATGATGAAGGAGCGAAGTTTTTGAGAGGGCTTGGCATCAATCCGGGAGGGCATCTGAATGAGATTGTTGTTAGGTTCCGATGTGTGTATAAGGATGTGATGAGGAAGATGAAGCTGATTGACAAGGAGGCCAATGAAGTGATGGGGTTTGCAGAGAACAACAAGGATGTGATGCACGAAAGAACAATGAAGTATCTTGAGGAATTTACAAACGAGTTTAATATTGCAAGGAAGGATCTTGAAGAGTGCAAGAAGTATCTAGAGAAGAAGGGCAAGGAGAATAAAGACCTGAAGGCAAATAACCAATATCTTGAGAAGAGATTTGATGAATGTAAGCGTAATGAGGAGAGAATAAAGAGTTTGTATGTGATTATGGCAGACAAGTTGAAGAAGAAGGATGAGGCTATATCTAGGCTTGAGATGAGGATAGGCGTGCTGTGATACAAATGTATGAATATCCTATGCTATGCTAATGATAATGACACATGAAGATGAACCATTTCTAATGAAAATGGCATGCGATTAAATGTGTATTTTATGAATGATTTTGTTGATCTATCAATGTATTTTTGATATTATGAAACTGCAGATTAGCATTAGGTGCTTATAGCCACGGATTTCTCCTGATTGACAGCACTTTTTGTTACTCAAGTCATGCTTTGATAATCAGAAGATAAATAAATAGATATACAGGTGCAAATTTGATTTATTACGCTGCAATGATGAACAACATTGCCACAATCCCTGCAACTGCAGTATGCAATGAGTTAACACCCTTCTTATTGGCGTTCTTTGTGGGATCAGTCTTGGAGTCGTTTTCAGTAGGTTTTTGGTCGCCATTAGCTTCCGCTGTCAACGAGGGGTTTGGTGACCCATTATTATCCTTTGTGTTATCATTCGCACACATAACTCCAAAGATCAATGCAGATGCAACTATCAGTCTCCTTATTCCGTTCATTGAGGGTGCATTCTGCGTCGAATTTAAGCTTTGCTTCACCTAAATGCAATTATAATTTAATATACCTGACACATTATTAGATACAAATTCTCATGTTTGGCTGCATGACATGTACTTCCTTGTACTCTTCAATCTATCTCAGTCCAATCATTCATTTCAATTCCAAACAACTCTCAAATTGATTCCATTGACGTTTATTCCTCATACATATTATCTACTCAACAAACAATCATATCTAAATCCCTGTTGTAAGCTAATTGCAATTGCCGCTTTGCCTTTGCATTGATTCGACAATACACTGCATTGCTTTTATCACTCATGTATTGATGCAAGTATTATCAAAACACTAGTTATGCTCAGCATATTTATTTCTCCACTTCGATCAGCTGCATATATTGCTCTCAGATCCCCATCCAATCTTTTCTCCTTTGTCCTTCGGATTGATAAATATGCTCCTTGTCTTGTTGAGTGCTGCTTTCATGTTCATGTACTCTTTTATTATGCTTTCTTTGTAGCTGTCTGCATCCTTGGGTATTCCTTCAATGCCCTTGAGTTCATTCTGATTCGTCTCCTTTTGCCTGATCACCTCGTTTGTTGCAAAAAATTGCAATAACGGAAACCCAAACGACATGTAAATCTTCTTCAGCTCATCCATTATCAACTGAAACGACTTATTCAGGCCCTCGCTCTCATTATTTATCACTATATCTGTAGTCTTGAAAGCTTTTGCTTTTTCCTCTTTGAACTCCTCGTTAGATATAATCCTGATTCCATGCTTTTCAAGGTATGATCCAATTGTATCTGCATTCTCCTCCGCTTCGTTAATCATAATAAACTGCTCATGTGTTGCTGAGTTCATCAAGGCAGCTATGGCAATCACATAAACAAGCTTATTAAATCCAGTGTGTTCGCTTAAGCATCTGTACTCAAACGAAATCTTCATTAGATAGTCGTATGCTGTTTTAAGAAACTTTAGATAGTGATTTGTGCAGCAGGACACATGTAACCTGCCTGCACACTTTGCAAATGAAAAATGCAGGTCATACATCTTTACATATACAAACTTCAGCCCTACCTCCGCATCAAACACTATCTTGTCTGCACGGAGTTTGATCAACAGCTTTTGTGCGATCTTCTGATACTGGAGAATCTCTTCGTTTCTACTGTCAAGCGTATATAGATTTGCTAGTTTTGACAGGACATAGTCGTAGTACAGAACATCCACCAGCTCCTTCATTATGGGTGGGCACAAAAACAATAATAGGTGTTTGCACATGCTGTGCGGTTTAATATCTCAAGTACACTTACAATTTCATATGCACTTAAGTGCTATTAACAATCTCTCAATTCTATGCACAGAATGCATGCTAGACTATTGGACTGTGCCACAAGCTACTCCTTACTCCTTTTCCTGAAACATATATAAAAGACATAACCAGGATTGCAAGATGGTAGAGGATCGAGAAAATACAGAGGATATCAAAGCGCAAGACTCAAAGATATTCAAGATCGACATTGTGCTAAGCATCATATTTGGACTTATTTCTTATTGTTTGAAATTAATGCTAGAGAATAACTCTTTTTACGACATTCGCCTTGGTCCTAAGGGGTTTTCTAATGCAACAGCATACATATTTACTTTACAGTTGATTTTGCCATTATGCATAATATTTAAATATTTATGCATGTTGAAATGGGAAAGAATATCCAAATGGAAGTTTATCATGATTTTCATATTCCACATATCTACAGTATTCCTATTTTTTTGCTGTTGGGATGCTCTCCATGATATTAGATATCCAATACAAACAGAGAATTATCATAGGATCCTTGAATCGGAGTCTAGATTTTTCGATTATCTTGATTGCTTTTTTCAGTATTTGTATTTTGAATACATATTCAGATTTTTTTTAGTGGCACTTTACATGTCACCAAAGAATACGCTTATCATGAAGATACTGCGTTTTATTTTTAGCTTGATATGGATATTGTTTGTTTTTTTGCTGTGTGCAAGCATATTTGACTTGCTAGATTCGTCGTCAACGAATAAGATGATCGCTTTGAGAATGAAAAAACTGTCGCTTAACAACGTAAGCAATGATAGTAATAAGAACAAAAACTTAAATGCCGAAGATTATAGGCACAGTCCATACACCGAAGATTATATGCACAACAACCTAAATGATGGCGAGCCTAAATACAAGATAAATAACTTATCTAAAGAACAGAACTATGATTCTGATGCTGATCCAAAAGCCTATGAAAAACAATATCATGACGATGTGGAAAGTTATCTAAATGGATTGCTAACTTCAAACATACGTAGATGACACATTGATATTTTTAATAAATATCTTTTATATGATAATATTTGTATATAGTAAATTTAGGAAGAGATGTGTTGATATGTCATGGAGTTTTTAAAAGGCATTATTGGAAATGCACTCCTTTATGAGTATATAAATGCGATGGAATGCTAATCCTAAAATGATTTCGAGGGCAATGATGAAGATAGGAGCAGCATGCGTATTGATGAGTAAAGTATACAGTAATACGCTTACTGGAGAACAAGAAAAAAGTATTTTTTCAACAAAAGGAAGTGAATCAGAAGCGGTGCAGGATGTTGAACGAACAAAATCAGACGATAAGTATGGCATTGCACAGGCTGAAGAAGCAGCTACATCTAATGTAGAAAATCCATCATCTGTTGAAGAAGGAAGTGAATCAAAAGCGGTACAGGATGTTGAACGAACAGAATCAGACGATAAGTATGGCATTGCACAGGCTGAAGAAGCAGAAAACTCAAATAAAGATGCTACAGCTCTACCACATAGCGCGCCATTATCAAATGCAGATGGAAAACCACAAGCTATGAAACGCGTAGCTAATGGCAATAAAGTCCTGAGTGCAGAAGAAATAAAAAAAAGGGACGAAGAGTTTTTGAAAAATTTTGCAAGAGTTAAGGATATATCAGAAAAAATATAGAGCGATTAGCGATTCACTAAACGAACACAAATAATAAAAAATAAATTTATTATGTCATGTCATGTTATGTCATGTTATGTTATGCTATAGTATATACGAAAGCAAACACCCATAGAGATGAAGCTGGTTAGGCTATTAAGAAAATGTAGGAATGAAAGAGTCGAAATTGAGACTAAGGATAAAAGACGAATCGCAGGAACAATGTGTTCGGTTGACAAGCAAATGAACGTAGAACTCAATGATGCAGTTTCTGAAGGCAAACACATTGGAAGCTACAATATACGAGGAAGCTCAATAAGATATATTATATTTAGGGAAAGCATGGACTTCAAGCCATTACTTATAGATGACAGACCCAGAGCAAAGGCCTGCTCTGATGAAAAAAGCACAGAGGAGCCGAAGAGAAGGAAAACACAGGTGTAGATTGTATTTAAATGTTTATTTCTTATCAAAGTCTTTCTTTTTCTGCACGATTATTCTCTTTCCTTTCAGAACGGATCCGTTGAACAGTAGTGCCATTTCAATTGACTTTTCTGATGCAAAATCTATTGTTGCATACTTCTTGGATCCGCTTCCAAGCATGTTTATCCTTGAGATGACTCCGCATGATTTAAAGTGTGTAGAGATGTCTTGATTTGACGCCGAAGTGTCCAGATTCTTGATGTACACGGTGAATGCACATTGTAGAGATGAGTCAAGATACTCGCCTTGCATGCGTAGTAATTTTTGTGCATCTGTTTCTCCATCCATTGCTAAGGTGTGCAGTGCAAATAATTAAGTGGCGGTTTATTGCTCTGTGAATGTAATGAGCGCATGATTGCATAAGCAATATGCATCTAAATTGTGAATAATGCAATATCACAATAGGGTCGAACGAATAGCATATTCTGGCTATCTATTTGCTATCTAATAAAAGCAGATGAATAAAAAAAATGCGATCCGTAGCAGAATGGGATTGTGCATATCAAAGATTGGGATTTTGCAGATATTGAAAGTGACCAGCGGGAGTATATCGCATGCGAACGGCATTCTTCCGTTTGTGCATTCGATAACTGGCTTTAATGCAAAGCCGGTAAATAGTAAGGACGATGTGCTGATGATCAACAAGGAATGGGAGGAGGAAGTACTCATGCTTGAGATACTTGACATGCGGTGTATGGAAACCTTCTTTATTGAGATACCGAAGAAGAATAACGAAGGCCTTGGCATTGCAGTGAAGTTCCATGAGAGTCCTGTTGCTCTTCTTTCGATGCAGGTGTTACGAATCCATCCGAACTCGCCTGTAGAGAAGTGTAGAATGCTGGTTGGAGACTACATTCTTGGGATTGAAAATATGCATTCGTTTGATGAGGAAGATCTACTGGAAACGTTGTATTCGAAGCGAGGGCAGGCTGTGCCGATTGTAGTGTACAACGATGATCTTGGATATGTAAGGGTTGTGCGTGTTGAGGTTGGAATGGAGATATTGCTGGGATGCCAGATAGGAACTGGAGAGATGTATAGGATTCCGTATGGAGCGAGAAGCAATCGGCTTGAGCTTAATGCGGCAGTTATCAAGAAAGATATTGACAGGCTGGATCGGAGGATTCGTGGGAAGGAGATTATTGATCGTAGGATGAGTCGGGAGGTAGTAGAACGCAGGAATTCATATCCAAGGTTCCTGAATGAGGGCTATAATGGCATGCATCAGAAAGAGCTTATATATGATGTATATTCACTGCACGACAAGGAGTTGCATGATACAAAGCCATCGATGAATGTTTTGCTGGACATTGAAGATGATTGTGAAATGCCTATGTATGCTGCTGATGATGCTATGTCAGCCAGTTCAATAGAAACGAATGGAATTAATCTACATGGTGATAGCGAGAAGAATATCATAGAAATACTAAATAATACAAGCCAAGACGATAACTTTGATTTTGAGCATGAGCTGCCTTTAGTGTGCAGTATCAACAAAGGCGAGCATGTAAATGAAAGTCATCAGACTATTTATACAGGATCTAATGAGAGTGCAAGGCATTACGAGTCAATAAGTACTGAAAATATTTATGAGCCAGATGCAAATATGCAAAGTGTGTCTAGGTATGAAATGCAGCAATGCCCATTGTGTCTGAAATTCCATGACGATGAATTTGATGATACAGAGCGCTATGATGGCAGTAGGAGAGCGGAAAATGTAGAATACAAGCATGGATATGAATCTGATTACTGTGTAGAGCATCATCCAAATGAGGAGTTGTATGTACAGGAGTATTTTTGCAGTAGCAATGAATATTTAGAGGATTATGATGTAAAGAAGCATTCAGTGGAGCATGAGATTGATCTTGAAAAAAGTATGCTTGAATCAGAGAACAAGATAGCCCAAGATATTATGGAAATGAAGATCAAAAATGACATGGAATCCAATGACTAATGGCTCTGGGCCTTCATGATGAATAATTTGGATGTGTGTCTGCTGGCACATGTGATACGAACGATACTTACAGCAAGAATGGAGCATTAAAGCATTCTGATGTGCATCAATATTTGTATGAAGGCAGACGCCCTTGAATGCCGGGAGGATTTAAGTCGAAGTATTCTGACACGAATCTGTTTTTTGATGGACGGAGGAATCTGTACAATGCAAGAGATTACATTGATATGAAAGTGAAGAAAGATAAGAGCGCTGTTGATGTGCTTAAGAAGCAGTTTCTTAGTAAAGAAGATAAAATGGTTGCGTTTCTGATTGAAAATAGGGATCTGAATAATCCGGAGATCAAGAAAGTAGAAACAAATGAGTATAGACTAGGTAGATTTGTTAATTGACATTGTAATCGTGCATGTATGGCAGGGGCATTGAGATAATTGAGCACATGGATTGGAAAGCTTTATGAATAAATAAAGATTATGATAGCACAGATATTTTACTGAAACGCTGTTTTCTGAAACTTCGTATGGTTTCAACTCTGAAATAATTGCTGTAAAGTGGAAATCAGAATGCAAGCAAGATTTGAAGAAGCTCTTCAGCAAGAGTATGATGGGTATTTGAATAGCTACAAGGACATTGCCTATAGTGCAGGGCTTAACCATTCGACAGTGTGCTTTTTACCGAGCCAGCATGATCTTTCTGGGGAGAAAATCGAGATGTTTAGTATTGATCTTACAGCGGATGAGATGTGCCTGGTGGATGGATACTTTCTACTGTACAGTAACGGAGTCATCAGAATATACAGGTATGACACGAGGTTCAAATGTGCAAGGATCAGGAAAATAGAATCGCATCTTTTGATTTTCCTAATCAGGCGAGGAAGGATAAGCAGAAAATGCAGGTTTCTATTCTACAATGTGCTCTTGAACTTGATCAAGAGTAATGAAAAGAAATATGACCAGAAGCTGAGTGATATTATGTGCTGCATGTGTGCTGACTGGATGTCGAGCATAAGGCTTGGTATGAATGGCGAGATTGCATGCACATATAAAAATGGAGAGAAAAGAGTGTTTAATGCAAAGCTGCAAGTCATATCGTCGGCAGGGTTTGCGTGCGTGAACGACTCAAGCGTTGTTGAGAGCAGGCATCAAACGGTCATTGTAAGAAAGGACGGAGTAGAAATAATTCGAAAAGATAGATCGTTCAAGAACGTACTGGCGATTCCTGCGATAAAGCAGCATTCTGTAATAGCAGATGCTCTTTTTGTGCTTACCAGGAACGGCATAAAGGTGTTGAGATTTGGTAAGTAAAGTTGCAGCACATATAAGCAGTATTAACAGCCCTGTATATGCCACTGCTGGACGAGCTGAAGGATATCAAAGGAAAGTACAGTGCGGATGTTGTCGACCACTTTGAAAGGCCAAGAAACATAGGGTCGCTGGACAAACTGGACTCCAGTGTTGGGACAGGAATAGTTGGTGCTCCAGCATGTGGAGATGTGATGAAGCTGCAGATCAAAGTAAGCAGTAACAATGTAATTGAAGATGCTAAGTTCAAAACGTTTGGATGTGGGTCTGCAATAGCATCTTCGAGCCTGGCAACAGAATGGATCAAGGGAAAGACAATAGAAGAATCGTTGAAGATATCAAATAAGGATATAGCGAAAAGACTGTCGTTACCACCAATCAAGCTGCATTGCTCGATGCTGGCTGAGGATGCAATAAAGTCTGCAATCAAAAACTATCTTGACAAGAATCGTTAAGTGGGGCAAGCATGCTTATGAGCTGCAGTAAGTAATTAAAGAATTATGTTTACTGTTGTGTGCTTTGTATTGATGCATTGGTGTACTAGAATGTGGTTTGTATGAGTAAACGAGCATATCATTAATTATAGATCTTCTTACAGGCATACCGCGCGTAGATTGTGTCAGGTATGTGCATTGTGATATTTTCATGCATTGGTAATTAGTACTTATTATACCTGGTGGGGATTGATGTAAAGTCGATTAATGATTAATCGATCCCATGGAAGGAGGAGAGGAAAGTATCAGCTTTGTGAATCAGCAGTTCCTCAGCTCAAGACCACTTGATGAGAAGAACATCCTGGAGTACTTTTCAGGATCGCCTTTCTATGACAAGTCGTGTAACAACGAGATATTAAGAATGCAAACACAGTTCAGAGGATTGGAGTACAGCAAAGCCACACTCTCAACAATGGCAGGGATTTTCTACGAAGTTCTGAGCACCAACACAGAAAAAACACTGTTCGTTGTTTCCAAATCATATAATCACATAACACATACAGAGATGCTTGGCATTTACTACATAATGCACGGATATGTGTACTCGGCACCTACAAACTATTCGATCTACAGGAGCAGGATGACGGACTCGATGTGGATGCTGAACTCGTTCATAATCAAGATGATGGACAGGAAGAAATTCAATCCATTTTCAATACAGAGAAGAAAGCAGAGCACAAATAAGATTGAGGACGGAAGCAGCTTGGGATTCATGATGGATGTGTTCAATGAGTTCAGAAAGGAGCTTGAGCCAAGAAGACAGCAATAGGAAGTGTTTATTTTTGAGGCTTATCAGAAATTACAGGAATGTTTCGCTTCACTTCCTCCAGCCATTCCCTTAGCTTACAATAAACCTTTATGTTTTCGTATGCCTGCTTGCTAGTGTTGACATACTTAATAATGTAATTGTATATTATATCTCTAGCCTTTGTTATGCCTATCTTGTACAAAAGATTCTTCAAAGTTTCTTCTTGCCTTTTAAGCTTGTATATGGTGTCCTTGAAGTACTCCTTTGCTCTAAGTATGTTTGCCTCCACATTGAACAATTCTTCAGACAGTACATCCTTTCTTTCCTCAATATCACTCATCAGTTTCTGTATACCTTGCAGCATTGGATACGGCGCAGGAAGTGCAGGAATGATGTCATTGCTATTCACCCTATCATTCGAGTCTAAATAAGGCACTATCTTTGCATTAGGCATCGCAAAGTAGTACGGATAGTTCAGATTTGTCTTGTTTACGTATGGCGAAGCCTGTATGAATTGATCCTTGGTGTATATTTTAGGTATCATCACGTTGTCCTTAGGCAGCGGAAACACCGTGGGCTTGACTTCCGGAAAGTATACTGCACATTCAGGCGGCAAAACACTTGCTTGATACATGTAGCATGCCTGGCCTGAGGCTTGTTGTGCTAACAACGACGTTGAAAGGTCATTTTTTGGAATCACGGGATTCATTATCGGTGCAGTATTCGGCACTGCTGTATTCAATATACTCATTCCAGAAAGATTAGCGTCTCCTTTCCCTACTCCAAATGCCACACTAAGAAACATTAACTTCCTAATACTCATCGTAAACTAACCTCTATGGTGTTATAAAGCAATTCCTAACGAAACATTTGTTTTAGTCTTTTTGATGTTTTATGGCCTAGCAAATTGTTTATATATGACACACGTATCATCTAAAGCATAACAAAACTCAGATAAACGCCAATCAGCTAAGCACACCGCATGCAATTAGAAGATAGCAAGTATCTCTTCAAGTATGCATGCTAGTTTCAAACAGCAGCTCTCAGCAGAAAGCTTGTATTTGGATACACTTACACAGATATTGTCTTCATTGTCAACACTTCTATTCTCTTCTGGATCCATACTAATGAAAAAAACAACTCCATTTGCAATAGAAGCCTTGATGCCATCAATGTTTATCCTATTTCCACGAGAGCAAAGCCTCATATGCATGCTGTTTGGTGGTAAATGGGCCTCTATTGGATTCTTTATTACCTTTGCGAGAAATACTCCATTGGCTGCTTTAACAGAGTATCTTCGCAGCAAGTAGTGCATCACTTCATTGAACTCACTGGGATCATCAGGAATATCAAAAAGATGGCTCATCTCAATCAAAACGTTTTTAGTCGAGTGGATGTATATTTGAAGATTTCCAGACTTACTCAATGCAGACCCAAGCATTGATTTGAGAACCCTATGCAGTTTAAACATGCCAACATCTTTCCTGTCTCTTTCATCAAATGTAGGAACTGCATCCTCCAAAACAACAGTTACTTTTGCACACATCACAGGGGCTGTACCAGTACACAATCAAACACCAGCAATTACTCAAAATATAACGCAGCCAAACTAAAATAGCTCACAAGCAATACATACCATACATCTAATTTGATTTATTTCTTTCTTACTTGAATGAGAAGATATAATTTGAGCACGAGGAGTCTTCAATAAGATCCAGACAATACTCCTTTTGGTATGCTTGGTCAAGGCAATCCCCAAGACTTGTCAGGTTCCCGTCGAATATCGTTGTGTGCCTCTCAAACGGAACTTCAGTAACTCCAATGTTGTCAAAGAACCCCTGCTGGGATCCAAGGAGTTCGGAAATTGAATTGATGCCTTTTCCTAGGCCTGTGGTGCGATGAGCATTGAATGGATATTTATTCCTGGGCTTACAGTTTCTCTGTGTGCCCTTACTGCTTTGGAACTCGTAGTTGATTTTCCAGAATGAGCCTTTGCCTGGGTTCACAGAAGTCCTTGGGACTTTGTAGAACGACTTGTTGAGGCTCAGATTGTGCCTGATTGAGTTCTGCCAACCGGTTTTCTTGAGAGAAAAGTACGGATGCTTCAATGCAATATAAGAATATATTTCTTTGAGTGTCAGCATTCCTTCCACACTGCTTTCAATTGCTTCTGTTATAAGGTCTGCATAAGATACACCTGGGCGTCTTCCCTTTCTGCACTGATCATCTATACTCTCACAAAAGCTTACTCTAGTATCGTCCTCGGCATATTTTGATGCTGTATTCATACCGCCATGCTTCTCATCCTTCCCAAACATATAAACAAACGAAAAATGTTTACTTTAATGAGCTTGATTGATTTCATCTATCAACTAATATTGTTGGCTTATCCCGAATTATCATCTATTCCATGACTCTCAAGTCCAGCGTAACATCACACATACAACAAAACCCAAATGTTTGAATCAGACGCACTTCCTGTGAACAATCGATGGCCCAGATTCCTGATACTCGGCCTTTGTGACCCACATCTGCTGGAATGTAGACAGTGATGCCAATATCGATCCTCCTATCCACACACTGTACTTTCTCTCTGGCGGCGCAACCACCCCAAGCTTGATCGTGGGCGGTGCAAGCGACTTAATCTCGTTATGAATTCTCTCTGCAAGCCCCGGATACATCGTTGTTCCTCCAGAAAGAACAATGTTCCCATACAGCTCCTTCCTTATGTCCACATCACACTTCATAATCGAGTCATAGATCGTCTGGTGGATCCCCTTCAACTCTCTCCCAGTAAGTTTCGGTTGGAACAAAAGCTCAGGCGCTCGGAATCGCTCGTTGCCAATCGATATCACTTGCCCATCAGGCATCTCATAGGTCTTTGTTATCGACGCCAAGTGCTCCGTATTCCTCATGTCCTCCTCGTAGTTTAACGACACATAGCACAGCTTTTCCTTAATGTCCCTCACTATCTCCCTCTCTGCAGTAGTTGTAAACGAATTTCCACTCTCAGTCAGAATCAGCTGCAGATAATCCGTCAGGTCCCTTCCTGCAAGGTCAATCCTGCTAATTGCATACGGAAGCGAATACCCTTCATATATCGGAACAACATGTGACACTCCATCCCCAGAATCAAACACTATCCCCGTCGTTCTTCCACTTGCATACAACGACAAAACAGCTTGGATCGAAATGTAGAATGACGGCACATTGAATGTCTCAAACATAATCTGTGTAATCTTCTCCCGATTTGCCTTCGGATTCAGTGGCGCTTCAGTAAGCAGCACAGGATGCTCTTCAGGTGCCACTCTCAGTTCATTGTAGAACGTGTGGTGCCATATCTTCTCCATGTCATCCCAATCATTGACTATTCCGTGCTCAATAGGATACTTTATCTGCAGAATCCCTCGCTTCGTCTGTGCCTCGTCTCCAACATATGCATCCTTCTGCCCCATTCCAACCATCACTCCTTTGTGCTTCGGCCTTCCAACTATACTCGGAAACACTGCCCTTGGTGCATCATCTCCTGCAAATCCCGACTTCACCACTCCAGATCCAATATCAATAACAAGCGCTTGGGCCATCTCAGACATGGGGGTGTTTTTTTTTTTCTTTATGTACACCTGACACCCAAACACAGCAATTTCATATATTCTATCCACACATCACATGCCAAGCCCCAGGCGCTTCCTAATTGCAAGGTACCTTTCTGTAACCCTGATCATCTTCCTCCACCTTATAAACTCCAACGCCATCCTTGCATGCTTCTCCTTCATCTCCATGTACATACAATATTCATGCAGAAAATTTGAAAACACATACAGATTCTTCTTTTCAAGAAAGATTCCTTTGTTGACAGGCTTGTTTCTCCAAAACCCATGGAAACATATTCGGTAAGGAAACCCAAGCATGTATGCCATCTCCTTTGCATAATCATGCCCAACATAAACACAATCCCTCGGAATAAAGTTCACATGGAAATACTCTTGGTACATCGACTCTCCAAATCCCTCTACCACAAGATCCTTGCCTTGCCATGGCGCATATAGTCTAACAGCACCTTTCTCTTTCTTTACAATTCTGTATGGCTTCACTCCTTCAACATCCTTTCCAACCTTGTACAGCTGCTCCCTGGTTTTTAATCTCACTACACATTCTCGTAGGTACACCGCTTCTCCCTTGAACTTTTCACATGCTGCTCTTTTGGGATAAATGCATTCATTCCATTGCAGCATCGACTCAACAATGTATCTTGGATGCCTTCTCAACACTTCTACAGTCTTCGGAACGACACGCATTCTTTCATTGTCAAGATCATCAAAACAATCAATCATCTGATTGCCATTCATTACCATTGCTTTGCAGATTCCTGCTTCGCCAATCTTTCTAATTGCATATCTGACTGCTGAGTGTTGCTTTGCGCATGATGAAAAGCAATAAGACTGGTCTACCACTCTTTGCATTGCATCAATAGATACTACACATGCATTGTACATTCTGTGATGCTTACTAACCATACTCAGAACCCTGCTTTCGACAAAACATTCAATCTCGTCGCCAAGAACAATGTATATCCTGCTTGCAATACCAAAGGCAATGCACAGCCTAAAAAGCAGAATCATTCTCAGTACCTCATCTTCTGGCTCTTTGCTCTGCGTGTATATCTTTAATCGTTCAAGAACATGGAAATCAATGCTCTCATTCACATCAGGCTTCTCTACATTCTTCAAAACTCTTACAAACACCCACAGTATCTTATGCAGCATCTCAATCCTCATATCATTCACATTCCTTATCATTGCATCCGGTTGTCCATCTCCCTCCATTGCATATTCCTCAACAGCCTCTTTCCAGCCGTCATCTTCATCAATCATCTAGAGGGAGGGATCGTGGTTCTCATCGCTCATTTCCATCATACACTGCGCAGTACATACTAAAAAACACACCTAGCACCCCTCATTCCTGCTACAAACACAAAACAACACATCTTGAACTTTTTATTCATCAACTTGCCACAAACTTCCATGCCACAGGTGCACTACAACTCTTGTGCTCCATCTTTCTCATTATTACCAGTAGCCGCAACATTCTCCTCAGGTTTAGCATCTTCATCCCTCTTTTCCTCTACATCATTATCTCCAGTATGCCCTGTGAATTGCTTCATAATATCGTCAAGCATCTTCCTGATATCCTCCTCAGTCAGGTCAAATGGCTTGCTAGCAGAGTCCTCTCCATTCTCTTCATTAGTCGTGGAAGAACTCTTCGATTCAGTGCTCTTCGTTGTCATCGTTTCATTCATCCTTGTGCGTAGCTTACTCTTCACCGTCTCAAACACTTGCTGAGCCTTCCTCAAATACACCACACCCTGGCTGTAAATGCTTTCATAACACCCTCTTGCTCTGTTGACCATCGCCGTGTAGTTGCATTGAGACGCTTCCGACGTACACATCACAACCAGTGGCAAGAACATCATCACAATGCCTCCAATCCTCATATGGGGGTATTTTTTTGCCGAATTTAACACACATGCATCCTGCCAAACACTCCAAATTGGCTTGCCGTCGCTCCCCACAAATGGCAGAGCCACGATTCAACTTCGAAGACTACATTGTAAACAAGCTTGGGCTGCGTGAAGAATGCGAAATATATTGCATGCCGTACCAGACAAACTCTTGCAAAGACAGGAATTGCCCGAGGCAGCACGTGAAGCTTAGCAGTGCTGTTGTATGCAAGCACTGGCTACGTGGACTTTGCAAAAAGGGAATAAAATGTGAATTCATGCACGAGTACGATCTTTCCAAGATGCCCGAGTGCTATTTCTTCAGCAGCTATGGCGAATGCATGAATCCAGAATGCAACTACATCCACATAGATCCAAACAGCCAATCTAAAGAATGCGCTTGGTATAACCGTGGCTTCTGCAGGAATGGCGCATCATGTAAAAATAAACACATACGGAAAAAACTGTGCTACAATTACTTTCTCGGATTCTGTCCAAAAGGTCCAGATTGCGATTACGGGCATCCAAAGTCAAACACGAATCCCATGAAAGAAATATCGCACAGCGACATCATCCAGAAACCATCAAACCTTGCTGCCTCATAAAACCAACTCTCCAATAAAACAATTTATTCCACGGTATATCCTTTCACCTTGTGCATTCTTTTAGAGCCTTGGCGCTCTTTTCGCAAAACTCTAGGTGCGCCTCTGCAACTTTCTGCAACACTCCTGAAATCCCCTTGTTTCCAACAAAAAGTTCCATTTCATTCAATGTCTTCAGTGCACTGTTTTCCAGTTCCTGTTCCATATCGCTTTCTTTCTTCGTTGACTCCGGCGTCTTATTGGACTTTGACCTTCTTTCCATCTCAAGATCATACCTCAGATTAATTATCTTCTTGCGACTCTTATCAATCATATTCGACTTATCCCTCAGCTTAGATATCTTGTTGATCTGCTCCTCAAGCTTCTTATTCATCTCATCCTTCAATCTAGATATCTCTGCATATGCCTGATAGTACTTCATTCCAATATCGCTCAGCCCAGAAGATACTCCGATCTTCGACAGCTCCAGCCCAACCATCCCATTCGTCTCATATATGTCGTGGTTGCTGAAATTCCCAATCTTCGATGTCGACGAAATCAGATTCACCTTCGAATACACAGATTTCATCGTGCTGCCTCCATACTCATACGTCTTCAGCCATGAAATACTCTCAATTATCTCCTTCAGCTTGTCCCTGAATCCCTTATACACACTCTCAGTATCCTCATATCCATTCACCAGCTTCACTTCGGTATAGTCAACCTTATTCAACTTCATTGCAATCGACCTTTGTATGTCCTTCATTGTATCCTTGTCCATGGGCTTCTCCTCAACAAATAATTTATATTAATCGCCCCTTTTCATCTCCATCCCTCCCCGCATCAATCGCATTCCCATATACTAATCACTTGATGCATTCACATACCAAACATCTCAAACCCATTTCATCGAGCCAATCAGCTCCACCACACTCAGGCATCCCAGTACTGTTCTCTACAGCCATCCGCTGATGCACTGTGCTCTAATTATGCTAAATAACATCAGACTGGTTCGATATGTCCAAAAAGTCAGAATAATAGTAGTTCTTATACGCCTGTATCTGATCATGCATCTTTTCCTCATCAACCTTGTCGCTACTCCTTATTTCTTTAAGCTTTCCCTCCAACCTCTCAAATCTTTCCTGCAATGCATCCGTCCTCTTCAGCATCGAATGAAGTGTAGATGTTGTGCGAACAGTCTTTGGAGATGCTACACTACTATCAGACTCAATCTTTTCATCCGTCTCCTTCAAATGCCTTGCATTCTCCATACTTTCAAATGGATCAATCAGCATTCCTCGTTCAATCTTTTTCTCGCCGCTCATCCCCGCATTCGTATGCCGTTGCCGTTGCCTCTGTCCTGCTTCCTTATTGCCAAGCCTCATGCCTTCCTCATTATTCATGCCTACATTTCCATCACGTGTCAAGCTACTGTAGAAGCTTTCAGGGAGATTGATCTTTATTCCGGGATTTGCCAGCTCTCTTTCACTCCTTCCAACAGGCACATTCAATCGAGTGTTTATGTTACTTATTCCGTGCTCCATCGTCTTTCGCTTCCCCATTATATCATATCCATTCTCTACATCTACATTTTCATAATCATTCTCAAGAGTAACAGGCATCAGGCTTTCAAACTTAAGCTCCTCATCATTTCCATATCGCATCCCCCTCTCGGAATTTTTGTTCAGTATAAAATCATCCTCCCCATCATTCACTGTCTTAAAACTCTCATTTCCATTTCCATCGCCATAGCCTTTGCTTTCCTTAGAGTGCCTACCAGCCTTCAGCTCATATATAATACCTTGATACTCCCTGCTCTGCTCTAATAATTTCTCCACTTTGCTCATCAGCTCATTCGTGATTCTGTTGCTTGCTTCAATTGTTTTGCTTCGTTCCTCCTGCAGCCTTAAAACTTCCCCCTTCAACTTATCCGTCATCATGCTCAGGTCCTGCACCTCAATCCTCTGCTTCTCATTGATCTCCTTCTGCTGGTTGCTTCTGCGCTTATACTTGTTTAATCTTTTCAAATAACTCCTATCCGATGTTTTGCTTGCCTTTTCGTCCTCAATAGCAGTCACCTCATGGTGTGCTTCCGGATCATACTCGGGAATCACAACTCTATTTCCACTATCCCTTATCATTTTTGCTAACTGGCTGTTAAGATACTCATTCTGGCTGTTGGTTGCCTTGTAAAGCTTTTCATAATATGACGTCTTTTCTTTCATTGTTTCCATTTCATTCTCTGCTCTTTTTTCCTTCAGAATCAACTTCGAAAGCTCGGAGTTGCATAGCTCAAGCGCATTGTCCTTTACATCCATTTTCTTTCGAAGTTGCTCATTGATCTTCTCGATCCCAACTAGCCTTTGGCTCAATGCTTCCTTTTCTGCTTCTCCTTGCTTGACCGCTTCCTTCATCTTACCTATCTCTTCAGACCTGCCCTTAATATGCTCCTTAAGAACACATATTTCCTTCTCATACACATCGCACTTTTCAAGCGCCTTCTTTCTCAGCACCTCTAGCTCGTTGTTAATCATTCTGAAGCTATCACAGTTCCTCTTCTCAAGATCTGCCTTCTCCTTCTGCTCTTGCATTTTGCTCTTCTGGTCCCTGATGATTCTACTCAGCTCTTGATTTCCCCGGTTTGCGAACTCAAGATCACTTTCAAACTTGTTTATTCTGATTTCAAGATCAGTCTTCTCTTCAGACAATCGCCTTATCTTCTCTTTATATCCCTCCTCGCTTTGCATCAGCTCGCACTTTTCTTGAGACACTTCCTTCAGAACCCTCATCAAAGATTCGCTCACAAGCGACATCTTAACATCACTGCTCAGAAGAACGTTTTTCAGTCCATCGCAATCTCCAGCAGCAAGGTTTGTGTTGATTTCCGCATACACATTCTGGAGATTTGTCAAAAGGTGTATCAGCAATGAAAGGCTGCACTCGTCTGTCTTTTCGCCATCAGCAGCCGCATTCTTGCTCGGCTGCCTATCAGCAAGGCACAGGAAGCTCTTTATCTCATCATTGATTGCATCGTAATTGTTCATCCAAGGGACACCGTGATGCAAAGAAAGTATGTGTTTGTAGCATTGATTAGCAGCTACAGCTACGCCAGTCACAACACAGTCTGTGACATATGCAAGATGCACAGAAACACAGTGCAAAATGCGATGTCCGGGAATCGAACCCGGGCCGACAGCTTGGAAGGCTGTTATCATACCACTTGACCAACAACGCTCAACAACTTCATGTCTATACAATCGTGAACATCCACCCATCCACACAATCGTCAACATCGACAATACATCCTGCATGCCCACCATTACAATACACATCTCTGTGCAATGCTTTATATACAATCTCATCGTACACCATTTATTACTACTTCATGTATTTCCATGCCAAATGCCACTTTGCTCTTCCTGATCCATTTACCATTCATCATCTTTGAAACACTCCTCATACCAAAACAGAAATTACCTTGCCATACATCTGATTGAGCACACCCTCGTTTGATTAAACATATATATTTTTGTTGCAGAAAACACGCATGGAGGAGTTCAAGAAAGAAAGAACTTTTCATGATGCATGGGCATTCATCCTGTACGTCATTCTCACACTTACAACAAGCGTCACGCTCGTGAAGATTTCCTCGGGCATACCATTCGATGCAAGCATCATCCTCCCAGGCCTGTCGGTAAATGTTGGCATCATGCTTTTCATGCTTACCCTGATATACTTGGGATTTAGATATGCTGCCGATGGATTGATATTCACTGTACATGTCTTTGTTCCAATAATAGTGCTTATTGCATCAATATTAACAGAGAACCTAACAGTGATCTTCATTTCTGCAGCACTGACGTGTGTTTCCTTACTGTTCTACTTCTGGAGTATCAAGCCTGTACTTCCACTCATGACAGTATCAATTCAGACTGGTGCAAAGATAATCTCTGGAAACTTGTTCAAGTGCATCCTGCTGATCATGCTCTCTGTATTCATTATCATATTCCAGGGAGTGGTGTTCACCGGCGTTGTTGGACAAGGAGCAGACGGAGCAGTAACCCTTTCGGTCATCCTGTTCATCCTCAACAATACATGGACATTCTTCAATATTATGTATCTAGTACAGACAATAGTGTCCGGCTTGGTGATTGGGCATCTCGTGGACGGAGAAGGATCGTTTGCAGAGGCATCACGCAATGGACTGATGGCTCTTGGAAGCATCTCGTTTGCAGGGCTAGTCATCAGCATAATCACCACTGCAAAGATGATTGTCCAAAGAAACATGGATAGAAACAGAGAGTCTGGCTCAGGAAACATTCTCAACGCCATAGTGCTTGTGATTCTAAGCTCACTCGAAACATTGATAAACACGGCAAATGAGCTGGCATTCCCATATCTTGCATTGCACGGCACAAACTACAGAGATTCCATGAGCGGAGCATTCAACTTGATCCAGGAGAAGCAGGGGATTACTTTGCTGACGAACATAGCAATGGAAAGGGTTGTTATGTTCTGTTGCATCCAGTTTGTGTGCGTTCTGATCTATGGAGACTTGCTTCTGTTCAAAGCATTATCTATCGACAAAATTTCTGATTCTATGCTAACGACCATTGCAGCAATCGGAATCCCTGTGATTGTGTTTACATATAACTTCCTCTCTGTGTTTTCGTCATCGACTCTTGCATTAATATACACATACATTGAATCTCCATTGATGGTTGAGAAGGCTGAACCTGAGTTTGCACAAGCCATGGAGAGTGCTAAGTAACGGTTGCTAATTAAATGGAATTACCTATTGATATATCTATGCATTTAGCTGACTGATGTGGATACGGATACGGATGTCTAAGCACACTAAATATTCGAAATTGAGTTATCTTGTTTGTTTTTATTCCTGGGATGAAAGAAAGCAAGAATAGCAACGACGAATGCCATGAGTTCTATGAAGACGAAGCAATACACAAATATGTACAAATGCTGAACAGTGTGGAGACGATCTGGAAAGATAGGCGCAGAGTCATGAGCATGCATTTTGGCGAGCTTTACATCTACAACATAGATGATCTGGAGGATAAGTCAGCAACAGTCAAAAGGCTCATCAATCGAGAAGTATCGTATCCAAATGCATTTCTTGCTTCTTCTCTGGGATTCAACAAGACCACATGGAGCAGGGATTATGAAAGGACGCTGAGGGAGATTGGAGTCGATAAGCGCCCAGTGCACACAACCTTGAGGACAATGCTATTGTTTGAGAAACTCAAATGGCTAGTTGTATCGTATCATGAAATGAAGAACAAAAGACGGGGCTAGAAGGAGAGGATGCAAGGCTATTGCCTACAATGTCAATGTATCGGCCATTCGATTGAAGTTGGCATTTGTAGAGTCTGTAAGGATTGATAGCGAAGATACAACATAGCTGATTATTGCAAAGAACGCATATAATAAATAAGATTCAATGCACGATGCATTTGTATGTCTATGCTTGAGATGTGATTGGAACTTTAAACTTAAACCCATTGAAAGTGATGTTTGCAGGTGTAGGTACAGAATGCTCGAGGCAACGATTGATTGAGATCTGTGAGGAGCTTGTAAGCAACAGAACGATTTACAAAAGACTCGAAGATCTGTTTGAAGAGCTCAGGAAGTCGCCGGAGATGGCTTTTGATGTTTGGAGATACGATGCAATGCCTATCTTTCTTCTGCAGGAGGTGATTGCACCGTACACAATTATCAACACAAACAAGTTTTCAGAGGAGAATAGCTCAAGGCTGTGCATGGTTTTGAACATCCTGCAGATACTTGTTGGCGACATCCAAGTAAAGCATGTGTTTGTAGATGCAAGGTTTCCATATTACATATACAGATATCTTATGATATCAGACATTGATTCGAGGCATGAGGTTCTGAGGATTTCATCACTAGGAGTGATTGCATCTTTACTGAAGAACGGGGACCATTATGTGTACAAGCACTTGAAAATGACAGAGATTGTTCCTCTTCTTCTGAAGATCATTGACATTGGGCCGGAAGAGTCGCAACTGCTTTCAGCAAATGTGTTTACAGCAATCATAGGAAATGATGATGGCCTGAGCTATGCATGCCAGACATTTGACAGGTTTTCTGCAATTAACATGATGTTCAACTCATTGGCATCGCAATCTGTCGGGCTGAGGTCTGCTGAGCTACTAAAGGCAGTGCTGAGGGTGTACATAAGACTCTGTGCAAAACCGCACATCCGAACTCTTTTGAGTTCAAAAAGGCCTGACGGGCTGTTCTCTGCAGAGGCTGAGCGGTTTGTGTCATCTGATTCTGAAGCCAAAGGACTATTCAGGAAGTTTGTTGAGCTGCTGGGGTGATGAGGAAGATAGATGCCGAGGCGAATAAATTTATTGTCTGTTAATGATTTGATTGCAAGAAGCCAAAAAAAAATGCAGAAGTGTCCCTTTAAGATGGTAGGTCTGTTGGTGAAATATGAAAAGCCCAAGGGAGATGCAGCAAGGATTGAGAAGGAATACTTGGGCAAAAGAAGGATTACGAGGCTGTATAGTAAAGAGCAGCTTAAGAATCCTTGGGGAGTTGATTTGTATCTGCTGCTCGACCTTGACATGTATAGAACGAAGAAAATACCGAAGAATGTTCTTAGTCATGTGGTGAAGGCAAAGACGTATTTGTATCATCCTGATTTGCCAGACGGAGGCAACGAGGCTTTTGCATTGGTTAAGATGGCGAGTGAGATACTCGGGGATGTAAGGCTACGATTGATATATGATTCGAATTTTTTTGACGATACGATTCCGGAAGATAAGATATACTATAGCGATGAGTTTTTCCGTGTGTTTGGGGAGTGTTTTGAGAGGAATGGGAAGTTTAGTGTGCGGCAGCCGGTTCCCCAGCTGAGTCCCGATAACGACATGAAGTCTGTTGAGGGGTTCTATGAGTTCTGGAACAACTTTAAGTCGTGGAGGACGTATGAGGATCCAGAAGAGTTTTATAGAATGAGTGTGCGGGACAGGTCGCAGTATTCGATGAATAATCAGGAGCAGATGAAGCAATCGAAGAACAGGGATATCCTGCGGATCAAGAAGCTTGTGCAGATTGCAAGAAAGAGGGATCCAAGAATGGGGAAAAGCATTATGCAACAGGTTATGGAGATGAACATGAGTGAGTGGAGCAGCCAGGAGATTGCAACGTTGAAGCGGCTGCTAGCGTTGTTTAATAAGGCGTCGAAGAACAAGTGGGAGGTGATTACGGAGAAGTTGGTGGGAATAACGAAGATCAAGCGTAGTGTTGATGAGGTGATGAGAAAGGGACAGGAGATTGAGAAGAAATAGGCATGGGCGGTTATCTTGATGAGAATGGCTTCATAAGTTAGAGGGGTTTAGAATAAAATGGTGTTCTTGAGAAGATTTGATGATGCTTTTATAAAGTGAAAGATTTGGGTCCCATTAGGGGTATGACAAGCATGATTTTGAGCACAAGAGCAGCGTCTGCAAAGATCCGGTACTTGATGAAGGACATTTCGAAGCTTGTGAAGGTTGAAGAGGAGCACAAGTGGGACATGGGGAACGATTACCACGAGCTTAGGGAGCTGGCGCGGATGAATGAATGCGACTCTGTGATGTTTTTCCAGTCGACGAAGAAGATGGATGGGCTGTGGATTGGGATTTTGGACGGGACGTCTGTTTTTTTCAAGATGCACAATGTGTTTACTGTGCGTGAGTGCAATTTTCCGGTGAATGTGTTTGCAGACTGTGGATATGTTTTGATGTTCAGCAAGGAGTTTGAGGAGATTGAGCATTTGAAGTATGTGAAAGAGGTTGTTGAGCATGTGTTCAAGTCTAATGAGACGAAGGACAAGGCGTTGTGTTTTTTCCATCTTGATGGGATGATATGGGTTAGATGCTACAAGATTGGAGAGGAAATGGAGGAGGTTGGGCCGAGGGTTGTTCTTGAGGTAGTGAAGGTATTTGAGAAGTGTTTTTCGGGCAAGTTTTTGTATAAGGCGGCTAAGGAGCACACAGATGGAAAAGCAGATTAAATGATTTTTGCAAGTATGTGTTGGCGATACTGGAATTGGTTTGATGAATAAATATTGTGGGAGATTTAATTTACTGGCTGATAAGAGAGATAGATGACAAAGTGGAGAAAAGACGAAATGAAAAGGAAAATGTTAATGTAAAAGCAAGCAGAGAGTGTGAAGATGAGCACAAAGCACTGATGAATATAGTGGTGTTGGCTGAATGTAAACTTAGTGTATGATTGTGAGTTCAGGCATGTATATGATGTATTTTGATGAAAGCAAAGATGTAAAGGAGGACTTGGATGTGCAGTGATGCAAGTAGATGCAGGCACAGTGATAAGGTCTGAGTAAATTTAAAAGCAAAAAAACAAAACCCTCAACACATGAGTTCCAAGAGTGAAAGTGTAGCAAGCTCGGTTAGCAGCTGTGATGAGTCGAGCGAGAAGGAGGTGATACCAAGAAAGCGTGGAAGGCCTCGTAAGAACGACGGGATGCCAGGGAGGCAGGCGCGGCAGAGAGTGAATCCGATGCTTTATCAGTCTCCTCTTGGGTATCAATACATGGCACCATCGGGGGTGATGAGAGTACCTGTGCAGTATGGATTTGAGAATAGATTTGATTTTAAGCATGGGTTTGGAGGATATTCGCATGGTACAGAGATGAAGATGATGCATGAGATGGAAGAGAGGAGGCCTGCAAGGAGTAGCGGCAGGGAAAGGATGGAGGAAAGGAATGTGTATGTGCCTGAGAAGAGGCAGAAGCGATGTGCGGCGATGGTTCGACGAATTACAGCAGCTGACAGCGAGAGCAGCGTTAGTGAAGAGAGTGAGGAAGAGTCTGACGATGGGATTGAGAAGCTTTTGAAGTATGACGATGAGAATGAGAAGTATTTTGTGAAGTTTCGCAACAAGAGCTATCTGCACTGTGGCTGGGTATCGAAGGAGGAGATAGTGGCGACGAAGATTGGGGCAATGAAGGTAAAGAAGTTCAAGGCGATGGAGGTGCCGTTCAACCCGGACTTTCTGAAGGTGGACAGGATACTGCACGAGGATTATGATGGGGAGAAGGTATTTTTGGTGAAGTGGAAGGGGCAGCCGTATGAGCTATCGACGTTTGAAACTGCAGAGAATGTGACGAAATGCGAGCTATTTGAGGATGAGCTGCGGAAGTACAGGGATAGGAAGAAGATGCGGAATATGAGGGTGGGGATTGATTGGAGGCCGCCAAGAGAGAATTTTATCAAATATGAGGAGTCGCCGATGTTTAAGGGAGGGAACCGGCTTCGGGAGTATCAACTAGAGGGGCTGAACTGGCTGCTGAACAGGTGGTATTACCGGCAGAGCTGTATTATGGCGGATGAGATGGGGTTAGGAAAGACTGTGCAGTCTGTTACGTTTATTAATACGCTTTTTACGAAGTATGAGTATAGTGCGCCGGTTCTGATAGTGACGCCTCTTAGCATTATTCCGCATTGGGAACGGGAGTTTGAGGCATGGACGGATTTGCGAGTGCTGAAGTATCATGAGAGCAGGCCGGGGAGGGCGTTAATTGCGGAGTATGAGTTTGTGCTCCGGAAGAACAATCTTGAGATCAGGCTATTTGATGTGCTGATTACTACGTATGACACGGTGATGGCGGAGCAGGAGCATCTGAGCCAGTTTTATTTTTCAGTTGGGATATTTGATGAAGCGCATCGGCTGAAGAATTCGAAGTCGAAGGCAGCAAGTGTGCTAAGGACGCTGAAATTCAATCACAAGGTGTTGCTGAGCGGAACCCCGATACAGAACAATATTTCTGAGTTGTGGTCGTTGCTTAACTTTATTGATCCAGGGCGGTTTTCGAGCCAGCAGAGTTTTCTGGATGAGTTTAAGATGGAGAACATCAACGATGTTGAGAAGCTTCAGGGGCTATTGCGGCCGTTAATGCTGAGAAGAATGAAGGAGGATGTCGAGAAGAGTATACCCTCGAAGGAGGAGACGATCATTGAGGTTGCACTGACGATGATACAGAAGCGGTTTTACAGGGCGATTCTTGAGAGGAATATTGAGTTTCTGACGAAAGGAGGGAAGGAGTCAGCGCCGAATCTGCTGAATGTGATGATGGAGTTGCGTAAGTGCTGCATTCATCCGTACCTGATCAAGGGAGCCGAGGAGCAGATTCTCAGTGGGTATGTGAAGAAGAAGAAGGAGAAGAGCAAGAGCGAAGGAGAGAATGAAGTGCCGGCCGTAGTGGAAAGGATAAGTGTTGAAGGGGAGAACCATGACGGAGGGCTGATTGGGGATATTGATGAGTATTATAAGGTGTTTATACAGAGCAGTGGAAAGCTTGTTCTTCTTGATAAGCTTCTTGGGAAGCTGAAGGAGGGGCACAAGGTGCTTATTTTTTCGCAGATGACAAGGTGCCTGGATTTGCTTGCGGAGTATCTTACGTATAGAAGATACAAGTATGAGAGGATTGATGGCGGGGCGAGGACTGAGAACCGGCAGGCAGCGATTGATAGGTTTAGCGACAAGGAAAGCGATGTTTTTGTGTTTCTGCTGAGCACACGTGCAGGAGGAGTGGGGATAAACCTGACGGCAGCGGACACAGTGATTATTTTTGACTCTGATTGGAATCCTCAAGCAGATCTGCAGGCACAGGCTAGATGCCATAGAATTGGGCAGACGAGTGAGGTGAAGGTATACAGGCTGGTGACTGAGAATACTTATGAGAGGGAGATGTTTGACAAGGCAGGGCTGAAACTGGGGCTTGACAAGGCGGTGCTACAGAAGATGACGTTTGAGGAGCAGAAGAATGAGAAAACAAGGAAGAAGGATGCGATTGAGGTGCTTCTTCGTAAGGGAGCATATGGGGTTCTTATGGAGACGGATGATGCATCGAGCAGGAAGTTCTGTGAGGAAGATATTGATCAGATTCTGGAGAGACGAACGAAGATAGTGAAGCATTGTGACGGAGGAAATGTGTTTTCGAAGGCTTCTTTCCAGGTTGAAGAAGATGTTGATGATCCTGATTTCTGGGAGAATCTCCTGAGCAAGAAGAGATTCGAGGAGAGTGAAGGAAGGGTGCGAAGGCAGATGAGACGGCTTGCAAGGGAAGGAGGGCTTTCTAGGGAGGAAGTGAGTGAGATTGATGAGCTGCTGAAGATGGAGCTTGAAGACAAGGATGAGAATGTGTTTTATGAGAATGAGTGTTTGCTGATATTTCTGGGTGTGTTGAGGCATGGGCTGCGATCTGTTGGGCTTGATGTATTTAGGAGTGAAGGCGGAGCTGTTGGGGAAGGGGTTGTTATTGAGCAGAGTAAGCGTTTTAGAGAGACTGAGGGGCATTTCAAGTATATTATGAAGTACAATGTTGATCAGTTGCAGAGTTCGAAGGTTAGATCTGACTTTTGCGACGGGATTGGCGAGTTTCTGGTTGATAACTATGACCCGTCGCTGTTTTCGAAGTTTGAGCCTGTGTATAAGAAGTATGGGGAGAGGTTTTTGCTGCGGGTACAGGCAGTGATGATGCTTGCATCGCTTGTGAATACTGAAGATCTTGTTGTTGAGAAAGTAAGAGGATGGAGCAGTGAGGATGACAGAAGGCTTGTTGAGCTTGTGCTCGGGTATGGATATGATTGCTATCCGGAGATGGTGAACAACAAGAGTGTTGACGACATGAACCAAAGGGTCCGAAAGATTATTTCGACGCTTAGCAGGAAGAAAGAGATACGTGAGAATGATAACCTGTTTCATAAGGCAATAATGAATTTTGGAAAGATCACTGGGGACAATCGGGAGAGTGTGGAAAGGTTTTTGGGAGACAAGAGTATAGAGGGGCTTGAGGAGACCATCAATGGAATAGTTGAGGCGACCAAGAAGCATAAGTTGAATAGTTCTGAGGTAGAATGCCTTGATAGAATGGTATGGTTTGATGGGGTTAGGGAGATGGAGAAGCTTCCTAGCCTGAAGAGGGGTATGCTGCCTAAGAATTGGAATGTAGATATGGTTTATGGCTTGAGGAATGAACTACTGAGGAGTGGGCTTGCGGCATGTATGGAGAAGTATGATGTTGGCGAGGAGCTGCTGGTGAAGAAGTTTGAGGCGTTGTTTTCTTGCAGTCGGACTGCGTAAATAAAGATGTTTCTAAGGGATTTGATTGTGAATGGCAATATGTGAATGAATGAGTGATTTTACCCTTTTATGAATGCTGGTAAGTATTTGATTGTTTTTGATATAAATGGGACGTTGATAAAGAAATGTCGTAAAGGCAAAAGTGAGCCAAAGGAGTATGAGCAGAAGGGAAGAATGCCTGACAAAGTAACAAGCAAGTTTATTTTGTATGAAAGGCCTCTACTTGGCGTTCTTTTGAAATTTTTGAAGACGCATGAAGTGAGTTATATTTTGTGGACTACGGGAATGGAGGCCAATGCAAAGGTTCTTGTGGATTATCTTGAGAGTCTAGGATTTGACGAACATATTGGCTGGTATTCTCAGATTGATTGTAAGGCAGGGAAATGCAAGGTTGACTCAGATGCGAATCTTTGGATAAAGGATCTTGATATGGTTGCAAGGAATCATGGGTTTGATGTTGAGCGGTGCATTCTTGTTGACGACAGCGTGGACAAGTCTATCTATGACCAGAATCTGATATGCTGCAAGGAGTATAATCCTGGAGAGGACGATGATGGGATATTTGAGATATGCAGGCATTTGGATGATTTTCTTGGGTGCACTGAGGAGTGCATTGTGAAGAAGATCCAGAAGGCTGCATGAATCTTAGCAATGTTGCTTGCGATTACTTTGAAATGAGCAATAGCGGATGGTAAAATATTTGGAGTGAATCTGAGATATTTAAATGAGGGATACAACCGCTGCATGAACAGTGAGAGGATTGAGGAGATAGAGAAGCTTTTAGTGAAGGATAAGGAGTGGAGGCATATGGGAGAGGTTGACAAGACCAAGAGGCCTAAAGACAGTTTGCTAGCGCAGAAAGAGATTGATTTTAGGCAAGGGCCACCGCTTGTTCCGTTTTCATCGAAGCAGAATGATGAAATTGAAAGAGTCACGCTGAAGAGGATCCGAGAGGGTACGTTTGACAACTATGAGTACAAAATCAAGCAGGTGATCGAGGTTGTGGATGATGTTGACTCGGTTGAATGTGAAGAGGCGAATGACATTATTGCGTTGTATAATGAAATTGAGGGCGATTTGATGAAGATGGTTGACTTTGGAAACAATGGATTTGTTCCGGATGCTGAGGTGAGGAGTGTAAGGATTGAGGAAGCAAGGATGGGCAAAAAGAAGCAGAGCATATCGTGTCTGGATAAGATCAAGAATGTTACAGTTATAAGGAAGTGAGATGTGTAGACCGACAGTAGGATAGCTTATACAGATATGTGGTGAGGGTGCAAAAGCAATAAGAATCTGTAGAATGTTAGATTTTGAAGCTATAAGTGTGTTACTAATAAATATGATTAGTGAAGATGAATGAATTTTATTTTTGCTGGGAGTCATCTTCTGAAGAATGTGAATCATCGATGTAATGTTTTGAGGCATGCCTAGTTTTAGAATCCAGAAGCTTCATGAGATCCTCGGCCGGCATATGCGAGATGTCTTCTCTGGAGATTTTAAAGTCGTCTGAATCCAAACTGTGTTCAGAAGCATAGCTCGAGCTGTTTTCATTACTGGGATCTGAACTGCAGATTGAAGAGTCTTCGTCTTGTATGAAGCTAGGCGTGTTTGATGCAATGCTGCTATTGTTACAGACGCAACAGTCTTGCTGGATGTCTTTGCAATTGCATTTGTGATCGATTGGCTGAGGCATGTCTTCGTATATTGGGCAAAGATCGTTTATTGCAGACTCCGATGTTTGCAGGATGTGTAGACACAGATCTTCGATCTGGTAGTACACCTGTTCTGGTGAGAATCCTTGAAGATGCAGCTCTTGATGCTTGTGCTTGGCAGAAATTTTTTCGAATTCCTCTGTTAAAACTTGCATGATTTTCAAGCCCTGAAATGGGTAAGATTTCAAGAAGAACCAGAGAGTTGAAGAAGAAGCAGCGGCAGCCTATTGTCAAGCTTTCTCTCAGCTATCCGTTGATAAAAGACGTGGAAGAGGGAGAGGTAATTGACATTGTGCATGAGAGGGGCCGAGGCGTGCCTATTGCGATTTTGAGCTTTAAGGAGCACGATAGCTTTGTTGTTGCGACTGAAGGGATCCGAACTGGGCAGAAGATCATGATTGGAGATGATGCGCCTGCCTTGATTGGCAATATTACTAAGGTTAAGAATGTGCCTGAAGGAATGGCAATTAACTCTGTCGAGCGTGCTTATGGGGACGGAGGGTCGTTTTCTATGGTGAATGGAAGCTATACGCTTGTTGTCAATCACAGGAAGGAGAGCAATGAGACGATGATAAAGATACCGTCTGGGGAGAAGAGGCTGATTAGTAGCGAATGCAGGTGCATTGTAGGAGTTGCTTCTGGAGGAGGTATCCATGATAAGCCCCTACTGAAAGCGTCTGTTGCACATTACCGAGCAAAGGCCCGTGGACTTGTGTTCCCAAGGGTTAGAGGAGTGGCAATGAATCCTGTTGATCACTTGCATGGAGGAGGAAATCATCAGCATGTTGGAAAGCCCACAACGGTTTCAAAGAGGGCGCCATTTGAGCAGAGGATTGGACTTGTTGGAGCCAGACGTACTGGCCGTGCATGTGGATCAAAGAAGAATCTTCATTAAAGTCTTGAGTGATATTTGCGGTATGTTTTGGTGCATGCAGGAAGTATTTTGGTAGAAAGTGTGTTTTTAGCCCATGAAAAAAATGTATGATGATGTGCATGAAGAAGACGCAAATGAGGATGAGGGGCAGATGCTTATTTCAAGGCTAGGCACACTGAGGAATATTTCTATAGACATGACTAAAGAAATAGAGAAACAGAATAAGAAAATGGCGCAGCTGGACCAATCATTCCAGCTTTCGTTAAGCAGGATATTTGCAACAATCAAAAGTGTTAAGAGCTCGTCTCCGAAACGATTTAGATTATGGATCTACTTTATATTTGGAGGACTGCTGCTTTCTCTTTTGTTTTTTGTGTTGTTCATTGCTCTTTGATTCTACATGAGAAGTATATGACCAACAAATATAGAATAACTGTGGAGAAGGGCTGTGATGTTTTGCATTGCATGCCAGAGGAAGTTTAACACAAAGAAGGCATACAAAGCTCATGCTGAAACAGATTCTCATTTGAAGCATGAAGATGAGTATAGTAAAAACAAAGGTTTGGTGGTTGAGAGGAACACAAGCAATTTTATTACGGACTTTCAATCGTATATATCTCAGATTCCGGAGTACAAAGAGATGGGACAGGTTTATAAAGAGTATCTGAGCAAAAGCCGGTTTCGAATTGAGGGCACGCGATTCAAAAGCATAGAGGAAGTGATAGAGAGGATATGCAGCGGGATATCTGTTTGCAGGGAAGATGGAAAGATTCTTGTCAAGCAGTTGCCCAAAATCGATGCCAACGCATTGAAAAGAATGCCGCTTCTTAATTTGGAAAGACTTGCACAACCTTTCAGAATACGTGTTGTTGATAGGAAGAAAATAAGAAGATTGCTGTAATATCTATAATTTATTATTGTTAAGGCATCAAAGAGGCAGTGCCTTTATGATGCTCATTCCATAAAGCACACGACGAATGTGATCTATACAAAGTATGTTCATTCTTATATGATAACATAAATAAAAAATGAATATAAATTGTTTAAAGGCTTCTATATGACCTCAAGCTCCAACCTCTTGAACAGGATGCTAAATTTCTGGAGATACTCGTTCTCCATCCTGTGAAGCATGTCTCTAGCATATATGTATGTATATCCTTTTTTGTTAACAATAAAGAAATCAATCTCTGAGCGTACTTCTACGTAATTGACATTGCTTTTCTTCATGTGCTTGATTATACCAAAGATGAAAGCTTCTAGCCGATCAAAGTTTGCCATAGACAGATATCCCACTGTCTTTTGCACGCAATACAAGCTTCCTTCATTGATTGTTCCAAACTTTATTGTGCTTTTAGAATTTGCCTTTTTAGAAATTCTTTCCTTCTTGGGCAAGCAGTCCAGCCTTGAGTCTACAGCACGACTTTCGATAAAGGATTCTTTTATTCCATCCTCTTCGATAACAATCCATGGCTTGATGGTCTGTACACTCATTGTGCTCGCATTGTTATTTTCACTATTGCAGAAAAGCTTCTTTATCTTTGATATTACGTAGTCAAATACTCCTTCTCCATCTTTTACGTCTTTGTATGGCCTAGAATGAAGATTCTCTGCTTCAACCTCTGAAACGCTAGACATCATATCTATCATGCAGCTATCGCTAATGTTCATGCCAATCTCGTTGATTCCATCATAAGCACTTTCATTCATGTCATGCCTCAGCGAATAGATGTCTTTTTTTGGAAAGCCATCAATCTGATTCACCTTTACATCATTCAGTCTAGGCGATAACACTGCATTTCTACTGGTTTTCGTCTTCCAGGGCTTATCACTGTCCTCATCCGATCCAAGCAGCTTTCCATATTGAGCAAAATCTTTGAATCTGAATGGCGCATCATCTGAAACACACGAATTCTCCACAACCGCTCCCAATATCACAGGCGGATTCAACAACATATTCTCAGATGTTTGGCCGTTGATGCATGCTACGACACAAAAGCTGCATATATCCTTGTCCCATCTTGATAGACAGCAGTGAAAGTTTCCAAATCGCAGTATTGCAAAATCAATGATCCTTGCATTCAAGAATCTTCTTGCAACGTTCTTCAAATTGGCTTTCTTGCTCTTCGACTTGTATGTTATCTTGCTTTCTGGCGTGTATATAACTGATCCTGCTGGATTACGAACCATCATGACGAGTCCTTGGTTTGTCTTTGATATAGCCTTCACGACGCTGTTATTCTTCAGAAATCGAGAGCTTCTAAACAGATTGTGTGTGTCCGATAGTGGAAGCATGTCCTTCCCAAAAAACTTGAACTCGTACGGATCGATTTCGTTCGGAAGCATTAGGGTTGGCTCATCAATTATTTTTATTCTTATGGAATCACGGGGAGATTGTCAAGAAAGGAAATACGGGGTACAGTTAATTTCAAAAGTCTGTTGGTGCATTTTACATCTGGCCAAGCTAAGCACATGGATTGGACGCCATCACAAGCAACAATACGATTGGTAAACATGATGTTTAAGCAAGCCACGTCGCATGCAATTATGGCCGAGGAAACCTCTACATCCACTAGCAAAGCGGCACAGAACGACAACAGCGATTCCAAAGCCAAGGAAGCATCCGATCTCCAAGAATCAAGCAGTAGCAGTTCAGACTCGAGCACATCAATAAAGACATCGAAGCCTAAGGCAAGCAGTGCAAAAATAGAAGACGGTCCAAAAATCATTGTGCCAGTTTTTGAGCAGCGAGAGGCGCTGGATGAACAAATAAAAAGCCAGATAATAATTAATCTGTCAAAATTCACAGACAAAAGCCCGCCTACAAAAATTTCAGAGTCACTCAAGAGTATGCTTGACAGCAAATTTGGAAAGGGCTGGTGTGTGTTTGCAGGTGCACACTTTTCCGGGAGCTGCACCTTCGAGGAGAAGTATTTTGCACAAATAGCATTTGGCACATACACAATAACTCTTTTTAGGATATTCATTCCCAATCAGTAGAGGCATGCAGTACGAATCGAATATACAGCTAAACTATCTTAGACAACATGTTTAATGTTTTGTCTGCTCAACAACAAGAGAAAAGTGAACTATTGAGGACATTTTGCTTTTAGTATTAAACTCTGCCACTGTCTTTTCTCGAGTATTAACGTCTTTGAAAAGCACCCCGTCGTCAGAAACCAGGTTGAGAATGCAATCAACAACGGAGACCACTTCTGCACCATTCGTCTGTATTTTAGATACCATAAATCTGTTCTTCTCCATCTCTGTCAAGTAAACACTTTCTGAATCATCATCCGGATGTGCTTTTGTAAGAATGCATTCTATCTGGTTGTCAAGCTTTAGTATTTTGAATGTCATGAGCTGCTTGCATTCATGGCATGTGACACACAGGTTGACTTCTTCATTTTTTTTATTGACATCGTTGTCTTCGCTTGATATCACGACGTTTTTTTCATGCTCTTTACCACATGCGCACCTGATTCTGATTGGATATGACTGTGAGATAAAAACGCCTCTGATATTCTCAAAATCGCCTTGTACAAACACATTAAAACGCATTCAGGGTGTCGTAAAGTTGAATTTATGTTGCTGTCTTCAATTTCTGGTTATGTGAGATTGCGATCTGGCAAATACCTCATTGTTGTTTTCAATTTATGCTTTGCGAATGAAATTTAGGCATGTTTATTGGTATGATATGCATTTGCGAGCGGGGTTTGCGTGGAGCCACAAGTGTATATATTAATAACATTGCAGGGGTGCTCAAATACCTGTGATGGACTGCAATCATCTACTGAAGTTGGGCATGAATGCAAAGAAGCTTTTGGAGAACGGAAAGGGGATTCTTGCGGCAGATGAAACACCTTGCACATTGGGGAAGCGGTTTGCAAAGCTTGGGATAGAAAACAATTCAGAAAATAGGAGACGATTCAGGGAGCTTTTGTTTGGTGCCGAACAAATAGATAAGTACATAAGCGGAGTTATTTTCCACGAAGAAGCGCTTGACCAGGTTGACAAGAATGGATCAAAATTAACAGATGTGCTTCTGAGGAAAAACATTGCTATTGGAATAAAGCTTGACAAGGGATTAATTGACTATAAGCAAAGAGAGAAAATATCTGTAGGATTGGAGGATCTGGATTTGCGATGCAAGTCTCCTGCACTCAAGGGTGTAACGTTTACAAAGTGGCGCTCTTTGTTTTACTTTGACCACGAGATTCCATCGCAGGACTGTATCAATGATAATTGTGAGGTCCTGGCAAAGTATGCAATAACATGTCAGCAGAATGGCCTTGTTCCGATTGTCGAGCCCGAGATCTTTTTTGAAGGAGATTATACAATTGAGAGAGCATTTGAGATGTCTAGAAGGATTTTGAGTACACTAGTGATGTATTTGAATTACGAATCTGTATATATGCCTGGTGTACTGATTAAATCGAGCTTCGTGACTGGAGGCTCAATAAGCAACAGTGAGTATACGCCAAAGAAGGTTGCATATTTGACATTCAAGGCTCTTCTATCGACGATTCCTTGCGCAGTGCCTGGAATTGTGTTTTTGAGCGGAGGGCAAGGGACAGAAAATGCAATGAAGTACCTTAATGCTCTAAACTTAGAGAGAGGATGTAGGACATGGACACTGAGCTTTAGCTTTGCAAGGGCATTTACACAGAATGTCTTGGAAGCATGGGCAGGCGTTGATGAGAATGTGCCTGAGGCACAGCGAATATTGCTTGAGAATGTGCTTATGGCATCGAAAGCATCGAATGGTGAGCTTGAGATGCTTGATACGGGATGCAGTGATCAATAAATGCTCGTTTGCTGTGGTTGTCTAAGCATTTTGATATTTGAATTTCATGTATTGATGAATAATAGTTTTGGAGCATCCCTGAATGAAGGAGGAAAACAAATCTAATGCCAATGATGAGGAAATTATAAGCTATCTGGTACAGAGCGGGTTTACAGAGGCAGAGATCCAAGCTGCTATGAAGGAAACAGGATCTAAAGATATAGACTTTCTTGTTGATTCGATCATAAGTGCAAACCAAAACAAATCGCACAAAGGAGTCAAGCAAGTCAAAAGAGAAAGCACTCCGTCCATTTCGAACGAAATATCGGAGATCCAGAAAAAGCGAAAAGAGACAATGCTGAGGGAGAGAATCTATAAAGAGCAGTTAATAAACCAGATAAAAGCAGATATGGCTGAAAAGCTAGAGCAAGAGCGTATTGAGGATCAGAAGCTACTAAACGAGACGATCGAGAGAACAGAAGACATTTATGACTGCAAGATAAAACTATGGCATGGTGATGGAACATCATCCATTCTTGGGTTTTCAAAAGAAGACACTTTGGATGATCTTTTCTTAGCGATCGAGGCAAGGCTGAATCGAAAAGGATTTAATCTGTTCAGGATGAACCAAACAGTCCCGATTGAAAGGGGATTTAAGAAAATTTCCGAGATTCCCAGTTTGTATCCAAAAGGAGTATTGTTTGTTGACGAATAAATCGAGATCTAGTTTTCTGTATATTATTTGGCATATCTGTGCTCATGGATCGAGATTGATAATTAATCCACAAACAATTAAAACTGAGTAAATTACCCATAGCATGGAAAACACGGAGATAAATGAGGGATGGAGTATACAGGGAGTGGTTCTTGACAGTGTAGTTCTTTCTGTATTGTTTTATTCGTTTTACTGATATTTACGAATCAATTCAATTTTTTAAACAATTTTTTTTCCCCTATAGCCTTTAGCATAACCTGTTTGCCACTATTTGTGCTTTGGATAATCAGTTTAAAGGATAAAATTGTAAAATCTACAAGCATAGCAAAGCGAATTCTATTCTCTATGCTACTTAATTTTCTGGTTATATTCACGATTATGTTTCTCTATGCGTTTTATTCCAGTGTTATGAAAAGCAATTCGCAGAAGCTTTATGGAAAACATAAAAAAACACGAACGTATAACGATGCACATATATTTATGCTTGTACACATTATGGTAACATCTGGAGGCATGGTTCCTGGTCCACTGACTATAAATCGCAATATTGAAGTTTGGATTAATGTTATAGTAGTAGCTATGCTTATGTACTCAATTGTTTATTGTAAAATAGATAAATTTTCTGCCGAGAAATTCTATTTATTCATCATGACTGCAAGTATGCTTGGCACATCTTTATTGAAGATATTTTCACTTCTAAAGTACTTTATTCCCTCACTTCAATCTGAAAAGTGGGATAAACTGGATTTGAAGAGTGATTGGCCTCAAATATCTACATTTGTATTTTCATTTGTAATCTCCATCATCGATTTTTCTGCCGGTAAGAATTTAGAAACTACACATTTAGATCATATTCTGTGAATTAAGAAAATCCTTGCTAATTAGCAAGCCATTAAATACTTAAATTTAGGCCATTTTACTCAACTATTCGCATAGGCTCAAACGTTGATATTTATTTATGAAATAAATACTATATAATATCAGTCTCTTTAACATTACGATAAATGCTGTGAATTTCTTCATGATAAAATAAAGATGCTATTATCAGTAAAAGATAGGTCCATTCGAAAGGTTTTATTCTCTTAAGAATGCTAGATTCACTCTCAAGCCTTTCAATAGGCTCTTTCACAGGGTACCCGTTACAATGCTCTTCAACGCTCTCATTTTTAACTATAGACGTAGAGGCTTTAGATATCTGGCGATCCATAAAATGTACTGCATCAAAAACCAAATCAGTGTCTCTTTTATCCATTAATTCTATTGTTTGTTTAATTATTGACGCGGATAACTGCGGATCAATAGAACATATACTTAAGAAACTATGAATATCATCAAAATGGCGCCAATTATGAATAATCATAATATGCTTATAAAATTCTGCCTTGGAAAACTTCATTTCATTTATAATAGAAAGCAGATTTGTTTCTCTTATTCTTCTTACCAATTGCATCAAAAACAAATATATATTATATTTCATAGATTCTAAATCGTTTTTTTCTTGCTGTAATGAGCATTTTTCTCTGGTGAGCAATTCCTGTTTTTTTATTTTTTCTTCAATTTCAATATAATTTCCATTAACATGTACATTTGCACTGCTTATTAACGATTTTATCTCTTTTATCTTTTCTATCGTGTTTTTTATTTCATTGTCAATCATCTTTCTACATACTGTTTCTGTTTGTATATAAGAATTTATTTCAGCAAGTAACTCATCTTCCCTTTCAGTATTTCTTTTTTTAAACAACTTTCCTATCTTGTTAAAACTCTTAGGAATCACATGCTTCATTTTTTTCATCCATGGCTCTTGATAATCTAAACCTATTGGCTCTTTTGAAATAGCATCGTCTCTATTGTTTAATATCTTTTGTATTTCAAATTTGTATTTTATATCAAATTCTTCAGATTTTGTTATATTTACAGCTTTTTTATCCTCTAACTTCTTCAAATGATTCTCATATAGCTGTATTTTCGAATGATTTATGTAATAAAAATGTATAGTCTTTATAAGAGGTTGCTCTATCCAACTTTTATGATAAGCTTGTTTAGCTTGTGGTTCTTGAATAGATGTATTATTCATTACAATTTTTTTGCATTCCAATTTTACTATTTATATTTAATAAATTTATTTTATTCATATTCATATTCACTGCACATATGCATGCATACATCACACTGATATTTAAAAATCATAGTGGCATCATAGGTCTCCCATTCTGCATATCATATCTTCCCAGGCATTAAGCGCACAGCCCTAAATCTATTTTACTCTTACTCTTGCTATCAGCACATCCTCCACACTGTACAAATGTACATGTCATGCATCTGATTGCTTATTAATCTTTTAACCCACATATACTCATTCAAATCATCACACATACACTATTAACATATTCAATTATTAACTATTAATTTATTCTCATTCCAAATTTCGCATTTCATGCCCATCACTACTACTTATCATTATTACTACTGCAGTATTTCATTACTCTCACATCCACTCCCATACTCTTTATCATCCATCCTGCCATTGCCATTACACATGTGCTCAGTGCAACAATCATCACATTAATCTCATTCTCACATACTCATTCACATTCACTCCTCCATACACACCCATGAATACTCTCACCAGCGCCATCATTACACATCCTCCTATCATCAATCTGTCATACCACACTGGCCTATTTGCACACTTCACATACGTAATCACACTCAGCATCACTGCTACCATCACTACTGTCGTCACTGCTGCCATTACTGCTTGATCATTCATCGCATTCCCATTAATAAGTGCATTCTTTATACTCATTCCTGTAATCAATGCCTCAATCAATGCCACCAACAATATTATTAATATTGCCGTTGTTTCTAGCATCCTTCTCTTCTGTTCTTCTGCAGCTATTAGCTTAACATGCTCTTCTCTTCTTTCTGCCTGTGCCTCTTGCTTTGCTATTAGATTAGCTTGTGCTTGTACTTCTTTGATTGCACACTTTATTATTTTATCAGCTAGTTGTGCACTATTAATTCTCCCCAGTATTTGATTCTGCTCATCCTCCGGTTTATCTATCAACTCATTAACAATATTCTGATTGATCACAAGGTTATCTAATACAGCTTCCACATATTTTTTTGTTAGCCCACTTGCTTCGCTTATCATAATATTAAACAATCTGTTAAGCTTATCAACATCATCAGCTCCATTCAATATACTTACAAATAATTCTGGTTTATCTTTAAGTTTAGAAATCATGTTTCCCAAGTCATTATCATCATCAATGCTCAGCAATATATTCGTCACATATCTATACTTCCCATACGAGCTTACTATCCGACCAATTGTATTCATTACAATTATCTTGTCTTCAACTCCAAGCAACATATATGCTATTTTCTTATACTCAACAGATGCATCTTTCAGCATTGCCAGCAGCTTATCAAGTCTATTCCTATCAAAACTGTTCTTAAAGGCATCATTCAACAATTCATTCCTCTGTTTATCCTCAATTGCATCAAATATTCTTTTCACATCGTCATTTCTTTCATCTGCATTCTCATACCTCTTATTAATACCAACATAGATCAAGGCATCAATTTCGTGTTTATGACCCAGCTGTTTCAGCACCATCTTTATTTCTTCGTCACTCATGCTCAGCAACAAGTTAGGCACACTATCATATCCATACACTCGCCATACTTTGTCTATTTTATATTGCTTGGCTTCGCTTATTATTTCTTGCGTATCGTACATATATACTGTATCCGCTTCAATAGGCTCAAGTTTAGGTTCTTCCATTGACTCGCTTAGTTCAATCAAAAAAGATTTCTTTTGATTATAATCCATTCCATTCATTATGCTCTTCAACGTGCCATCATCAATACTATCAAACATTTATACCATCATTTTACGGATACTCCTGTTATCATACATTGCAAGGGCGTTGCTATTACATCATTACACAGCATACACTGTTACTTTTATTTAATTGTTATTGTTAATTAATTCATAATTCCGTTCGTATATTCTCATTCCGATATACTTCATATTTCCACTGCTATATTAATACACATACACTATTAAAATACTCAATTATTCGCTATTAGTTTATTCTCATTCCACATTTCATATCCCATCACTAAT